GAGATCGCTATTTGAGAGTAAAATAGTATTTATGGAGCTAAAATTGTTACAGTAAGCTTCCATTAGTGCGATTACGCGCGACAATTCTAGAAATTAAATCGAGGAACGGGAGGACCGGCCTTCGATGCGGAGCTTCAAGGCCGAGACAAGCCAAGACGGCGTAATACTATATCCTGGGAAAAGTGGGGGACGGTCTATACGCACAGCTGCCTAAAATCTATAATCCGGACCTGGAAGTCATATCGGAATAAGTAATGCTTATTAATTTACATCAACGGCAAATCCGATCAGACAGCAACATTTACTTACAATTATGATATTACAATTTAGATGAAAGAGAACCGTCGCGAGAATCCAGAAAAACGTGAAAACTCGTGCCTTTAAACTTTAAATATGAAAAATATCGAAAATACAGGTATGGAATTTTCCATAATACCCAGAACCCCATCTCCCTCATCCCCCGAACGGCTCAATTATGCCATCGCCAGCCGCCACCGATTGCATCACTAGGGGATGGGGACCCACTCGACATCCACAAGTGCCCATTTCGGACACTGAATTGTATTAAATCCCGACATCCAGTCAGCCAACCCCAGCGGGCCCTCAAATAGCATTCAGTCAGTCGCCTCTCACCCCTCAACATTCAAACTCTATAAAAATGGACATACAAATGGTCACTCGGGGTCGGATGTCAGCTTCGCATGGTGTATTTTGCGGAGGAAGCGATAGGAATCTCGGGGGGAAGTGTCAAAAGGGACATGTGTACTATTTACTAGAGTCAAGGTGGAAATTTGGGGGGCGGGGTTTACTTTAAAAAGGTTAAGGAAAAATTGTGGCAGGAAAGCGGTGGTTAGAGCTAATATCGAATGTCTGATAGTAACCGCCAGAAGCTTCTGATCAAACTCAAGTGTGGGGCTTAAGAAAATGCCACCAAAATTTTCATAATTAATTGGGTCATATGTTATCGAGGTATCCAATTAGGTTCTCGATACGGTAGTTCCAAGGCGAAAATTAGTTGAAAACGCAATAAGGGGAAATAGGCTTACACCTAGGCCACTACTCGACTACGTATATTAATAGACTATTTACCAGGTTGAAGCCGGCAAGTAGAGGAAACTTTATATTCAAAATCGCAAAGACAAGCGTAGCTAGCAAACGGGTAGGTTGAATACCGAAAATGAACGCAACAATGTTTGAAACCCGAACATCAAGCTCGAGTATAGGGTGAATCCATAAAAAAATTGAAGAAAACATCCATTTGTATCTTAATTTAGAACGAAATTAAAATGCAGGAAACTAACTATTATGGTTGGTTACAGTAATCCCACCCCCCCAAAACCACACAAAACCACTTCACAAAGAACAAGATAAATCAAAAGATGCGCATGGACGCCCTGGATTCGCCAGGGTTTTGCAGCGGTCGGCCGTTTGCGTGAACCAATCCATGGGGCCGGGCCCGTTTTTTCCGCGGGCACATCAACCATGGTGACCTTGAGGGGGGAGAACCTCTAATTTCAGCCCTCCGGTCTCAACGACGAGAATGAGGATCGGGGGGGGGGTAGGATGCATTGGTCGAGGGTCTATAGTGGTGGGGGTTGGTGATTGTTGGCTAATTGCCATGGCGGGATCGGGGGTCGAGCATGATATTGTTATGTAAATAGCTGTTGATCCCACAAACGAGCCAATCATCTGGTGGAGTGAGGCAATCTGGGCCCATTTCGGGTATCGGGCACAATTAGGGATAGGGCGGGTTAAGGGTTGTGGCGTAACTGGGGTATCCGGGACGGAATTGAGGGAGGTCGTTGATTGAGCAATTCGAATTGGTGGAGTCGAGGCTACATGTGTGCTTATGATGATTTTTAAAGGGACGTGGGAGGTAAATATTTAGCCGGATTTCCTGGAACATTAGCTTATCAGGTTCTATTTTCAATCTCATCTCAAATCTCATTTGTTCAAAATTTCAATACGCTGAACCTCAATTTTTAGCATATTCTACCTGATTAAGTTTCGACAAACTAAAATTTCGAAAAATGAATTTTGTCATAGGGATAAAGGTCAAATAAATTACAAATAACAAGGAAAATAGATTCCGAAATCGTTTTTTGTATGTTGCAAGATCGTTACTAAATATCCTCAAAAACTAAACCTACCTTTCTTGAAAAATTTGCAATAAAAACTACTCGAGAGCGAACAGCCCGATTTTTTACATATCCGGGACCCCTTGAATCACCCCCGTACGACCTTGTAACGCCCTCAAAAAAAACCTCCCGCGCGCAGAGGAAATGCCGGCCCTGCAATGGTGTGGTCAAACAGTGTCAATCGCATGCTTGACCGAACAATGACCGCATTACATGAAGGAAGGAATATAGGAGGGAGATCCCCGGGGGAACACTTCAGGATGAGGAGGGCGTGCGCCCTGACAATTCCATTCCTTCACGCATAAACGACACTCACTGAGATTGAGGGGGGAATATTGTGGGATTGAGAGGGAGGAAATTTGCATTGGAACTTTCAGAAGACTTTGATTCCACTAAACAAGAGTTGTTTTTAGGCGATTTTGGCGAGGCTCAGAGAGCGAGTTAGAGCTCAAAAAAATCCAAAATCTACAGAAAAAATTCCTGAAAAAGTGTACCACCCCAAAACGCCAAAAAATTAGCGTCCACCGATGGCCGCCCAAGGGCCAAATTTGGGGCCCATGAAATGTCCGGCGGCCAAAATGTTTGCCGAAGAGCCTGGCGTGCCTTGGCCACTCATCCCGATGCCCCCACGATTGGGGGAGGCCACTAAAAACAACGGGCGCTTCGTGCTCGGTCCTTTTTGCTACTGGTCTGGAGGAGGAGGAGGAGGAGATAGAGGGTGGGGAGAGGGTCCAAGTATTTTAGACCTCTAAAAATGGTGCCGCGCTTTTGTTTCTTGAAGTACTAGTAGGTACTTGTCGGGTCGTGGAGCGTGGGGGGGGGGGCGAGTCTTTAATGTTTTTGTAAAAAAGCCGCTGAAGGGAGGAAGGAGGGGTGCCTCTGGTTATAATATACTGACGATTACTTAAAGTGTTTGATGAAACTATAACCAATAATTCACAACTGAATAAATTCTACATTAAGTTACGATAACCCTAGTATATGTGAAAAATGGCGCCTACTTATCTTTTGGATTTGGCATAACCACTTTGCTTCTTGCTTATTGCATACTGCCTACATTGCATGTCGCTGCGACCTAGGCAGGTTTTGCAATAATTTTTAGGGCATTTAGTATACGTCGTACAAGGTAAAAACCGACCACCGGTGGTGGGATAGTCTAGAGGAATGCTTTCAAATTTTTTCTTCATGGCTTGGCAAGAAATATGCAAATTTCATATTAGGCCTTCTTTTTGTCCTACCTTGCAAACCAGACTAAAAAGTACTAAAAACTTTTCCTCTAAAAACAACAGACCTTTGTCTTCCACGTGAAGCCCCTACCCCCTACTCCCCAAGTATTTTATGCAAAATTGGTGCGCCCCCTTTCTCCTCGAACCCATTGAAGACTGACAAAGGAAGTCCGGACCAATCCTCCAAACACACCCCCGTATAAGTAATGAGCAGACACGGGGGAAGACGAAAGGGGCTTTCCGCTAAAGTCTCCTTCAAAGAACCATCGCAACATTCCTGAAGAACCAAGTGAGGCTGCTGAGAAAAATGAGCATGTCTTGGGGATTACGCGGGGGAGGTTGGCGCGTTTTTGCATAAAAATGGGGCCCTGAGATTTTGGATGGGTGCTGGGAGTTTTTGAAGAAGAAAAATCAGGGAAGAAGGCTAGCGTAAGTCTATCTAAATTTTACAATATTTTTAAAAGCATTCAGGTTTTTAATAAAAGAACGAGCAAATGAATTTATATAAAGTAACCATCAAATGTTAATACTATACGAATTCGTCGATTTTCCCACGAACAAGGCGTTAATTCACGGTTAGTTGAACTTGGGAACGCCCCAACCCCAACCCCCACTGAAGCCACCGCTAATGAGGGAGTTCCGCTAAAATAAGCTCAACACTTCCAAAACCCCCACAATACGCCCCAATTTTATCCCCGAAATTCAAATAAGATGCTTCCTATCTTTACGAAGCTGCCCCCGGGGCCTCGATGTCTCTAAGTGGCAAATTTGGACCTCATCCGTCAAGCTTTCGGAATGGACGCGCGCGCCCCCGGATTGAAATGACAAATTTGAAGGGTTCAAGGGCTGCGTATGCAAATGTGTTCGTGCAAAGCGGGGGTCTGGTGTGTAGGTGACATAAGAACACTTGAGAAGATATGAATCTTATTCAGTGTGACGAGTGCCCAAAATTCCTAGACTTAATTGTGGATGCAAGAGGGCAAAAGTTGGGGGGGGGGGGGTTAGGTTTGTCTGTGGGGAGGGAAGAGCCGTCAGGGTCTGACCTTAATTTGCAAATTCAGGGGCGCCTTTGTTTCTTTTGCGGTTGAAGTTTTGCCGCCCAATTGTTTTGGGGCAACGAATTCGAATTTGCAAGTTATTTTGGGCGGAATCGAAAGGTTAGCGCGTTTTTTTTTGGAGAGTTGCACGGCTTCTTGAGTAAAATCTCCACCGATGATCATTATTAGCATAAAATTCTTTATCGGAATAAATTCAACAATTTTTAAAGGAAATATTTCACATAATACAGTCTCGTCTTTATGGCGCTGCTAAGGGCGTTGTCTGACGATGGGGATGGGGTGTCGGATCATCCTGGATAAATCCCTTTTGAAACGTAGCAATCGCATTTTCGGTAACAGCCTCGACAGCAGCTGCGGCTTCAAGATGAGCCATTTCCAGATCATTCTGCAGATCTCTCCTTGAACGTCTACTCGAATCCCTCTGCGAAGTTCGATCGGAAAGCGAGACGATATCAGATAATCTCTCGACAATGCTTTTCTTGCTTTCACGGCTTTCCCTCCGTGCAGCCACAATAGTTGCTCTTTCTTTTTCTTCCTTTTCCTTCGAAATTTATTAAAGTAGTTGGCCAAAATGATCAAACCTGCGCCTCGACCATAGCTGAGATAGCTTTGTACGAATCACGGGAGCTTTGAAGAAGCTCTTCAACACCATCTAACCAATATGTAAGTAAAGTTCCGACTCCCTAAAATAAGTTTTTATGTTTAAAGAAATAGAGCGAACATCAATTTTGACACTTCCTCGTGAAGTACATTTAAATTCAGGAAATCTGGCGTTGAGCAGTTGATAGCTTTTTAGCGACATTTGTATTTTATCGGGTTGGCCGCTGCTCTCCATTTTGGATGCCACAGTCGCCTGTAAAATTAGGACTTGGGGGCTAGAATCTAAGCTACCGTTCCACCAAAAACACAATATCTTGGAGCGCTGATTCCGACGACACCTGTGAACACAGGTCCAGTGTTGAACCCCCAACGACAGTGTAGAAATTGACCGGGCCGATGAGGGATTTCAAAATCGTAGAGGAACTAAGTTTATTATACTTTTTAATAAAGAATGAGTCTCTACCTCTCGTTGTTGTAATGCCACCGAAGCGATATCGCGTACGTGGTCCGTCTTACTCGGAATAGGGACACCCGAGGCCACCATATAAGCATCACCAATCGTTTCAATTTTGTAGCAATTATGGACTGAGATAATTTGATCGAAGCGTTGGAACATGCCGGAGAGTAGGTTTACGACCTATTAAATACATACATATTGGTTGGAAATTAGTGATACCTCCATGGGCTGCGACTCCGAGCATAGCGACGTGAAACCGACAATATCCGAGTATAGGATTGTCGCTGCTTTATAGGTTTTTGGGTCGACCCTCCTCCCGACTTTCAACTCATCAGCAACCGTTCTAATCATGTATTTAAATTGAATTTTAATTCCTTACTTTGGCAGCAATTCACTCAGCAATGCTTCCGCCTTTTTCTGTTCTTCTTCAAGCTGGCCGGTTCGTTCTTTGACGAGGTTTTCGAGATTGTTGGTGTACTAAAAGCAATCCTAGATATGAGCTTTTGGTTTCATACCTGTTCTAGGTTTTTAATCATCTGGTCCACAAGTGAACCGCTCATTTTCAAAGTGGCATCGGTGATTTTTCGAGCTAAATTCGTGTCCGGCCGAGTTTCAGCTGCGCCCCAGCACTTGTGCATAAGACCCAGTAGGTCAGGATGAACATCATCAGATTCCGGAATGGTAGGGTATAATGGAACCTTAATCCGCACTATTGATAGGTTTCCTGGAGCGGCACTTGCCTGTGCTTCGGCTTGCTCACACAGGATCAAATTGTCCTCTTCGCTGACGATCGCATCATCGATTGACGCGACTTTCTTCCGGTATAAGATTTCAAATAATATCATTCCAAAACCGTAGAGGTCTCCGGCTTGTCCCTAGGAAAATGTTGCAAAATTTAAGGGTTTTTACCTGTTTCGGGCTGAGTTGGATAGCGTCCATCCTATTTGTATACATCAGGGTTTTCAGTCCCTTACGGATCTCAGGAGCATAGTAATGAAGTTCTAAATCAATTTATATAGATTTTACGGGATCAACCAACCAGAATTTGCAATAATTGGAGCACCATCAAGTGTAGATATCACCGAGTTGTTTTTCCACCTATTTTAAAAGATGTTTGCTTAGAACAAGATACTTACCGAAATAGAAGTTTCCCCATCCCAAAACCAGATAATTTAAGAATCCAATGCGAATCGATTAGACAGTTGCTTGGGGTTAGCATTCCGTGATAAACAATTCCAGATGAATGAATGAAATCAAGGCCCTAAACATATTTTTAGATTCATTTTTTGAGTATTTACCTTTAGAATATCCCTTACAAATGCACCCTTAAAATTGCTATCAAAATTCGGCTTCCCGTCGTCATCTTGTTTCGTGGCAAAAATGACATCAGTCAATGTTCCACTAAAAAATAGATAAAAATATATAGATGTGCAAACCGAAAACAATGACTCCACATGACAAACAGATGTTGCGAACGATCAAAACACAATCCCATGAATGGATTCAGATTATCGTGGCTAATCTGCTTAATCTGAAAATGGAATGGTTGAGATATACCTAAAGTTCTTACCAAATAAAGCCAATGCATCTCATGACGGCTGAATACCAGCTTTTCCTTCAAGCTATAGCTCTCCACAACGACGTAAGCCTGATCGATCGTTGCCAGCTGGCGACTTTTTAGTGACTCTTTGGCTTTTTTCTGTAAGAAATAATTAGAGGGGTCAGATAGGTTACAAAACCACGTCGTTCTTGCTTACTTCGGCCGATTTGTCTTCGAGTTGTTGTTGGATGCTGTGGATGGAAAGTTGTTGGCTCTAGGGGTGGGGTTATGTCAAAGATGGTTTAAGCTTACCCCGATTTGCGATGATTCGACATCGACGAGTTTTACCATTTGGACTGGGATGGCCCAAGGCATCGAAGCCGTTTCACCGGAACGCCTACAAATTTGAAGAAGTTGAGATTTTTGGGATAAATGGTATTTTACATTTTTCTGATGGCTAGTATCGTGACGATACAAATGATAATAGCCGTCATAACCGCTGCGATAATAATGACGGTGCTGAAAAATGAGGTTATTAGTTAACACAAACGTTTTTTAAGCTTGTAAGGCATAGAATATAAAAAACCTACCTGGTCTGATCGCACAACTCCCCAGTAAATCCGCATGGTGGAACATCTTGTGGAAATTTCGCTCCAACATCGGCAAGTATCGAAGTATTTGCAAGCTTAATAAAGTCCAATGCTTTCTAGCGTTTTTTATTACCAAAGTATAACAAGCCATCGCCGTATCTTCATATATAGTATCATTACAACTCGGATCGGGCCCAACAACGATATTCGCAAGCTGGGAGACACTGTCATTCGTAACATAGAACGGCACAAAACCCGACAGCCGCATAGTGTTATTGTTGAAAAAGACGCTGCCAAAAGGTCCTAGAAATAATGAATACCAGGGCATTAATAGAAGTTAAATACCTTGAATTTGGTTGGAACGTAGCACCCCAGCAACTGCCTCTCCATCGTAGCTGGCATCTCCCGTCACTTCTGGGAGGGCATTCAATGCGTAGGCGTAGATTTGGACGGCTTCATACAATTGTAGATAGTAGAGTTGTTGCTCCTAAAATTTCGCGATAATTTTACTATGATTTCCGAGAATTTTTTGTTTTGAACTTGTTGGGTCTCGGTAGCACAAAATGCCTTTTCATCCGCCTTTCCCGGTTAAGGAGACCCACTAATTTATGAAATTGCGCTAGGATTTTGATAAATCGATCTCGGAAAAGTTGATATCAATCTTCTAGATGTTTAATTAAGCATACAGACAGCAATCATCATCATCTTGTAATAGCATTTCTCATAAGTCTTTTGTACCAAACCTCCCCCCATTTCCTGGGCACTAATTCGTTTCCTAATCCGGTGACTATTGTATTGGCCCAGTCTCTATAGATGATTCTCCATAAGAAGATGCTCCTTTGTTGTCCGCCCGAATCCTATGGATGGATGGGGCGGATAAACAGCTCAATCAGTAGGGTTACTAGGATACACCCACCACCCTCACACTCATTACATGCCCCCTTATTGCTCATCAATGGGGCCTAATTTCATCAAAAAAATGGGAAAGGTAGTAGGAAGGAAAACTTACCTCATTGGCTTTTGAAAGTTCTAGTTGCCCTATTGCTGTGGTGTACGAGGTTGGGAAGTCGTTGTATACCTCAAAAATACGTATTCTTAGTGATTAACTGAGCAATTCAATAGACTTATATATCAATACAAAGATTGACGTAGAAATCGCGTCAAATTTCCTTATCAAACCCACCAAAACAGAGTTCATAAATAACTTCCGCGTAGCAGCACTAGTACCCCAGGGTACGGTGGCGGTGTCGTAATTCTGGTAGTGCAACATGTATACGGCAATATATTCATCTGATGACAATTTTGCATCGGCCATCGCCTGCGCGAACAGGATGTTCAGCTCCGGATCAACCCCGAGAAACGTGATGAATACTGGAAAAATAATGCCTCCAAAAACTTTCCGTTACACACCTCTAGCCGTCTTTTTCATCAATACCATCATCTGCGCGAGCTCTGTTCGACTGATCGTTTTGTTCATCTCCCCCAAGTACAGCGTCCGCACGTTCAACTAACAACATTAAGTATTGAGCCAACACAAACTCACCTCTTCAAGCGTGTCCCTGATCGAATCGATGCGATAGTTGATAGAATCTTCGTAGCAATCCATACATATAAAAAGAGCAACCTATTCATCGTTAGAAAAATCAAAAATTGCCCTCACATCATCCCAGCCAAGAGCCGTGCAAATCGCCCTCAAATTGTAAGCAATGTTCAAAAACCCTCTTCGGCTCATCTCAATCAGAAATATTTAAAGAATACAAACTATAACACCTCAATGATTTCTGGTATATGGCGGGTCAAGCTGAAATCGGTCCAAAAACTGAATTGACTAATACCCCACTCATCGATGACCGGCTCGATCAAGCGCATGTCTTAAAATATATAATCATGGGCTTGGCCTGATCCTTACCTTCAAAGCATATCGGCCCGAAAACCGCCTTGATGTTGTGCTGGTAGTACTGATCACACACTTCCTTCGCACCTAGCCCAGCACTACTCCCTTGTGGACAACCGGAAGTTCCGGTAACAATCCCATCCGGTATTCTAAGAAAGCACTACACCACCAAAAGCTTAAACTTACGAAAATTGCACAAGAGATCCAGCATCTGAATTCGCAACGTCGATGGCCGCCTGGAGTATTCGTAGCGAGTCTGGGAATTTGTTTTGATCGGTGTGTAAACCGATCGGTATATCCAATTTGGCGCCACAGGTTGGCATAAATATTAGTATAGAAGTCAATAACGCCAATAGCCCATCTAAGCGCTTTCTTCTTCTTTTTGACAAATAGGGTCTAGAAATGGCGGACGGGTTTGAATATGGATTTGCATGGGGAGATGAGCAGTTAGTAGCTAGGAATTGGCGATCATCAGGTCCCGTATCATTTTGAGATAGGCCTGGGGCCAGAGAGCTAGGCCCTGGCCTGCTCAGGTCAGCTTCAGCCTCCAACGCTCCTCAATTGTCTGTCTATACCACAGAATCGACGACAAATAGCTGGAATTTGGAGCGATAGTGGATTGTAAAAGACGAAGGCCTGGGGGGTAGACGACCTTTCTCCTCGAATAGACGCGATAATCCGGGGTGTGGATACAGCCGTTGTCTTCTGGGGTTCTTCAAGGATGAGCACAATCAGATGCAGGGAAGGCGGGCGAAGAAGAGGAGGAAGGGCGGTAAGAAAGACGAAGAAGAAGAAAGGGGGATCGATCAGCGTTATGTATGTGTGTCTCAATCTGTGTGTCTGTCCCTACAGGGGCCCCGCAGTGCCTTTTCGTGTCTAATGAGCATCTGAGACCGGCCATTCAGGAGGTGGGCTCGGTGCTCATCTCCTCCCCAATTGTCTTCAGTTACCGAGGAAACCGCCCACCCGGGCTCAACTGCTCCAGGTTCCGTGGTTGGGGAGCATCAAAGGTAAAAAATGGCTGTTGTCAATTCCCCTGGGGTGCTGTGGAAATCAAGGAGAATGTAAAGTGACCGTTGCGGTGGTTGTTATTGCAAGTGGAGGTGTTGGAAGGTTGAGGAGGAAGGGAAGCGGAACTTCCAAAAAACGTCATTGTATAGAAAGATATAAATATGATCCTTTAGGTTATATTACATGTTGATCAGATTGACCACACCTTGTCACCGAGGTGTCTCATTTACCAAACTTCCAAATCTTCAAATTATTTCAAAATTTTCCAAGAAACCTCTTTCCAAGAATTTTTTACCCTTTCCCTCCATCGGGCGACACCTAGAATTACTGCCAAACCTTTCCCAATTGCCAATAAGCAACTATCTGTTGTTTTTGGCTAATTGTGGTCTGTGTCTAATAGCATCTTACGTTTCTCCAGCGTTAATAATCTTGCATTCTTGTTATTAGCGGGAGTAGATGAGTGCGCCCTGGGTTGATAAAGAATACCGTACGCATTAGCTGGGCTTTTGGGTGTGTTATCATTAATGCGTCAATTTTTCAAAAGGCCCCGGTACGTGCAGACTATATATCTCTTCTCTTTTGAAAAATTAACTCTTCTCGGTACGGTATCGCAAGAATTGTCGGGATTTTGCTGTGTTATCGTTAATGCGCGAAGAAAATGTCTTCTTTTTAAGGCCTTCCTTCTTTCGGCAAACTTCATATACCCAAACCAGACTCTTCTTTCCAGTTTCCTGAAATTGAAGGTGTAGATACCGTCCATGGTTGCAAGGAGGAGCTGTGCAAACTTATGGTGTCAACAGGTCAACTATGGTCCTCGTTGCGTTGGTACGCGTGTCTAGCCCCCCACCCAAGGGGGCGTGGACAACCTCTTCCATACCGTAGACAAATAGAATGAGATTTCGGAGTCGGTTTCCCGTCATTGTGGTAGCTGGAATCTCAGCACGACCGCTAGAACTGAATTTATGGGTCGCCGGGTGAGGCTTGTAATTCTCTTGTTATGCGTGATTGATGCTACACTTGCGGTTCCGGGAATATTTGGTAGGTGGAAATAGATTTTTCAGCTATATACCTATTTACAGAACATTTGATACATTCGAAAATATTTGAAGAAACCCTGACCCTGGGTGGGGTATGTCAAGCAGATTCTGATTGCGCGGGTATTTGTTATAATTATATCAATATTCATTTTTTATATTTTATTATTTTTATCAAGGTATATAAGCCATATGCAAATTTCCAGCCGTCCTCCACGCCGAATGCCGGGGCTCAATTTGTGAATGTGCCCCCGACCACTTTGCCCATCCACACCGAAATGATTTATGCCAATCAGGTTGTCAGACGCCTGTTTTAATAACCTAATTATAGCCGCTAAATTTGCGGAGTCTTGTTCCGCTACATTACCCTGTCAATTGCCATTTGAATGCTTGAGCGATATTTGCCAATGTCCCGAAGATTTTATCCATCATCTTGGGACCTGCATGAAACGTATGCATTCCGACGCGGCGTCTTATTTTTTAGGATGTCGAAAGGGGGAGATTGCTATTGCCGAGTGGAACTATAAATGCGTGAAATTACGGGGATTGGGAGAGGAGTGTGCTTACGATGAGCAGTGTCAGAATAAGTTCTCGGAATGTGCCGGGCAGAGGTGTACTTGTAGGATGGGGACTGTCAATGCCAACGATACGGTAGGATCTTTATCTCGAATTGTAAAAAGTCTTAATTTAGTGCATCGCGGCACCTCAATGTCCTTTTGGGCCAGCACCTATCCAAGACAATAGTGTCATCCACTGTAAAGTTCACTCGGATTCAAATTGCCCGACTGGCCATTATTGTCAGGCTTTTCATTATCATCGAGATCAAGGGTTTTGCTGCCCAATTACAGGTAATTCCAGGATTTTTGTCGTAGTTTTCCATTCCCAGAAGCCTATTGTCCAATCGGCGTTCCACATCCAAGTGCTGATTGTACAAATTGCCCTTATGAAACACATAGTTGTTACACCTTTTCGATAGGACTAAAACAACATTCACTATGTTGCCCTGCAGGTGGGTTTTTAGTAATATTATTCTGATCACTAAATTCATGGTATATATTACAGATTGCCATCGATCCTCACCAATTCGAGATACAAATCGTTGCTTACCAACAGTGCCTTTTGGAGGCGAATGTTTTACTGACCCCCAGGTATATTTTATACTTTAATCGAGGCGGAATAAGCGGTTGCTAGTTTAAGAATAAAAGTCATAACAAAATTAAAGTATCCTAAATTCAAAACCACCCTTTGCAGTGTCACTCGTTGATCCCGGGTGCGGTTTGTAGCGACGGTTTTTGCGCGTGCCCGGCTCAAATGATGGTGAAGGACGGGAAATGCCATCCATGTAAACCGCTCATGCTTTCAACACTCGACTTTAGTATCACCACTAAAGGGTGAATGCACGATCAACGAGGATTGTCGCGAGATGAGCCAGTTGAGATGTTCAAATGGGCATTGTGTATGTGCACCTGAACATGTTCCAGAGCCATTTGTTGACAATCCGATGCGCTGCATCCCTGGTAGGAGGTTATGCATTTTGCAATCTACTAAAACTTCAGCCGCAACCTGCCCGACAGCTAGCGGCCTTTTTAAAAAATTACCAATATTTGCGGAATGTAACGAAATCGTGAAATGCGCAGAGAACGAATATTGCCGGTATTGAATCATAGTGCACAGAGATTGGGTTTTAGTGAATGGTATCAAGAAGTAAATACGGGAAGAAATTATTCTTTATGTTGTCCGAAGCCCGGTAGGGATCTGCTGCTATTGCTAAATGATTTTTAGGGATCCATGAATACAATACCGTATGCGGAAGATTTGGTATGAGTCTGGTATTAACAAATTCTTTGGATGCGCAAGTAGCTCCACTATCGTGTGGTTTACATACTATTGAGGTAATATACGAGTTTATCCCTAATTAATTTTTAGGATAATATGGAATGCCCCGACGGCTCAGCCTGCGTTTTCAATCCGTTTTCAAAGGGCGACGGCATCTGCTGCCGGACATTAAATCGGAATTATTGAAAATAAAAAATAAAGCGATGAATATCATGTACTTCCGTACTTCCTAAAATACGGTATATTTCGATATCATTAAGCGGATAGAGAGACCCTGTCATCACCGGCACACACAGCGTCATTATCGAGAGCCCTCCGACAGCTTGTCCCCAACAATCCCACCAGCGCGTTTAATTCGCTTATAATTGAACGGGCGAGTGCCAAAAAATGGTCGCTGGCTCTCGTTGAACTGCCCGGGCTCCAGTGGAAAGTGTCCATTTGAGCTGTTGGATGGGTGGTAGTTTTCTAGATTATTGATTTTTAAATTTAATCGTTATTTTCTTAATTTCTTTAAAAAGTTTAGTGCCGTTGTTATGTACGAAACTTTATAGTTGTCGTACGTTTGGGTTTTGTTTTAATCAACGAGTTAGAAAATTGCTGTATTAACGAATTTATAAAAAATTGCTATAAATGCATCCGAAATAAGGTTACCAAAACTGAACTTTTTCTTATGTTAAATGTTCTGTGATTTATAACGCTTCGTTCTGAAAATTACAGCCCCATGAAAGTCATTATAACGATTCGTTTCTTAAAGGAATGCCCAACCTTTTCGGGGCTCAAAAAGCAAAAAAAAGATGCCGCGGGCGGGGTTCGCACCCGGGACCCTCGTTTTGTAGGCCAGGATGCTATCCATTAGGCCATACTGGCAAGCCATTGGGTAGGATGGGGACGCCACAAGAGGGAAAGGTGTCCGAATTCTGTGCGGCACTGGCGCCTCATTGCCACACAAAATTCCCGCGTCATTTGTACTATCCGGAATACATAACTATATATTTGCCACAAAAACCTTGGGTATCCCTTTAAGTTTACAGTTCCTCAATTATAACGCATAATGCAATTTTTTATTAAATTCCAGGGTCCCACTAGGAGCAGATGGTCTGGCGGGCTATACTGTTCGTCACGGCCTTCACGGTCTTGGCCAGCGATGGGTGGTTGGTGCCCAGAATCAAACGACAAACCGTCGTCTCGTCAAATGCCGAAACCAGCGGAAATGCCGACACTATTGAAACGGACGCAATGGCACAGCACTACAAAACTGCCGGTGGAAACTGGCTAATAATTAGTACTTTTATTTAAGACGGTACTGTCGGGATGAATGTATCATCAGCTGGTAACGCAACTGGCGCCAATTCGGCTTCTATCGATAATCAAGCTACTGGACAAGTCAGCGATACTCGTAAAGAATCCTTGTTTTACGTGAGATAACTTTTCTCTAGAACTCAACGCCACCGGAAATGTTGGGGCTACCGGAGCAAACTCCAGCTCCTACTCCGAGATCAACGCCGCGGTTTATGGAAATGATTCGTTGCTATCGAACAGTCAACAAGTATTCAAATCTTTTAAAGGTTTATGAATTTTTCAAGGGAAACGCCGTCGGAACTGGTGACACAGCCGTCCTGGCAAACGGTGGTGGCCAAATTACGCAGGGTGGAACTGGCAGTGTTCTTGGTGGCTCGCAAATTGGTACCGCTGGCGCAACCGGATCCGAGAATTCGTTGTCAGAAGTCATTTCGCAACAGGTAATCAGGATATTATTAATCAAAAATTTTTTATAGAATTTGACGTGGAATACGTTGCTAGCCCAACTGGTCGGAAATGCCGTTGCTCAGGGCCTTGGAAATGCGCAAGCGAATATTGATCTCGGTTCGGGAAATCAGGAGAATGGTTTGTTGTAATTCGATTCTAGCTAAGATCTTTCAGGAATCGAAGTCAATGGGCTTATTTCTGGTTGGAATGACAATGGCGGCGAGATCAATGCTGAGGTATAGGTATCAAAAAAATTTCGAGATGTTTTTAGACCCACGGAAATGCCACGTTGAACAACAACAACCACGACTTGAATGGACAAATGTCTGGGTCCGCTACTGGTGATGGACACAGCCACATCGTCGGAGCCACGAATCTGCAGAGCAATTCGTCTGGCGTTAATAATAGTAAAAATACTCTAGAGCAAGTGGTTATCGTTATTTCTAGCGATCAGCATGTTTGGCGATGCGGATGCTCAAACTGACCCTAACGGCCAATCGGCCATCGATCTAAACTCGGACTCACACATTAAAAATGGGGTACTACCTTAAAAATTACGTAATCATCCGGAACATTGAATCCTAGGAAGGTGGTGCCGGAAATGTCAACCTAAATGCCAGCGCAATCGGTGGTAACAAGGACATTGTCGGTCAAAATGGGGCCAAAGTCAACGACGCTAATGGAGGAACCTGTAGACCATTGGTTTTTTTTAAAATCTAAATATTAGTGGCCATCAACTATGGTTCCGTGAATGGAAATGGAACGGAGAATTCGAGCGGTTCGGTCGTGCTAAATACCAATTACACTGCTGACGGGGATGCCAAGGTATAGGTCGGATTACATAAACATCGGTTGTTTTGTAGCTCGAGTCGTTGGCTGACGGCAACTCGATCTCGACGAATAATCAAAACTCGTCGTTGAACGTCAACAATCAGGCCGATTTGAATAATACGAATGGAGTGGATAATCGTAAATTTTCATTAAAATATAGTACTACTAGACTTTCAACTTCATACTTTCCGGGATTGACTAGCGTTATACGGAAAATTCATTAAGCCGAAATCCGGGGCAGAAATTTTACCGAAATTGTTTATATCGAATTTCATTTCACCAAAATTTCAGTATTCCGAAATTGAATTTTTTGATATAATTTTCATTATATCGAAAAACTTTATTCGTTCTTCAAGCTTCTTTGAAAACCGGAAGTAGTTAACTTCCGGTTGATTTCGGCATAGTGAAGTTCAACGTTTCGGAGGGGCGGTGTAATGAATTTCGATGTAGTGTTTTCATTATTTCAAAATTTCAGCATAAAGACATGCAATGTATTGAAATTTTGCTGTACCGGGTTTTGGTGGACTGTATTTTTGCGCATGAATTTCCAGTATATTGTGAGAAGGTCCAGATTCCCAAATCCCAACCAATCCGTCCACATCCCTTTAATCCTTACAGACGGTCTGGCATCGGCTGGCGGCATCTCCAGCGGCGAGAACAGCAATCTGACGGGCAGCGGCCAGTTGGTGATTGATGGTTCGGGAACGGGCGGCTCTTCCAATATGGAGGCATTCGGCGGCGGGAACGGCAGCAGCGCCGCTGAGACAAATGCCGCATTGTCGTTGATTGATGGGGGAGTGCCAAGGAGTAAGTCAAAGGCAGGGAGGGGGTGAGGCGCGAGTAAAGCTTACGCTCATTTTTCAGGCTAAGGAGTTATGGGAAAGTTGGGGGAAGGGGAGGGTTTTGAAATGTGTTGGGCAGGCGTGCTGGTTCGCGGGTCACCGGAAATCTATAGCCTCCCGGGCAGGCGATAGGAAAAGCGTCCAAACTATCGTTTATAGGTGTTGCTCGAAAAAGATTAGAAACGGGAAGGAAGTCATTTTTTTAGATTATTTTTAGACCACCAAAAAAAATTCGAGTTCGTGGTAGAATTGACGGATTTTGCCAGGTTTAGTAAAAGAAAACGTTTTCGCCATTTTAAACTTCCTAAAACTACTCATAATGTTATTGCAACGCGCAGACCCATAACGAGAAGCTTCGTAAAAAAATTTCATGGCCAGAACTTTAAATACGCCCTGTATTTTATCCCTCCCCCTTATTTTATATGTACCCGAAATCTAGTGGTATTTTTTTAGATTCATCAGTCCAAGGTTCCGTGAGCGCAACTGGTGACAAAACATCCGTACACTCAATTTCTACCGTAACCGATCAAAATGGTAACTATTAGCTTCTACTCTCGATCACATTTTCCACCTCTTTGCAGGCGTCCAAACCCTCAACAACTACCAACACGCAACCTCCATCGCCAGCGGATCCTCCTCATCGAGCGCCTCCAACTACGCGGTGCTGCGAAAAAAACGCGCGGTCCGGCGCAAAACCGCCAGGCTCGGCCCGCTCTTCGACATGCTGTTCTGATCCACGAATTGTTTTTGCCCAACCACTGATTACGGAGTAAAAATGATGTCTGTTAATTGGAAAATAAACCCCGCAACAACGGTAGTGTGCTGAATAAACAATGTTTAGATTTTGCGTGCAATTTGGACGGGGCTACGGGTACTGTAAAAAGAGTTCCGCTAATCGCAAACGGTAGTCCCAAACTTCTGGGTGACCCTGACGATTTGCAAAGGGCGCTGCTCCTTTCTAATGTCACACCAAATGGCAATTTGTCCGTTTCACACCCCTAGACGGTTCTTTCAACCAAGGCCATTCCCGCGGGTAAGACAAACGGGCCCATTAGTGTCTGGATGGAGAAAGAAGGAAAAGAAGAGGAAGAAGAAGAAAGGGTGGATGGTAGGGAAGGCAATGACTAGGGAAATGGCGGTTGTCGCTGGGGTGGGATCATCGTTTTCAAGTGGTTGTCCGCGCGGGGATGGTTGTTGGGGTGGCCGGGTTTTTATGGCGTTGAGAGGATGCCTTCGCCTTACCGGCTTAACCAGATTCATGAGGGCTTCACCCCCATGTTTTATGTGTTTTTGCAGGGTTTCTTTATCCTGGAAACTAGACAGCTAGCACCGGGGTTAACTGTTATACAAGAATCTATTTAATCTATCTATTATTAATTTATGGCTGCATTTTTGTTTGTGCCGTATGTTGCTTCCTAGGCCCAATTGAGCGTTTTCCACTTTATGAAATGTTCTAATTTTCCGTTTCCCGAAGGAACCGAGCTTGTTTTCTCCAACGGCGTTTTCAGAATCTTAATGAAATGTGGATTGAAAAATTTAAAACCGGGCCAAATCGATTTTGGAGGCTCTGGGACGGTTCTTTTGCATAACGCAGTTAATTTCCGCTTCAGCGCCAGCAAATTTCTTCATCGGTTGAATAACGGAACGCGTAGTTGGTATGAGGCGCCTTCTACGATTTCTAAAACCTATTTATCTCATAAAGCCCTGCCCTTTAAACCAACGCGTAAGTCTCAAGTTCACTATTCCGTTTAGGAAAACAACGCCCACCCCGGCTCTACCCGGCACCATCTTTTTCAAGTGCCTGTCGGCATCCGGTGGTGCTAGTTGTCCATTGGGTGTGTCGATTGGCATAGAGGGTGTCCTTCTCTCTCTATAGCCTTTGGTCCACCTCTTCCCTTCCCTTCGAATGGTAAGGGACACGCCCTGCACCCCCTGCACCCTCTCACTCTCACCCACTATTCCTCTCTAGGCAAGCATCACTCTCCATCTATCCCCTTCTCTCTTGCTCCCTTGCCCCTCTGCACCCCGATTTGAATGAGTTGACAGTGTCCCCCTCGGACACTCTATGTTGCAACGGCGGGAATCTGGACGACTCAAACTGCCAGATGCCGACCTCAATTAAAAAAATTTTGCCCGGCGTTGACCGATTTTTGTGGCTTTGATGTAGACCGCTCAGCTGCTGAAAAATTGGATTTGTTCCTATTTTTGAGAGTTCAAGTGAATCCCTTTACCGATTTTTAAACCCTGCGCGTGCTTTTAAACTTGTTCTATTAATATATTCCTCCTCATTTTATGTTATTTATTATTTCTAAGCAAAAATCTGATGATCTTTATTTTGTAGCACCATAAAAAATAACGCGGCGATGAGCGAGGCATTCGTAATAGTTATTTTTTGATTCCAAGATAGAGTGGCTGATTGTTATAAGGTCCGAAAGCCTCCACTTTACGAATTTTCAGCCTTCACTTCCTTCCTAGTAATATATCACCCGTCATTTTATTAATGATTTTTAATCGACAAATCCTATTCCTTAGCAAAAAAAACGATTATTTTTAATATCTATACGCTTAAAAATGAAACGTGCTGATTGCTACATTATTTTAATTCATTCGAAGAAATTCCGAAACACTTTACACTCGTTCTATCCTTCAATCTCTATGCAAATCCATTTCTCCATCCAACACCCGAAACTCTTAAAGCTCCATCTCCCCCCACCAGCCACACATCCCAAACCATTTAGCCATTTACAGCCCCCTTCAATCTAATTCCAAATGTCGGCTCTCATCCAGCAGCTTCCATCCACAATATGTGTCGGATCTGGGCGAAAGCCGACATTGAGGCTAGCTACCCGTAGAGCCGAAAAGGTTCCACCATCTGGCGTGCCATTACTTGTGAAGGGCCCACCCGATCTATTTCGACCCTCTCACTTTTGCCCCTGTGTTCTTTTATGGGCCCCTCCGATTTTGGGGACATGTCAGGGATTCAACAGCCGCCCCCCCTGTTTTGCATTTGGGTGGTGATTTCCGGTTGGCCTTCTGGTCCGGGGATTTGGTATGCGAATGGATGGATTGGTGTCGATTTAGAGAGGTTTGGCAGAATTTTTAATGTTGTTGTACGGTTGTCAGGATTCGCTTTATTTAATACTATCGGGTTAGTTTAGGCTGCATTAATTTGTTATTATATATTATACCATTGTTTATCTCTTATAAAATTTTTATTGCTTATTTAAATAGCATAAACCAGGGCTACCATGTTTTTTGCACAACCTGCAGCATTTTCTTCAAGTTCCGCTCAATTTAACTATACAAATCTATTTCCTGGCGTTGTTTATCTCTATTTTTATACATTCAATACCATTATTTTACTGATACCTTAATAGGCGTCCATGTTTTATGCTTTCTTTGCATACTTTAAAATTAAGAACTTTTGTTTTAGATTCCCAAGCATTATTCCTTGTATAACCCACGTCATTTCCTCAATAACTCCATAAGATTTTTATATCGATACCCACCATAAATACACCATAAAAACCCTGCGGATCAAAGGCAGTAGCGCGCATTTTATCGCGATTGCCCAGCCACCAGAAGGCGGTGCAATTTTTTTGTGTGACCATTAAGGGGGCAGCGCGACCCGAGGGCACACCGCCACCCCGACGTCGGGCCATCAGATTAGGCTATTTCTGTTTGTTTATATGTGGGGTGTGGGGGGTAGGATCGAAGGGCGCCGACTGCTTTTGGGCACAGTGACCCGAATCACATTGCATCCATGCCCTAGGCATATACCATCGATCGATATTTGCCAGGGGTATGACCTTTTGGTCTCGGGATGGTACAGCTGATCGGGTGAAGGTGATCGAGAAATTAACGACACTTAGAATACAGCATTAAAAGGCACATAGCATTAAAGTTATCGATCGACCTGGACACTACTTATAAAATACCTTCAAATTGAGCTCCAAAATTGCGATAATTTGACTACCTTTCTATATATAAAACTACCTTATTAATCCAATTAGGGGTCACGCTTTCTGAACTAGAAATTATCTATCAAATCAAAAATTACCACACTCTTATCTAGGATTAACGAAATACCTCAAAAACCACGATACGTTACTTATTTTTTTAGCTAGCAAAATCCAGGGCTTTTTTTGACAGCTAACGAAAAGGCAATTGAAATTTTCGGAATGAGAATTCCAGAGATCCTCCAAATTCCTTATCAAACTCCCCATTAGTGTTTTCACATAACGTAGTCAATGCGATTAAGTGCCCGCGGCGAAATTTCCACGCGAAAATAAGCGCTGGCACATCTGCTTCCAACGTCCTAGCGCGACAATCCCATTAGCCAATCATTCTCAAGATATTCGGATAGCTGCTAAAACGCCAAAAATTCCTAACGTAAACGCTATGTTTACCTATATTCATGACGAGGAGACGGATGGTATGTGGCACACGAGATTAAAATTTGGGGAAAGCATGTGGTTTAAAAAGGTTTTCGATCTACAGAGATATGATTTCGATATGATAAATTTGCCCCCGCTAGACCCCGTAGCTTAGCGTATCGAATCGGAATTTTGTTATGTCGTTTGGAAGCCGTTTCTTTTGGCTTTCACAGCCGGCTAGTTTTGACGTTTTCCTGGGAAAATGGTTTTTTGACAGGTACAAAAAAGCACTGTTCCATAAGTAGTTTAAACAACTCAAAAACCTCTTTTTGTCATATAGCACGACGGGTTTGAAAACGAATGGAATTTACTTCGATCGGATACTGCTACGGGGTACTAGATTTTGCGGGTTTTTTTTGGTTTGCTGTAGGTAGCATGGCATTTAATTTGAATATTCATTTCCGGTTCAAACACAACAAACATTTAGGTAGGAAACATAACCATTAACACCTAAATAACAGGTGACAAATTCGTGGACTACTAAAACATACTAACCATACTAAAAATCATCAGCCAGGTGGGGTGCGATCAACATACAGTCGAGGCCGTATTCTAAAATGACCGTACCAGATCACAAAAGAATATACAACTTTTGATCGGAATGTATCATGTTTGCATGTGCGCAAATTGATTCCCGCAATTCTCGCTGTAAGAATACTGTAGCTCGGTTGAAAAGTAAAGATCAACTCCCCCTCTCCCAATAGTTCTCTACAGGTCATTTACTACGCCTCGTAAGACGTGACTTATCGAATCACCCTCCGCCTCCTTCCCATGCATCGACTCGTAAATTATCAGTTCATCAGCCTTTTTGGTGGTAGCAAGAAACAGCTAATTGTTCCGTGATGTCCCGGGTAGTTTTCCCTTTTCTACCCCTCCACCCCCTCACCACACACAGCCTCCCCCTGTCGACTATCACTTCCCATTAAGCCCGATGATTTGTAATGGAAATGTTTCGTTGTTCCGGTCTGTGTATCGGGAGGGCCTCTTTCTTGGCTTCAGTTTTTTGCGCGCCGGGGGGTGACAGTTTGATGAGAAAAGGAGTTTAGAAGGGATGTCGGCCGCAGCGATGCGCCACTACCTGGACGACGACAGTTCCGACTCGAAAAGTGATAGCGAGTTTCTTGAGTCTATTCCTGAGTCGCCGCCGATGGCACGGCTGAAGAGTTTGCAGCATCAGAAGAGGTGTGTCATTCGCACGTCATTCTAAAGCTATGGCGGGGCGTCTGTATTTTGTATTGTTACGTGGCGTTTTCGTGGATTAATGAAAACATAGGAATGTAGGAAAGATTGGGTTCTAACATTAATCTTAGTTTTGCAATCTTATGAATTTCATACTGTTGGTTAATAATAGCATGAAAATAAAACATTAATCCCCTTTAATGCCACGCTAAGTCGCTTTTTTCGTTAAGTAGAAATTTTTGTAGGTAAGACTCCAGATACCCCCCCCCAGCCGGCACCCAACTTTTGTATCTCGGCTCCCTGTTAATCTACAGGTGTGTAAAGTATACCAAAATGTTCGTCTTGCTTTGGCGAGTATTTTGGTATACTTTACACAACTGTAGATGAACAGGGAGCCGAGATACGGTAGGTGGAGGTCGGCTGGGGGGGGGGGGTTATCTGGAGTTTAGCCATTTTGTATCATCAGCATATCCGAAAAAGTTAAATTATTTTTCATTTTTGTAACTTTTAAAAATATAATACTGTAAAAATTAGCTTAGGAAAATAAGAACTTAAACTTCAGCTTTAAACACTAGGCAAAGTTTAATCCATTATCATCTATAACATTTTATTTAAGGTATACCAAAGAATGCCTGGAAGATGACCTCCTATCCAGCAGTGATGATGACAGTAGCCTCTATGAAAAAGAAAACCGGGTCCCGAATAGACGATCGATCTATCAAAAAGCAGCTTCGTAAGTTTCTATCCCCGAAAAACAACTCCCCGTCCTTTGATAGAAAATTCAAACCGCTCCACAGCGGCTATGATTATGCAACAAGTCATAGCGGCTCGTCGATTCACAATGACATGGACTATTCGTCGTCGATCACGGGTTCTCTCGGAGATATGACGGGAGAGACGACGGCGACTTCACAGGTAAGAATCTAGATCTTGAAAATAAATTGCAATTTAGGATACTTGTTCGTTGCCTGATACAGACAGCATGTCGGATCAGTATGCACCGATTCAACGGAAGAAGCCGGTGCCCAGCAAGATTTCCCCACCGCTTGAGAATTACGTTTACGGTCCGAGGTTGAGTAGTATTGAGGTGAGTCTAAAACATAAAACAGAATTTTTAGAAAATTGCTTAAAATTTGAAAAAAAATGTCGTACTTATTTTTTTGTATTCAAAAAAAGATATCTCAAAAATTGTGCAAATTAACCAACTAGTACGATTTCAAGTCTATCCATTTCTAGGAACTCCCATCACCAATTCACCCAACCGGTAATGGAGACCTCTCACCACTTGTGACCCAGGGAAATTACGGCTACTCCACCCGACCCTCCACCTTCAACCCGCCACACACATCAACTACCACCCATCTACCACCCATGATGCCACCCCCGCTACCCCCGAAACCCATGGGAATGTATGGCCATCAGACGCACCCAAAGGTAATCTATCTATTTAGCTTTCAAATTATGCTAATTTTAGACAAACCCAAACTACCCACCTCGAAATCAAGTCCTCTCCTCGACCCCGCGGCAGGCGAGAACCAGAAGAATCCCGAAGATCAAGAAATATGATGACATTCTAGCCCAGTCGACTTCAATCCCGATTGATCCGGTAGGCGAGGAGATGCCTGGTTTTTATATATTTTTTAAGCTACCCCACGGAATGGCCCTGCCGCCACCACCGAGGGAAAGAGAATATACACCCATGGATTTTGGATGCCCATCGAATGCCCTTGCTCGTAAATGTAAAATCAATGGTAATTTGCATATCACAAAAATTGTGATCAATTTAGGTATCCTATTCCTGAGCATGACGATGAGTGAGAGGCACCTACGGGTTAGGATTCAACGCAGTCATTTCTTTTTTGACCCTCCGCCCTTCCTTGCATCGTTTGTTCGAGTAAGCTTCAGAGAATTTTTTGCTGTAATAGATGATTTATAATTTTAAAACCTATATAATTGAATTTTCGCAGCTCGAACTGGTGCCCGCCGGGGATCACGGCCGAAAAAGATCCGTCCACCAACGCCACATCAACTTGAGCGAACGAACCCACCGTATTCGTCGGACCCGGAATCCAATTTTCGATGAAAAATTCACATTGTAAGTTCGAACTTAGTACTGAACTTCATTTAATTTTAGCGATATTGCTTCTGTATTTTACAAGAGCCTGCAAATTTCCGTGTACACTTTGAATCCGGACCGGAGACAGTAAGCCTTATCTTTGGAATTGAGTTATTTTGCTTTAGCCAAGATTTCTATGGCGGTATGACGTTTTCGATTAAAAAGTTGGAAATTGAAGCTGCGCGAAGGGTAAGATTATTTTCAAAAATTACCTATTTTATTATTACAGAACGGTGGGAAGCTGCCAAGCCGACAGCAGAAAATCGATGTAAGATCTTTGTAGAAAACTATAAAACATCGTTTTAGATCATAAGCGACGGCTATTTCCTAATGACAGAAGAAGGGGCTTCCAAAAATCTGGCATGTGCTAAGGTAGGAAAAAGTATTCAAATTTTAACCTCATTTTTAGATCAAACACCACAAGGAATACGATGCCCGCCAGATTGATGGGGTCGGATACCACGGCCAAGATGTGAGTAATTTTCCCATTATTTTCACAATTAAACAACCTAAATCTGCTCCCTGAAATTAAAGCTGGCCACACACATAGAACGCCCGGCCATCGGCATCCCTTGGGAACAAAAATAGGCAATATTTCTTTTCCGGCTGTTTGTTGTTGGGCGGGGAACGGAGCCAGGGCAGGGGAGGTCCAGGAATTTGCCTATTCTCCTGGCTATTCCCAAGCTGGGGCGGCAAGCGTCAAATGTATCGGCAGAGATTCTTGTTTTTTTGCAGCCTGGGGCGCCCATTAATCAAAACAGCCATGGTTGTGAAGTCACAACCACATATTCTTTGCGGTGCCCAAGCGATGGCGCTTGAGCTGTTTCGGGGCTTGTAAAACATTATTTGTTTGTCCTTAGGAATGCCAGATAATTTTTAAGGGTAATTTATTAGCCAGATGTGGCGATGCGGCGTTTCAAGACCAGTATGTTTTCTCGCAAAAAAAATGAAAAGAGAAATCACCGTTTTGTTGACGGTTTTTCCCTCTCTTGTCAGAAGGTCTGGATGCGTTTATCGTTACGTCATAAGAACCATTTTTTTCATTATCACTCTGCGCTTAAAAAAAGATTAGGCTCTAAAAGCTAATTCCTCATATTTGTATTCAGAGCGGTCAGGAAATCTTGCGGAAAGCTTTTTGAGTTCCATAAATCATGAACAACTGGTCGGTTTTTCAACAACTGTAACTCAATAGATTCTTCCCCTTCTTCTTTTATACCCAAAAACAGCTAGGACCCCAAGAATCAAATCCTTAGAAGCAAACGTCATACTCATTCGTGGCCGTGGAATGAGCCCCGCCAAGGGCCAGGAGCTCATTCTCTCATGAAAGTTTGCCTAGAGGGGGACCCGCCGGGTGCACGAGTCAAGGGATTGAGGATTGCGGATAGGAGGATAGGCCCTCCTGGGCCCTCGCCGGGTGTTGCCAGTTGAGCGATCAGTTGTTCTTTGTTCGCTGCGAGACCTGGCTGGGGGGAGGGGGGACCGGTTGACTTCACTGGCTGGCATCTCGGGCTCCTCTCCTTGGGCTCCCGGACCGGCTGGAGCATGTTCGGCCCCTGTAGCACCCATCAATCTTAGCCGGTCAACCCGACCCAGGGGCAGTGGCACATATTCGCGAAAGCGGTTGGCTTCTCTCTCATGGACCCTTCAGCTGTTATCTTTTGAGGGCCCACCAAAAGCGCCGCTTTACCCTCGTTTGTGACTTTCGTGAGGTTTGCACCCGGTTCGAGTAGTTTTTTTGTAGGCCGAAAATTTGTAACTAGACTTTTGGGAAGCACTAATCGAAAAGACCTTCTGATATTTTTTGTTCTTTTAATCTTAATATTTAATGTTTAATGTTTCAGTATTATTTAATATTTAATTAATTTGTGCTAACTCATCATTGAAATCTTTGCGATTTAGCATAGCACCAGGCCCATTCCCTTGCGAGACAGAACGGTTAAGGTTTTAGCCGGGGAAAATTCGGATCTATGTATTGAGATTTCGCACGAATATAAACATCGCTTTTTACTTATATTCTGTTCGTTCTTTTAAATTTAATTTAGTAGTAATTTTGAACTTTTAAATTTAGTCAAGTTTTAATTTCCTTGAAGTTTTTTCAATAGTTTTGCTCTCATTTTCCACATTTCCATTCAGACTTGTCCGATTTAGCGCAACCCAAAACTACATCATCTTCTCGAACCTCAACAACACCTTCCTTATTTGATGCTTGCTACAGATACCCATAAAAATGGGGTCAGTTTCTCAGCAATTTATCATAAAAAAAAAGTATTTTTCTGGAATAATGCACCCTGGTAAACCCTCCCCTCACGCACTCATCCAATTTTCGGTCCACTGGATTAAGCAGAGGAGGATCGTATTTTTTTGGCCTCGAATGTGGTCGGGGATTATTTTCAAAATGTCTCCAGTTGCGTCGCCCCCATTTACATCCTGAAAACATTGTGACTAATACCGGAAATGTTTCAATGTTGCTGTTTTCTATTCATGGCGTTGCTTTTTTTTGGCGCGACAGGGGGAGGGGATGGTCTTTTTATTGGTGAGGGGAATGTTATTGGCTAGATTTTCAGTTTTATTAATTTAAGCTAGTTTTTTAAATGTCATTAGACTGAGAGATAGGCACTTTCATATGCAAACTAGGTTTTAAGTAGATGAACGATAAAAACCAAATTTCAACTTTTCCCTAACAATTGCAACGTAGGTCTCCTCTTATCTAACCCGTCGGTCAACCCTAAATTGCAACTTACTCCCAGAAATGACCCAAGCCTCACAAAAAAACAACAAGCGAGCCGGCCGGCATGGCAAAAGCTCTGTGGGCCCCCACCCTGGAGTTTACAGCCAGCCCCCCGGCCAAGAGAAAAGAGCCCAAAAGGCGTCACATATCGGCCTTAGGTGACGCGAAGTGTGTCCTGCTGGCGGCGAGACCGGCTTCACCCCCCCTCTGGCCCCCAAAAAATTCTCAACAATCCCAAAAATTTCACCAACCCGTGCTTCACGCGTTACAAAAAATTCCCCCGGCGGCCGCACAGACTTCTCCTGTCTTTTAGTGGCTTTTCGCAAATATTGTTTGGGCCCTCTCGGGGGACCGTTGGGCCCTCTACTGTTCGTTCCCTCCCCCCCTTCCTTCCGACACCTTTGCGTGCCGTGCCCTCCCTCTCCCCATTCCGATTCACACCCTTTCCAACAGGCCGGCCAATCTGCAGCCTCACTGACCCTTCACCCCCCTGTCCCAGGATAGATCAACGATTTTGTTGACCCATTGGGGCCCCCCTATTCAATCACTTCACTGGATCAACCGGGCTTAAATATAGCCGCGGCCGCCGCAGGTGATTCACTGATTTTGACGGGATGGTAAAATTGGTGATTGAGCTAACAAGAGAATTAGTAGCATATTTTCCATAACTTCTTTTTTAGCCATAAATTTTCTGAAAAACCCATAAAAGTTTTAGATTCTATGATCAATACGGATCTATAGCTTTGGCTAATTGTGATGAAAAATAGAAAACATATTAAAATCAACAAACGAAAATCCCGATTTTATGTTTCAGCCCAAAACCCATTTTGCAAAAAAAAACTGATTGTGTTATTCTGATGAATAGGCTTCCCCATCAGAGGCCAAAAACCACGCAATATTGGTGAATACTAGGATTTAGCTGTTTCGAATCGATGACGATATGGATTAAAGCTCAGCCTAGAAATTTCTTTAAACTCAAGTTAAAGAAATCAAAAAGTATAATTTAGCTACAATTAAAAACCTAATAAAATCTCCTGAATTACCTGTTTTTTTCAGCTGATGCTGCCGGATGACCGGATGGCCTCGGTCGGCGAATCATCATCGTCATGGGCGCGAAGTTACGGTAGCGGCCCCAGCGGCTTCTCCTCCCCTTATGAGCGGCATAAGTCAAAGTCTGCGTCTTCAATCAATGGCGGTCTGGACAGCATGTTGACATTTGACTACACCACCGCCTCGAGCAGTAAGATTATCTTTGAGTTTTTTGAAGAAATTGTTTTTTTAGGTTCCGGCATTTCCGGGTCACAGATGTGCGGACGGTTTCCGACGGGTCCTTCGGTGCCTACGTTTAAGATTAGTAAGTATTAGCAATTTCTACGAGCCTGAAAATACGAAATAGTTTGTTTTGCGGGAAATTAGAGATATTTTTATGGTATTACAATTTCCTAGTTCGTAAGTTATCGGTGCTGTGCAGTAATTTCCAACTTCAACGATAATGACAAATGCCAAACCTTTTGATAATGACGAATACCTATCTCAGAAACCCAACTCTACCAACCCCATTTCAGCCCTATACCATGTCTCATCTCCCTCGCATTAGCGTCAGCACCCACGCTTCAATTACCCTTAAAATAGATGACTTGCCGCCAAATGTGGCGCGCCTTTGTCTTCACCCCCAAGCCCAGCCCCGGGACCGAGGTTACTAATTGAAACAACGGTGTAAATGTGGTGGAATGGGAGGTGCTGCTGACGATCATCGTAGAAGAAGACGGAGGGGGATTGACTTCCCGGTGCGTGTGGTGGGGGCTTTACTTGATAATCATGGGCCGCCGAGGGGGCCTCCCATTCGACCCGTTCAACCCACTCATTCAATGCCATCTATCCATACCTACAAGACCAGGGCAGGGCCTATCGTCTGAATCCTCCTTTTTCATCTATATTTACTATATTCAAGCGACAACACTAAAACACATCCGCCATTCAACGCATTTACCTGTCTGGCTTTCACTGATTTGCTCAACCGACGGCCGCTGCTGGGCACTAAAATTTTATAGCTTAAAAAATTTCGACCGTCCACACCCTGCCGCCTCGTTCGTCAATTCGGTATCCTCTAGCGGGGCCTCGTGCCCAATTAACAATGTGGTGCTTCCGGCGTAAATGCCATATTCCACGGTCAATCACGCATAATGGGATATATGTTGGTGAGTTGGTAGGAAGGGACAGTATCCAGTGAGGGGGGTACAACGTGATACCTAAGCAATACCAATTTTTAGTTGCCGTTGTAATACCGTAACCTTTAGTAAACGACTGGTAGGCTACCATAAGCAAAACCACATGAAGCACTTTCGATTCGTAGCTTTTTAAGGTTATCAACTATTTTTTTTCAATTTTGGACCCAAATTCTTTAATCGCGTAACGTCATCCCCCCACTTCATTAATACCATTATAACCCCATCACCTCTCACCCAACTTTCTTTTCACACACCACCAAAAATGAAAAAAAAACGCGGAGGCGTAACCATCCCATTTCCAAACTACCTCCCACCGACTCCTGCCCTGACATTTCCACCCCCCCCGGAGTTAATGCGGACCCGGTTGCCGGCTCTTCGACGTCTTCAATTTTATTTCGGCTGATGCTCCCCTCCTCCTCCTTCTCCTCCTTGTCCGGCCCGGTTAATTAAGGAACGAACAGACACTAGGGAATTGTCCTTGTTAGCTGTCTGCAGCTAGCCCGGATCAAACTCGTCGACCTTCTCAAAAACAAGCCTCTCGAAGTTTTCCGCCAGATGGATCTGCCAATGCTGCTTCAGCTGTCCTACTCCCTGCTACCGGCTGAACTGGGGTTGAATTTTTTGGTGGTGTTTGGGGGTGTCGCGTGTCCGTTTTAGCACAACCCACTCTTACATATTAGGTCTTATCAAAATTGATCCGACAAGGCCGGAAAGGTGCTAAACCGTGTGCCGGTCGGGTCGGACAAAAGCCGCTTCACGCGTACCCCCCATTCATCATTTTTTGAGAGGAGGGTCTAATCATTCGGGGGAGGCCCAATTTATGGCCGGCGCCCAGACGCTGCTTGTTTGAATTTTATTGGCTTCACGGGGGGCGTGATTTTAGAGGCGGTTCACAGGACCTTTGATCTTACCATTAATTAATTCAATTTCATCGTTTGATTAGCATAGAGATGTTTTAATTTGCTCTAGCGATCCACCCTCGTGGCATCATTTCAGTTTCAGTTTGTTCAATTGGCGGATGGAACAGTATTTTTCTAGTTTCAGCTTCATAAAGGTTTTTTGATGGAAACAGCTAGTATTTACTTGGCTAGACAAACTATTACGCGCCCCACTGCTTCACGCAAAAACAATTCCGCCTTTTCTCCCAGCTTTTACGTCAATGACGGACCCCTTACTTACTTTTATTCGAATTCTTCTTATTGCTAAAACTCCCTTCTGAATCCTGTTTATTAAAGGATGCACCCCGATGACCTCAAGGATCCCCTGGAAGAATTGAAACTTGGCGACTCGCCAGTCCTCCGGAAAGCCCTTTTCAGGCGCCGTTCAAGGAAACACCGCTCTTTATCATTTGTTAGCGAGGAGGCGACGACTAGTAAGCTATGGGGGGGGGGCTACAACTAGATTATAAAAAAAACTGAAATCTATTTATTCTGCAATACGCTCCATTTTCCAGGCTCCCACATCAGCGAATCCGACACGACGGACCCGGATGGGCAGCCGACCTGCGCGAAGGTCAGCCATGACCATCTGCAAGCTCAACGAGACGACGTGCCACCACCCAGGGAAAATAAGGTATGCAACGATAAATTGGTCTAATTGATTATTTTTAGGGCGGCTTGAATTCGGCGATTCGGAGAGCACAATCATTTACGTTTTCACCGAAAGGATCTGTACCAAAAGAGCCTCCGCGGGCAGCTGGTTCGAAAGAGGAGACAAAACGGCGGTTACTGTAGGTTTTTTGGTGTCTGGTATTCTCGTGGAACTTCTCCAGCCCCTAAAACTCGAAAAGAAACGCTATTCAATTTTGGGGTAGGTACAGTACCCCCTCTGCACAAGCCGAATCTTTGACTATAGCTACCCTCTTGATCTATGCTACCTTTTCCCCGACCCCAAAATAGTCCTTTACATCACAAATTCTCCTGCCCTCACAATTACCATTAACGCCGTTGAAAAGACGGCGCCGAGTTCCTCAATTTGGTAAATTGCCACTCGAGCTAGTAAACGCACATCCCATATTCGAGCGATGCACAGCACCCACCACACCACCCCCCCATTTCTAGCCACCCCCGTTCTGGCATTATCGCTCGATCAGAATGCGCCAAAAATGGCCATTAGTCGTCGGGCGGAATGGAAGAAGAGGCAGGGATGGAAGGTTGCTCCCAGTGGGGCCACTGGCCCCAGCCAAGCCCCCCTTTGGACTGGGCAGACGTTTTTCCGGGCATCGTCGGCTGCCCCTAGAGACCAGCAATTCTCACATGCTCACATACACACATCCACCCACATTGTGCTTGTGGTTGCAAAACCGAGTGTGTGAACAGCGGCTTGAGAAGCTGTGTAAATGTGGCTTGAAACGGGTATACGATATCTCGTAATTTCGGGTGGGGGGAAGGAAATTTAGCTTCCGAATACCCTCAGGGCTACGGTAACGAAATATGAGGGTCTTGCAGGATTTGAGTAATCGTTTTGTCTAGGGGCAATTCATTTTTGGCGGCTAGACATGGGGAATTGAATAGCGTTAGGATAGATGCAAGGAACTAATAGGGGTGATTGAAAGCACTTCTGCTAGACAAGGCATAGCCCCCTATTAGTGCCTGAAATCCAGACTCAATCCCCCTTCGCCATATATAACCGAACCTTGATCCCCTGATGCCCCGAAAAAAAATCCCCTGCCGAAGTGGGTGACTAATGGCCCGGCCAAGAGGTAACCTGCGCAATATGCGTTCCGGTGCCCGCTCTCAGGTGTGTCTCAGCGTGTGTATGTGTGTATATGCCTTGCGGCCTGGTTTTGGAGGCCACTGGTCCGTATGCTTCTTTTGGCTCTCTCTCCGAGCACGGCCCTTCCCGTCCATTCTTCCGCGCGGCTGCCCATGCAGCTCTCTTCTTCGTTCTGTATGGTCCTCCTCCTCCTTGGGGGGACACCGTTTTGTGTCCATTCCACATGCAAACACACATACACCACCCCCATCAAAGGGGAGGAGGGGCGAGGGAAGGGGGAAACGAGGAGATGAAGACAAAGATGTGGAGGTAGAAGAGGTGGTGGAGGATGAGGAGGAGGAGGACCTGCTCGAGGGCGGGCCTCCAACATCTCGTAGTCCCATAGCTGGAGGAACGGCATAATCCAGGAGGAGCCGGGCTCGGGGAGGGGATTCGGACCTTTCCACCCCCCTTAGACTGGCCGTCCGCCCACCCAATCCCACTAACCAATTCGCGCCTCCTAATAGGGCCCAGCTTGGCCTCCCAGGGCACACCTCCAGCTCCCGGCCAGCCAGTTGAAGAGCAAGCGCAACAGCATCTTGACTTCTGCTCCCCCGGAGGAGTTTTCCGGGATACTCCACCAGTCTGCAGCCATTGGGCTTCTAACAGCAAATTCTATGAATGTGCGCAGAAAAATTTCTGTGCCGTTGCCGCCGAATCCACATCGGAGGGTTGTGCCAAAATGGGCGTCGGTTAAGGAGGCGGAATCGGTGCCAGAGTGAGTTTTTACATATTTTAAACTACCTTCAAAACGATGAACATATCGCTCGCAGGGGATTCTAGAATTGGTTTTACTTTGAGCTGCAGCTTGATGTTAAGGGGGGAGCATCAGGTACTAGGGATAATAAAAACTATAACGACGAAAATTAACATGGAAGTCCAGCTTCACAATATTCTAACTTTGAACCCCAGTTTCTATTTTCAAATGGGGGCATACAAACTATTTTAAAGTGCTATATAAGCTCCAATTTCAGCTTCACACTGATCTTTGCCTACTTCAATTATTACCCTACCACCCAATTCACTTCCAAACCTCATGACGCTAATCCATTCACACCCAAAAAAACCTTCTTCCTCCCCCGACCTTAAATTCACCCTCCACATATAGGCCGCGGGTTACGCAAAAAACTCGGTGAAGAGCTCATCACCCCGGCATAATTTGCTCCTTCCCCCTCCCCTTCGCCTTGTCCGCTTTTTCATGCGTCGCTTTTTGAATGTCTGCTCCTCGGCCCATGATCCTTATTTGAATTTCCGAGAAGCCAAGAGCGGCGACTGGCCGCCAGCAATTATGGGATTCAATTCCGCAGGCTTTTTCCTTGGCACATGCCACCCGGAGGAGAGGTCTTTTGTTTTTTACGTGGATGAAAGTTGAGCCCTCTGATAGTGTGTAGAGGGGGGCTGAAGGGGTGTAGAGCCAATTAGGGTCAGTTTTTCGGTTGCATATGCGGCGAGGAATTGTGTATGGGGGTCATTACGCTACGGGGAGGGGGGAAGGGATTGGGTAAATTCAGGGGGAGGAAGTTTTTGAGAGCACACTAAAGGCTTGGGAAGAAAGGAATTATGTTGATCACTCAAAACAACCTAGGAAAACGCAGAAAGCATGAGTAACATAGCAAAATAAACTATTTTCCATGCTAGACCCGGTTTTGTGGTACAGTCTTTCACGAAGCTATCCATGAGGATTTCGATATTTTACAATTTTTAAGGCAAAAAATATGCAACTATGGTTTTACCTCGCATAATACATACAAACAACTATTCGAGACAAGATGGTCAGGTTTTCCGTTACAGGATCTCGGTCCAAACCCCAAACACCATCTCTTTATGCGCCCGGAAATATGTAGCTCCCCGGAATCCGCACATTTCCCTAATTCCGTCTGACGATTAACGCAAATTGACGGTGACAGGGCATTAGGTATGGGGAAGTGCGGGCCCTAAGTGGTCGAAACGACTGCGGGGGCCCCCTGGGCCATTGTCTGTCACATGGCGATGCAGCTGAGTCGCTACCTATCCTCCACCAGTCTGTCGCTCGCCTTCAGCCCGGACCTGTCGCTTGCACCCAAGTTCTTTACCGAGTGAGTTAGATCGACCCCGAGTACTTCCACCTGAAAACAACAATCACGTTCGATCAAATTCTGACCAGAATGAAACACCGCAGCGCCCAAACTCATTTTTTTGGCCTGTCTGAGCCGGTCACAAGTTACGATAGAGCCACCGTCATACAGCCGTTCGTATGTTGCCCCCGTTTTACGATTCTAAGCACCCCCACGTGTGCCCCGGATATAAATTCTCAGCCCTACAAACCAATAGGCCAACTCGGCAGCCAACCATCCACCCCTTCCCCGAAATGGGCTGGAATTCAAAATACTCTAGATACCGCTGGTGAGTTCATGGCCCATCAGTCTAGAGCTTCTGCTTTGCAACTAATAACGGCCAATAACAGCATACATCCGGTCCTGTTTACCCCCATTCCCTGAGGGTCAGAATTGTTATCAACTGTACGATGTGGTTCCGAACTTTGAAGAGAGCGCCTCTACTGCCATAAAATTGATTTCAGACGGCGGCTAGGTTTATTGCTGGCTTGGGGAGGGTCGATAGGCAGGGCTGGAAAAGGGGTTTGTCCAAGTGATAGCTGGCGATTTTGGTCGGGGGAACAGTTCGGTAGCACACTCCGTCATTCATTCCCCCCAGAAGGTGCACAGCCGCAAAAATGACCCCATCTGCTCGCCCGATTCATATTCTTGGACGTGCACCTGTGAAGCACTCGGATCATCATGGTCGTGATCGATCCGATAGTTGCCAGGGATGCCGCCATGGCCATCTACCACATCTTGCTGGTTGTGCCCTAGAAGCACTCTGTGAATCCCTACCCACTTCTATTCCTGTATTTGAAGATGTTGTCCAAAAAGTTCGCAAAACTTCGATGCAATCTTGTGGATTGGGTCGTAGCAGTTCTTTTGCCGCTTCCCGCTCCCATGTCAAAGACAGCGAACCCTCCACAACACGTACCGGGTCTCATCATCACTTAGAAATCTGGGCTGGAGAGGGAACTAACCACGAGATACCTCATAAACATCATCATAGGTTGATGCAAATCAATAAAATTAAATAATTCCTCATTTTCAGCGGCCCAATCCAGAAGACTGTCTCGTATATCCGGAACAAGTTTGACAGCGGAATGGCAGCCAACCAGGCGATCCCCACGTTAGAAGAATTGAGAGAATGGGAGACGAATTTCGAAGCACTCATCACTAGCAAATGTACGTTTCCGCAACGAGATTCCACGGATTTTTGTCACACGCGTTCTTTGGCACACATCAGTTATCTCCCCATTTTAGTTGGTGTCACACTATTCCGGGAATACCTCAAGAAAGAGCTCAGCTCTGAAAATATCGACTTTTGGTGCGAGTGCGAGGAGTACAAAAAGATGAAACACGGCAAGAAGGATACGACAAAGAAATGTACAGAAATCTTCAACACCTTTTTGCGGAACCTTGCTTGTCGAGAGGTAGTGCTTTAACAGAAAGGCTAATATTTTTGTTTAGGTGAACCTCGACTCTTCCACGAAACAAGCAACAAAAGCCGCGTTTGAAAATGGGTGCCCGTTGGATACCTTCGACTTGGCTCAATCACGGATTTATCAGTTGATGGAGAAGGACTCCTACAGAAGGTTGGTACATTTTCGATCAATTTCCCTCGGGTTCGTTGGCCATTCGCATATACAAAAACGGTGGTTTGTTTGCCCTTCCGCCCTTTCCGGTGACGTCGCGGTCTGATAAACGAATAAGATTGTGGTGACCGGCTTATCGGGGCAAGCCTCCGGATGGGGTCGAGTGAAGCCTTAGTGATGGTCGGGGGCCCCTAAAAGCTCATGAATTATTGGGACTGGAGAACGGCTTGTGACTGGCCCAGCAATAAAAAATGTTTGGCTTTCGAGGAATGGGGAAAATGTGGTGATTGTGCTTTGCACGAAAAGTGAATTTTGATCAGGGGATCACAGGAGGGCGTTGCGCGGTTTTTATAATAGTTCCAATTACTTTTTCGGGTACATTTCCCAAAGATAAAGCTAGCCAACATAAGCAGGAATAATTTCCCTCAAAAATAGTAGACCAGCACGCGAGCCCCAGCTTCTTTAGTTCCAAAAACTAGAGGATTTCCCTAGCGTGTCCCGCAAACATCCATTATCATCCCGCTAAACTTACATTTCCAGGTTTCTAAAAGACGTCATGTTCACCGAGTTGGTGGAGTTGGCGAAAGCCAAGGCCGCTGAAGCAGCCACCACCGCCAGCGCCGACAGCGCCGAAAAATAAAACTTCATTCAACGATTGGCGCACGTTGATTGTTGTCCGCGCAGTGTCCAGGGGCAACAGCCAGAAAACAGAAGAAACTGTGTTCCATTCGATTATACCATGTGATCTCCTTCAGCATTTGGGCCATCAATTTCCACCTTTGCACTCCCTCCCCTCTGAACGTCCTTTTCCCCGGCGTTGGTTGCATTTTAGGGTCAAAGTTGTCATCTATTTGCCACTGTCTCCCCGAGTTTCCTTGTATTTTACCCTTTCCCCTCATGGTCCGATCCCTTTGAATTTTTGATTTGTATTTTGCTGGCCGAGAAAGTCACACCGAATAGTTACAAAGACAAAATTTGGCGAGTATTTTTTTATTCCTTTTTGAATAAACTATTGATATATGAATTATCCGGCGATGACATATGAACAGATAAACCGCGTAACAGTGTCTATGTATACATCTAAAACTAGATGGTAACAATGAAAAAACATCAACACGCTGAAAGAATGTCGAAGAAAACCCACATCAATTTTTCGTTGCCGATTTCCTGGAATTATAGCGCAAAATTCAAGCTAACCGGTTTAAATGCAAAAGCCAACGGTGGCTTGAAAATATTAGTAAAAATTACGCTATTTTCAGCCTAAACCGACCTTTTCTATTATTTTCCCGCAGAAGTTAGGATCGCATCCGGGGCAGCGGGGCCGCTCACTAAAGCATGGATCCCCGCCACCCTACCGTATTTCTATGACTCGCGGCTGTTTGAATTTCCCATCTGCACGGGTAACGTGCATTAATCGAAGGTTCACTGCCAGATGATTGTGGTTCACTGACCCGAATCGATTATTTCAAATTTATGCTCCGGCTAACCAGTATCATTTTCTGCAAAAACTAGTTTGATTTTTTATTCTTGATTGTACCAGATTTCGATATACTTTATTTCCAGTTTAATTTCTTCTTCTGTCATTTACAATCTCCCGATATGAATTGTGGACTTTCAACATTATGCAATGCAAATCATTCGCTACGAAATGCTACTCAGTTAACACAAAATGCTATTTCCAGCTTTTAATAGATCTTATTTATCAATTAACTCCTTTCTTAAACTATCGCTCCTTATTGTCATTATCACTTCATTTTTGAACATGAAAATAGGCTATCGTAGCTTATAAGACAAGCCATTGCATAGTTTATATTATAGGATAAAATGGACGAAAAGCGTGAAAAGCGTGATGCTCTCTTGACGGAATACTATGAAGACCTTCCGCCTCGTCAGCAGCTAGGATTGATAAAAATGATGTCGCGTTTGAAAGAGCCCTATCCTAACGCGATCAGGCATACAAAAATTCGGGTAGGTGATGCTGCTTCACTTAAAAAAAACGCTATTTTTTATAGTTGTTAAATATACAATGTAATTAACAAAATAATTTAATTACAGCTGCCGAAAAACGATTCTTGTGACCAGCCCGTCGCTTTTCCAAAGGAGCTACTATGGAACCCGAAAAACATCGAATATTGTAAGTTATGCCGTTTCACATAAATAAAGACCCAATCTAGACCGAAATAGGGATCCACCCCTATCCCTACGCCAGGAGATGATGCATAACAAGGGACCTCAGAAAATCGCCCCTGGAGATGCTCATCCACCATGTAACCCTTGCCAAACATTGAGAAAACTATGATTTTTAAGTGCCTCAATCAAATGCCGCACGTTTCGCCGCCGCTAACAGGAGCAGAACCTTCCCATCAATCCGAGATGAGGGATCCTCCAGGTATATATTCGTTATTTCTTGCGAAATTATACACATTTTCTTTAGTTCGGTGATGCCGACAAGAAAGTATACTCCTGTAGCTCAAACTCAGCCAGCGCCCACACGCAAGCTAATCCGGCAACCAGTACCTACGACAAGCACAGAAGTAAAACAGGTTAGTTTAACGATGATTACAAAGTTATCCGAGAAACCGTCAATGTATTCAATTTTTCCAGGAGCCAATGGAATTCGTCTGCTGCACCAATAAGCATTGTCTATCCGGAGAATTTAAATGCCAAAAGAAGAGGGAATGGGAAGAGGCCGAAGAAGCGAGATGGGCTATGGCTGGACTTAAAAGGCCAAAGTAAGAGTTCACGAGTTAACTTAACTACAAAAATTTTAGGGATGAGCCCTTTGATGAAGCGAGCTCGGCCACAGCAGACTCTGCGGCCGCCGGAAAAACCGCAGAAATTAAATCAGAACCTTTCGACTCAACTGAGTAAGGGTTTTTCTTTCGAAGTTTTTGGATCAACTGCATCTGGTATCCTTTGCTTAGCATGCCTACACCGAAACCATCAGAGGAAGATACCGTCGATCGGCTGATTCTGCTTCCGGCATTTGCAACTGAACCATCTGTAGGCATTTATTAGGGTCATTTCAACAAATATTACAGCCTGACTTGCCTCCCAACGATATCGCATATGCGATGACAAGAATCTGTAGAGGATGCGGTTTGGTAAGCTCGACATCCGGTCATTAAGCTTCGAAATTTAGCCATTAGCACAAAAAGACTTCCATTCACACCTTCAGCTGATATCTCAAGGAGTGAAATGTCCGGAAGCCAAATGCAACGACTCGTTGATCAACTGCCCCTACCCAGATGTAGGTTATCTTAATTCTGTATTTTTTTCACTCTTGACAAAATATGTTGGGATTTTTAGTGTATTGCGAAAGGATTTGGCTCTATGACAAACTATGCCAACCATCTTCGATTGCACCACGGTCGCCCAACCGTAATTCGTGAATATACGTATACGGATCTTGCTGAATATCGGGTAAATATCAAGCTAAATTGCTTAATTCCTTTTTAGATGCACTTGAAAGAGATTCGAGCCATGGGTGATTATGAGAATGATAAAAATGTGAAGCTTAGTGGAAGGACGTATCCTTGTCGATACACTCACGACCCGAATGATAGCGGTTCGTTTCTTATTTGTTTTTCTATAAACACTAGGCTATGATTTCACCAAATAATTTAATTTCCAGATGAAGAATTTGACGACTGTGACTTAACTCACAATCAGCCCATTGCATGCGGAGCTTTTTATCACGGCGCCATAGAAGCACGGAACCTCACCGGAAAGTAAGAAAATTACTTCTGGTATGCTTTTGATGACACATTTCTATCTATACTAAATTGCAAATTACAGTCCGATCATACATCTTCGCGTCTGCAACGTACATATCCATGGGAAGATGAAGATCCCGAGGCCACTCCGCCAGCGCATCAGGCAGTTATCCCGCTTTATGCCGATTCCGATCATTAGTTTTATCTTAAGAGGTTTGTCGGAAATGTATCTGTTTCATAAAGTTTTTTAGCCGAAGCTTGCAAATATGCCGGTGAAGGAGGGCTGATGCAGCAAATTCTGGAATTGGACACATTGCAAATTGGTCGAATCATCCACAACGGCGGGGTAAGGGTGCTTATGGGTTATTTTGTAAAAAAATCCGTTTAGCTTGTTGCTCCGGATTTCGACCCCAGTTCCTATACAGTCCCACCACTGAAGGTCTTCGAGTGTCTACGTATGCCTGAACACGTAACGTCATCGCATATCCGCAAACAATGCGAAGAATGGGTATTATCACGCAAGGATCAACCCGTAATGAGCTTCAAGGCGCTGATGCCAGCTGACAAGAAACGAGGTATAGCATTTGAAAATCTTACCATAAAACTTCCCGAGCTTTAATCAATAATAATTATTTCTTTTAGCTCCGGTATTGGTCGATAAGAGCTTCCATCGAAAGAACAAAGAGCCGCTAGTCATCAGCAAATTCTTGCGACGCCAGCTAAAGGCTCGTAAAACGATCAATACAATCCGAATTATGGCGCAGGAAGCTACGGTTTGTACGCCCGGAATCTGTTACATTTTTTATAGATTGCACGGCTCCTGCAAATCACGGACGAAGATTTGCATAGATTTTCGCAGTTGATCAACAAGTGCTATTTGGCGTGTAAGGCTGCGAATCAAAAAGAGATGAGCAAAAAGTGAGTTTAACAAATCTAGCGACAAGTCCCAACATAAGTAAAAATAAAACGAGTGAAATTTTTTGAGCACTTTTTCTTTATATAATTTACTTTACAGTCCCCTTCCAAAGCGTTTGACGGTTCCTGGAATGAGCCGGATCCCTGAGCCCGAATTCGACAGAGGAGAACTGGAGTTATTGGGCGATTTCGATGATGAAGACGACGATATACCAACGTATTCTGAGACCGACCCGTGGATGCCTCCCACTGTGTCGATGCAAAAGGAAGTCGTTGAAATTCGGGTTAAGCAGGAGCCTATGTCTCCGGAACATGAATAGATCCCTGAATCTGACAAGAAATCAGAACACGCTAGCGGATTGTCGGTTTAATTTCCATATTGAATATAATCGTCAAAAGACAGAACTAGCCATCATTAAAAACTACATTGATCCTGTTTTATCAACCTGTTTGTTGCCTGAACCCAGTGAACTTACAGTATCTTTTTTCTAGTTGTTAATTTGTGATGTTGTTACCGCTTTTCAGAAACCCACAACACCCATTTATCTGCATATGATTGATAAATACTTTCGCCCTTTTGTGGAGTCGAATACCTGCTTCATGACATGTATATAACTCCAGCAGGAAATCAAGCCCACAGTCGGCCACACTATATCAAAAAAGACGATGGATGATGGGGAACAGAGAAAGGACCGATGACAGAAGCAAATTATTTGAGCTGTTGTAGACGATATCGCATTGTGGTAGTAGGGAAGCGGTTGGGCGAACGACCAACTAAAACTAACAATCATGTTGGTTAGCTAATACAACCTCTTTTACAAGATGCCAAGCACGATAGCCGCATTCATAGCGTATTGGCAATTTGATACAATCGACATAGTTACGGACGGCTCTAGAAATGAAGTTGGTCAATTTTTGGGTAAGCCTTGTCTACCCGCAAATGGCCGCCTGTTGGCCCATATGCCCAATTTCTTCGGTTGGCGGGATTTTCCGGGTGTCGGCAACCATTTCGGCCTGGCACTGCATCATTTCAGCTCTTGTCAACGTGCGCGTGAAGCATTCAAAGTTACGGATCATGTCTGTAAATTGGTGCTTGTAGATTTCTTAACCTTTTGAGCTTTACTAGCTTTTAAGGCGCTTGTCATAGACACTTCTCTTACCACTATAGCCGTCGCGACAAAGAAAGTCCAATAGCTTAATCGCTGTTTGATATTTATGCCGAACCGGATCCTCTGAGAAGCAAATGTCTTTATATGGCTCGATGCACATATCGAAGATGTAGAAATTGCTTAACAAGACATTGATATGATATAGAATTGGACCTACTCGCAGACTTGACTAAAGTAGTCCTGTGTTCGAGTGACAAAGTGATCCCAGGTGAGAGTTACAGTATCCTCTCCTTCTTCAGAAAGCGCTCCGATCGAATACAGAGGGTCTGCACATTGTCTAATTCGCTGCTGATCTAGGGCTGTGCAACCGGAATCCTATAGATTAATGAGGTAAAGAATCCCTGATACTCACAATCTCATTCTCAACGTCACTGGTTCTGAGCTGAGTCTCAACATTGTGTGGACCTCCGGAAGATGGGATAGGTTGGGCCATGTACGGCGGTGCGAAAAAGACTTCACGTAGCGCGCCCACTGGGCCATACAACAATAAAACTAAAAATCATAAAAATGAAACAGACTGTTGTAACTGTAAATACCTAATAACCATCTGCGCATGAAGTCAGCGGGTCCAGGTTGTAGGCTGGAATGAGCGCGGGTTGGCCGTCGTCGTCGGAAGAAGCCCTCCAGGGCTGTTGACCCTATGTGCCAAGCTGTCAAGGGCCTTATGACAAGAAAGTCGTTCCCGCCCCCAGCTGGCTAGAGGCTGCAGGCTTGCTATGGTAATTCACCACTTCGCAAACAAGCCCCTCCAGCTAGCTACCATTTGAGTGGCTTCCTTTCCACGTCCGTTCAGACTCTCACAGATATTTGACGTGTACAATCGGGTACAGAGAGATCTGAACCAATCTTCGCTAACACTGAAAATGAAGGATTTTCATACTTTCACGTATTTAAAAACCATCCGTTACTTCAAAATATACAGTTCAATCGATTATTTGTTAAATCTGTCACATATCTGAACCATTCTTCCATGGCCCTTAAAAATACCTTAGCTAGGATTCCTTGACATCGTTAACTTTTTTTATTTTAAACCCTATTTTCATCTTTTGCCATCAGTCCCTCAAACGTTTTTTAAAGCTATTGGACCCTGCAACATGAATGTCCCACCGGCATTCCCTAATCGCGTTATAGCCTACGAAAACCCTGTAATTAGCATCCACGAAGCTGGTTGTCCGGGGAATTACCGTAACCGTAACCCATTCAAAAAACGTCTGAGTGGAAGAGAACCTAAGCCACAGTTTATTTGTAAGTTTTGAAGCTGTTTCCGTTGAACCACATCTTAATTACTACAATGGGGTGTATTTCCGCAATCCGCGCCTTGATTTTATAATGTTTATTGCAATATGTATAAAGTGATACGTTCATCGGGATGCGGGGTGGGCTTTTATAATGTACGTCGCAAAGAAGCGGCGTTCAGAGCACTTATATCACATTTTATAAAGAAAGGATTAGACCGAATACAAATATTAACAAATGCTGACTGTGGAATGATTGTGAAAAGGCTAAAAAGGGGGTTGATGGAGGAAATATTAGAATTTGTGAAGGGTAAATGAGTCGATATCTAAGCGCTCGGCAAATAAAAAAAAGATCACACGATAGGTGGAGAGTACCGGAATTTTCAGAAACTCGTGATAGTTGAAAGCTGGCCGCGACATTGGAAATCAGTGACTAATAATGGCGAAATGGCAGGGACAATTAATAGAGTTGTGAATACTAAGAAGGCAATCAGGGTGGAAGAAAGGCGGTTGGGTAAAGCAACTTTTAGGGATGACGACTAGAGGGTGTATGAGACGTAGTAGAGGGCATTAAGGCCCTTCGAATTCTTTGGAGTGTCTGACTAAATGCCGGGAATTTGAGCAAGGGCCTGGACAAGACGGGGAATTTAGGTTAAGGGGACTAGTAGGCATTAACGTTTAAGTACGCTTTGGTGGGAGAAGGCCAAAGAAACGGCGTTTTGGCTTGGTGATAGTGGCGGTGTTAGTGGTAGTGGCGCGCTCGACATCTTCACTACGGGAACTGTTAGAGCTGCGGAGACGGGTGCCGCGTGAAGTTGTCGGACTAAAATAGATAGCAAACTAGCAATCGTCAAGGTGGTACTTACACGTCGTCGGGCAAATCAGCGGCCGTCATTTGTTTCATTGTGTCCATGATGGTACGGATGTGGAAGGGATCGTGCTCGCTGAGGGAGGAGTCTCCCTTCTCGCGCTCAAGCGACAGATTGGTTTGGTTTTCTTCGCCCATCAGCACGATTTCATCAACATCTTCTAAAATATTGAGCTTGTAATTTAAGTTTACGGGTTTACCATTTACAGCAACAAAATTGACGCCTTGGCGAGAGCCGGAGCTCATGCGCTTGGCCGCCTTCTGACGGTCGCAACTGCTTGAACAGGGGGCATCCTCACTATAAAAATGGAGTTTTAAAAATAGGTAAGACATTAGCATAAAGCTCATTTAATTAGTTTAACTTACCAAACAGATTTCTTCTCATCCTTGGCTTCCTGGCTGTCCTCTGCAATCCGGTCGTTCATCTCCGCTCGACAGATGACGTGCCGAGCAGCTCCCATCGAGCCAGAAAGGGACTTTGTGTCGTGAACACTTCCGGCGAGCGCCTTTGTGCTAGCCACATCCTCAGAATACGACAAGGCTTCTTGGCCAGATGAATAGACGGTATGTACACTCTAAAACAAAATCATATGGGAGTCGACTAAAAGTTACCTTGTCATCATATTGATACTGGCTACCCTGAAGCGCCTTCGTGCTGGCTTCTTCATAATTGGTGCGCTCGCCGATGGAGTTCTCGCCGCTTTCAACAGACGCCCTACGCTGATGCCCGTCGTGTTTAACAGCAAGACGGGCCCGATGGGTGGCTTGTGAGATTCCACTTTGCATCGAGAGAGCAGGTCCAAGGGAGGTACCATCGGTGACGCGTTCGCCGTCAGAGAGAAGTTGTGATTTCTCATTTCCAACTTCTAAACACGAGATTAAGTGCTAGGCGTCCTGATCTACCTCCTCCAGCCCATAGCTCATCTTCGTCAAGGTTGTCAAGGGTTGGGAAAGACTGAGATTCAGTCAACCCGCAACCGCCATTACGGCATAAGCTCAATGGGACGACACCGTAGACGTACGCAAGCATGATGGGGACACCAACACCTGGAAAATTTGAGGTAATTGAAACCTAATGTCTTTTGCTGCAAGTATTTTTTTGAAAAAACTAACCAACTGCCATTACTGCAAGCACCGGGCTGACAACTAAAGAGCCAGCAATACAAGCGGCAGTGATCAAGCGACGCTTGAGCTTTGTTTGATGGCTGAAGCGCTGATGGACTTTCCTGAAAACGGTAGATTTTTGGTCTATTCCTTCTTCCTCACCTTCCAACAAACACCGGAACTCCAAAGATGATCCCTGGGATGGAAAGACCAGCGATCAGGGCAATCCCAACTGGTGCTCCAATTAACGTTCCCAGTTGCCAGAGCAGCTTCTTCTTGCGTGTCCACGGCTTCTTGCCCCAAAAGGTGCAGCCGGTCGGGCTGGAAAGTTTCTGATTAGCTTCGTTCTCGCCCTTCCACCCCCATGCTGCTATTTTTATTCACCTCAAGTAGTGTAGATCGGAGATTTCCTTGAGACAGAGCCAGCAAAACTCTGCGGAGCACATGGCACACACCATGTGGTTGCACGAGCCGTCGTCCATCTTGACGATGTATGTGCGACAGCGGGGGCAGGCCTTGATGTCTCCAGCTAAAAAAGAAAATTAATTATAAAGGATGCAATGAGAACGTGAGAGAAGGGGAGAAAAAGAGAGAATGGATAGATTAATCATAAAGCCTTCAATCCTTACGTTTTAGCTGTAGTTGCACATCAACGTTGTTGGAAGCCCCACGCTTGGATCGGAAAGCTGAGGGCCCACGCTGGCGGCGCGCTTCATCGCATGTTTGATTCGCGTGCCAGACTCCCTAAGAATCAATTTTTGCATAACTTGTTGATCGATACCTTGCAATGGTAGCAGAACAATGTCTCGCACTCTGGTCGGCCGCATCGAAGTTGTGGGCAAGCCGCACAACCGGAAGCGATCACCGCGAACCCGCAATCCGGGGCTGGGCAAAAGCGGGTGTCCGCCTCCGTCATGAGGTATCTAAAACAATATTGATTAGAATGCTGATAGATCATAAAACCCGATTTTTATTGTCAAAACCAACCTTCGCAAGCTGAACTGCTCGTATTTCTCGATCAGGTGCCCACGTCCGCCGACAAGTTGCGCAATATCCGACGGATGCAGATGGGCAGTGCACTCCGGGCAAGAGACCTCCACCCGATTCTCCATAATCTCCAGCTCGACATACTAAATTTCATTCAAACCTATAACTGGAAAACTTTATATACCTGCATTAAGCACAGCCGGCAACTACGATGCCCACATCCAATCAATCGCGGGAAATTGCTCATCGGTTGTTTCATGTAGCAAAGCGGACATTCTCGTAGCTGACAATTGAGCATTGGGAAGTCTGTTAAGGTAAAAATACTTTGTTCTTTTTCTCGTCGCCTTCGGAGAGTAGTGGGTCTTCGCTAGCATCTGCCTGCTCGGACATTCCCTCCTCCAGCTCTGTCATCTGGTACCTATAAGGACGCCAATTATCTCCAGGATTTTAGGTATGAATGTTTACCTCCAGAAACAGCAGCGCATTTTGTGGAATTGGGGGTTTTTTAGGTGCGGGAAAGAGGGAAGAGTTTTGGGTTTTGAGCTTCCGTTCGAATGGCGTATGGGAAATGATTGTCTGGGCGGACAGGAAATTATATTCTAGACGCGAGAGGTGTTCGAAAGGGGAAACAATTAGTATGCGGAATTTATGAGAAGGTTTTTGTTCTTTTATAGAACTTTGATTGCACTCAGATTTAATATTATGATTTAATAAAAATCCGAACTTTCAAAAAAAAGAGGAAATATAGGAGATAGTTTTATTTTTCGTGTTTTAATATTAAATGCTTACCTTCTATTAGCCAAGGAATGCGAAGACAGTGACTGGGTGCGGAGATCCCCACTCGAATGGCTTGATGTCCCGCAAGGAGACCTCTTCCTGCAATTTCGACGTCTTATGACCACTCACAAATCAATTCTTCCACGCCACACCGATCGCACTGTTTTGCCGACAAACGGCCAATAAAAAAAGGAAAGGGAATGCAAGAAATTGAAAAGATACCGTGTTCCGAGTCTAGTCATAACAATAATTATTGAGGCGATTGAGTTGTTATGTAATGTTATTTTTTTGTTAAAAATTTACAGTGTCTGTGCTTTAGCAAGTTGTTGGCTTCGAAAGACTGTCTCTGGTTTGGCGAAGGTAATGTGAAGTGAAAAATGTTAGAAGGTCCCGATTCTGATATTGACATTGCGAGCGGCGAGAACTGATAAGGGGCAGCACGCTTCGGGCTGAGCCAAGGCATCGCCCCGTCTTTCCCCCAAAGAAACTACGATAATTTCACGGGTCGAGCACCGGGGTATGACGGAATTGAAACGTCTGTAATCCGCTATCTGACAGCCGCTTATTCGAGAATTTTTGCGGATTATGAAATGTGGAAGACCAGGAAAGCAACGTCAAAATCAGAATTTTTTTGAAGAGGTAAGGGCCGAAAAGAACAGCGCAACACATCTGAGGAAAAGGGAAGACGGGAAAGGAGTGGTATGTCGTCGTGGAGTTGAATTTCTAGGCGCCGGAAATGCTGCGGAAATTTGAGAGCGACGAGACAAATTCAGGGTTCACCGCGGGGGGTGTCTGGGAAATGATATTAGGATGTGTCTACTATGTTCGACGTTTTAATAAAAAGCGTCGGAACCTGGCGTTATTCGTTGGGGCCACTCTTGTCTAGTTTTAAGTATTAGGATCTTGAAAGCTTCAGGAAGCTCTCCCCGGCTCATATTCTAAGCAAAACTTTCGGATGTAGCTTATTGTTTCTTGGTCGCTGCTCAAAAATTCATGGTCGTTTCTAGGGTCGAGCAGGTGGTGGGCGAGACCGAGGCAAAACAGCAAAGATATTCACGCAGCTGCGCGGACCAATTTCCTTGTCATCACCAACCAACAAGGAGATGACGTGTCTAGTTCAAAGCCAATCAATGTTTCGCAACATTTTCAATCATCGCTAATCTTTGAAAACACAAAATTCTTGCGGGTGATAATACTCCCTCCCGGTCACAAGGGGGCGTGGTGATAAAATCTTGTGAATTTTGCAAAGATGAGGTAAAGCCTCTGATTTTGGGTGGTAGGGGGGCTATGGCTATAAATGGGAAGATGGGGGGGTCTGAGGATGAGAAATGGCCATTTCGGCGGGTTGGATTCAGCCTATAACCCCAGGGACGATGCCTATTTTGATGCATTTTGATGACGTAAATCAGGAATTCGTCGTCGTCGCTGTATAGCTTCAAGCGACTTCCCAAAAGGTGCTAATCTCGTCGGGGAGCAGTTAATAATGCCAAAAATTGATTGGTTATTTTTGCATGGTTTTGCGGGGAGATTGCGGGAATCCGAGATATGTGTCATTGGAAATCGAGATGCTGCGGGATCGAACACGACATAACTATTCCTAATGCGAAGCGACGGATCTTGAAGAGTACGGGAGAAAAACTTGTTTTCTCGGGGGAAAAAAATCAGGGTCATTCTCAAAAGAATATGGCCGTTCGCCTAGTGCGCCACTATGTTGTGATGTTTTTGTTTAGAAAGATGCCGGCTGGCCGGAGGGGGTGAAATGGCTAATTTGCAGTGATGCTGTATAAAAAGAGGGGGCAGGAAACAGGGATGACGGCTGGGAGGATGCCGATGGTCGAGCCAGAACCTGATCCCAAATAGCCCTCCCAACCCACGAAGCCCGGTGCCATTCCTCTCTTTCTATACCCTCTTTCTGTGCCTCTTTTTCATCCAAACAACGGTCGAGGCATATTAACTGGTCGACTACGCACTTTTACTGGCAACGCACATACTTCACACGACTGGGTGTGGATGGGAGGTGGTAAATGCTCCGGTTAAGGGCGTGTGATATCCAAAATTTTGTTATTTTATGTGGCAAGCGGTGTAAAACTACTGATTAATCTTGTTAATCAATTGTAAAAGCGAGTTTTGTGTGTGTTTCCGCCAGATCACAAAGTATAATCCAAAGTTGTATCCAGAGGTCAAAAAGGTTTTTGAACTAGTTGTATTACAAGAAAATATGGAAAGTTGATGCGCCTACTTCCTAAAAAACTTGACCCAACCCCGCAAATGGCTAATCACCCCAATGCTAGCGTTGCCGTGTACTAGTATGTATGTAGCAACAATTCTTCCCCTCGTCACCTGGTCGCGCTCGTTTCCCCGCATCGGCCGTATACGCCGTGTTTAGGCAATAGAAACGGATGAGGGAAAGGAAAGGGGAAAACGTCTGGGAGACAGGCTCAAGGCCATTATACTCGTGTTTTATCGCCCGGTTAAAGATTAATAATTCCCCGGAAACGCTTTCTAAATCGGAAAAAAATGTCTAAAATATGCGAAATTGAAAATTCAGGTCTTTGCCCTCATGGTCCCTCTGGCTCTAAAACTTTATTTTCTTAGAAATCACTTTTTGAATATGGATGCGAACCTTACTGCTGATGTTCCCCCACTATCCCTAAAGTTATTTCAGCGTCCATCAAACCCCCAATCCCCCGGTAATCCACAATTTTCCTGAGCTCAAAAAACGTGGGCACAAACAGAATGACAAGGCAAGAGGCACGAGATTACAAGAAGCTGTCGTAAACAATTTCTCTGGCCGCGTGAACGGGTGTTATTTGGAATTTAAGTGGATCGAAATGACATAAACAGCTATGCTCGTTGCTTATGGATGTATGATTGAAAGGCGAAAAGGAATGGCAGACTAGCTTGAGAAAACAAAACAAAAAATCATTAAAACCAACCGTTCTCGATGGCCTATCGCAGAAAATGAGAAAAGCGATGTAAGGGAGAGCCGACTGCCCGTCCAACGCTTCCGATGAGTCCCAGATGACCCCGGCTGCTCCAGCGTCGTCTCCATCTAGATTACGTGCATCCAAGAGGCCGTACTATCGAACAAATCCCATCCCCGCCTCTACGTTTTCTAGGACTTCATGGCCCCTTCAAAATAAGGCTTCATCCCCTGCTTTTAGCCGATTCCAGAACGGGAACGACTTTAGAAACCAAAAATTTGCAAGTCTTCCTTATTGACAGGTCCAAAAATCAAGCAACTAACCCTGACTGTTCTGGGCTCGGCGCGATTTTCTTGGGATCGGTAGGCTTCTTCGGAACCTTCGGCACATTCCACCACCGTGCCGAGGCTCTTCTTTTTACCCGTCGACATCCTGAAAAAGGTTGATGACGCATAATGTTAGAATTAACAAGAACAATCAAGTCATGAATCCCAATGAAATTTAATACTTGGAAAACAATGTAAATACGACTACTCCTAGTAATACGACTTTCCAAAGCCCGAAAAGAAGTTCTCGTGGCAAGGAAATGAAAAAGGAACGGAAATGAGCCCCCGCGAACCCCCCGCGGGCTAGCCAGTTCACCGAGGAAATGAAATTCCGCACTCGATCCTCCAAAGACCCAATTAACTGGATTTCGTTTTTCCTTAAAAGCGTGGCTCCCGGAAACTTATTGGAGAGGATTTCTCGTAAAAAGGACAAAAAAGGAATGGGTCTATTCCACACCGAAAGATTTCTGATCTCTTGTTCTGCGTTTTCCAGGTCCCCCCTGGCATAATTCACGCGTGATTATGCCGTAGGCGTGAGCCCGAGCAATGCCAGAATCTGACGGCCTCAAAATTGCGCATTTTAGTTTGAAAAACTTAAAGAAAAATCACGAAAGATTTTAGAAAGGTTTTGGGCATGGCATGGAAGGAATATGCGATAAAGGCAAAATTCGAAAATTGGAGGAATTGGTGCGTCGGCTGGCTTCCGGTGTCCGAGGAAATCCGGATTATCTTTGCGAGATTTGTTTTATTTTTATAAAAAATTTTTTTTTTATGGGGGGTTTTTTTTTTTTTTAAGGCAAAAAAAAAAAAAAAGGTAGAAAAAAAAAAAAAAGACTACCGGTTGATAAGTTATTGATTCGCAAACAGGCAAACTAACGAAAGGAATATTGAAAAACGTAAAGTAAAAGAATAGAAAAGACTCTAGTTTCCATAGAAACCCTAAGAAAGTAGTGGTCTGAGTGGTATGTTGCGTCGTATGAAAAGAAGAAGGAAGGGTATGGATGGCAGGCGAAAGTGAAGAGAAGAAAAGAAGCCATGGGATTTGTTCGCATTGGCCAATTGGCTGGCCCAGGTTATGTTGGTGTAGTGTGAGAGAAAAGTGGGGGGTGTATATAGAGAGGGCTTTTGAAGAGAAGAATCGAGGGTTACGAGCTAGAGAGTAGAGGGTGAAGAGATGTTGGGTGAAGGCCCGGGAACGGCCGATCGATCGGCTACCCGCCTCTACGGCTGCCGCCTGTCTCTCTTTGACTCTCTTTCTCCCTTCACCTCAACCACCATCCACATCTCAACTGGAACCTTTCCATTCCCCCAACCTCAAAAACCCCGGGACTGAACTGACTCTTCCTCGGGACCCAACCACGACAATCTCCCCCAACACAGACAGACCCACAGACATACTTTTTCTACCCACCAGCCACACCACGCACACGCAAACCACTCAGGCACCTCTGAAAACCCAACAACCCACCGCACATCTCCGTCTTCTCACATTTCGAACCGACCTCAACCCCCCTTCAACGCCTCCACAAACATCATCCACTCATGGAAGGCAAGAAAGACAGACAGAGATGGAACTTTGCTACTTCATCAAAAAATCATCTTTTCCTTCGGTTTTTACACCACTCGTCTGTTCAATAAGCGCAAACTGAAAAATCGTTATAAATAAGGAAAAGCGAAGATAGAAAACCACTTGAAAACGCTTGGAAAAACATCCCAAATCTGACCTCACCAAACCTACGAGTTTAAGGAATCATTTGCTAAGTTACGATACCGTAAACCAACCCCTTACTTCCAAATTATGCCACAACACACCATAAATCAGAAACAATGGCCTCAACGTCATAAACCCTGAACCATCTAAACCGCTACCAACACCCCAGTGAAAATCCGCCTCTCAACTTTTTATCTCGCCGACCTTGAAACCCCCCCCGCCCCATTTGCCCTACCGCCATACCATATCCGGTTTACCAAAAACTATGCCACTCCCCCGAAAATCAAAAGCGAAATTGAAACCGCCTCACAAGTACCTGGAAAATCCAGAATCAAAAAAAATCAGCGCCACGCCTGAATAACAAAATGGCCCCGCCTGTTTCCTTGCAATTGAATATTTATGGGCAGCCCCGGCTCGCCACCATTTCTTTCGTCAGGTAAAAACAAGCATGAGGGGATAGGCTTAACAATGATTTGCTGAAAATGGCTAGACAATGTGTTGAGGCCATTGAACGGTCTAACCGCACAAAAATCACATTGTTTTTTACTCTATCGCATCGACGAGCGGTCATGTTCTACGGGAACTTGGATAAAAAAGGGGGAACATTTGTCCATTGCCTTCATTTCCCCTCTTTTGCGTGGAAAAATTGGGCCAATTTGTTGTTTGGGTGGGGTGGTATGGTAGGGTGAGGGCGCTGGAGGGGTGCAAATATTCAAACGGGAAATGGAATTATAGTGGCGGCACGACGAAAAGAAGGAAAAATAATTTTTGGATGGACTAGAGGCCAGTTAAAAGTCGCAGATGTGAACTATCAGATATCCAGAGGTTATCAAAGTCGGTTTGACGCATTAATAGCAAATGGTTTATCGATAGAATAATTAGAAGCCATAAGCGCCGAGATGGTGGATTTTTCGAATGACTAGCTCGGCGGCTACTCAATGCATTTACACTCGATGCGTCATCGCTATAAGCCACGGCTACGCGGATGGCCCTCTTCCTACGCATTTGTTGATCGAAATGGACCGAGGGGAGGGCAAAGGGCGCTCTTTGCATTATGAAAGCTCTCGTGACATGGAATGTGTGAAAAGCACAAGCTAGAAAAGGCATCCGATTTCTTATTTTTTGAGAAAAATCGTTCTTCCGAAAAACGCAGTTGATGTGTTTTTGTGCTCTCTACTTCACGGATTATAAATAAATCGAAATTTGATATTTCAGTATATAATAGCAGAACCAAATATATTTATTCAACCTTGCCACCACTCTCTAATAATTCCGTTTGTTCTTGAACAATAACTTCCTGGTCTCGCTGCAACAGCTTTCCGGCAAAGCGCTGGATGAAGAATTGGCCCACCGGGGCCGAGAGGAAAATGCTAAGCACGGCAGCAAGCAAAATACCCTCTCCAGTTTCCACCAATTCTCCCCTTTTCTTCAGAACTGCCATATCCAAAAATGTCGTAGCCAAGGCGGCCTGAAATTCCGTGAAAAACACTTTTTGCACAGTCCCGAATGAAGATCTCATAATTCGACTATATTTACCTGAATTGTTGCCTTGGGCAACCACGCAAAAGCCAAAAATATCTTTTCCTTGACATTGAAAGGCCCGCAGACGGAAAGATATGTAGTCCCAACACGGCATAACATTGCGACCAAGAGGATCAGACACATCCTCATCAACTCGACACTCGACCCTCCAAACAACTGAAATAAGATGCCTTTCCTTCTTCTCATCCCCCATTTTTTCACTAACCATCCCAGGATCCAATCTAAATCCAATTAACCCGAAGAGCAACGGCATGAAAATGAATTTCCACAGCAAGTCGAGGTGAAATTTCATGGATGAATAGAGCTAAAGAATGGTCGGAAATTGGAATTAATCTTGATGGGGACAAGCCTCGGGGCGGTGTTTTTTAGTGAAATAGCCGGTGAAGAAGCCGAGGGATAGCACGGCTATAGGGCCTAACACATGGGAATCGGCTTTGTCACTGCCTAGCAGGCTAGCCAACGATCCAAGGAGAAGCAATAGGACTCCGAGCAACGTTTCGATGACGGAATTTGACTTTAAGCTGGGCTTTGTCATATAGTTAATAGCCAATCCTAGGATATTGATGCGTAGTGTGACGGGACATACCTCCAAGGAGCCCAAACAGCATTCCAAGACCCATTTCTACAGGGACATGAAGTAAAATTGAAAGATTTGATCGTTCTGACCCAAAAATCATTCCCAACGTAATACTAAATTATAATTTCTCAATCCGAATTGCTAAAAAACATACCTGAAGCCTGTAATACAGAGAACATCACTCAATGTAGCACCCGCAATGCATAAAGTCGTGATCCCAGCTTTCTGCCCCAAACCTACACAACAATACTTTTTACGAAATCTTCTCACCTTTCTTTTCCACTTCAAGCATACAAGGCACAACAACAGCTGGAGAAACAGCAGCTATCAAAAATCCTAAAAGAAATCTGCAAAAAATATCCGCCAAACCCAACGCTACACCACTATTCAAGTTATAGCCAAGCAGGAAAACCGCGCAGATGATAAGCACTGCTACTTCAACTAGGATAGGAACGGCAGCGAGAAGCGGGAGGGTAAACTGCAAATTGGGAGGTGCCGAAGTCGCAGTACCTTTAGACGTTTCAGCACCTCGATATCGATAGACAATCCTCCACGCACCAAAATCACCACAAACGCCATTTTTCGTAATAAAGACGATAAGGAATTATCAATATATAGATGTGATTTTGAAGCCACTAGATTTAAAAAGAATCCGACAAGGATCATCCCTGAAATGCTAGGTTACTGTAGTGCTAAAGAACAAACCTAACAGATTTTTCGGTATTTTTCCGCCAATATAAGCTAGCGGTAGGAGAATGGATATTGTTATGAAGGAGTCTGGTATTGCGGATGAACCATTAAAAGCGAAAGATCCGAAAATTTCTAGCGGATTTCTTTTAAAAACCGAGCATGTCGTGGAATAAAGTAATAATCCCAGTAGTAGAAACGTCGATACACTTCTGATAGCATCCAATGGATGAAGCTTCATTTTACTAATCCGTTTTTATTTTTTTGCAAGATTCCATTTATGGACTACATCTGGTGAACTTTGATCTCATTGTTACTTGCTATTGTGCAACACTGCGGCAGTATCTGGCGCTTGGCAAATAGCCAGTTGTAGTATGGCGGGATTTTGGTAAGACGTTTCAAGCAAAGAAAGACAACAAAAAGCATCTAAATAGTTTAGTAAATTGATTTCTATGTAAATTTATTTATTTCTATGTAAATTCATTGCTCTTATTTTTCAGGATGCAAAAATTTGTCCCAGCTCACGGGCCTGTCAGCGAAAAAGCGGTAGAGCAGCTTTTGGACATCCTGAGCGGCGTTGAGCGGCTGATTGTCCTTACTGGAGCAGGAATATCAACAGAATCAGGTTTTAATAAGCTCAATCTTCTTAGAAAATAGCTTTCCTTTAGGGATCCCAGATTATCGCTCGCCGAAAATCGGCGCCTATGAGCGACACAATTATAAACCGGTGATGTGGCAGGATTTTTCGAAGAAGCATCATGTTAGGCAAAGGTTTAATACTATTTTGTGTTTAATACGGTTTCTTAGATTCTGGGCCCGTAATTTCTTGGCGTGGCCTCGTTTTCGGGATGCACAACCAAATTCGATACATAAGAATCTGGCCATATGGGAGCGTTCGGATCGTTTTCATTGGTTGTTGACACAAAATGTGGATGGATTACATAGCAAGTTGGTGATCTTTAATTGAAAAATATGCAAGAGCGGCGCAAAGGCATCGCATCATCAAAATATTTAATTTTTCAGGGCTGGTTCCGAATGGGTCACCGAATTACATGGTTGTGGGCATCGTGTCGTCTGCCCGTCTTGTAGTAATGCACTATCTAGGTTTGATTCTTCACTTATTATGACAATCTGCGATTTTTTAGGGAAGAATTTCAAGAGCGATTGGCCGAACTAAACCCAAGATGGGTTGGACAATCCACCCCCGGCGAGATCCGCCCTGACGGCGACATCCAAATTGCTGACGGTGCCGAAAAAGAATTTAATTTACTGGATTGCGAAGAGGTACTTTTTGAATAAACCTGACACCCTAATACCGTATTTCAGTGTGGTAACTTCATGAAAACTGATGTCGTTTTCTTCGGGGAAAATGTCCATCCAAAAGTGATGGCCAAAGCTAATCAAATGGTAGTGCGAGTTTTATTTTTCCAGCTACTGTTTTGATTCAGATGGACGAATCCGATGGTCTACTCGTACTTGGCTCCTCACTCCAAGTAATGACCGGCTACCGCTTTGCATATACTGCTAAGGCTCGACAAATCCCCTTTGTTATTGTTAACATAGGGCCCACCCGTGCAGACCCGATTTGTGATTTAAAGATTGAGGCGAAATGTTCGGATATTGTGTCTAGGATCTGATTTTGGGCAGTTTAACGCATACGTTCTAGTCAGAAAGACGGGTAGAAAAGATTGTGCCGAGCAGGTGCATCGGGTGAATCAGCAAAGCCTTAGAAAACCGATGTTCTTGACGTATTTTTCGTGTTGAGGGCTGATAAATTTTTTTGGTGTGATGCCGTGAATCATCAAGGAGTCTTATCGCATATGGACCAAATTAGGAATTGGACATGAGAGGGGGAGTTGAACAGTGGCCGGGTAGGGAAGATCGGATTTACGAGGGGTTCTGCTAACGGAGCGTAGAAGGAAAAAAAGCATAAGATATTTCTGCTCAGCAAAACTCGAAAATTTTGTTAATTTAACGATCAAGTTTGGTTTTGCACATATGTAGAATTGCAATGCAACATACATACAGATTGATTAATCTCTCTAGCGAAAAAACGGGAACAAAACCCAATTTTGATCAGCCCTCCCCGATACGCCCATATTCTGGTCCATACCGTCCAACAACCTTACCTGACTCTCCGACCCGGTCCTCTATTTTAGCAGATGACGTGTCAAGGTGACCCGTGCGCACCCCAGGAGAGAAGGGCCTATCCGAAAAAAGTTTCGCCTGATAAGGGTGAATCAACGCGGATTGGCCCCTTCGGTCTATAAAGCGCCCGAGTTCGGTAGAGATTGGCATCGCAGTCTCTCAGATTCACTGCAATGGCTTCTGGTGCGAAACTGATTTTTGTTCTACTTTTGGCTGGTGTAGCTGCGTTCAGCTTCAAGGGAGCTAAGGTATGGGTTGATTGCTTTTGACATACAGATTTAATTTTTTTCAGAGGCAACAGGGAGATGTCGACTGGACGCAAGGATATAGCGACGATATCGGCTCTCGTTTCCTCGACCTAGCAGTTGCAAGCTACTTGGGCACTGGCGACCACGATGAAGCTATGCGACAGCAGTGCTTCACGAAGTCTTGGGGCGACTACAACTATACCACACTATTGGTGAACAACCAGCAGTGCGACATTTCGGTGAGTCGCGTTATTGACGTGCAACTCTGGCGATTCTTAGAGTAAAGTCAGCTGTCAAATGTACATTGCGTATTCGGTGTCAAAAAACAACTACGTTCTTGCCTTCCGTGGCACGATCGGCTTGGAACAACTTTGGGAGGAAATTACGTCCTCGCTCAACAAATATACTAAATATTCCTTTTCGAACGGACTTGATTTCGGATTTGTGAACATGTACTTCAATAATGCTCTAGCCAGTTTGTGGCCACACATGATGAAGTCTATTTCCAAGTAAGCAAGCTAAAAAAGGCTGATGATCGAATTTCAGTAACTACAACAACGATACTACCTTCTATGTGACCGGACATTCCCTTGGTGGTGCGATGGCATCAATCACGGCCGCGAAGCTGGTGATGGATCAAAAGATCCTCCCCGAAAACGTATGTGACTATTAAATTATAAATATTTTTTTTGTCTTCAGGTAAAGCTGGTAACTTTCGGCCAGCCACGCACATGGGGCTATTCCGCGGCTTCGCAATACAAAAATGTTGTGCCACACAGTTGGCGTGTCGTCCACAATACTGATCCAATTCCACATGGACCACCAATGAAGACAGGAAATGATAAGACCGGCGACGCATCACCGTACCATCATCCCACCGAGATTTTGTGAGTTAAGAACATGATAATTTTTTTATCTGCAAAGCTTCTTAATTTAAAACCACCATATAATCAACCAAATTTCAGCTACAAAGACAAATTTGAAAGCCACAAATCGTGCAGTGAAACTGATGGCGAGGACAATGACTGCAGTGATGGGATCCCCGACTTCAAATATGTGGTGACAGCGCTGAAGGGCGAGCATATGCATTATTTCAACCACAAATTGGACAGCTACGGGATGGCTGGTTGTGTTGATTCTGCTACTTTGCTTCGTTATTTGTTGTTGCCGGTTGCCGCCCTTGTTCTGCGGTTGTTTTAAATTTTGCTTATGATTGTTGCATTTATGAACTGATATGTACAAATTGTTTGGATAAAATGAATAAATTATTTTGTCAAATGGGGTCAGAAATACAGACCAGAATTTTTTTTCGGGAGTTAGAAGCAGTTACTCTTTGTCAGGCAGAGTAGCAAAATATATTTTTGGCAGTTGTACATTAGTTAAAGAAGCGCTCTTTAAAACGTTCAGCACGTTAAACTTTACCGTTAAACACTTGGCAAGCCAGCAGAGACCAAATCGGAATTTCTCGAAGTGAACCAGCTCAAAGGACTTGTTGTAACTATGGTGTTGCCTCCTTTCTCCACCCCAAACAATCCGGCATAATTTTCGGGGACATATCCAGTACATTTGCGGACGGCTGAATGGAGGGGGAGAGGAGGTGGTGGTGGAGGAAGAATTGGTTGGTGGAGGACGACTTGACCCGGTTCAGCCTCCCGCTGGAGCTACCCCCACAAAAAAGGGGGTTCTATTTCGATTGTCCTGGATCGACGGCGAGTGTGGGTGGGCTCTCGGGTTGACCAGATTGGCTTTCACATAGCTTTCTCTTACCTGACGTTCCAGATTTTCTGATCATTTTGATTTTAAGCTATCGAACATTTATTTTACTTTCCGGGTTTAGCGTCACCTAATTTTTCTAGGATTTTTGGTAACGTTACATTTTTTTAGATGATATTTCTGGTCCTCCTCTTCATCCTGCCCGTATTTGCAAAAGAATGCGGCAGTAAAGAAAACCAATTTGCCCCCTGTATGCAGAAAGAGAAGGCCGATTCATTGTTCAGGTTCGTCAAAGCAACTAGCTAAGAAATATAAACTTAATCCCGCCTAGCCCTGAACGCCAGAATATTGACATATGTGATTCAGGAATTGTTGCGAAACCCGCGTTCCGCCCGTTTGCCTAGATGCCTGCCAATACGAATCGGATGAGGTTGCAGCCAGGGCAAACCTGAGACAAGTCTGTATCCAATTTAAATCCAGACACATCTTCTTTATAGGTATTGCGAGCCGGGTGCAAGCTTACGGATTTAACAAAGGTGTTGCTTTGTGCCGCTCAGAATCAGGTATGCAACAAAACCCTTATTAGCGTGAAAGATTTTTCAAACGAACCCTCAGTATTCCCGTTACTACAATAAAATTTTCATAGTAAGACCTAGCGATACCCCTCGTACTCTGCCACACAGCTGCTTTAGTTTTACGCATTTCGCTCAAACAAACCCAGCACTCCTCGTACTCATTACTTATCCTTGGTTCTAATCTCCCATCGACGCAGAGGGTAGATTGGTGCCCGCTAGATTGGCACCTCGATCGGGATTTACACCTGCTTACAGGATAATCGAGAGTGCTGCGATACGCTGAAGCTGTCGGACCCAACGCTGGGTGTCGGGGATCGATGCCTACGATTCTGCAATCCGGCTGGGACCAAGATTGACATGATTGAGAAACAGGCCAGTTGGAAAGTAAAAGAAGGAAGAAGGAATAGTAAAAAAGCAGCATTAGTAAACTTATTTATCGGTTAAAACGTTTCGGTGGAGGCCGATAAAATTATAGTAAAAGGCCCAAGTAATCAAATTTTTTGGATTTTACGTGTTTTTTATCTCGAGCTTAACTGGTGAAGGTTATAAAAACATTTTTTTAGGATTTCACATGCTTCTACAACTGGAATGTTATGATGTACTGTCATCATGGAGGAATCCCGGCCGAGAACTTTTAAAAACTACATCCCGAATCGCCTACCTAATAATGCTACTTGCCAAAGATAATAAACATCACCTTACAACAGTCCTAAGCAATTCACTTTATTAATAACAATTTTTTCGCTCTCCCTTTTTTATATTCTTCCCCAGGTCAACTGCCACCGTTGGTTACTTCCATTTCTCAGATTCCGTGGAGCAATTTTCCTTGGAACTACAAAAATGGCGCCAACACATCTGGTAACATTGCGCCCGTTTTTTTGGCAACTCCACCAGGACCCGAAGAGAAATGTAGCGGTCACACCCAGAGAAATTCGAGGGCAATTATCTTCCACCTACAAATCATTGGCCCCGGCCGAGTCGCCAAGAACGCTCGAAATATTTTTTTAACCATTGCATACTGTAGGCCCCCCAGTTGGCCCCACTTCAGCGAGCCCCTTTCCCAATTTTATTTCGGGGTCGATTTTGCAAAAACTGAGAGCACTTCCTAATTTTTCGATATTTCTTCGAATGGCCTGGGAGGTCCTGTTGCCAATTAACTATGTCGCCTCTCTAAAGTGAGGATCCCGGGGGAACGTCGAATCCGTGCTATCTCGGCAGCGAACAATTAATTACAGGAATAAAAAACGAATTGCGTTGTTGATCTTGAAGAAAAAAGTTGAGTTCAGTTTTTACAAATTGCAAAATTGACGCACTGATCTTTTTTCAAGCGTATTTTTGAGGTTTAGAAAACAGTGACTACAAAATCAGCAAAACCCTACAGCGTCTTTCCTGAAAAAAGCTTGGCCCAATGGAAGTGCTTGTTACTATGACTGCTGCACTTGATTTTATTTTTGAAAGTTATTTACTAGCTTTCTTATCATTGAGCAAAGGTTTTTATTGCTCTACACGGAGATAAAAAAGAGTGCTTCTAGAACAGCAGGAAATTCACATTTTTTTGGATTTTGTAGGATCGCTAGATTTTGCGCCTTTAGTGCCTTAACAGATCGTCTCCAACTGACAATTTTACACGTTATCCATATCTTTCCCAAAAGTTATCTTCCCATAACTCCCTTTAAATTATTATTCACCTTAAAAAGGGGGATTGGCTTCTTCCGTGAACCCCGCTTCATTGGCAACGCTGCCTACAAAAAGCCACGCCCCCTTCCAGGACCAAGGCGGTCCGTTGAACTACCGTTTCCACTTTTGTTCCGGTCAAGCGACTCGATACCCATTTTTGCTTTAACTCCTACTTTCGGAAATTTGAAGAAGAAATATCTTTATTTTTAGCAATGCTTCAAACCAACGTTCAACGAATGCCATCGAAAAAGTCTGCCCCTACCAACGGTCCACGGCTTTTGGCCAACCTGTCCCACACCATCATCGACGGGGCTACCGTACCTCCGCCTTCTCGAATTCCAAGACGTGTGGTAAGTTTTTAACTGAGTCTCAAAAAGGTGTCTCTAACGAACCGGAGGGTACTAGCTGAGAGGACCCCTTTTGAAAGCTCATTTAAATGTCAGAAAAATTTTTGAATTATTAAAAAATTTTTTGATATTTCTAGATAAGAATTAAAAAAAACGTCCGTTTTAGCGTGAAAAGGTCAGTTAACGGTACGGGACGCAGAAATCGTCTTTGCGCGTTCTTCCCTCGTAAAAGAACTGGAATTGTAGCCGAAAAATCCTTGATTAGTTCCGTTTTCAAAAGCTTTTGGTTGTAGTAATACCTACTAGATCTTGAAAATTAGAGACTTTCGGTAAGTGGAAGGGTACAATGACCAACTACTCCACATTTCTAGCCGAGCAAGCCTCCAATTGCTGTGTCACCTTCCCGATCACCACATCGTCAGCCGCCTCAAGCTCCTTCAAAGGTCAGAAAACAAGTTTTTAATTATTGAACATATTTTTGATATGATGCAGATTTCTAGAAAAACCCGCGTTGTCACGTGAAAATGTTAATTAACGTAATGGGTGTCGTAGAAATCAGTCTTTTGCATGGTATTCCCAGATAAAAGGTTGGAGTAATACCTAAATCTTGAAACTAGAAACTTTTGTATAAGGGGGTAGCTACAACGATCAATTACTCCACATTTTTAGCCGAGCAAACCCCCGATTGCTGTGCCGCCTTCTCGTTCTCCGCCACGTCAGCTGCCTCTAGCTGCATCAACCAGCTCATCGTCAGACCAGCCTGCTCCTCGGCAGGCCACAAAGAACCTAATCATCGTCGAACCCAGCCGTTCACGATCCCGCAACCGCAACCCAACCCGTACCGACTTCCGTGGAAATGTTACTAGAAGACCACCACCCGACTTCATCGCCAATCGTTGTCCCGATTTGACCCCTGAGCAGCTACAACGACGTCGGAATGCCACCGATACCTACCATGTCGAATTACGGTGGCAATGGCGTACCGCATATGATGACAAATATGGCTTTGAAGAAAATACCGAAAGATTCAAGCAAGAAGTGACGAAGGGACGAGGCCCGTTACGATCGTTCTCCGTCGCCGTGCCCAGAATTCTAGGCATAGTGGTAAATACGTTCCACAAAGTAGACATGACCAGGAAGCGAAGCATCAGTTACTTTATGGGCCGCAGAAGCACGAAAGTCAGAAATGTGTCGGATGGGGATGATTCGGAAGAGAACAGTGTGGTTGCCTAGGAGGTTCATTTGTGGTTCGAGACCGATCCACTCATAGTGGATTTTTAAAACTATGATTTTATGCGCCATACTTCGCCTAAGCGATTTTTTAGCTACTGTTTTTATGTGCATTAGAAACCCATTTTTACTAACTCACCAGACAAACCTCATTTTAATTAAAAGGCGCAATGCAGGACAAATCTAAATAAGACGCAGGAAAACTGGATTTGTAGTTGGGGATTAGCATAGAGAATGAAGAGGGAAAGAGCGAGAGGGAGTGAGAGAGAGGGGGGAGGGAAGAGAGCGATAGATAGTTAAAGCTGAGTACACGCATTCGGTTAAGCTTTTTTTACATGATTCTAGTAATTAGCATAAGGAAATATTTTATAGTACTCAGTAACCCGAGCTAGCTGGAATACCATTCCATTGGCCACAACTGTTGTGTGTCCCGAATTTTTATGCTAAATGCCGCTTAACCCCATTAATTTATTGTTTCGAATTTGCATTTATTATCTACTCTAATCGGCTTAGTATTTGATCTTTCACTTAATTCAGAATTTTGCCGATCTTGCATGCTTTTATCCCTAAATCGCTCTTCTTTCCATTTCCATTCCACGCATTTCCAACGCTTCGAAGCGCCATTTTGCAGCTGAATAAAACGTGTTGTGAAGAAAAAATTGCACGGCAAAGATTGCCCAACTTGAAAAGCACACAGAGATTAACAAATGCAGGGCATCATGCTAGCCCAAACATGTCGCTGAGTTTGTTTGAGGAGTAGGAAGCACGTGTAGAGGATGGTTTTCTGACGGAGTGAGGTTGGGACGCGTTGTTTTGACGGCGAAGTAGTTAGACGTGTACTCTGGGTAGTTAAAACTGCCGTTTAGAAAACAGGCAAAACCGAAACTAAAAATTTGCCTAGGTACTTTAAAATCGCAGCAACTGTTTCTTGTTATTTTTCGTTAAAGAACAATATTGTAGAATCGGCTCATGAAGCCAAGCATATCCAAAAAATGGTTCTCTGGTAAGTACTTACAGAAGTGCAATTTTTGTCCACATTTTTAGAATAGATAAGAAAAAGACATATGTCCAGACAGTTTGAAAATTGGGGGTTTACTGGGGAAATGCGGTGAATGAATGTTCCTCGATGAAATTTGTTTGTTTAGTCGTCATCCTTTTGAAGTGTCAGCTTCACCTTCGAGCGGCAAAGGCCATGGTCTTTATCTTCGCACTAAATGCCTTAATTTTCTGAAATTCATCGTGATACCTATGCAAAAGTACTGTGTTTCCCTTATATTTTGTTATGCTTACTACACTAAACCGGATGGCGCTGTGCCATACCATGGATAATTCCGGTCCGGCTTATCACCCCTCCACCCCCTCCCTCCTCACCTTGCTTTGTGATTTTAGATAAGTTTGCGAGGATTCTTTTTAGAGTTTAGTGTTGAGGGGTGGAGGGTTGTTGGCTGACTCAGAGAAAAAAGGCGAAGGGGACGATGTGAAGGGCGGGGCGAGACTGAGGCTCTCTTGTGCCTTCCAGTCTCCCCCTCCCCGGTCGAACCAACCCTTCCTTTTGCCTTTCCACCACCACCATCACCTCCACCTCCTCGTCCTCCTCCTCCTTTTGCTATTTGGTGGAGAACGAGAGGCAGCTCGGGTTAACGGGCAGCACCGGAGAAGGATCAATCCACCACTGACATCAATTCTCGCCCATTTGGTGTGTGCCAATGGGTGCTTGCTGCAGTCGTGGCAGAAAGGCTGAGGTAGGTCTTCGAGGTGTTCAGAAGCGCGCAGTTTTGTTTATTCCCGAGATATCGGATATATTCCGGATAATATTGATAAAACAGTAATGATACGTTTAAAAACATATGTCTACTGAATCGACTAGCTAAAATGTTTGAAATTTGCATATGTGCCATTTTCGCTAGTGAAACTGATTGAACTGAAACAAGGCTAATTTTTATACTATTCCAATTTTTTAAGATATTTCCATTTCAGGCAAAACCATCACTTTATGCAAATTTCTTATCAAAGAGCGTCCAAATGCTTCTCAAGCAGCCCCATCCATTTCCCCGCCATAAATCATCCCCCCCCCCCTTCTATCACCAATCCTATTCCCTTATCCCCAACCCCATACTAAGCTATTTTTCTGCAAATGACCCCCAAATAGTTGTAAACAAAAAACCGAAAACCTGTCTTCAATGCCGTCAAATCCCGAGGATGAACCCATGAGTCATAACCCGATTACCGTACCCATCCCAGCACGCTTTTCAAAATTTCAATATTAGCTCGGATCCTCCAGACCCAGTGTCAAAATTCACCGAACCCTATTTTTCAATCGACTGGCTCGGACATTCCGTGGGGGGCTCTCGGCAAATGCCACCTCACATAACCATCAAATCAATTTCGTGTGTGCCGACAAGACCGGAACCTATTGACGGATACCACAATTACCCTCCCCCACCCCCACTGTTGGGTACTTTGGCAACGTTTATTTTTGAGGAGTATGAATAGGCAGATGTGGGTTTTGAGGTACACGGAGAAACTCGCTAATCTTGGACCGGCCGAAATGTTGGAAGGAGGGTAGAAACTAGTCGGCGAGAGGGGGTTGTAGCGAGAGTCGGCCCCGATTTTTTCGGAAGATAAAAACGGGGGTACAAGGCCGGGATAATGGAGTTGACATGTTTCGGGCGGATACTAGAAAGAGTAGTGTGTGTATTTTGAGTAAAGGTTTTTCGGACTTTATTAATTTCATTACAAATTCTAGGAATAATAGTTGATCGTTTTCTCATCTCTAAAACTAGTGCTAATTGATAAATTTTGTTGGACTATTATAGTCTTACGGTATGGGAACCAGCAAAATTTGCATATTTAAAGTAGATAAGTATTGTCAAAGTAGTTAAGTATTGTCATGGAAAATCCTCGTACCGCATCACAAATAGCATTGCAAAATTTGCATGTTTATTTTTTGGCAAGATTGTAATGCCAAGATTGTGGTACTAATTGATATATTTTGTTGGACTCCTTTAGTCTTAAGGTATCGGAACTAGCAAAATTTGCATATTTAAATTTCAGAATTTTCGTGCAAAATCTTCGTACCGTACCACAAAAAGAATTGCAAAATTTGCATATTTGTTTTTTTGCAAGATTGTAATGATAAGATTGTAATTTCATTTTGTGGATAGACTTTTGCTCTCGAGGCAAGCGATGGGTCGATACCAACACCCGATTTGCATACATCACTCCTCTCCAAAGCTAGAATCTATGCAAGACTTTTCCAATACCATCCTCCCCATATATAAGCACACATCAATGTGTGGGATTTTTTTCCAAAATGTCCTCTTCACCGTCACTTTGCCGAAATAATCCGTTTTGGGTTGGAGGGAGACAGACCAACCGGACCCGGTCGCTCTTCGAAACACGAATTGACCGGAGGGCGGGCAGGTGAACTGATCGATTGTCCGTTTGGTGGAATGAAGGAGGTGGAGGAAGAGGAGGAAAGGAGGAGGGAAATGTACGTATGTATGCAGGGGGATTATTTGTTCACTTTCCCGGCACATTTCCTGCACTAGCCTCAAAAACGCGCTGCGGGGGTGATTGTGAAACCGATGGGGGTGGGAGGTGGACAGTTTTTTGGGGGAATTGGGTGCTGGATAGGGGGAGAACCTTAGATTTGTTGAGGAGGCGTAAACAAGCAGCAGTCGTACTTGAGGGGAGAATAATCTAACAAGGGAACCTCACACGGACAGGGTGGAATTTCGGAAAACGCTCGCGGCTACCCCCGGGTTATCGGCCATTGCGATCACGATGCACTAGTCAGATTTTTTCTGAACACACCTGTGGACAGAGATACAGCACTTCCGGAAAACGTTCAATTTGCATACACGGTTTGCATGGCCGCATGTGGGTTCATAAAGCCCTCTCAACAGTCAGAAAGCACCGGTTGAGTGGCCGAGTGGGGAAGAGTAATGCGTATCAGGCAAATGGTCACGGGTTCGGTCCCGCTCCGCTGCTGCCTTTTTTGCTTTTTGGCACAATTTAACATTCCGAGAATGTACGAGGTTTTTTGGTTCACTTACTCTTTGTTTAGGATGATTTATAGAATAGCAGGATTTTGAGGTCAATTTTATGATCTTATAACGTTTTATTCAACAACGATGATAATCGACCACGAAATGCTGGAAACAAAAATGCTTATCACAATAGGGACATTTCAGCAGGGCGGAGTTGGTACAATTCGGGTCATCACAAATAGCTAGAGGGTCTACATTAAAACAATAATCGGATGGGGTGGGCGCATTTGTAGGGGGAAGGTCAAGAAAGCCGGCCGAAATCCAGGCGCCTTGCCAGCACGGCTTGAACCTTGGGGCCCGAAACACATAATAGACTTGGGACACCAAAAGAATAATGTTGTCTCTCTTTTGGAGAGAAAAACCAATTTCAAAGATTATCACATGGTTCGACAGTTTTTTTACGAAGCACTTCCAGGGACAGAAGAAAAATTTGTCACATGGTTGGATGAGTGAAGTGGCTCCTGGGGGAATGATGTGGACTTCAAGGCTCTTCCCGGCAGGAACTTGAGCTTGGATTGAGGTAGTGTCGCGGAATGGAGTCCAGGAGTCGCACAGCAGTGTCACGTCATCGGGAGATCCTGGTCCGTGCACGACCTGTTCGAACCATTCGAGCATCAATGACTTGGTCATTATGTGTGACGTAGAGGCCCTGGAAAAAGGGATGATTGAAATTCATCGTTTATTGACCTGTATGTGTATTGACCTCCTTTTTCAGCCATCACCACCAGTAAATTCTCGGCGAGACTTCCTTCAGCGAACATCAGTGGCATGATGGTGTACGAGTGAGTCGTGGCGGTGGCTGATTGGACGAGCCTCACCACCTTCTTCTCTCCTTTACGGGCCAGTGATCGCATCGCATGCAGCTCCTTTTGGATCCCGGATTGGTCTGCGTTTGCCAGTTGGTGCAGAGGCAGCCTTCCGGATTTGATCTCGTCCTTGATTTTGTCCACGAGCTCGTCGGCCTTCTTTCTGATGTCATCTTGAGAACGAAAGTTTCGGATCGTGGTGAATGTCGTGATCCTGCGTGAGACGAGGCCAGCAAAGCGCTTGAACTTGAGTATCCAGCTTTCGGATGCAGTGAAGCCCGGGATTTTCGTCGTCTCACGGTTGATCTGCAGGGCCATGCTCCGTAACACAAAGTCGTGTAGAGAGTGTCCTACAAAGAACAATCGATTCAGATGTTTTAAAGAGATAATATTATATTATTTTTAGCTCCAGACCTCACGGCCCCTTTGTTTTGAGAAATTTTCATACCGTTTTGCAGATGCGTTATGCATTTTTCCTTGAGAAGCTCGAGAAGTTTTTTGCGGCTGTCGTACAGACAGTAGATCAACAAGGTCTTCTCATATTCGCGAAGTGAGTCGAGGTGGCTAGGCTTCTGAATCCAATTGAAGCGGCTTCTCATGGAAGTAAGGCTGCGATGCTTCTGCTTCGGCTCCCGGTAGTACTTAAGAGCCGATTTCAACTAAAAAATAGTTTTGAGGGGACGTTATATACCTGCTCTTCAGTCACACGCCTGGAGCCAAATTGTTTAGCCGCCAGCTTGTCCAAGAAGCCCGTAGCTTGCACTCCCTGATCAACGTCACCGTTCCAATCTGGGTCGACGGCGTCATCTTCGTTGGATTTGAGCGTCTCCTCTTCTTCAGCGATGTCGATTGATGAATACTCGACCTCACGTAACGTACGAGCGATAGCCTCCATGATCTTCCTTTCCTTGCGACACAGCGGTGTATCGTCGGCACACGTTCCGAATGTTGCTACCAGAGCCGAGATGATCCGCGAGGCCGACATTTGGGTTGAAATGGCAAACATTTATTACTCAAATAAAGTCATTATTATCCAATGCAGATTTTTATCATGTAAAAGCTGAAAAAGTTAATCCTAAACAAAGAGTAAGTGAACCAAAAAACCTCGTACATTCTCGGAATGTTAAATTGTGCCAAAAAGCAAAAAGGCAGCAGCGGAGCGGGACCGAACCCGTGACCATTTGCCTGATACGCATTACTCTTCCCCACTCGGCCACTCAACCGGTGCTTTCTGACTGTTGAGAGGGCTTTATGAACCCACATGCGGCCATGCAAACCGTGTATGCAAATTGAACGTTTTCCGGAAGTGCTGTATCTCTGTCCACAGGTGTGTTCAGAAAAATCTGACTAGTGCATCGTGATCGCAATGGCCGATAACCCGGGGGTAGCCGCGAGCGTTTTCCGAAATTCCACCCTGTCCGTGTGAGGTTCCCTTGTAAGAACCCAAAGATAAAACTTTTTTGAGAAATTTTGCCTAGAGACCTTCTGACAAGGTCGAGCATGACCTTGTCATAGCTGCTCGCTTTCTCTCTGACTTCTCTATCTCAGTTTCTCTCGCTATCTCTCACTCTCTGGCTCACTATAAGGTGCTTCACAACATTCCTCGGCTGATCAATATACCCTTATCTACACCTTCACGTCCCAGCAAAAGCCTCCCCGTTTCTGAATCCAGTGATAACAAGCAAATCCTAAGGATTAACAGTGTATCTGGGTATTATAGCCCCTACACTACGTGACTTGACTAGAATAGTTCCAGAAAATAAGCACAAGACAATACAACGTAATTTTCTTGCTTCAGCACGACATCGGCGAGATCCGGGACGATGATTTGAGAGGCATCTTTCACGAATTTGATTTGAATGGTGATGATTTTATTCAGAAGGTCGGTGAATAGCTTTTTAAATAATTTTCCAACATAATTAAACCGTAGCTATATTTATTATGTTCGTTTTCAGGAAGAGCTGCGTGCGGTCATGCAAAAGATGGGCCAGGCGCCAACCGAAGATGAATTAGAGGCAATGTTCAGTGCAGCCGACAAGGATGGTGATGGCAACATTTCCTTTGAAGGTCAATCATTCTCCCCGTCGAAAACAATTGCCAATTCATGGCCCTACCACCCGCCAAAACGTTCGAACCCCCCGAAAACGGCCCTAAATTTTGAATTGACTAGCGCTGAAATGCCCATGCAAAAATGCACGTAAACACCAGATTTTTTTAGAGTTCCTCTCAATCGCCCATGCCAATCCCTTGTCTTTATCGCTGAAGGCGGTCTTTGAAGAATTGGACGTCGATGGTGATGGCTATATTACAAGGTGAATACCATACCACCAGACAGACGTAATTTGTTGTGTTGTGTACACACATGCATGACTCACAAACGCGTTCCGAGCAGTGAAAGGAAACCGGAAGCGGACTTTCAATCGAAATACCAATTTTTCAGGTCTGAACTGCGAACAGCATTCCAACGAATGGGCCATGTACTTTCTGATAAGGATATTAAAAATATCTACAAACACGTCGACCAAAATAACGATGGAAAAATTAATTTCAAGGGTAAGGGAAAGAAGTTTGATTCCTAGATTGGATTCCAGAATTCTGCGAGATGATGACGAGGAAGAAGTGATAGTTGGACCGTTGCTAGCAGACAAAAAAATATATTTATTCTTCAAATGAACCGCCAAACTATTTGGAAAAACTTTTAAAAAGTGCCTCCCCCTATTCATTGCCACATTCCGCGCTCCCAAAGTGATTTTCACTTCGATCGATCTTTTTTTTGTTCTTGGATCGTTTTTCATTTGTCTAGAACCAACGCCGCTTAGCAGGAATACTAATAAATGTATGCCTTTTTGCCATTAAAAAAGGGTAACCAGACAAATTTGCGAAAAAAATTTTATGGATTGGGGGAAAGGGCTAAAAATTGATATTTGAAGCAACGAGGCATAGGCGTAAAATGCACAGAAACAGCTATAAAACGAAAAAGTAAATCACGAGTGCCAGCGGATCATTATTTCAACGAAATCTACCAACCAGCCAGACATTCTAAAAAATGAGCGGGAACCAATATACAATCCACCGGAAAACGATCGTTTTTGATGACCATGCCCCGAATCACAGTTCCGCGGTAGGCTGTAGTTCGCCGGATCCATCCCGATTCAACGATGCGAGAAAAACACACATAGTGATCGCTGCATTGTCTTACGTGCCGGATTAAAAGCGTTGATCCCTTCCGGGGCGTTGTCGTTTCCATTCCCGCAAAACCTACCGTTCCGGCAGCTGATCAAATGATGAACGCGCGCAGCCGGCGTTTTTTGAACGAAAACTTCCTGATAGGGATATGGGAATCCTGGCGAACCGTCATATGTGCTGCCAGTCCATAAGTTCTCTCAAAATGCTTACCTGTGGGTGGCCAAGTGAAAGTTGTTTTTCGGTTCTTATAGTTTTGTTGAAAAGTTTGGCATTTGTTTTTGTTTTCGATCAAGAGGAGAACTCCTGACTCGTGTCTCCACTAAAAAAAGTTTTGGTTCTACCATTTTGAGCACTCCACAGGGGGATTATTATTATACATTTCGTCAGGTGGAAATAGCAGCAACCGTGCATAAAATCTAGCGATTTGACTAGTTCCATTGGTTTTCACACTTTGAAATTACTTATAACCACCTCTAAATTCGAACAAAACACATTATTAAACGTCAACTATTAATCGCAACATATACTCCTAAACTGTTAGTATTAAAACCCCAACCAAATATTTGATAAACGATTTTATCCGGAGAGGGCTTGTTTTTGAGGAAATAAGGTGCCATTAACAACCGGAAACTCCGGCAATGGAGTTATATTCGCTATATTTTCAATATTTTCAAACGGTCACCTGATCGATAGTTATTATAAACCAGACATGAACGGCTAAATTGCCCGGACCCACGCACCACTCGATCGCCGCCCGGGTAAACCTCCTTTTTGCAATTTTTTACCCGGAACACAATAACGAAGCAGTTAGCCGATTGACCATTTAAGGCCGCTCCCGTCCCGTTTTGTGTTTTAAACCTTCAATTTCATCCCTACCCCAAGTTTCAAAACCCAATTTATCATTTTCGATGTGCGACCGAGAAGTGCTGGCGATTGCCCAGCTTGGGTTGGCATTTCTCAGCGTATTAACGGCTTTTAATGGACAAGGCTTCATCGAAGTAAGCTGTAAAACTAAACAAGGCATTCTTGAATAGGTTGCAATTCTGAAAGATCTAGCAGAAGACCCAACATCTGGTGTCACATCGAATTCGGGTTATTACAGGTGAGTTCTAATCATTTGTATTTACTGATAGATTATTTCAGTTTGGCTCTTATCTACACATCAATGTCAATCTTCAATATAATATGTCCAACTATAATTAACAAATTAGGGCCTAAGGTAAGCTATTTGGAAAGATAGTACAGTTTAAAAACTAAATTTACAGTGGCCAATGGCAATCGGATCTCTATTCTATATTGTTTTTATGCTTGGCTTTATGAAAATCTCGCTATACATGCTATATTTTCTATCTGCCCTATTGGGCATAGGCGCATCATGTAAGAAGACCTTAAAAAGATATAGAGGAATTTTTACAGTAATGTGGACGGCCAGTGGTGTGTTTTTGGTTGAATTCTCAAGTCCTGGAAATCTACAGCGAAATACGGGCATTCTTTGGAGTCTAATTCAGACCTCTCACTTTGTTGGTGGAGGCTGCATTTTGATTGGGCTTAAAGACCAGTAAGTATAACTTTTTTGAATATGTAATCCTTTTAGTGATCTCAAAAGCGGATATATAATGATTTACATGATTTTCGCAGCGCTAGGAGCCGTTTCGGTCTTTTTATATGCAGCTTTACCAAATCGCCCTTTTCATGGTAACCATTCTAATATCTAATACTTTGAAATCTCTTTTTTTTAGTAGGCAAAGCGTTACCATGCAATACCAAAGAAGAAATAACGATTATGGGTGATTTAAGTAAGTTACAATAACACTGTAACTATACTTACTTTTAGAAAAAATGGGCAATCTTGTTTGCGCCCCAAAAATGTACGGTTCATTGCTTATGTTCCTGTATATGGGCATGGAAACGACATTTTCGAATACGGTATTCACGACTTGTGTTACTTGTACGTTACTAAGACACTAATTTGAAGACGAAATGTTTATAGCAACTCGACAACTCTCTGAAGGCAAAGAGGAAATTGTTGCGTATCTGATTTTAAGCATGTCTTTGGGCCATGTGTTAGGTAACAGAACCGTTGAGTGGAAGCATGCATAGACTTTAGGCAGCATATTCCTTGGCATTTGGGCACCATTCCCAGAGAAATTCGGCATTCGCTGGATTGTGATTCTGGGGCTTGTCCTCCACTATGTCGCCTTTATACTTTCCTATCTTGTATTCCCAGCCTCAGCTCCGTTGGGGAAGACCTGGGAAATCGGGCCAATGGAGCCCAGGTATGCTGAAAAATCCTGAAATTGAGTTTTTTTTATAGGATGGACATCTATGTGTTGGTGTCATTTTTGCTCGGGGTTGCGAGTGCTTGTTGGCACACACAATCGATGGTGATGATTGGAGATATATTTGTGGGATCTGAACTGCCGGCCGCATTTGCGTTATATAAGCTGTTCCAGGTGAGTTGGGAGGGGAGTAAAATGAGGTCAAAAGGACTAGGAAGAATAGAGCTAAAGATACCCTTCAAATTAAGGAAAAAAATATAGAATTACCGTCTAAATTAGAAGGAGAATACCTAGCTTAAATTTCTCCATAAATCATTAATGCTTAGACGGTTGCCGCATCTGCCGTCTACATCTACAGCGCCCATCTGCTCCTCCATTGGCAACTAATCATCGCCAGTATCTTCGGATTCTTCGGCCTCTGGTTCTTCCTCGTCGTCCACAAATCGGCAACCGAGGAAGAGAACATCAAACGAAACCGACTGCCTTAAAATCTCCACAATAGCATCCTTGTACATAATAAAGCATTCGGGTTTTGCCACTAGCCATTCACACAAAAACATAAATAAACTCGCCCACCACAACAGTTCTCCCCGCAACGCTATATCGATTTTTGGGGGGAGAACGGAGCCTGGACATATCGCTATTCAAACCAAGTGCATCTCTATTAAATCCTCCAAACCACATATTTAATGCCGGCTGGTTTTTTAACCTTCAAAGAACTGCCATTGACCCTCCTTTTGGTGGCGCTCGGCCTTTGTAGTCTGTAGCCGCATTACCCGGCCTAATTGTTTGTTCTTTTGCCAGCGCACTAATTTACTTTAAAAATAAGATGTGCCAATTTAAAAAAAAACCTGTAAATTACAATTTCAGGGAATGAGACGAGATCTATTTATAATCCTGCAGCTTGGGCTGGCGTTTTTGCTTATCTTTGCGGCATTCAACAGCCAGGGATTTATTGAGGTAAATACATTTAAATATTTTAAATAGAATTGGTTTAGATAGCAGTTTTGAGAAGTATTTCTCAGAATCCGGGCTCTGGGATATCCGCGAATTCTGGATATTACAGGTATAGAAACGGTACAGAGGTAATAAAGTTGATTTAGCATGTCGGTAATCTATTTCGTCTTTACTTTCTGCAATTTGTTGGCGCCGCCGGTGATTTCTAGGCTTGGGCCTAAGGTTTGGTTCTTTCATTTAAATAAGTGAATATTATTTTAGTTATCAATGATACTGGGTGCAGCTTGTTATGCATTATTTTTGGCTGGATTTTTGCAATTATCCGCTTGGCTGCTATATTCATTATCTGCACTTCTTGGAATGGGAGCTGCGTGTAAGTATTTGAAAATACAACGTAAAATTCGAACAATTCTAAATACAAACAGAATTTCAGTGATATGGACAGCCAACGGAGTCTATCTCGTAAGATTCTCTCGCGAAGGCAAAATGGCAAGGAACAGTGCGATTATGTGGACGATGCTTCAAACATCACTCGTCGTCGGAGCCATTTTCTTGGCAATCGTATTACATGAAAGGTATAGAAAACCTACAACCTTCATTTTTCATCCAATCTAGTGATCTCGTCTCATCTTTCCGTTTTGTTTACGCTATCTTCACCGGCATCTGCGTGGCAGGAATTATCGTTTTGATCGCACTTCCCTCATCTCCAGAATCTATCATATTTGGTAAGAATGTTATAATTGCATATTTATATTCGATATTAGATGAGGAACGTGCGGAATTGATTGACAATGAAATACTACCGGGCGACGCCGAACAGCAGCGGCCCCCATCAAGAAATGTGGCAGATATCTCCACCATGACGCTGGCTGAGGAATTTGGTAAGCAAAATAACCTTCTACTCTTAGAAAATTGAGAATAAAATATGATCAGCGTTTAGGTCAAACATTCGCCTTGGTCAGAACCCCGAAAATGGCGATGCTGATCGCACTTTTCCTATTTTCTGGAATCGAGAGCAGTTTCTATGCTGGAGTCTACACCGCGTGTCTGTCAGGTATTATAGAAACAATCAAAACAATACATGAAGATAATTAAGCTTTTAAACACCTCAGCGATACCTACAATGCACTGATTGCATACGCTGTATTGGCGATGGGGGCTGGTCAAATCGTCGGTGGGTTAAATTAACGATGTGTCATGGGAAATTCTGTAATTTAGGAGGCTTATGGTTTGGACTCGGAGCAAAAACACCTTCAAAATTCGGAAGAACCGGTGTGGTGATGTTTGGAATCGCGCTCCACTTCACCGCGTATTTTCTGTGTTTCCTCAACTTGCCTATGACAGCTCCACTTGGAGATACGACCGAGACTGGCTATGTTGAGCCTAGGTATGTCAATTACCTTAATGCTAAAGATATATTATTTAGTCTGGTTACCGCGCTAATTACCGCATTTATGCTTGGCTTGGCCGATTCTGCTCTCCACACCCAACTTTATACAATGCTGGGCGGTATCTACAAAGATGAATTGTCCTCGGCTGCTTTTGCTTTATTCAAATTTTTCCAGGTGATTTGACTTGGCTATTAATATACCAATGATCCTTATTTAGTCACTAGCATCTTGCGCAGCTTTCTACTACGGTAGTGTACTATTGCTGCATTGGCAGTTGTTGATCTTGGTTATATTCGGAGCAGCCGGAGCTGTCGCTTTCTTCACCGTTCACGCCTGGGCTTCACAAGAAATTCAGACCCTGGAAACGACCGAGCAGTAATTCCAAACTCCTAATTTACATAATCTCCTGTATATATCCCCCGTTGCTAAGCACAAATTGCCTTCTCTTTGTGATATCCCACCAAAGATTAACATTGATATTTAAAAATTTTTTTTTTTTTTGGCATTTTCGGGCTGGTTTGACACGTGTGCATATTTGATACTTTGAATAATAATAAATCTATTTTTATATAATTAGCGTTTTGCAAAGCTTCAGACCATGTTAATGGCTTATTCTTTAGATCAACAACTGAAAATGTAATTCATGCTGTGTGGTTTAGACCCGAATGCAAGATGAGAGATTGACCGTATTTCTACTTGGTCTAGGCCTATTTTTAGTGTCTACGGCCGTTAATTGCCAAGGTTTTATTGAGGTCTGTATTTGGCAAACTTTTTTAAAATATTCCACGTGTAGATAACGGTTTTAAGAAAATTATCTGATCAAAAAGACCCGATTCCAAATGATGCCGGATTTTATAGGTATATAAAGTCTATGAAAAAAACCGAGTCGCTATTTAGTTTTGCCATTAACTACTTAACAGCAACATTTGTTACGCTTCTCGCGCCGGGATTGATCGGACGGGCTGGAGCAAAAGTAAATACAACTCACAGTTTCGAAATATATATTTCTAGTGGATCATGGTAACCGGCGCCTCTTTCCAAGCTATTTTTCTCATTGGATTCCAACACTTGACCAAATGGAGTTTATATATCCTTTCTGGCATTCTTGGGGCTGGTGGTGGCTGTAAGTTCTAATCAATTCACCATTATCGACTACAGTACTATGGACGGCAAATGGTGCTTATCTGGTTTCACATTCCAATCCTGAAAATCTCAAACGAAACTCTGCATTTATGTGGGCAATGTATCAAGGATCTCAGATTGCATCAGCTATTGCATTGTATTTAATTTTACATAACAAGTAGGGTAAACCGCATCAAATTAATTATTCATATTCAGAGACTTTATCGAGTCATACCGCCTTATGTATGGAATTTTCGCAGGGATTTGTCTATTAGGCGCTGGCACCTTTGCGTCATTGCCCACGAAACAAACTTCAGTTGCAGAAAATTCAGATGAAAACGCACTAATAGAAACGGAGCTGGCTGTCGACAATGGTTTCGGTAAGACTAGCAAAAAGACTCGTAACAATCAAATTAAGATTCGGCAGTATCACTATTGAAAGATCGTCGAATGCAAATATTTCTAGTCGTATTCTCTTTCATCGGATTCGAAACGGCGTTTCTGTCTTCGATTTATACTTCCTGTTTGAATGGTAAAATTTAGTAACTAATTAATTGTCGTATTTAGCCACGAATCTGTTGATCAATGGTAACGAAGCTATTTTAGCCTATAATATCCTCTTTATTGGGTTTGGAGAAATTATAGGTGGGTTATAGCTTTTTTCCAAATTTTTGGATCTAGCTGGTCTCTGTTTCGGAGCAGGGTTTGCCGTTTTAAAAGGTTTACGATCTTTGTCGATTGTAATTATCGGAACTGCATTCCTCTTCCTGGCTTACCTATTGAGCTTTTTGAATCTGCCTGCATATTCCACGATCGGTCCGACAAATCAGACGGGAGTACTGTACCCAACGTGAGTATAATTTATTTACCTTTATTGCGGGTTTTTAGGCTGGGAATATCATTAGCCAACTCATTTTTTATCGGTATTGGTGATTCTTGCTGGCAAACACAAATATATCCAATGATGGGCCAATTATTTGACGGCTCTCCGACAGCATTCGCCATCCAGCAATTTTTCTTGGTAAGGGATATTAAGGTATTACTCATACATCCCATGATTTTCCAGACTTTCTCCTCAGCGGCCCCGTTCCTGTATGGATCCGTTCTACTATTACCTTACCAAATCTTAATCCTTGCGATAATGTTGCTACTCGCCACCACGGCATTTATTTACCTATCCGGGTACACGAACCTAAGCCATAATTACGGTGCTACTGTTGAAGCTGTTCCTGAATAAATGAAGAATTTAAACCATGCACCAAATATTAAGTGTGTGTGACCGGGAAAGCGGGGGGGAAAGAATTTCGGAACGTATCATGTCAGCCAAGTGGGTCAATGCCATAAGATGGGGGGCTAGGGGAAAGCGAAAGAGTATGTAAAAAGTGATATAATTTGTTGTTTTCCGGAAAACGGATTGATGGCAGTTTGGAAATATATCGTATTATTGGAAAAAACAGCTAAACGGTGCCTTTAGAACTCAGAGCATGGCTGAATACTTTAAAACTCGCTACTGTAGAAATAGCGCCAGTAAAATTATCTAAAAACTTATATATTTTTTTGATGCACGGAAACGGAATTAATGGATCTTGTTCAACAAAAAATGACATCTTAAATAACTTCACAGTTCCTTCAAGATTCGAAATGTGACGAGGTACTATAAAACTGGTTACTGTAGAGCAACTTAACGGAGTCTATAGAACCATTGGCAACTTGCCCAAACACCCTCAGGTGTTCCCCGCCATCCACGCAGGTGCTAATATGAGCACATGCTCTGGAAAGGGGCAAGAAGAATCACGTTATCACTCCTGAGCTGCACATCCTCCTCTCCTTGCTCCTCTTCTTCCCCTCGAACCCACCCCTGGTGCTCCGTTGACCGAAATCCGTTCGGGGTAAGGAAGGGGGGTGAAAGGGGACCTCAACCTGCATTCTCCCACCCATCAGCCACACTATCGACCACATCGTCCACCACTACCGCGAGCGGATAGCGCCGAAATGAATATCGTAAGTTTCGTTATTTATTTTATTTGTTACAGAAACGTATCAGTGGATAGAGAGTTAAAAGAATCGTTAGGTCACGGTTTTCGATGGGTTACGGTAGGTGATTACCATGCCGTCAGCAGCTTTTTTCTTGGCTTTGCCCCCACTTCTGCACCGCAGAATCAAAATATATCGCAGTTCGCTTTATTTCTAGCTAGTGAACATAACAAATTCATAATTTTTCATATATTCATATTATTCATAATTTCAATCTCAAATCTTTTATTCTCAAAAATGCTTAAGGCATTCGGTTTGGTTCTTCCGAAAAAGTTTTCGGGATCGACAACTTTAGCGCCCATTTCAGCTTCAAAAAGGAATTTTTTTAATATTTCATAATCATGCAGAAGTTAGATGGTTTCAAAAAACGGTTGTTAAAACCTGTGCCGAACCTGACTCGGTTGGCTGCGTAGCGTCTTTACTCCATCCCCCAATTCATCTTTACTACTTTGCTTATTCAACCCTCCTACCTATCCCCTCCCACAAATTAGCGAACAAGGAATGGCCGGTGCTAGCGGGTGGTTGTGGGATGAGAATGAACGGATCGTAGAGAGGAGTGCCACCACCTGGTGCGCCCAGTCTCGCGATAACATCAACGCTGCTTACTTGTATGCTTTTCCTTCACAACCATTAGTCCGCGCACCGTTTTTGTGTTTTAATGGATCATTGCGTGACTGGATATAGTATATTATTAGCCCAGCTTCCTTTTTGATACCGGGTGTATACCTTTCTTAATAAACGGGTTTAAAATGCTCCGGCTGTGCCAAATAATTGCAATACCGAGAAATATAATTTCCAGGGCGATCCCGCTTGGCTGGATACTGGCCATGGATATTCAGTGCCTGTAATCATCAAAGACTTGGACCCGATCGTCATTGAATCTGTTGTTTCGGTAATTTATCGATTACCGAGGAAACTTTCCAACTCAGGGCCAAACAATGGTTGTCGAAGAGCCTTCACGCTTGAACACCAGAAAAGAGACCAAGATCCATGTTCAAGATGTTTTAGAATTGAGGTATTCAACTTCAGATCAATCAGAAACACTCCACAACCTCAACATTTTATAAAACCCAATTTTAGCGATCCATCCGAATCCCACATCTTGTATGCTCTACAGGAACGCTTTCGGAACCGCAGGATTTATGTGAGAACCAATCGTACAACGCGATCAGCCAACATTTAGACGGCCTTGGGCGAGCACCTCGTGTTCATTAATCCCAACGAACCGCTGCCGATTTATGACGGTTCCGTCCTCGCACAGATTGTCAAAAATAAGAGCGACAAAGCGTTGGTCATAACATGGAAATATTAGGAAAAGTTTAGGCATATTTTCTCGTTGGTTCGGAATGTGGTCAATAAGATCCGTGATGGTTCTACGGCGGAAACGATTGTGTTCCGGTTTGTATATTTGTTTTTTTTCTAAATGACTATATGAAATTAGGGGCGAAACCGGATCCGGGAAAACGTTTAATGCTGCACAGGCTATGAACGCCTTGGCCTCGTTGGCACCATCAAGGAAGCGACCAATCACACAGAATCACGTAAGTAGGAAAAAGCTATTTGGAAAATCTCTTCAGATGGAAGCTCTAAATCGTGTCTTCCATTCATTCGGTACGGCTCGAACTGCCAAAAATCCAAACTCAACGAGATTTGGTTATGTCTTGGAGTTCCTTTTGAAAGAGTAGGTTTGGAAAAGAGGGAAAGAATTTAAAATCTAGTCGGAACATCGAAGGACTAGCGATCCGCCACACGTTGCCATTAGAACTTGGAAGAGTAGTGGCCCACCGAGCCCCAGAAAAGACCTTTAACGTCTTCTACGAGATTGTCGCTGGTCTATCGGAAGCTCAAAAAGAGGAGCTGGAAATGCTGGAGGAGAAGAAGTTCTTTTATCTAAGCCAGGTAAACATTAATTCGTTTGTTTGATTCTTTTTAGGGGGCATTGAATGACCCGACTGACAACACCGATGCTGAGAATTTTGCGAAATTGGATTTGGCTTTCGATACTCTCGGATTTTCCGAGGAGCAACGATCATTCGTCTATCGTATTCTTGCCGTGATCTTGCATCTTGGGAATACCTATTTTAAGAACACAAAGGTAAGCCCTGATTCTAGATTGGGGATCGCTTTCAGAATGCTAATGGAACCGAGGGTGTCGAACTTGGATCGGGTCGTGAAATTAGCACCACAGCTCGGCTTCTTGAAATCAACGAAGCGAAATGGGGAGCTCATTTCGAACACAAGTTTTGGGTAAGCGATTGAGGTATTTTGTATCCGATGTTTTAGAAAACCGATGATGGAATTCAATCTGCTAATTTGAACATTAACCAGGCCTTGGATTGCCGGTAACTAATAAAATATAACTTCATACTTTTCTAGTGATGGTATCGCTCAACTCCTGTACGAAGAGCTTTTTGCCTGGATTCTAAACCGAATTTCTCAAAATTTCAAGTGCCCTGAACATACCGCTGTTATTCGTATTGTCGATATGTATGGATTCGAGGTAAAATTCTACATACCACAACAATCGTCGGTTTTAGCGCTATGCCGCAAACAGTCTGCAACAATTGTGCATCAATGCTGTAAACGAGCGTGTGCATGGTTTTTACCTGAGAAAGGTTTTCGAGGAGCCAATTTCGGAAATGGCCAAGCAGGGGATTAAGCAAAGCTTCGAGGTATTACTGGCTTCAGCATAATCAAGTCTTTCCTAGTACCCCGGTGTTGAAAACGCAAAGACGATCGAACTTTTGTTCAAGAAGCCAACCGGACTGTTGCCGTTACTAGACGATGAATGCAAATTCCCGAAGGTAATTCATATTGGGGTATTTCGTAAGAAACCTTAGGCTACTGATGAAACGTATCTACAACATACGAATTTGAATCATCTCGACAAAAGCGTCTACGGGAAATCGAGGAATAAGGACAAGTAGCGTAGAATTTATAAATTGACGAAACGTTTGACCTTTAGGTGTGAATTTTCGGTCCGCCATTACGGTGGAACTACATGGTATTCGATCGTTAATTACATTCATTCAAATCGCCGTGCAGTACCGGCTGGCATGATCCATGCCCTTAGCCAAAGCCACAATCAGGTAAGTATCCTACATTACCAATTTGTATATAGACCTCTCTTTAGAATATCCAGTTGATGTTCCGGGCAATCTGTGGCGGCCGTGAATTTGGAGATTATATTGTGTATGCTGGCCTGCAGCATTCGAAATCAATTCAACAGATTATTCAAGCGCTCCATGGGTAACCATTTTTGGAAAAATATGTAAATGTTTCCTTAAAGCACTTCGATCCACTTCGTCGCTTGTGTCCGTGCTAACTCCGAACGACAAGTGGCCAAATTCGATCTGCCTACAGTATCTCGGCAATTGAGAGTAACTCTTAACTCTTCGATTGATTAAAAAATATTTAGTCCCTTACAATCCTGGATTCCGTCTCCTTCCGCGTCAACAACCCGACGATGCGATTTGAGCAAGCAGAATTTGCGCGTCGCTTCCGATGTTTGCTCCCGGGGATGATTGCTGTGCATCAGAAGCCTGAAGAAATCATCAACGATATTCTGACGGGCCAAGGATTTGCGTACCAGGACGATTATCAAATTGGTTTGTGAAATTGAACTAATTGTCAATGATCGAAAAAAATATAGGCCCGCAATCAGTGTTCGTCAGTGAGAAATTGTGTCGTCGTTTGGAATCTCGTCGGGAAGCTGTCATCGACGACGCAGTAGTGGTTCTGCAGAAAGGCTTGCGGTGTCTGATTGTTCGGCGTCAGTATGTAAAGCAGAGAAAAGCAGCCCTACTCATCCAGTCTGCATTCCGAGGATGGCTGGCTAGGTGGGTTGCATGAAATTTGTGCATATTCCTATTTTAGAAAACGGTACATCGACTTGCTGGACAGCCGTCAGAAGACCCTATCGCAAGAGGCCCGAAAGAACAAGCGGCTACAGGCCTATCAAGAAATTGCAAATGGTGCTCAAGAAGCCGGGGAGGATGAGGTAAGCAGTTACTCCTCATGCTTAACCTTAGCCTTAGGTGACGCTTGGATCTGTCGCTCATTTGGATGTTGGAGAGGACATTCGAAAGACGTTGGAGAGTCCGTTTGGTGGGAAGAAGACGGAGACCAGAACCCTTCATAATTATCTGTCCACACCCACTCGTCTTATTAAACCAACCGTCCAACCGATGACTATCGAACAGTTTGCAGAACAGAACTTCAAAGTTAATCTCCTCTAAAATTTGATAAATTTATCTTAGGGCCATCTCCTGGAAGTTCGTCGTTCCCCCATCGCTACCCCTTTCTTGCTCAAGACCTGCGAGGCCGATTTCCAGCTTTCACTCTCTATGTTCAAGCTTGTACTCAAGTACATGAATGATGCTACTCTCACCGGGGAAAAGCTACAAGTACTGGCAAAGATTATCGTCCAAATGGCCATCTCCAACATTCATCAACGCGACGAACTATTCATTCAACTGGCCAATCAAACTTATAACAACCCACGGAAAGCTAATGCGGATCGGGGCTGGACGCTGGTGCTGTGCGCCTTGAACTCTTTTCCACCAAGCCGACTTGTACTACCAATGCTGCTTGGGTTTGTCATCTCATTCATATAATCCTTTTTTTTAGTTATTTCCAGGAGCAGCAGATGCCTTTGAAAGGCTGCCTGGTCGAAGCTCTTTTGAGGAAAGTGAAGACAATGGATCCTACTGTAAGAAAAAGCTATAAAACCTGCAAAGAACGTAAATTAGGCTTCACGTATCTATTCTTCGAATCGTTTGGAACAGTTGTCTTTCACCGCCAGACAAGGCATGACCGTCCAAGTTGAAACCCCTGGAGGTGAAACCCTTCTAGTCGAGGCTCAACCCTGGGCTACTGTAAATGAAATGGCTGGGAGAATTTTGCGAGAAAGGTTGGTACATGAGTCGGTTAAGTAAAAATTCTTTAAGGGGCGTTACGAACAGTGATGGTTGGACTGTATCGGTCGAGTCAGAAGAGCAAATCTACGCACCACTTGGAGGTAGCTATGCTTCGAAAAGTAAAAGCAAAGGATTTCAGGCGACTTCTTCCACGACGTCATCTGCGAGATCGAAGGTGTGGACAATGACAGGCCCCTCTTTTTCAAATATTCGAATGCCGGCTTGACTGTTACTCAACCGAATGGGCCTCCTGCTACGGAAACACGTTTGAATCGCGTCAGGTATCGTAATGACGTCCGTCATCTAAATAAAAAAATTCCAGAAGTTCACCAGTCGAGAAGCGTCGCGTCAGGAATTTCTCGGCTCAAACAAGGGATAGCACAACTGACGATTCCTCGAATTCCCCTCGAAGCCAAGATGAGGGTGATCGGGAGAATGTTTATAGCTACACAATGCCAAGAAAAAAGGGGCCTAGAAGTGAGGATAGCAAATAATCTTCGAAAAGCGGGTTTAGGTGTTTCTGAAGATCCACGTGGGGCATCGAGGGCTAGTACGCTGGGGAGAGGAGAGCGAAACCGTAGTCGCGGGGATGAATATGACGTACGGAAGTTGTTTATATCAACAATTTTTCCCAAATTTAGACGATCGATGATCGCCCAGTCTCTCGTGTCAACCGAGCCCCATCACAGAATACGTTGAGGAGGTTGGTTAAGTTTGAATCAGCAAAATTACAAATTTTAAGGTATCACGATAGCCAACAAGCCTTTTCCATCGCACAACCAATAGCCCAACCCATTTATGTTCCCCAAGGCGGCGTGGTTAGACCAGTTTTTGATTCCTCTAATGATTTTAGCAATTCATGCCCATGATGATGATCCCTACGAACGGCGGAAATATGATGCAACCGATCTATGGAACAATGCCACAACCGAATCCTGGTAGAATTACATCTAAAGATTCGATTAAAAATGACGTTCTAGAGCCTCGCCATCATCGTGAGTTTTCCAACGACTCCCTCGATGATGCTGCTCCGGTAACGTTATATCATTTTTTTAAACCCTCCAATTTTTTTTAGTCAAGGCGCACTCCGGCCTCCCGCCTAACCGGTCGTGCCCCTAGCACGGATCGTGTCCCATCAGAATATTCAAACCTTAGCGTCGCTTCCAGGATTCGCAGAATCCCGGTTCCACGGGAAAATGGTGACGTTGACAGATTCCTAGATGAAGTTTTCGATCAGGTTTTTACCGCCGAGTTTTCATAAAATTGCCATATAGGTGTTGTCCCCGCAAGAATTAAAAAGGACCAAGCTCCCGACCAGTATGTTGGCCGCCTCTATCAAGGGAGGACTTGGAGACGTGGTATCCTAAACCTACAATACCTAAATTAAAATCCAGAAGAACCGTCAGCCCAGTCGCGATCGTGAAGGCTACGGTAGTAGCGACTACGACTACGTAGAAAGACGAGATGTTCCGTCACGCAGCAATGGACATTATGATGGAAATAACAGCAGCGGCAAATATTATGAGCTGGATGACGATCGAGACCGGACACCGGTGATGGCTAATGGAGATAATGATCAAGTAGGTGGTTAGCAACATTCTGATCTGTTTGCAAGGTGTACGGTACCGCACTTGGACGCTCTAGGAACCTATCTAGCGGCCAAAGTCAAGGGCACGACAGAAGAAAAGAAAGACATCGGAGCCAGCCATCAAGGTTTTAGAAAACCATTTTACCTAAAGGTGAATTTCAGGAATGTGTATGATTCTGTTTATGGAACTCAACAACCAATGTACATGATGGTTCCGGTGCAGATGGGTGCAAATGGTCAAGCTCAAATGATGCAGCCAATGATGATGCCCCAAATGATGATGCCACAAGTTGGGGCTGTTCTTTAACAAGTACAAAATATCTCAGATGATGTGTATGCCACAAGGAGGTTCATTGGCAAACTCGCAAATGTCTCATGTGCCCAGGTAAAAATTCAACTGAAAATGACCAAAGAATACGTTTAGTAGCCGCCTATCTTCTTACGATTATGATGATGGCTCAGATTCACCAATCGGTGATGTAAGTCCCTTCCAATTTCCCCCACTACCCTGAAAGCAAAAGCCTGCCCATGTAGCGTTGCCATAAAGATGAGCCTGGTCTTATCACAATGAGTTCATATTTCAAGCATACGTCCCCGGCACTTTTTGTTTGTCTATTGATTCCCGTCGCCCACTCACGGCGGCCACATTCCACCGGAATTTATACTATTTTCGTGATTTAGGATCCACATCCCGGATTCCAGACGGCTACGATCAAACGGGGAGAACCTATGCGTGCACAGTAAGCTTCGGAAGTTGTTTGAAAAAGTTCTTAAATTAGACTAGCTTCACGGGATGCCACAATGACACCATCGTCCGAACTTGAAACCCCGATCGCCGGGAAAAAGGCAAACAAGGATTACTAATACATAACCAAGGGTTTAGGGATTAAACCGTATTCCCACAGAACTCTATCGTGTTGTCCAGAATCAGGTAAGTCGCTATAAATTCTTTATCCACTAACATTGCACAGGTTTCTAACAGCGAGCACCCAACGCCGCATAAATTCCCGTTTAATGGGATTCACTTTGCAAAAGAACAAGCTAAGAAGGAACGCGAGGCTCTAGATAAACTAAACGAGGCCAATAAGGTTCATAAATTGCACAAACTATCCTTAACAACTATCCTAATTAGCACCTTCCACCTCCAATCGATGCTGTTCGACTATTCCGGCCAAAAATCCAGAAGAAAGAAGAACCCGTTGGGACGCTTGAAATTCCCGAAGAACCACCAGCTATTTGCATTGTAAACACTACTAATTTAATAATTTGCGATTGAAGAACCAATAAAAAATCTTACTTTAGGTACCTGCAAAGAAAGACTGGGGCTCGGAAGTTCAGCGCTCAAATACACGACTGCTCAGTCCGGAGTCTCATGCTTCTCCGATTCCAGGTTTGAGAAAATCTATTTTGAGTATAGATAATATTTAATTAGAACCACAACCAGCACGCCAAGTCCCAGTTTTCCTGCCAAGAGCCCCATCTCCGGTCCGCCAAAGACCAGCCTTGAGCTATGTGAAGCAGCCATGGAAGCTGACCATCCGGAAAGAAGTTAGATAATCCTATTGATTCTCAATTGCCTTCAGATGTTCTATCCCGGAGAGCGCCTTGATGATCCCGTCATGATTTCCCAAGTCTTTTCGCAAATCATCGACGACTGCAAGAAGTTCATCCCCTACCGTATACGAGCTCATGAGCGCGAAAATGTTAAAGGGATCTTAAGTAATTACCTATCATTTTTTGAAATCCTAGTTAAGAGGATAGCAAAGTCCCACCAGAACTACTGGCTCGTCAAGATGAGATTCCGGTCGGAGTGAAGGCTCGCGTCGTTGAAGCGGCTCGCCGCTGGCCACTTTATTTCTCGCAAATCCATGAGGTAAGTAAGAAAACACTTAATTCAATAAATTTAGGTGGTTGAAATGCGTGGAAATGAAAATATCTACCTATTATTGGCCCTGAGTGAAACGGGACTCCGACTTCTTGTGCAAAACCCAATGCAAAAGGAATCGCCCCTAAAAATTCAGGATCATTTCGAGTAATTTTTCATTTTCTACCTAACTCTGCCCCCTTAGCTTCGACGATATTCGTGGGGTTGATGTTCAACTTGTCGATCAGCTTGTGCTGACCACAAAGAGTGGAATGAAAGTCGTCCTGCGCACTCAACGCGCTGATTATATCAAGGCACAGATGGCCAAGTGCTTTGATGGTGAAGTCAAGGTATTTTAAAGTTCCAATTTAACCTCCGGAATTTAGGAAAAGGTCTTCATGCGTGCCGTTACGGACTATATTACTAAGGAGCCGAATTTGCTCAGTTTCGTTAAGGTATGTAAGGTTTTTTGGGTTCTCACGGTTTGATAACCGATCGGCAAATTTCCGGTTGCGCCCGCGCGCCCTAAAAAAGAATTACGATCCAATTTTTTTGGCAAGGCGTCGCAGACCGCCGGCTGGGGGGCGGCAATTGTCAAAATCATGGTCGGCAAAGTATCGGGCTTAAACAAAAAGTTCTTGAATGGCAGAAAACAAAATCTCATAAAGTCTACATATCAATAAAAATAGATAGCACAATGTGTTTATACTAATTGGAAAGGAAAGGGAGAGGTTCTCTAACTAGAATCTAGATAATGCATATAGACAACTGCCTTTTAGGGAGACGTCATCGAAATCCTCACACCTGAGGATGAGGTGGTCCCCGTCGGATGGCTGCACGGCCGGCTTGGCAACCGATACGGCAATCTACCAAAAGATTATGTAAAGCCGTTAAATGCTCCGGTAAGCATCAGATACCTATGACTTATCCAAACATTTCCTTAGCTCGATGACCACCCACTTCCACCGCCAATCATCACCGATATCGCCGACCCAGCCCCACCACCATTACCCCTCGACGATATCGTAAGTCATCCCACTTATCACCCTAAACAGCCCCAACCAAAACTACTCGGAGAAACTCGTTTTTCTCTGGCTCCTCAAAAAGGCTCCTCTCTGCCTGTGTTTCTTTGGCTGAACAAATTCCTTCTCTCCGTCGAATATTTGTGGCAAAGTCTTGTTCACCTCCCCTCCTTCCTTCCATCCTTCCATCCATCCTTCCCATTTTCCACCCCCACCCCCGGCCTCGCCAACCCGGGAGCGACCGCGCCCCTATCGATGCCCGCGCGCTTCACGCTCTATTGATTAACACAATCCCCCCACTTTTGGTGGGTTTGGCCCCTTGATTTGATTCACAGCTACACCTCTCCCATATCATCATGGACTATCCGCGCTCGCGCTCCAGGCCTAGGGGCGATTATTCCCCAAGGGATGAATTCTTCAATGACCGTACCCATCGCTCTAAAAGCCTCGACTACCGCCGGGGGAATTGGAGCGAGGAAGACGATTTCCAAGATCGTGATCCCCGTCTGCGCCATAGTCAACCACAACTGAATCGTGGTCCTGACTATAGCCGTGGCCCAGGCCCGGAAAGCCCACGTCGTGAACATCAAATTGAGACTAGACGTCAGGATTACTTCGATACCCCACGGCGTCCGGATCTGAACCGCTCGCGTGAGTTAGCACGTAGCCAGGAGTGGTATCCATCTCCTCAACAACAACATCGTGAACGCTATCAGCCACCTAGCCCCAATGATTCTCGTCAAAAATGGCGGCCATTCAGCCAGGGGCGCGGCGAGTACGCGCCTCGCCAACATCAACGTCCTAATATTTCGCCAAGATCTGAGGTGTCTGCTAAACCACTAAAGATCACGACCACCAACCGACCAGCTCGCGGATTCTTTGGCGGTGGTGGTCGTCGCGATGAGGAGAGTCCAAGATCTATTGGATACCCAGCTCCAGGATACCAACAGCCACCAAGAGAACCACGAGATCCTGGCTATCGTTACCAGGATCGTGGTATGGAAGTGGCGACGATTGGTGGAGGAGGGGGCGGTGGTTATTCGAGGTCCTATAATCATCAAAGCTATCATCAAGGTCATTCTGGAGCCGCTACTGGTGGAATGTCTACAGCTTCTGGTCGGCGAGCCGTTTCAATGCAGCCAATGGGGGCTGCTCCATCATGGAAGCATGGCCCCGGGGCGCCTCCACGTTATCGTAGAGTTCAATGCTGTTGTCTGACATTCACTTGGCCTCCATGGTCTGTTGAACCGGCCCAACCTCCTCAGCCCATCTATCGAAACATCTAAAAATGTTGATTTTGCTCTATTTTCCGACTTCTGAATCCATGAGTTCCGGAGATTAAAGGGGCAGCTTTCTCCAAAAAGCAATATACGAGTCACTTTTTTCCCTGACCCTTTAATTTCCTTCTATCTACAAATTCTTTTTCTATCATACTTTCAACACATTTTTCCGTTTTATGGCGCAATTTCGGCCAAAGAATTTGTTTTTCCTCGCCAGGCAGCATTTCTTTTTGACAAATCCCAGATCCCGACCCTATTTTGCCTTCTCGCACTGCCATATTTTCACCTCATTGTTGCGATGTAAATAGCTGCGCAAAAGAACCATAAATTTTTATTAGAAGAAAGCGCTGTCTGACTGCATTACATAACCTAAATGCAAAATAGCATCAAAAAATTTGGTAAGTTAATTGCGCGGGGGCTTGAATTGCAAAAACTAAATTGTACCTTCAGGACATCAACGACTACAACTTCGAGGACAATGCTTATGAATTGGGAATTGGAAATGATAAGCATACGATGATGGAGTTTGCTTTGATGTACTATCGGAGTCAAGGCAATGAGAGCGGCAAGGGAAAACGTGGGTTTTATGCTGAGCATCTTGTATTATTCTTTTAACTATTCAATTAATTATATTTTTTGTTTTGGAAGTTTCTTGGTCCAATTGGGTTGATGCCTTGTTTCCTTAGTCCTCTCGCCCCACCCTATGGCAAAAACCTGCGCACACTTTCGGTTGCCTTGTTTCCTGTTCCAGCCGTAGGCTGGCAGACGCAAAAAAACTCGAGCCACACCCTGACGTCTCGATCCATCCGATCAGCACAAGGGATGACCCCATTTCGTCGATTGAAGAAGTACCCCATTCCTTCGGCGCCACACCTTCCCCCCTTTCCCCCCGTGAACCACAACCCGTGTACCGCCACATTATGACCTATTTTTTCCAATCACCCCGGAAGGCATACGGCTTCATGTTTGTGTGCCCGCAGCGGCCGAGACGGCCTTGAAATGCGCAAATTTCCGTATAAGCTGATGTGCACGGGGTGGGGGTGATAATGCGTATTGTCCTGGACCTTTCCCCACCGTGACAAGGAAAATTTTCCGGAAAATTGAGAAACTTATCGTACCAAAATTGGATCCCAAATTTCAGGTGGAAAGCAATGGACATGGAGAGATGTTGCAGACAAAGTGAAATGGACAGATCGCCCGATCCAGCACTCACTGATTCGCATCGATAATGCCGAGGCAAACAAAATCGCATGTGAAGCGTTTGGATGTAAGAAAAAGTCACAATATGAAGGTTATATTGTAGGTATTCTCCGTTATATGGGGGATGAAAACATGAAGAAGAGCGAGACGAAAACGGATTGTGTCTATCGCTTGTTGCTGATTTGCCAGAAGAACGAGGCGATGAGGGATGAAGTTTACTGCCAGATAATCCGGCAGACGACCAGCAATAGGAGTGCAAAGTAAACATAAAAATGCAGCTCACGTAAATTCAATTTCAGACCTGACAGCCTGGCCCTGGGATGGCGATTGTTCTCCGTACTGACCGCCTACTTCTCAAGTTCCCCGGCGATGTGGCCGTACTTGACAAAATATATCGCCGAGACAGCCAACGACGTTCGAAGGGCTTGCCATGGCACCGCTCAATTGTGCCTGCAAAATCTATCGAAGACCAAGCGATATGGTGGCAGGCGCTTTTTGCTGTCTGGCGCTGAGCTTGAGCAAATCACAATGGTGAGTTGCCTGGATGTGTTTAGAAATTACAATTTAGCATGGAAACCACATCAAGCGACAACACTATTTACTCCCTGGCGGCCACTCAAAACTGGTCAATACAAAGACCGTGACAGTTGTTGAAGAAATCCTGCAAGATCTCTGCAATGGCTTGAATATCCGAAGTCCCGCCGAACAACAAGAATTCTGCGTCTGTATTGCTGTCCCGAATCGTAAGGATAAATATAATGCAAATTACGATATCGTTCAGAGAGCCTAATCTTTGCTGCAAACGACGAGTATGTGCTGGATATTTGCACCGAAATGGAGCATAAGAATAAGGAGTAAGAATTTTGGATAGATTTATAGAAACTATTCTCTAGGTTTGAATTCATCCTCCGACGTACCGTATGGATCCACCCGCTGCGTCTGGATAATATTATGTACATCGATGTGATGTTCCACCAGGTAAAAACAGCGCCAACTTAAAGTTAGTGATTCAAGATACTGCCCGATTACCTTGATGGTCTCTTCTGCTCGCATATGTCTGATGGTAACTTGAGTGCAGCAGCAATGGATGATATCGCCAAGATGGGAGCGTATTTGTACTTCTCATCCGAACAACGCGGAACAAATATCATTACACCGTAAGAGAAAGGGTTTTAGTTGAGGACAGGGGTTTAGGAGGAATATCTATTCCTTAATCCCGGCTACTGTAATCGATCGTTCGATTGGGCCTGATCAATGGGCTAGTCGAGTTCAACACAAGAAGAACCAGATCGGCACGCTGCAGCATTTGGACCCGGAGATGAATGTGACGGCCGCAAGGATGCATTTCTTGCGTAAGTAATACTCGGCGATAGGCATGCATTACGTGGCAAGCCATAGCAACCAACTTGTTTACAGAAATCCTCGAGAAATGGCCACTATTTGGAACGACAATGTTCCCAGTACAACGCACCGAACGTGGTGCAACCAAAGAAGACGTAAGATTTCATTATATATGCGCAAAAATCCCAATTTTTTAGATGGTGTTGGCTATCCAGCGCCGAGGTGTCCAACTCCTAACCCCAATGACCCATACGGTTGTCGAGGAATGGCCTTTTACCCAGGTAACTCAAGCCAGGACTATCTAACCAAATTCTTCAGATTCTCGCCACCAACAAGTTCGAAAAGGATCGTGAAATGATGCTTGATCTGAAAATTGGCACGATGCGTGAACACGTCACGATAACGCTACAAACAAATCGGGTAGGATCAACAAAATTAGCATCAATAAATTTTGCAGGCCGTTGACATTATCCGCCTCCTCGGCCAATACACCTATGTGGATTCTCAAAACAAGTCGACTGCCTATTAAATCTTTAAATAAATTTTTATTAAGTTGGCTAGGACCTAATCAAGACTTCTAGCACTAAAAACACCGTAAAAACACACCAAGCAAAAGTTTCAAGCGAAGACGTCAAAAGTTGGCGTTCTAATAAGTAAATTCAAAGAATAAACCTCAACAAAAGGATTTGAATCCAGAACTATGATTGGAAAAATTTGCATGAGGTCCTTACCTCAGCCCGGCAGTATTGGGACCAATGCTCGACAACTGGCACCTTGAAATCGTGGGACGACCAAAAGGTAGACTGACGAAGAATAAGCGAGCCGGGCGAGATTTTAGCTCATCCGCTTCCTCCAAGCCGCATTCAAATCATTTCTATTTACGAATAAAAGCCGCCAATCTCCTTCGGCAGCAATCGTTACATAGCGTTACCGGATATACCATCATTCCTAAAGAGAAAATCGAGGCTCACGTTCTTCTTATGATGTAATATCAAAGCTTCGATAAGGACAGGGCTATTGCCTCAATATGGTAATTTGAATGCAGCGGAAGGCGTTTGAGGCTGCTGCTGAAAATGAACTGGCATTATTCTTCTGTTACTCCCAAAAGAGGTCGGTCTCCAAAGTTGCGCTTTTTTATGGTTTTCATTTCTCGGGTCGAACACCGCGATTGATTCGGCAACCATGTCTGCCCAGGATCAGGAGTTGAACGCCATCATCGGGTGCCTTTTAGGCTATTTTTCCCTCTCATGGCTACTCTTATGCGAATTTTACAGTCTGAATGCTTTGGCCGCTAATTCCCAGCTCTTGGCGGCCTGCATCGACAGGCAGACACTCGCTTTCAACCCAGCTAACCCGCTCGATGAGCTGAAAGTTAGTGCTAATCGTTTTATCGTCGGATCTAGTGTTGCTTTGTAGTAGCGTATCGCGACTATGAGTTTCAGGGTGTTTGTCTCGGGGTTTTTTCCAGAATCTGTCATTTTTAGGAGACGATATGTTTCTTATAAGATTTTTCGTTCTTTAATATTTCGTGCCAGAAGCCGGTTCAGAAATAAAATGTTTTAGTGATAGCCGTATGCCCAATAAAGTGCCCTATTCATCCGGTGGCACGTAATCTTAAGACCTTTCCTTTCCTCTACAATTTTTCCTTTTTGATTTACAACAAAATAAAACAAGACTGTGGAGACCAGGGTTGTTCAGGGACGGACGGGACGGACGGGGACGGGGACGCGTCCTCGTCCCCTAATTTGCATCCCGAAATGGGGACAGACGGGGACGGATCGGGGACGGTGGGGACGGACGGTGACGGGACAGCGTCCCCGTCCCCGATGCAAATTACGGGGATAAAGTAATGGCATTCAAATCACGCATCGGCTGGGTTTAGAATTTCGGAGAGCAAGGTACAAAACGTGGATAGCATGATTACGATCAAGTGCTTATAACCTAGCACGTAGAGTAAGTAACCAATTGCTTTCTAAGTCGAATATCTCGAATTTTTAAACTCTGTAGCAAATTCCGAAAAAAGGGTGATTATCTGCAGCGCCGACGCCATCTAGGTATAACTTACATCTTGGTCTGAGTTGCATGTATTTTTGACTCCCCTAAAGAAACGAGAAGGAGACCCGAAATAATTACTGGTAAGAAAACCATTTGCATTTCGGCATTTGCATCGGGGACGGGGTGACGCTGACCGTCACCCAGTCCCCCGTCTGTCCGTCTGTCCCTTCCCGGACGCGTCCCCGTCCATCCCCTAATTTTATGCAAATTAGGGTGACGGTCCCGCGTCCCCGTCCGGACGCGGACGGACGGGGACGGGACGCAAAATGACCAACCCTGGTGGAGACAGTTCCGATTTATTTCTTTGCATATTTCGGCGTCTAACCCGTCTAAACTCTGCAAATGCAGAGCACGTGCAGGACACGAAAGCCCACGTGGACCTCTGCACGAAAGCCCACGTGCAGGACATGTCCACGCACGTGGGCCTTCGTGTTCTGCACGTGGACTTTCGTCGCCTGCACGTGGACTTTCGTGTCCTGCACGTGGACCCTCGTGGGCTGCACGTGGGCTTTCGTGGGCTGCACTGACCCACGCTATCGAACTGTCCAGGCTGCCCGCTGTACTAATGCATTAATATCATAGCTTTCTTTTGTGCTTATTCGATTCCAATGGTATACTAAAGCATACGTTTATCAACACAATCAACAAACATCATAGAAACACTGACAGTTGAAATATTCATAATACGCACTCCGTCGTAGCCCGAGGTAGAAGAACCATCTAAACTTTTCTTTTCAAAGCCTTTAACGTACTTGTACAATACAACTTACCAAATTGTACAATACCCGGTAAATAAAGCTCAAGCATATAGGTGCATACCTTATAACCAATCCCGACAATAGATGAAATCATATTAACAATCGTCAAATTGAACATTTGGGAGCGCGACTAAACTATGTTTGATCAATAGAAATAACAATTCTTACCACGGATTGCAGCCTATGCTGACGCTTTTTGCGACATTCACATCTTAAACCTACCATTGACAGTGGGCATTACTAGATAATGTTTCAATATAATTATTTATGGAGTAGGTCCACAAAATTTTACACGCAGAGCCATTTTAAAACGTTCAAAAAGACCTGCCATATCTGCAAGTTGTTAAATAAACTCGGACTTCATTGTAGACACATTGCTGCTTGGATCGGCGATCGATTATGTAGTTGTCTTCACAATCTATGATCCTTTTATCTTAGTCAACATTCATACCTGTAAAAAATCGTCCTCATTACTTCTCGCATTGTCATGTAACTTCCGGTTGGAAACCGAGTTGATGAGGGAATCAGTGATAAAAGCAGTTGAACTTTCAAAAAGAATGCAAAAAACTTTGAACGGTGTTTGAAATATTTGATTTCCGGTTGACTACGAAGTTGACTTGTTTACGGGGTCCACGTGCAGCGGTACCGCGACACTTGCGCCGCAGACACTTGCGCCGCGACACTTGCGCCGCGACACTTGCGCCGCGACACTTGCGCCGCGACACTTGCGCCGCGACACTTGCGCCGCGACACTTGCGCCGCGACACTTGCGCCCGACACTTGCGCCGCGTCACTTGCGCCGCGACACTTGCGCCTGACATTTGCGCCGCGACACTTGCGCCGCGATACCGAGTTTCAGCTACTTGAAGATGCAATTTTTCGCGCGGAGTATTCTGCTTAAAGAAACGATACAAAGATGTTTTTGCGCTAGGAGTCACTCGATTTGGAGGGAAGGTAATTGTTACTTCTTCCGCTCTGCGACTAGCAAAAGGCTTCGTGCCACCCGGGGCCTAGTCGCTTCGGATGGGTGCGAGCTCGTACAGGGTTTCGAGATCGGGGCGCCCGAGGCGCGCGTAGCGGCCAGGGTTTTACTGCAAAATACAGTAATTACATACAAAATTCGCGCGAAATACCAAATTCACTACAGTTTAAATCAATATACGATCCGCGGCGCAAGTGTCGGGCGCAAGTGTCGCGGCGCATGTGTCGCGGCGCAAGTGTCGCGGCGCATGTGTCGCGGCGCAAGTGTCGCGGCGCAACTTTCGCGGCGCGAGTGTCCGCGGCGCAAGTGTCGGGGAGCCCGTGCAGGACACCGTGGCCTACGTGCAGGACACGGTGGTCCACGTGCAGGACGCCGGGGCCCACGATTATGCATGTCCGCGCATGCACAACCGTGGTCTTTCGTGTCCTGCACGTGGGCTTTCGCGTCCTGCACGTGGTTTGCATTTGCAGAGAAATTGGACACACTGCGGAGAAAAACAATTCGAGGCCCAAGTCCGTCAAAATCATAGTGAAATCTGCAAAATAAACCTTAATTTCGATGTAACTATTTTATTTTACGATATTTTGCTTAAAAAATTTGGCTGCACATAGTTTTTACGGGTCCCCATCGCTGGTAAAAATTTGATCCCCATCGGACAGAAGACGGCCAAATGCCGAGGAGGGTTTTTGGGACACCCTGTACATGTGCTTACAGCGCGCCCATAGGCACGTGCGTGTGCATATAGTGCGCTTCCAAACCTATAGTGAATCCACAGACAAGAAAACCCATACCCAAAACCTTTGATGAGGCGCGAGCTTCTGCAGTTACTAAACTTAGGTCGTGGCGGCCAGGCTCATCGTCTCGGGCACTGCTGTCGCCCTGCTTTGGGCGGCGATCGAACGCGAGGAGCCTGGTCTGAATATGGTAGACAAACACTGTTTTCGCTACATGCAGGAGAAGATAAAATAATTTTCACGGGACTAACGTGACCAGGCAAATAAGGGATTAACGAGGAGACGTTTTTATGTGGGTACGGGGTTTCGGAACGGGGCCTAGACTATCTTGTGCAAAAATCCGCTCCGCAAAACGACCAGAATAGAAAAACTATGAGAGTTTAAAACCTAAAAAAAGCCTAAAGTCAGCCACTTTAGACACCTATAAAATCTAGATAAATAAGTTTCCATGAAAAATTAGTTGCGCGTTTTGCTCATAAACGCTCTTTGGAATGTACCATCTCACGCAACAAGTTCGAAAATTTTTTGCAAAACTGAATGTTGGCGACATGGCCCCACATTTGGAATTTAAATAATTTGAGGGAATTTTGAAATTAAAATTCAGAAGAGCGTGGTTTTATGAGCCAGATGCGCTAATTTGATTAGTTCGGCTCAAAAAATTTTGAAGCGAAATAAACTAAGGTCCCAAACTGATCGTTTGGGTTATTCACTAGACTGACATTTTAAATGATGCACACCTTGTAATATTGTGCCCACCCAGCCAGAAAGAGTCAATAAAAAAGATAAGAGCGCCGCTTGTCACTCATCCTTTAGATGGAGTGGCAGGACGTGCTGTTGTTCGCCAACCTCAACACCTCGCTGTTCATGGCTTCGGCACGCTCAGTCCCTGGTATATTTGAGCGCCAACGCACGCTCCGCGCAAACCCGGTACACATTCCACCTTGAATATTCCATGATAGCATTAGTAAGATACAGTATTTCGGTATTCTCAGCTTTCACTATCTACTAATTTCATGAGTTCGAGTTCTGGTTCTGGGCGGCCGATGGATGGGCCGGCGAGTTCGGTGACTACATCGGGCAATTGATTCCGGCGGTTCGCGGATTCTATGTTGGTGCCTATCCATTCCTGATAATAAGTTAACCCTCTCATCAGTAAAATTTTTATTACAGGGACTCCTCAATGACGAGTGATCAATTATGGAGATGAGGAATGAATGGATTTGGCTACGCTTGATAGAAATACTATGAAGAATAAACATCGGGTTCTAACAATCATATTCCAAAGATCGCCAATTTTTGATTCAGTTAGGGAAATAAGAAAACAGGGTTTGTTTCCTTAACCGCCCATCCACGAAACTGGTCGATGGATTCAATAGAAACAGGGGTGCTGTTCTATTTCGCGGGGGGGAACTGTGCGGGGGGAAAATGTTCTTCGGTTTGTTATAACTCTTTTGGATTTTGCTATTTTGAGTTGTAATTAAAACTCTTAGTATATTTTTTGACGCTCTATCGAATGGCATAAAAGGAATTTTTTAAAAAATATCGAAAATGTCGAAAACTAGCTTTCGACTCCACGATCCCATGTGGAAACACCGTATAAACCTTGTTTTTGCTATAACTATTTTATAAAACAATATTTTTAGATAAAATTAAAACTCTTAGTATATTTTTTGATGCTCTATCGAATGACGGGTACAAAATATCGAAAAACCGGCGAGAATGCCGAAAACTAACATTTCGGCACCAGTTACAATAGTTTTTTTTTGTTTTTGCTATAACCTTTTTATATTACAATATTTTTAGCTAAAACAGAAACTCTTAGTATATTTTTTGATGCTCTATCGAATGGCGTTGCAAAAATCCCGAGAAAATAGCGAAAAGATAGTAGTTTTGGCGAAGCATATTTCCCCCCCCCCCCGCGAAATAGAACAGAACCGAAACAGGAATGCTGCGCCAGAGCCAACGCAAATTCAAAAGTATGCTTCGGCAGGGGCTCTTTTACATATATTTTCGTTTTTACTCACACCGGCGCTATGGTACCCCGGAGCGAAGCAGAGCTGATTATGCCAGCAGCCTGACACTGATCGCGCCGGCGTTTATGGAGGGTTTATTTTCTATTTGCCGGAAACTAGAGCTTTAGTGATCCCATGAATTTTGCATAAAATTTCTTAATTCAGCTGTTCCCTCCTGCTCCGCGCTTTTCAGTGGTCCACATTCCACAGCTTTCTACTCCCTGAACAAAAAGAACGGAAGTATGGGAGGAATGCTACAACTAATGGAGACCAGGAACATGCTGATCATCTGCGCAACAATGAAGTCTACAGGTAACCGGTAATACTATATTAAACCTCTTCGAAATACTCACATTCTAGGTCCCAATTCATACGCCAACTACATGCTTCTCCGCCCGGCCGCCATCAACACCCGAAGAATAGCACCGAAATTCTTTCTGGTTGTGCATCTTACTTGCTAATAAATCATAAATAAAATCTATTTATTATACATTTCCTTTGTTTTGCGGCCTATCTAAATATGGCGCAGCACTGGCATTCAAGTCCTTCAAACAGCGTACTTCGATTGACCAAAACACCGAATAAGATCATAAATAATCATAAATTCATCAATAAATCAATAAATCATAAGGTTTATGTGAAATATTAGGAACCGTTTTAACGTGTTTCTAATAACCAAAGGCACCCATACTTAACCAAGCGCTTCATAACAGTGACCGACATCCAAACATTTTTCCCTGTCGCAATTTGAATGAAACTTCGGCTTTGCTGGATTTTGCAGTATATCACTCCTCATTCTTTTCTCTGCACTTGCGAAAAGGTTCGTTTCCTTCTGAAGAAAACTCATTTTTTATCGAAAATATGCCACCTCGAGTGCCGCCCGCTGATCCGCCCCAATTTGTCACCGAGCAGCCACCCCATGACCTCGAGCATTTGCTCGGGTTGCGGGCTTTGCGTAATGATATGCTGTATGCGGCCTGCTTGGTCGTCGTGGAGGGCGGCCAGATTCCCGAGACCCCAGCGGAAGGCATCCGAGTTGGTTAATTTAAGAGATCGGCTAGGTCTATCTAAAGGTTTTATTGGATATGAATACCCTCAAGATTTTCCGCTGGCCCACCCTCGCAACGAGTGCACACGGCCTTCCATGGCCCAATGGATCATACCCACTTGACCGCGGCCAAACGGTGCACGTGTTGCGTGTCGCGGGCCCGGCCAAATATGCCGGGAATCCATAGCCAACAAAATCCATAGGCAGATCTTTCCCGTCCCTTTAATGTACTATTAGGCTGGTACTGTTCTATTTCGCCGGGGGCGGGGGAGAGGCGACGCCGGAGGATTGTTCTTGTATTTATTTTACGTTATTTTAAGCTGGAATAAAAAGTGTGGCTTTATTTTCGATGCTCGATCGAACAGCGTCGAAAAGACCGTAAAAACATAGAAATGTCGAAAACCGGCTTCCCAACTCCGTTTTCAAAGGCGATTTTAGTTTTGCTATAACCATTTGCATTATGCCAGCCGAAATCTAAAACTTAGTAGTTTTTTGTAAGCTCTATGGAAAGGCGTCGAAAGAATTTAGGACACAATAGGCACATGCGTGCAGCGTCGCTTCCCCGAGCTAATCTTTACCCCGGCGTAGTTTCTCCTACCTGCCCAGGCGAAATGGACCATTACCTTTCGGTTAGCAACAACTCAGTTAGAAAATTATCAGGTTGCATACTAGTAAGCTACAAAAGTTAACAAGAAAAATTTTGATAATGTGTACGTTTGTTGTACGAAAAATTTAATCGCTAGTCTTCACTCCGAAAGAGCGCTAGTCAGGTAGCACCCCCGGTATCCGACCTAGAAGCAAGGTATTCTAAAAAGGTGCCCCTTTCGCATCCCCTAGCCTCCAATCTTTAAGCGTTCGGTTTTCGTATTTGAAACTTAGGCTTGGGCTTAGGTGAACTTGAAGGCGCAGCCACACGCGGGTTAGTATGTCATACGTTAAAATAGTTGCTTTTTAAAACAAGCCGTATGGCGGTCAAACCATCGCCAATCAATCAGTTCTCAGGTGCTTTCAACAGCTACCCAAAAAAGCATAAAAGAGGGACGCTCCTATGAAGCAGCGCCTAGCACCTCTATGCCAATTTGTGGCGGAGTCTAGCAGATTCGCGTCCAAAACGGGTCGGAAAGGCAAATTCAAATAAAACCTATTGAGGATCATAAAGTTAGTATATCGCTATCAATATCACCTTCTATATAGCTGGCCGCCGCCCAGCTTCTAATCGCTGGATCATGGTTGTACAGCCTCTTCGGCGCTGCCAATGAGCGCAATGGGGTCCTGCTGGAGGTACACATTAGCCAAAAGCTTTTTCTGGGACGAAGCAATGACAGGGAAGGTGGTCTGCAGAGAAATAGTTTGCAACCAAGTTGATGATTCCAGTGTAGACCGCCTTCTTTTGTCATGCTTCCGGTCTTCTTGAGTGGGCATTGCAATAGGCTCGGCAAGATGGTTCATAGATTTTGTAATCCTGGCTGAGTCGTGAGGATAATTTTCGACCACCTACTTTCCGCATCCATTCATCTACTAGTTGACTCGTTCGACGCATTCATGGATCAGAGCAGATTCTAGAGGACCCTTCATTAATTAAGACCTTACAGTATAGACGCCTTAATTTCCTGTCACATCTGGATGTAGAACTTTGCTGTTTGTAATGTGGTGCCCACTTATCGAGAACGACGAAAAGTTATTCGGATTTGAAATCGACCGTGTCTATGGCTTCAGTTTGATGTCCTCGAGGTGATGGACCTGGCTGACAGCCACATGCAGGTTTATCGTAATGCGGCCCCCCAGCTGAACTACTATGCCCAGCCGGAGTACTTCGACGGCGAAGACCCTGTAACGTTTTTTTGTTCAGGGACTGGTAGTGAGGAGTAGTTGTTATAATTCAAACAAAAACAACCAGTTATTCAAACAACTCAAATAAGTTTGCTTTGTTTAAGCTCGAAAAGTTTCAAACGAAACAACCTTGTTTGAACTTGTTTGGACCTATTTGAACGCCTGAGCTGTGTGGTTTTTGGGAATCTTTGGTAGTAGAACCGGAAATGGATTCCAAAGTTCAGAAACAAATTTCACCGGTAAAACTTTGTGCTATTTGCGAAAATACTTAAAATACGTTTTAAATCCAAAATTAGCCGACAGTTCAAACAAAGTCAAACGAAACTCAGACCGGCTCAATTAGTTCAAACAATCTTGTTTTCTTGGAGCGATCAACGGTCATCTCAAACATAACGTGTTTGATCTGAATCTCCAAGAATCCCTATCAAGCAACGTTGTTCAAACAAGCTTGTTTGAGGCCTTGTTTTGTTTGAGTTATAACGACTCTAATAAGGAGGGTCGGATCGCAAGTCTTTATTTATGGAAATGGGATTTAGAAAACCCGCATTTCGCACCGAATGAAAAAGGGTAGAAAATAAAGTAAGGTAAAAACTGATTTAAGCTAAACAGCTACAGCTTTCAAAAGCTTGCGTTTGGAAAATTGGGCTGTAAAGATGAAGAATTTTTCAGTCAAGACGATGAAGCAAATTCGCCGGGTTTTGAGCCGTTTTTCACTATTTTCCTGGGATTTTTTTTGCACGAAAAGATTCTTGCGATCCGACTCTCCTGGGCTGCGATTGTGGCGATCTCATTTTGGATCTCCCTTAGGTTTCGTTTTTCAATGTTTTGAATTTCATGACTTTATCTACTGGGCGGAGCGTGCAGTCGAGTTCGCCGAGTTCTTCGACGAAGCTTTCAACGGCGTCCAGGGAGCGCTCCTTGGCTTTTATGTCAGCATTATCCATTTGTTTGAAAACAGCCCGCTTCAAGAAATTTTTTATTTTTTGATTCCAGCAGAACCAAGCCATGGTGTGAGGGACAGCTCTACGGTGCATTGAAAATTTAATATATCATGATCTCTTATCCGCAATTCACGAATAAATTTTTTCCATGGGCACTCTGATGCTGATTGAAAGTTTCGCTAAATAGAGCTAGGGCTGGCTTCAGTTCTGACATATTTCTTCTTTTCTCGCACCGACCCTCCCGTGAGCCCACGTTGACGTGCCGACCAGGCCGACGCAGCGAGCCTGGTTCTCGAGGGAAATTTGGTGGCTTTACTTTCCATCTCACAACAATTAAAGAACGATAATTTAATAAATCTTGTATAAATATATAAATTCTTAATTCTTCTGTTCCCTGCTGGGCGCCGGTTTTAGATATCGATGCCGCATGATGCGCCCGTCCGCTCCCTGGTTGACTGGAGGATGTAAAAAACGTTGCAATCCGAAGAAGTAGGCATTCGCAAAAACTAACCTACAAGCTTGTAACAGTTGTCAGCAGGGGCGTAGCCAGAAAAAAATTTCGGGGGGGGGCCCCGAAAAATTTTTACCGAAAAACTCAAAAAATGAACAAGAAAACAGCGCCGCAGGCAAAAAAATTTTAGAAACAAGGCTATGTAGCTCTACAAATAGCAATCAAAACGTGAAAAAATAGCGCCGCAGGCAGCAAAATTTCTGAGAAAATAAAAATCATAAGGGCTTATGAAATTTTCGGGCCCCGGCCGATTTCGGGGGGCCCGGGCCCAGGGGGCCCACCTTACGCTACGTCCCTGGTTGTCAGATGTTCCAAATGCACCGGAGGCAATGGACACAACGCGAATCGACAATAAACCAGGGACATTCATCGCTGTCGTAAATGGTAGGATAGCTTCTTCAATATATTCTGTGTGTTTTTTTCAGAATGATCCCATCGCCGCCAACGAATCTGATGGTGACTACACACGAATGGAGCAGACGAATAAATAGTAAGGCTACAGTCAGCTGCTTTCAAGACTTACAATCCAGGCTCGAATGCATACATCAACTCCATTCTGCTACGTCACGCCGTCGTTTTCATTCGAATGACGAAAATCAAATAAATTATGCATCGACCTTCCTTTAATAAAGTCGGATCGGGGGACGGCTTCCCATTTTATTAAGCGATTCTTGCCTCAAGGTTGCCTCAAGCAGCTTATCTTCATAGACGGAATTAATTAAAAACTATTCATCTTTCTTAATTTAAGATAGCTTACAGGTTGCAACAGGCTCACTGGCTGGTTCCAATGTGTTTAAGGTCCTTAAGTGAGAGTAACCATTAAATATGGACATATGTAATCGCAGTCTGCGGGTAAAAGTCGCGTAACGGTGCCGAAGGTTGCACTACCGTTATTGTGTGTTGCAGAAGGCCCGAATTTGCATGTTATTTGGTTGGCATTTGCATCTGAAGGGAGCTTCTCAGAAAAATTGGCCATTCTTTCGCTTCACTTCCACAGGTTAAGGTTTGTCACTTTGCGCAAACTCTTCTGATCAATCTCGAGAAATGCCCCCTCGAATCAACGACGAACCGGAATACGGTGTACCAATGGACCTGGCGCCGATGCTGCCGCCCGTGGTTGATGTCTTTGATGATATTGACGCCCACCTCGGGTGCATTTTATTCTTGATTTCCTTAAATCTTTAACCACGTCTTTTTATGCGTTTCTAGCATTTCCCAGCTGCGTGTCGATTCGCAAATGTTCCGCCAGTGCGAGGCGCTGCTGAACGCGGCTGTTCCTCTGGCCACTGAACTCGACGAGGTCAAGGTATATCCCGAATTTTTGGCATTTTGATAATTCGTTGGATAGAGTTCTTTAGTTGTCTTTCTTTTTAGTTGTAATGTCTTTCTAAAATTTGCTTTAATTGTTTAGACGCATAACTGGCAAAATTAACCTCCTACGCTACACTTGAGACAGAATGGGATCGGCCTAGAAAGCTTATTAAGATATTGGTTTGAACAAGGTTCCGGTGATTTCACAAGAAATGGTCTTTTTCGGTCTGATTAGAGGTTGCCGTGTAATTATATTTTTGAGTATATCCTGTCCGTCATGGTTGTCGCTGGCAGCCGCCTGAAACTTGTTCAGGAAGGTTTCTCCCGCGGCGAGTTTGCGATTTTTGAGGTAGTTAGTCGACCATAGCGAATATTGGGCGGAAATTGATAGCAAAACTTTTGAGTTTAATTATTGTGGCTCCTCCGTCTGCTGCTGTTTTTGCAGTTTGGCCGGGAGGATCTCACTTCTTACATCGAGCACTACGGCTCCGATCTAGCCCAGGCGGGCGGTCTTTTCGTCCTGCGCCTCGGAGTTCCGGGGGCCCATGTGGGCGATCCGGTATGATTTTTTTTGTCAGGTCAGGTTTAAATTTTTGACCTTTGTCAGGTTTAAATTTTTGACCTAGCCACATGATCCATGTGGCCCTCCATTGGCACAGGGTGATTCACGGCGTCAAGGATGCCAACCTGGCTATTATCGGCAACTTTTTGTCGTTTTAGTAGGTAACCACATGTAAGTAATGTAACGAATAGTAGGTAGCCATTCAAGGATTCCAAAGAAATTTAGCTACGTTTTCAGAAACAAAAGCGGGCGGGTGGGCCATAATTCTCTGATATGATAAAGGGAAACAATCAGCTAGAAATTGCAAAGGGATTTTTAATTTTTAGCTAATAGATCCTCCAGCTGGATAAATGAAGCGCAATCCCCGGTTCACTGTATACTGCACGGCGAGATTTCCGAAATTTGGGTGTGATTACTCTTCAACTTTATTTCCAGGTACGAACGCATTGTTTTGCAATCCTTTACCCTTCCAAAATCCCGCGCGATCCGCTTCATTTTCAGAAATTGCGCTTCGCTCCTAGTTCCTAGCTCCTAGTTCGCGATAGTTTGCTGAGTGGTGACAGTCTCAGTAACATATGCAAGTTTTTAATTTAAGTTAATTTTTCGTCTTTTAAGCGTCAGCGGTAAAGTCGTCGCCCGCTCTGATAAAACCGCAGTTTGAACGGCCTATGTGACCAAATGTTTGTATGTGGATGTGATAAACTGGCAATCGTAAATAATGCTTCAGGTCCGAAGGAAACTATCCGGTGAGCCGCTTGAGCAATATGCTAAAGCACCATGAATAGGTAAAGATCTTTCGTAGAAACCTTATTGGCCTATTTCCAGTGGATGAGCGACGCGCCAAAACATACGCAGTCATATCCCGCCCGCAAAGGAACACATGGTCAATCAACCGAATCAAGGAACAATCTTGTGGTATTTAACGGATCATATATTACGTAATAAATATCCACTTAATACTCGTAACATCAATAACTGATTTATGGTCTAAATAAACAAACTAGGATAAAAACAAAACAGCAATGTAGAGAGATCACATAATTGGTGGCATAATTATGGCAAGCAGTACCTCGTCTTATGATGCGATTAATCTTGTCCGGGAATTGCCAGAAAATGTACATCAAGGACGCAAAACGTCGCGCGACACGTTGGACAGTCTGCTTGTCCGGACATCCAGCGCTCTTTCGGGATTTGTGCCTAAACTTTCGTCTGATCAATGCAATGAAATGGCTACCGCTGCTTGCTTTGCCATGAAGACACGGGCAAGGCATGAAGCACACCAACGAGGTGGACAGAAACAATCTCGACACTAAAAAAGATTTCGACATAGGCTGAGGCTACGTACCGGTTGCCTATCTTGTGATGGTGGACATGCCTTGGAGATTTTCACATCAGCTGGTCGTTGATAGCACCCGATACACTCTTCCAACTGAAAGAAAAATAGTAAAACTAAACCAGGAAATACCGAATCCGGGTCGCCAATAGGGTGGTTGCCATTTTGCACGATCTCGTCTCGGAAAACATTCTCAAAGAGCTCATCGGTACTTTGGTGCAGAATAACGTCTCTTGCAACATCGACCCGCGTTCTCAGTTTATGCTGTACATAATCAAAATCGGTGCTCTTGATCCTACAAAGACTTAGCCTTTACAAAAAAAAAACCTGAAGTGGAAGTCTGGGATATCGATGCTTCCGGCTTTCGCTCGTATCGTATAGTTTTGGCGTTCCCCTCCGTCGATCGAGGACTGAAATTCATATAAAAACAGAGATTCGCATATTGCAGAAGCAACGAATTGTCAAATTTAAATACCTTAAAGTTAGAACAGTGAACTACGGTGAATTGGACATCGGCCGAGTTGACGATATGGAATGTAAACCGATCAAAGTGCATAAACCACGAATCGGAAATGACGAGGTGGCAGTAAGCTGAACGTAAAATTAATTGCATCCACAAAACTAACTACCTGACAGTGCTGAGGTATAATTGTCGAAATTTACGTATTCTACAGCGATCCGTGCCTTCATTTCGTCAATATTAGGCGAATATTTCTTTAGGTTTTTGATTGGCTCCAACTGCTCAAAGCGTGTATGATGATGGTAGTAGGCGTAGCTCAACGATCCTAAAGGAAACCCCTTACATATTGAAAGGATCTTACCTACAAACCCGAAAATTGACGCCAATGAAACGCACTGAGCAATGTTCGTTGGTATCACAGCGAATATTGTTGGATCATAAAATAATTGCATAGCGAGGAAGAAAACTAAAAGGAGTAATTTTAAACATAAGAAGGCCATACCAAAAGGAAAACACCCGATTGATGCGCGCCGGACCACGATTTTGCGGCAGTTGTGCCCAATTGGATCGGCGGCGGCCGGCCCGATGTAGAAATTGAAAAGAGATTCCACCGTTAATCCTTCTAAAACCAATTAGAATATCGTGAAAGAATCATACCGTTTACGAAGGCCGCAGGCGGGAATATTGCAATGATCATAGACAATATAAATACAAAGATCTCGAATCCAGTAGATATTTCGGAGCCGCCATTCATGCTAAAATAGGGATATTTGATGGAAAAGAAGAATGCCAGAAAAGAAAATTAGATGAGACTATCGATAGTTTGAAAGGCGCTTTGCAAAAGAAAGTAGTAATTAACTTTGTCACAAACGAGGAAGAGCTGAGTCGGCATACACGCAATGAAAATAGAGCAGCGTATGGCCCGATCCCTCTACCCCGTTGCCACACTCTCTATAAACCCGTTTCAGCGGCTTGCAAAAAGCAAAACCGTGGGAATGACCGTGCGACACAAGAGGGGAAACTGAAAATATTGGCGAAAGGCAAGAAACCAGCGCCAACGGTTTAGTAACGGAATTTCGGCGATAGGAGTGAAATGTAACCAATTTATCGTGAAGTTGTGGCTCGAAATTTCTTATTCCAGTATTACGAATTTTCAAAGTAGCAATATTGAAAAGTCGCAACTTTTATCAAAATAGCCACTGATTTAAATTGCGGCCCTGGAAGCTCTCGTTAGCAAGCGCGAGCGGCCTCGCGCACTAATGGCTCGAAGATTCAATTGATGAGACGATCGGGTAGATGATTTTCTCGGTGCTTCCAGGTTAACGGGGGGCGGTTATTTTAGCGGGGGCGGTTGCCAACTTTTCTTTGTTTAGCCTAGGCCTGCCTGGTGACAAATTGTAATTTATTTTAATAATGTTTTTGGTAGTTTCCGATAACTAAAAATTATAAAAACATTTATCTGACAGTCACGAAATCTAGCATTTTAGCTCGTTTTTATCATTTTCATGCACGTTAGGCCGAAAAAGCAAGCATTTTCAGCATGTTTTATAATGTTTTTCTTAATTTCTCCTCCCCTGTTAAGAGTCCAGAACCACTTGAAATGGCGTACAAGTCTATAAAAACGGTACACTTTTAATTAGTCAACCGGACGAGATTCTATGAAAAAAAGTGCGCAACTGCCCCCCGCTAAAATCACCGCCCCCCGATAACCTGAAAGCACCATTTTCTCTTACATTTTTCATTCATTATAATCTCCTCCCCAAAATAAACGCATAGTTTCACGGCACCAATAAATCATGCATCATCGCCTCACTGGGACCGTCTTGCAGTTTTTTTGCCTCCAAAAAACGGGAGTCTACGAGAGGCAACAGGGTGTGCCCGAGTTCATTATCGTACCCAGCAAACATCTTTACAGCTTTCCTTTCGCCCTCCACAACTTTCAGCAACCTTTTAGAATTTTTTACGTCTGGTACTTTTTCGTAGACCGGCAAAATCCCAGACATCGCAACTGGGCGGTGTTGCCTTGATCCGGGGCTCAAAACGGTAGACCGGATGATCCTGGATCAAAAGAATGTTTTTTTTGGTCGCATGGAGACATAAGCGGAAGTTGGAACCAGTGAACGGCTGTCATTTACCCGACCTGGCCCCGGGGTTAATCTCAAAATGACAAAACCCCGCAGTTCTTGCCGGTAAAGCCGCTCCGTATGGCAACTGAGAGTGGGAGGGCGGGGTGGCTTATGGAAAATGCCAGCAATCGCTATTTGTCGCGAACTCTATGTATTATTGCTTTGAGTAATTTAAAGTAACCATTACGAAGGAAAGGAGCATAAACCGTTGGTCCTTGATCTTCTAGTACCAGCAAAATTGGAAACTCAGTCCCAGTATTCATGCCTGCAAGCTAAAAATAATGCAAGACCACCTGCTACAAAACACAATTTTCTCCAGAATCACCCAGGAAATTGACTCTCTGTACGTCGTCTCAACCATAGACTCGACAAGGAACTGCAGGGAATTTCCATATGAATTGGCCGCTCGTGTTTTATTCCCAGCCGTTCAATTGTCCGAATCTTCTCCCCGACATCGTGCGCATTTCTGCCTATTGAGGAAGCCGGACCCGCCGTCCTAATCCGCCCCTTTAGTAGCAGGATCGCAACTTTTGTAGCGTTCAGCACCGGGTCCATCTCGTTAATCCCATCTCGGTTGAGGGGGGCAGAGCCGGGATCAGTCAACGGCTTCATTATATATTATCGCAACGCCACGGCCGCAGGTATCTTTGGGCTAGCGGGATTTTTATAGTTTTCGGCTCAAATTCCCTTTCGTTCACTTTATTTATGGTTAGATACATCCATTTTCGATGTTTACGTATGGGTGAGGTAACGGTACATTTGCTAGTATTGACATCATGTGGTAGTGAGACCCTGGTGGCTGCATTTGCCTTTGCACCTTGGCTCCGCCCGCCTATAAACAACCCAACTTCGCCAGCTTGCATAGTCGGCACTATAAGACACTTCTGTGAAGTTCTTTAGCCTTTTTGGTCCTCTCTCTCTAGTATGTCCATGAAAAGTATTGACTTGTCGACCTTTAAAATTTTGCTAGCCATCTCTGCCCAGCCAGACTCGGCCCATTTGCCCGATGTAGTACCTGATACAACACTTCCCTACCAGCGCAATCCCCCCTATATAAAAACCACTTCCAGCAACGCAGGGGCTAATCCGAGAAAGTCCGTTTTTCATCGTATAAGATGATTTTTTCGGGCTCGATTTTTTTGGTGTAGGGTCTCCTTGGGATTTACCCCAGCTTTTTTCCCGGGGGATTATACGCCAACGGTGATGGCGGCTAATTTTGGTCCTGGACCGGATGGAGGATGGGGATTACGAAAAATGGAGGAGGGCGGCTTGGTTGGGTGGGGTTTGACCGAAGGGTTACGGTAGTGGAACGGTGGGGGATTTGGGGCTGAAAATTTGGACGTTTTGAGATTGGGCGCGGTTTTGGTTTAGCGGTTGTCCTGGTTGCATTTAGATGGTTTTTGGATAAAAATTTGGTATTAGTAATTATTGGAGAGATTTGCTAATAACTCTCAGATAATCCAGCGTCACCTTTATAGACTCATATTAAAGCGTCGTTTTTTAAAAGCTCTGAGATAGAACCCCCAGTATTAGAAACCTAAAACTCGCAAGGAACAAGCCTTACACGATAAAAATCTGATAATCAGATGCGATTCCCAGCCCGAAATGCCAAATTCCTGCCCCCCACCTGCCCCCAATATATAGGAGAAACGTCGATGTGCACCTCTGATAAAGCCAATCGTGGCGAATATTTTGATTTTGCTGTCGCACCGATGGTCCAGTCGATCCACACTGGCATCTGTTCACAACATCATTGATTTTCGCAGCAAGCAAAAGCACTTCTTTCTTCACCTTCTTCCCTGGACCCTGTCAGAACTCAATTTGTTGCCTTTTGCAGTTTGTTCGGAGGCATATGCTACCGTTTCACCTGTCTATCTTCGCGCTCCTAGCTTTCCCGACACTCTCTTGAACTGAACATTTCCTTGGTGTGCCGTCACCATATTTAGCACGATTAAACCACGTGCAGCACAAAAACATCTTGCCTATATTTATATATAGCTGACATATCAAAAACATTGTTTCTGGATGATTCGTAAATAAGCGTCGCTTCTCTTATTGTTTTTTCGTAATAGCCGCTATTCAACCGTATTTTCGTGATCCTTTTTCGCAACCTCTAGTTCTCCCGGAAATAGTCATATGCTATTTTCTAGGGTTTTCTAATTGACGTAACCAGGTTCAAGATGCAGTAAACCTTTTTCGGTGGTGCCTCCCCGCAAATTGGGGGCCCCGTGGTTAGAACTTACGCCGCACCGCCAGCCGTATATTCGGCGACATTTTCGAACTTGAATTACAATGCTAATAAGTTGACTATATACTTGTAGGGATGATTGTGGGGCTTTCTCCTTTTGAAATTCCTGCAATCTACCCGATGAAACGTTTTTATCATTGCTATTTAGCTTTATCTTTTACGTGGCAAACAGATGGTCCACAGGAGAACATGCAGCATATAGGGGTATGTGATAAAGCAACGGTTTATAATACCAATTTATCAATTTAGGCCTCATACCCATATCTGAGGCACGATACGGATCAGCCACCGCACTTACAACCAATGCTACCACATACAATGCCACCGCCTATGCGTGAGTTTACTGGAAACAATCTTTTGCCCCGTCGTATAGTCAAAATGGCAATATCTACAGCTTAGCTTTCCTAAATCACGCTTTGCAAACAGCTGATCCGCGGGGGAAGGACCGTTTTATTCTGTAAAATCCGGCTCCACCCTGTGGAAAGGCGTGGCGGCACTCGGCTGGTAAATATCATTTTTTCGCAAAATCAAGAAATATTTCATCCTAGCTGTTTTTCTAGCCAAACCTAATTACTTCGAATCCTTGCCTCACATATTTTTTTACAGACCGTCCGAAGCCGATTCCTAAAGCTCTTGCCTCTGTAGCGGTGGAATTGCCATCATCATCTGGGGAGCCAGCGGTTGCAGCAACATTTCGAACACCTAGGATCGATTCGGCATTCTCAACTGTCCATCGCGTCGTGCTCCCAGTACTTCGTGTGCAGCAAACCCAGGATCTGCAAAACAGCATGGATGCCAGCCCGGCGGGAACCACCATCCAAGACTTTATCCCGCATAATCTATCGAGACCCCCAAGTCAAATAGGACCTCGTCATTTGACGAACACTGAATTGATTGAAAGGGCCACCCATCTGGTTCAGCAAGGTCAGCTGGCTTGTCAGGAACCACCACATCAAGTTTCTCGCATCAGCCCAGGTATTGCTAATAATCGCATACTTGGCCCTCTTTCAATTTCCGTGGCGCCTCCAGAGATCAACCCTTTTCATTTTCTGCAAGCAGGCATGATGTCCTTACCACCAAATGTTTCCTGTTCAAACATGATGTTACCCCCGACAATAACACGCCCTCAAGAAAACTATTCAAACCCCTTTCCTGTGAGCCTCGGTGCTGTAACGACTCAACCTATTCAACAGATCCCAAACCCAGGCTTTATCCCAAATGCACCACCACCGGGATTCGCGAGTATTTACGGCAATTTCATTCCGCATTTTATGAACCCCGGAACTAGCCAGCTACCCCATCCTCCACTTATTAATCCAGCCTTATTCCCCGCCTCACTGCCCGGAATGCCATCGTTCTTCAATACAAATCCGATGAACATTGCTGCTATAGCTCAGGCGAATTCTCGAGTCGCACATCACCCCCTCGGAGATCCAGCTCACCAGTCACTTACCCCAATAATCAGCCCAAATCCGACTGCCCGTTCCAGCTCAAGTTCGACAGGCTCTAACCCCTCACCCGCTATGCAAAATGGAGGACCACGCCCAGGTCAAAGTTCGCATCACACTCCGCCTCGACATCCATTTGTTCCCTATCCACAACCTGCTGATCATCGTCCCACTGCTCCAAAACAGAAATGTCGTCCCAAGAAAGAACCAAAAAAGCAAGCAACCCGGAAGTCGGGGTTCAGTGTTGAAGAAATTTTGAAACGGCCCGAAACTAGAGGTGGTCCTGGTCCGTCATTGCACCAAATTACTACTCATCCCTTACAACCTTTTCCCCTGAAACGCCATTCCATGATTGGTATCTCTGAAGATAGTCGTCAGCGTATTGCCGCAAAATGTAGGGGCCACGCTAAAGTTAATCAGCAACCCTTCTTAGATCGCCCATTTATGACATCCCAACTAAATCGGTCGACGTCAATTCCGCTCTATCCGAAAGCAATACTTAACCATTCGAACGCATCACAAATTGGCGGAGCTATTCCAAGAATTACGCTATCTCCTTCGGAGCCGGCTAAAAATCCGACACCCGGGCCACCGCCATCCGCTAGCCATCTATCCGTGAAAAAACGGTCGGCTTCGGGATCGGAAGTAGCCGGCCAAGGGCCCCCACCGGCTAAAAAAAGTCATCAGGAGACTGTTATGTTGGCTTCTACCTACAAGAAAGCTCTTTCATCGCCGAATATTTTTCAAGAAATGATGGATAGGAATGAATATCGTGGGCTGACAACTTTTGGAGTAGATACGACCGCGCCGACTGTATTTAGTGCAGCAAATGCTAGTGAGTTCTCTTTTGAGCTTTTGTTTTTGCTATTTAACGATGATGATGATTTTTGAACGCCTAAGCCTAAACCTAAGCCTAAGTCTGAGCATAAGTAAACATCTTGCAGAATTATTCCGAGAGCAACGTGAACTAATGCTTCAACTTCGACAGCTTCCGGCCGAAAGCGATGTAGCACAACCGCGGATTGTGAATTTCCCTGTACCGCACCTGGATGTCTCCATAGCCTCTGTAAGTCACATTAAGCCTCAGTCATCCATCCCTATACTTCTTAGTCTAATCCAACCCAACCTTCTGATCCCGCCCTGCCGTTTTTGTCGAATCTGCTGCCAAACAATCCAGTAAGTCAACCGAAACTTTTCTTGAATCATTGCCAAGAGCACGTCGTTTTAGTGTCTAACGCTTCTCATGGTTCTAATACACATAATGAATAGCAAACCTTACTAACCACTGAATACAATGAAATCCCGTCCCTAAACATTAAGTTATTTGTAGTTCGTTGCCTCTTCGTCGTCATATCTTCCTAAATACTAAAATGGATGCTCGACTTTCGAACTAACTCCTTTAAATGTGAGTTTTTTAACCAATTTTACCAACCCCTTGTTTTCTGTGTATCAAATATTCCGCAGGTAGTAGTCTTCTTGCGATGGCAATATGCCATACTGGATTATACAATTCGTCGTGATAAGTGACCGTTCGTTATGCGTGTAAATTTTAGTTGTTTTTCGATTTCTGCACAAATGGATATTGCATGAGGTTTTCTGTCTGTCATTTCGCCAACTCGAGTGTTTTAGCAAATGGGTAAAGCTGTTTGTGGTATCATGATGCTGTGGAAATATTGTGACTTTATGCGACGGATTTTCAAATATCACTTTATCCCTGAAGATCCGAGAGGTAAGGGAAAACTTTGGTACCGAAACAAGCATTGTAAAACGATAATCAGATCATGTAAGAAATTTTGGAGAAAAAGCAAAAAGCTATGGAGGTATGGGGAATTGAACCCCAGACCTCTCGCATGCTAAGCGAGCGCTCTACCACTGAGCTATACCCCCGGTGAGAGCGGGGGATGAGGGAGCCTCTTTCAGCCTGGCCCGTCTACCCGCCCCGTCCGTTCCAGTCCCAACTATGCACCCTCGCGTTCGCAATGTGGAACGCCAAGAAACGTTTCGTACAAATAGGGTAAAAATCTAAAGGAAAAATTGAAGACTGATAAGATTTTTAGCTTCGGCATCAAAAATTACGCCAGACATGGAAGGGTACGGCGACAATTATTTGGAGCTGCCGCGATCAAACAATTGCATGTTGTTTTAGGTATTCCTTTGACTTTTTCTGGAAATACCGCTTAGGTGGCTTAATTTATGATCTAAACCTCCAACGCGATGCCTATATCATAAAATCTAGAGAATTTCTCAGTGCCCTAAAAGTGTTGATTGACGGCGGAAGTGATCCAAATGGGGTATAAAACAATTAAGAAACCAGAAACATTTGTAGGAATTGACAAACCAGGCCGTACTTCTTTTTCAAATGAAGGCCCCGGCTGCAATTGTGAATATTATTGATGCGTTGGGGATACCGAAGAATGTTCCGGTGCATAGAATGAGTAAGGTTTTCAGGGAGTTTTTTTTGATAAAAACTTCAGTTTACAACCTACCCTACAACTTGTTGCCCGATTTTTACAGCCAGGCTTCATCCACGGACAAATGTTGGGCTAAAAAGGTAAAAATGACTCTTACTAATACTTACTTTTATATAAAGCTGGGAAAAACGGTCGAATACGAGAATTTCTTGGTGATGTCAAACATTCGGTCGACGCGGAAGCGGCTCCACTACAAGCAGCGTGAATTTCAAGAAGAATATGAGGCGCTGGAAAGAATGTAGGTTTATAAGTACCATTTTCTATCAAAAGTAATAATTTCGATTAATGGTAAAAGGATGAATTACAGCAAAAAGCGGAAGTCTACTACACGAGCACATCTTGAGGCTCATCACACCGTATTGGAAGCTACTTATGAACAATTATCTGATATGGAAAAAGAATGGTGGGATCATGTCGATAAATCGATGTTGGAAGAAAAGGTAGGAAAGGCAATCCATTTTAATTAAATTTTAACTTAGACAATACTCGAATGGACCATCGACCTCGATGAAGCCGCTGCTTTTGTTTACAAAATGGATTGTATTTCTCAATGTTTATCGAATAAAATTGATGATTTACCATTTCTTGTAAGTAAGCATAAATTTGATGTAATATGGCATGTTTCAGAAAGAGCTTTGCGCCGGAGAAGGAACGAGCAAGATGCCTTTTAGTCTAGTGGCTGAAAATGTACTAGGATTTACGGTGAAGAGCTATACATTGGTAACTAAATTAATGAGTGCGATAAATTGATGTATTTAGGTTGGAGCTCTTCAATTAGACGCGAGACTTCAGAAATACCCACCACGCGCTCTGATGTTTTTGGCGTCCCTCTACACAATTCTGCGAGAAGTGGTGGATACTCTAGTATGGGAGGGAATACCTGCTGCCGAAAAGTTTCGCTCTGAATTACGGCCTAAAGAGGAAGCACTTGTAAAAGGGATGGGCTATGTACAAGAATTAGAACAACTTTTGAAGGGAGAGGAGCCGACGACTGTACTGGTAATACTAAAAACTATTGAAGATCAAATGGAGAGTTCAGATGCGTAAATTGTATTTGGCGCTGATGAAAGACACGGATCTACAGCGACGCATGACTTATGCTCATTTGTTCGCTTTTGAGGAGCAGGTTGGTGGAGGAATACCTGATCAATGAAATATCTTTTAGCCCCGACATGGAGTACTAGTCAGCTTCACGCAAGAAGACGACGAGCTCTTTGTACCATGGGGTCCGCATGGTCGCCCACCATACATCGACAAACCCCATCAATTCGTTTGCACAATGGCATGGCAAGATATGTACCTGAATACTGTAGCCGAACCTACTAAAAGAAGGAACTCGATCGAGGACACACTTGAGCAATTGATTTCTACAACAGAAGCCAGGATGGATGCTGAGACGCTAGAAAATCTGCAGGCTGAGGATTGTGCAGAGACGTCCGATCAATTGTCGGAAATGCTGAGGGGAGTGGATAAAGCGGTGAAAAAACCGTTACGAAAGGTGGTGGAAATTGTCGAGCTTGGAGATGAAGACGGGGGTGCTGTGCTTTCGATTGTTACGGGAAATACTCAATTAGGTTTGGTATATAAGTGGGTATGAGCGTTAATACTTATTTTTTCAGACATCGATTCATCAAGCAGTGAACAAACTGAAGGATCTCCGCGGGTTCGGCGAGCCAATTTGTTGAACACGGGAGCATGTGCTTTTTGTCTAGATAAGCCACGTAGTAGTCGAGCCCCAGATCCAACTTGTTGTTATAATGATTGCCCGGTCGCTGCCAATGGTTTCTCTTCTTGCATTACATTCCGTGAATAGTTTTTTGCCGATTTGCGCACTAATAGGACATTCCCTCGACGCACAAATTTGTGTTTTTCCCGCTAATCTAGTATTCTTTTTTCCTTTACAAATATTATTATTTTAAAACCTACTCATTTATTTTTCGTCTAGTTTACCAGAACAATTTTCATGTCATTGTTAAAAAACTTGTCCTTTTCCTATATTTTGCTTGTTATTTCCATGTTCAATATTTCTTTCTGTTGTTTTTTATTCCCAAAATGCGTTTTTATACAAATAAATTACCAAACATAAGGCAACAGTTGCAAGGCAAAGGATCAAAAAACACGAAAGAGAGCACCAGCATCAGCTACAGCTACTTCACAGCCACACAGCCGAATATAACAACTATTGAGGCAATGCCAAATTATGCGCCGTTTTTGTAATTTTAAATCACACTAGGTTACAAATTGATTGGGTTTTGTGACTTTAGGAGCGGACCTTAAAGAGCTGGGTAAGGGGGGACCCGTAAATTTGCGGAAACGAGATTCGTTTTTGGGATACAAATCCTAGAAAAAAACTTAGGTGGAGATTCGGAGTAGGGGTACGAGGGAATGCCAGCAAAAATGACCGATGCATAAGTCTTCGCTTAGGTAGACGTCATATTGTTGCATGCTGCGACGGGATCTTGTTGGCTGCATTGGCTGTACTCGACGTCTTCGTGGGGCTAGAAAATATTCATATATACTCTCTATAGTATAATATTAAGTTATTAGGTAAATTATACGCTTTACGGCACAGTAATGACAAAAATGATAAATTTTATATTGAAAGCTAAAATAGAAGAAGCTCGACTTGACCATTACAACATGAACCGCTTTAACTTTACGTTAGCTTCCGTATAAAATGAGATTAGTACCAATTTCCATTTTAAACTTGTTATTACATATTCCATTCCATACCTCATTACGTCGACTTTTCCGTTTGCAATAACACCAACCACCAACGAACACCACGATTATCACTAGTACGAAGATGATGGCGCCCATGATGCCTAAAGCTACACAACGGTACTCATGGCGGTTTGTTAGTTGCATGTATATTAGCCGGAATTAAGGATTACAACGGACGATACTACGGCAGGGAAAGTGAAGCGATTGATAGCGTACCGTAGAGCCTACCATATTCGTTCACGAATCGTTCCAGCGCTGGTCCTGTTGACACCTCGGGATCCGTGCAATCCTTGCCAACCCAGTTAAATATGCATCTAAACAGTTGCTTAAAAATAAATAATTAAATTACATACTGGCAACTAACAATCGCCGATGCATACACACATCTTTTTGTGTGTTCCGGTGAGCAGAAGTTTTCTTTTTCGGTACATAACCTGAAATTTTCGGGTTTTTGCCAAACTTTAGCATTAACATACCTCTCATGTGGTCTTAATGGAGTATCTTCTTCGATAGACACTCGGCGGCACGTTGTTTTCTCGTGCTGAAACGTAGGCATATTAAAAGATTTTTTCTATAGCTTCTTGAATAGCTGTGCATAAGGGTGTGCAAACGTAAAGACAGTAAGCAAGTAATTCTGAAAAGCCAATTTCCCCAAGCGCCCCGTAACATAATGCAATCTACTACTTTTTGTTTTGCGGGTTTTGGAGGATCCTGGAAGTAACGTATTCAACTTTAATCTGGATTTAACATACCTGACAGCACATATATTCTCCATATGTTTGATTGCCAGCGGTGAAGGTGATGCTGATAGAGCCAGGGCTAAATAAAAGTCAATTAGTTATAAACGAAATTTACACTTACTTGACCATGTGTTTCAAGGGTGTTATCCCTCTAGAAAAATGGCAGTCGAAATCTTCAACAATAATTGTCACCACTTCGCCATCTTTCGCTAGTAGTGGATTTTTAGCTAAACAAATGATTAGGAGATTGACGTATGGAAATGGACTTACTATCATCTAAGATGACTTTTAGACTAGTTACTGTAGAAAGGCAGCATATCAACAATACAATTAGTAGGTATAAAGCATTTATTGACCATGCCGAGCGAGGGTCCATCGCTTCCTAAAATGGAGAAGCTTATCTTTTTTAACGAACACAAGGCGCCACTTATTGATTAGGGAAGATCACCGAAGAGGGGTTGGAAATGGGATCGTATTGTTTGGACGGGGAAGCATTGAAGTGGAAGAGGTGTGAGAAACAGGCAAGACACAGCTATTTCAAACCCTCAACCGTATGCCGATCATTTTAGCACCCTAGGGAACATCGACATCCGAGCCCTGGCTGGTGGTCAAGGCGAAAATGGCAAGCAAAGACCCTGAAACCCCCGGGGATGACGATTTTCCGATGATTCAAAAAGCTCTAGATCGGACCCGCCTCCACAATCATCCCTACACTCAAACCGGGCCCTCACCAAAAACTCATGCAAATCCTATTGAGGGAGGATGATGACGCGCCAGGGGGGTTGGGAAAGTTGGGAAACCTAGAATGGTCAAATATTTGACCCCGGAATCAGTCATTTAACCAGTTGGTGGGGAGCTTATAGTAGGTGTTCGTTTCGGGATGGGAATGCGCTGATTCTAGATGATCTATTTGCTTAAACAGAGGCGGTGTCGATTGGACAGTTGCGTACACCTAGTGAGGGCAGAGAATGGAATGTTGCGAAAGTGAGAATGAGGGCTGAATCTGCGACTTAAAGATATGCGGAGAATCACCAGAAAATAAGAAAAATCTATTTTATATCCATAACTATTTCTAGCTTTAGTGCTATTTGATCAATAGTAACTGCAGAGGTAGCGGTAAAAACGAGATAAACGCTTCCGCCCTTATCTCATCGAACCCCAAAAAAGGCATCGCAGGAGAACAGTAGTAGACGAAGAAATGGGGTTTGAACCAGTATACCGAATCAAAACAGCAAAAGTGCGAATTCCTGGCCAAGCTGCTAAACCCATTGGTCTGAAAGCCGTAGTGAGGACGGATTGTGGCTTATCGCTGTTGCCGTGGGTGGAGACATAAAAGGCCATCGCCGACCAGATACCTCCCCCCTTTCTTCCCTACGAAATTCGAGCCGCCAATCGCTCTAGGACCTCTTCAAGGGAGACGCTCCCCGAAATGGCACCAGGAAGAGCCTCAAAAAAGCGACGACCTCATCGGCTGGGGCCCATAATAGGGCCCAACAGCCTCTATTCTGGGAGGTATGGCGCGTCGTCTGTAAACGATCCATGTCCCATCTAGGTCCTTCGATGCGTCATAGAGCAAATACTTGGTGGGGGGGGTTAGCGAAAAGCAGGCGGGGACCCATCGATGGCTGGGCTATCACTCGGACTGAGCGAGAAATTTTATTTGAACTCGCCGAGAAGTGGAGTTGAAAAACAACAATAGGTGATTGAAGGCTAGGGCGGTTGAAATGGGGGATGAGACATCGACTGGTCGGCGCCTGGTTTTGAGACGAATGAATATTCTGGAGCCTGGAGGCGGGGTATTTGCAAAAAGGAGATAGAGATTATTGAATCTGCCAAAATAAGGGGTATTTGGGCGGCTTATCAAGCACTAAACGCTGCTAGTATGAGTCAGTTAGGAACGCCCAATTTAGCCTGGGAGATTACGAATATCTGAAGGTCGCACCTCAAAAACGCGCGACAAAAAGTTAGCTTTTGGCCGTGCTTTGTGGTAAAAACTTATGATGTTTCTCAACTGAAATTTAAAATTTTAGTTTGATAAGTAGCGAATTCAGAATCAGCATCTAATTTTACATCTAGTAATTTTATATTAAATGTTTCATACCACAAGATTTTCGGAAAAGAGCTCTAGAGGGCCGAAAAACTATCGAGAATAAACTTTTGCACGTTGCTGTAGCATGGTTCTCAGCCTTTAGCGTAACTCTTTATACCATACCAACAAAACAATAAAATAAGCATCTGGAATTCGTCAGCATAGCCTACCGATACTCTTTATACCAAAAATCCGCCCCCAACGTTCGCCACAACGAAAACTTCCCGTCCAAACAAGTACCCCCGTCGCCTTGAAGACAAAAATAAACAATTTAAATCGGAGTCCATTCAAGTAAAGTGCAGTTTGTATCGCTTTCTGTGGGCCCTCCAAGGGGGTGAGCGGGCTTTTTCATTTCCTCTGGTGACTAGGGTGAGCCCGCTTTTGCATGGTGGCCCCTCGTTGTGGGGGGTTGCGTCACAATTACGCTTTTGCGGGAGCCAGGGTTGGTTGCATGGAGTGGTCATCGAGGTTAAATTTATTCCTGGTTCGTGAGATCATCGTTTGTTTCTGTTTCCCGGGGTTCGATGGCCAGGCTCAGTGTTTTTGGTGGTTCGATGGAACGGCGTCGGGGCTGGAAATTGTGGACTCTACCTTAGAAACATTGTAGATACCTGTGAGGTTTCTGCAAATCCTAAAAGATGTTGCGGCACATCTGGTGTATCTTCCTCTTCGGTTGTTTCTTGCCTTTTTAGTTTTGAATGTCTAAACGGATCAAATTGACATAGCAAATTGTAGTTGCAGGCCTTGTTCCCTAAATAAATATCTAAAACAAATACCGGCTCGAATTGCCGCGACTAATCGCATTTTCTTCGTCCCCCTCATTGATCACTGATAATGGTTGCGTCGGCTGCCGTGATGGTACCAAATTCAAGCCAGAGGAGGTCGACCGGAACGAATTGTCAACGTCCTGTGTCGGTAATGGTGTTCTAAAAGCTTAGACATTTCTTGGCCCTTCTACCCTTACTTTGCCATATCCGGTGAAGCTAGATCTTCTTCAGAGTCATAGGCAAAACGCCGCATCCTGATAAAATTATATTATTACCGAATTTAGGCCTCACCCATGACGTCTCTTATTCCTTTCAGATAAATGCTGAAAAATCCCGGAAATTACGCTTGGTGTAGTATCATGATTTTCCTCGGCGAAGTTGTCGAGTATGCTGCAGATCATACTCGGAGTTCGAGCCATGGTAGAATGGCCTGAAGGGCGTTATCTTCAGCACTATTTTTGCTTCACTAACATGACTCCCGGCGACTTTCTCCAGACGGGCTCTGCCGATGTCGAATCGAAGTGGGTGTTGAGGCGAGCCAGGCTATTAAAATGTTGTATGAGTCAAAAATAAATAACGGTGACGGGGGGTTGTGGGCTATTTACGGGTTTGCTAGATAAGGGGAGGTTGCAGGTTTGGGATCAATTCGGAAAATTGGTCGAAATATTGTGCAACTGGTATGAAGAAGGTTCAGAACACGCATAATTATACGTATTGCGTCAGTTTAAGTGACAGTAAATGAGAATTGCGATCATGGTTAATCAAAAAAAGCACTAAGGTACGTAAACTGAAATTAAACCTGTTATTCCCACCTATAATATGTCCCAAAACGCTTTCACGCCGTAACGAAAGCCGGGAAAGATGGACCGAGTTCCGATGGTAGACACGCCACAGCAATTCTTCGCTGGGGAACCCCTCTTCTGGCCCCTCGCCAAGTCGCCGCCTCGTTGACCCGGATTCTGGTTAGATGAGTCAGTAATGCATGGCATTCCAGTTATTTGTCAGATGAAATACGCCTCAGTGAGTAAGCTTTGTTGATGCATTCTTATTAGTTCTATACAAACGTCACAAAATACACCCTTACTTTTGTTGCTCAACGGGGAATGGATGGTTTCAGGCATTGGACGATCCGTTCCGTCCTTTTCCGCACAAGCTTCGAGTTGAAGGGCTTCCTGGAATTCATCAAAACAAGAGTACGATGTTATAAAAGGTACCTGGTGCTCCTCTATCAACTGAAAAGCAGCCATCACGCTTTTTTCTGCTTTTTGTTGTAGAATTGTAAAGAACATGGAAACCAGTGAGAGTCCAATAATAAACGCAACAAATAATGCTAGATTCATAGTTAAGTTTTATAAAGGTATATTAAACTAACCGCAAGCATATTTCGGATGGTGTGGCAATACATCACCCAAACCTACAGTACTCAGCGAAACGATGAAGAAGTAGAATGAGGTAAAATAGTCCCAATCTTAAAATTCCAAAAAAATTAAGGTTTTCGGGTGCTTCGCATACCATGCTCCCATTTACAAAACAACAGCGAACAAACAAAGCAATAGATCCCAACAATCGGCACGGCGAGCAGTAAAGGAAATGTCATGAACAATTCTTCACATTCAGGCTCCTCAATTTTTATATAATTTTTTAACAAAATTCAGGATACCTCCTCACTGGTTTTCTCATTAATATCTTCTGAGCACACAGATTCAACGGTTGATGAACGCCTCCAATAGCTCTTTCTGACGCGCCGGAACCGAGAGCGTATCTTTCTGAAGAGAACTCAATTTTATCGAGGTCGACATTACCTCCTCCCGGCAAAGAAGCACCATTGTACCCATTTGAATATTGCAGTTCCGATCGTATTAATGACGGATAGCGTCAGGGGAATCCCAAACATTATGTAAATGATTGTGGCCAGTCTTCCGAGGAATGTTTGGCAGGCCATGTTGCCGTAGCCTACATTTTCGATACCGAATTTCTAAAAAAATACCAATAGTCGTGAAAAGTGTGCCAGCAAAAAAGACAGCATTCCAGAAATCCCATTTCCAAGGTGTAGATACACCCCAAGCAGTTCTCATTTGTACTTCGTAACTTTGGAGGAGTTTTTGGACACCGGCTTCACATAAGGCTGATGCATTAGATTTCTAAGCAGAATTATTAAGTTATAATTCTTATATTACCTTATTTAGGCATTTTCCAACTGTTTCCAACACTTGTTTACCCATTAATAGCCGTTTCTGCTCCATCAGCTATAAAATAACTTCTGAATTTCCTAATAAAAGCCCAACCATCTCCAGCTTGTCATCCTGTTCTTCTTCCGGTGTCGCTTCCAAAAGATAAAACATATACCCGCCCAATAAGGCATAAATAATCAAAGTAAATATCAGCAACGCATGCTGCAGCCCTAAATGTTTATTGACAGCTATTTGCAACAAATTACCTAACAACTTCCACCAATATATAAGTATCCTTCTGATATATCCTGGCCATGTCTCTTTTGAGCGATCAAATCTGAAGTGTAAATATTGCTCAAAAATTAGCCCTTACTTTGTTGGTTCTTCTTTACCGCTCTCATTTTCAAGGTCGGCACTGTAGGTAGGGCTTAAAAGCGTGGTTTCACCAGCAGCAGCCCATGAAGCTGCTGTAGAGTTACGGTCAGAGCTGCAATTTGGAGCTTTCCGAAAAATTGGACCTTTACCGTGGCCATTCAAAATCCGTGTTTAGATTGGCGTTTGAATAGGCTTTGGAATATTTTTCTCTGACGTATTTTTCAAGAATCTGAAAACAAATTTACACTATAAATTTCACTTTTGGTGTTTGAGCACTGGCAGCACGTTTTATGAGCTTTCAAGTATGTTTTATTTTTTTCAGGGTTTCATCGATGACTAACTTTTCAAGCAGTATGATTCATAGTTTCAAAAACGTTTTTCGACAAAAATAAACTGATTACGGTATCAAAGTCATTAATTATTTTAAGCTCACCTTCAACCCATCAATCTTCTGATCCTCATCAAGAAGCGATCGTTTCTGACGTATCGCGTTCCGCCTCGCCATTGGGTTCTATAGCATGAATGTGCAAATACTAGAGGAAAAGCCCCTCTTTCAAGCAATCGATTTGACACTATCGTCCAAGGGCAACCCCGATAGATGATGATTGTGGAGGGTTGGGGGGTGGGGGACAGGTTGGCCCCAACACAATTGTTTGCACGAGAATTTTGGAAACAAGCGCACTCCTTGCCAATCCTCGTTCTGTACAACCTGCGGGGAGGAGTGGGCTTTTCGGGGCGGATGGTAGCAGCTAGTTGAGGGCTTCAGACAAACCCAACTGTTCTTTTCCGTCTTTGATGTCGATGCAAGTAAACAGTCCCTTCAAGACAAACCCAACACACACCCCATCACGCATCTTTGTCGCACCTCTAAGGTTTTTTTAAGGGAAAGCGGAAGAGGTGGGGACAGGTGGTAAACAGATGGGTAGGTGACCGTTTAGCACCGGGACCTATCAACTATAATAATTTTGTTGTGGTCTCCGTCTGTCTGTGTGAAGCCGAATTCAACTCGAAGGGGAAAGGAGCTAGAGCTTAGCTCTCTTCGGATTCGGATAGAGCGTGGTCAGAAACCCCCAAACTGACAAAAAAATTATGAAAAAGTTTTAGTTTAAATTATTAAAATTAACTTTGAAAGTTTTTTCCTTAGTAAAAGGGGTGGGGGACGGAGGTTGGGGTGATTTGGGACATAGTGAGCCAGGTGGCGCGCGTTTCGTGGATGAAAATTTTGTTGTGGTCTCCGTCTGTCTGTGTGAAGCCGAATTCAACTCGAAGGGGAAAGGAGCTAGAGCTTAGCTCTCTTCGGATTCGGATAGAGCGTGGTCAGAAACCCCCAAACTGACAAAAAATTATGAAAAAGTTTTAGTTTAAATTATTAAAATTAACTTTGAAAGTTTTTTCCTTAGTAAAAGGGGTGGGGGACGGAGGTTGGGGTGATTTGGGACATAGTGAGCCAGGTGGCGCGCGTTTCGTGGATGAAAATTTTCACGGGGGATTTCATTTCTTTTTTTCTCTCATTCCATCCGGTCGGTCGTTATTTTTGTTTTTTAAGGGGATTTCGGCTAAGGGAGGTATCTTAAGCCATCGGGAAGGTATTTAGGTAGTTTTTGAAGGGGATTACGGCTAGGGGAGGTATCTTAAGCCATCGGGAAGGTATTTAGGTAGTTTTTGAAGGGGATTTCGGCTAGGGGAGGTATCTTAAGCCATCGGGAAGGTATTTAGGTAATTTTTGAAGGGGATTACGGCTAGGGGAGGTATCTTAAGCCATCGGGAAGGTATTTAGGTAGTTTTTGAAGGGGATTTCGGCTAGGGGAGGTATCTTAAGCCATCGGGAAGGTATTTAGGTAGTTTTTGAAGCGTATTTCGGCTAGGGGAGGTATCTAAAGCCATCGGGAAGGTATTTAGGTAGTTTTTGAAGGGGATTTCGGCTAAGGGAGGTATCTTAAGCCATCGGGAAGGTATTTAGGTAGTTTTTGAAGGGATTACGGCTAGGGAGGTATCTTAAGCCATCGGGAAGGTATTTAGGTAGTTTTTGAAGGGGATTTCGGCTAGGGGAGGTATCTTAAGCCATCGGGAAGGTATTTAGGTAGTTTTTGAAGGGGATTTCGGCTAAGGGAGGTATCTAAAGCCATCGGGAAGGTATTTAGGTAGTTTTTGAAGCGTATTTCGGCTAGGGGAGGTATCTAAAGCAATCGGGAAGGTATTTAGGTAGTTTTTGAAGGGGATTTCGGCTAGGGGAGGTATCTTAAGCCATCGGGAAGGCATTTAGGTAGTTTTTGAAGGGGATTTCGGCTAGGGGAGGTATCTTAAGCCATCGGGAAGGTATTTAGGTAGTTTTTGAAGGGGATTTCGGCTAGGGGAGGTATCTTAAGCCATCGGGAAGGCATTTAGGTAGTTTTTGAAGGGGATTTCGGCTAGGGGAGGTATCTTAAGCCATCGGGAAGGTATTTAGGTAGTTTTTGAACGGGATTTCGGCTGTCGGGGGTATTGATGGAGGTGGGAAAGGATGTGGTGGAGTGGGACATGTAGGGTAGCCCGAAGGCCAGATGGTTGCAGTCGCGAAGCGACTGTAACCATCTGGTATAGTAAATAAATAGTTATAAACCTACGCATAAGAAATGTCGGCTCTGCATTTTGTTCAAAAGTGCGAAAGTTTGGGATGGAATGGGTGAACGGAAAATGTGGAACCGGTTTTTGCTTCGTGGATGTTGAGCATTGAAAAGTGTCACCGAATTTGTGGAATATTGCAAATGGCAAAAAATGGTAATGCTGTATGCGCCGAGGAGATTTTATGGCCATTCTCCTAGGAGCGCTCATAACAATCTTAGACTTTAGAGTAAAAAAACATGCTTTATTTATTCAGGTAAGCAAGGGATAATATAGCCTTAGAACCTAGTGGCAAAGGATCTCTTTTCAAAACCACAATATGCTAATTTCTCGCAATTCCCTTTTTTTAGTGCACTTTCCAGTTTTGTGCCAATTTCACCCCCTCATAAAGAATGCAGCCCCGTGCTTTTCGCAAATTTGATGGATAGGCAACGATCTGGGAGCCGATCACCAATGAATTGAGATCTGACAAGCTAGCCACGGCGGCACTCTCCTTTGAAAGAAATCAAACGTACCCTTCGTTCTCGCCTGAACAGGAAATGCATGGTTTTCCAAATCCAGTAATTCCAAAACAAAATTATTTTAGATCGTGGTCGAGCAGCAGGTCAACTTTGGCGAGTGCGAGTCAACTTTATGAAGTCCTCTTCTGCCACATGTGTTTTTCACAGCGTCCCTAATTATCGACGTCGTTGCCGGGGCGGCCTTTAACAGCCGAATCGGACATAAATTTTTGGCGGCGTCCATTGTGCTTTTACGGGGGATGGGGGTTCTTGCATCGTTGTTTAGAGGATTTTCGGAAAACTGGAATGGGATGTAAAGATTTCAGGTATTTTCAGGTCACTTTGGCCTGTTTAGAAAGGCCTTCAAGTCACTTTTGGCGTGTTGGAACTTTCCTGCTGACGTTAGCTCTCTAGATATTCCCATAGGCCAAGTAATGTATTATATCGAGTATGCTCGTCTTAATTCAAAGATTTTCCCACCTACTACTACTACTCTGATACCTTCCCATCGACCTGTCCATTCGAGTCTCTCCCCTTGCCCCGTTGCAGGGTGTGGTCAAATTCCTCCACGGCGCCTGCGCGCTTGATTGAATCCGACCTGTTCGTGTGAAGGTGCCATCTAGTCACCCTTGACTCAGTGTTATTTTTTGGGCAGGTTGTCATTAAATCAAAAATATTATTACGGTATTATTCAACAAGGAAAGCTTTCTCGAAAATTCGCCGCATCATAAATACCTTGCAATCACCCTGGGCGGAAATCCAGCTACGCGCTGGTGGAATTAGCTTGTAAAGTGACATAAATCAACACGTAGATATAATATTTTTATATACGGCAGGATTAGAAACGGGTCGTCTATCCCAGTCTGTCAAGACCTAATTCGTTGTCTTTTATCCGATTCTAAAGTGGATTCGATACTCCAATCGCATATCCCACACCAACCCTAGCCATAAAATCAATCACCCATCCCGATCAATCCATTAATGGGGAGCACCAAGGGTGTGGTCAGACCCCCTCCAGTCATCTACCACACACCACTTCCCAAAATGACGGCTTCTGACTAATCTGGTCTTCCTGTATTTCGAGCCCCCTCCGAGATCCACCCCTACCCCACCTTCAAGGTTGCTAATCGAGCCTTTTCCTTGTGAGTCGCACATTGAAAAGAAGAAGGGACCACGCCCTGCATGCCAGGGCTATACCCGTGCTCCCCGAGCAATGGCTCGTCCTCCACCCTGCCACTTGTTTTCACCTCCACACGCAGACACAACCAACTACTACTCTTCACGCCTTGGCTCTCCAATTCTTGCACGGGGGTTATAGTGGGTGCTTGAGATTTTATCGAAATACGGTTGGTTGTTGTGAAGGGGGGTTTGTGGGGGTATTTACTTCAAAACGCTTTTTTGGGTTATTTATTTCGTAAAATCCTATAATTTGGATCCTTTTCTGTCTTTTTTAAAAAGCTGCAGTCACTTACGGTGAAAACTAACTCATTTGTCAGTATGTCCGATGATCGAAATTATCATAACAATTACTTTAATATTTAAAATTGCTGTTTATAAAAAAAACTGATATATTGACAGTCTACTTCAGGCCGTCCTTCAAATAAACCTTCAAATCCTTTTAAAAACGAGACGAACACCCTGTGGTTACCACCACTACCCCCGCACCGGCATCCTCTCACCAACGATGTTAGGGGCATTGAGGTGCAGCCTCCCGTTGCTTCTCCTTTATGGGATCGGGCTCATTCCGGGACGGTGGTTCGCGCTGGGCGCTTAGACCTTGCTTCCTTCCTTCCTCCCCTTCCCATTCATATCACCCCTCCTCTTCTTTTCGAAGGACGGCCAGTTCCATCACCCGGCCAATACATCCCCTCCTGCTCCCCCCTCTCAACCCCTACCACCTCAGGATCTCGGCGAATCCCTTGACCCCCTTCGAGTCCCCAATCCCTCTCCACCTATATCTCATCCATTGCTATCACTACGACATTTACATGTCTCGTCCTTTTCGCTTACTATTTGAGCCCTTGCCGAATGTACGATTCTGATTTCAGAATGTCGGACGAATACCGGAGCTCCATCTCCTCTCGTCCGGCCTTCAACCGGAACTCCACCACCACCAGCAATACTTTTGCGCCTGGTTCTGGCAACCGTGTGGTCAAGATCGTCACCGAGATGTCGTCCAGCACCACTCAATCTGGACTCTCGCCTTTTGGCCAGGTAAAAACCAAATACTATAACTTTTAGTTAAACAAACAAGAACTAAAACCCCATTTTGCGGCTTTTCGGCCCTAGCCCTGTCAGCGAGCTTTTCACCAAAACTAAGATTTCATATCTAGAATCATTAATTTCTAAAATCAGCTATGTGGGCAAGACTTATGACGAGTACATTGCGAGTCTAGCAACCTATCTAGGCGCAGCTTGCATCTCGTTAACTAGCCCGATATCGGTGAAACCACATTACAGAATTGACGTATTACGGTAGATCCATTAAACTACCTTTTTCAGAATGCCGCTTCGGCCATTCGTGACTCCCGTGAGCGCGAGAAGAAAGAGATGGCGGACCTCAACGATCGTCTGGCCAGTTATATCGAGAAAGTAATATAAAGTTACTATAACTTAACCAAGCTTACCTCATCCAGGTCCGCTTCCTCGAGGCCCAAAACCGCAAGCTCCAAGGGGACCTCGATCGCCTGCAGGGAAAATGGGGCAAAGGAACCTCCTCAATCAAGATCATGTTCGAATCTGAGATCACCTCAGCCCGCAAGGTCATCGAGGAGACCGGAAGGACCAAGGGGGATGTTGAACGCGAGATCAACAAGCTCCAAACTGAGCTCAATGAATACCGCAGGAAGTAAGGCTTTAGATTTTTACCTTTAAACAATTTCTAAAGATACGAAGAGGCTGTCCGGGGACGCACTGAGGATCGTCAGACCATTGATGATCTCCTTGTCAAGCTGTCCAACATTGAAGCCGAGGTTTTTGAAATCTAGGAATTGCAAATTACTGTTTTTTAGATTAACCTCCTCAAGCGCCGCATCGCTCTTCTTGAGGAAGAACTGAAGTTCTTGAGGAAAGAGAACCTTCGTCTGCAAAGCGAGCTTCAGCGTGCCCGCACGGATCTCGATCAAGAGACCCTCAATCGTATCGACTACCAAAACCAAGTCACCACTCTCCTTGAGGAGATCGATTTCATCAAGCGCTCCAATGACCAGGAGATCAAGGATCTTCAGGTATTTAAATTTCAGTATTTTATGTATATATGTTTGTAGGCAATGGCTGCTCGCGACACCACAAATGAAAACCGCGAGTACTTCAAGAACGAATTGGCCTCAGCTATCCGCGATATTCGCAACGAATACGAGCTGGTATTAAATTTATGTACTTCTAAATATTTTCACATTCTTAGATGATGAACTCCAATAAGAACGACATGGATTCGTGGTACAAGCTGAAGGTCCAGGAGATCCAGACCCAATCCGCTAGACAGAATATGGAGCAAGGGTGAGTGAAAATACGAAAGCCATTAATCACCTAATTAATGCTTTAGACACGCCAAGGAAGAGGTGAAACGCCTCCGCGAGCAGCTCTCCGACCTTCGCGGCAAACTTGCCGATCTTGAGGGCCGCAACGCCCTTCTGGAGAACCAGATTAAGGAGCTCAACTACCAGCTCGAAGATGACCAGCGCGCCTATGAGGCCGCCCTCAACGACAAGGATGCTCAGATCAGGAAGATGCGCGAGGAATGCCAGGCGCTTATGGTTGAGCTGCAGATGTTGCTCGATACCAAGCAGGTCGGTGAATGGCCCAGACGGCATTGAATTGAACATTATTTCTTTTGTCAACATTATATCTCATTATTATTTCAGACTTTGGATGCCGAAATCGCCATCTACCGTAAGATGCTCGAAGGCGAGGATGGAGGCCCGGGGCTGAAGCAGCTTGTCGAACAGGTCGTCAGGACCACCGGCATCAAGGAGGACGCTGATACTGGTAGGTCTATCGTTCGTGCGATTTACGAAAGCGTTTGTAGAAACAATGCGTGTGCTCAAGGGTGAGACCTCATCTCGAACATCGTACAGCCGTTCGGCAAAGGGCAATGTGTCTATCCAGGTATGATAATTATCACGTATTAGTGGATGTTCGTCATTTTAGGAAACATCACCCGAAGGACGTTTTATCGTGTTGGAAAACACGCACCGTGCCAAGGATGAGGCTATGGGTAGCTGGAAGTTGAAGAGGAAGATTGATGGCAAAAGGGAAATTGTGTTTACGTTCCCCCATGATTACGTGCTGAAGGCCGGAAAGACTGTTAAGGTACCGTATTATACCGAAAACCTATTTTATGGCTCAATTCACATGCGAGTACCATTACTTTTTTAGGTGTGGGCCCGTGGACATGGCCACAGCTCCCCGCCCGATCAGCTGATCTTCGACGGTGACGATACCTTCGGCGTTGGCTCAAACGTCCAAACCATCCTCTACAACAAGGACGGCGAAGAGCGAGCCTCTCACATCCAACGCCAATCCCAATCCAACAATTGATCGCGTTTACGACCATTTAGCCCCATCCCATTTGCTCATCCCATCCCAACCACTGGTCTTCATTGTTATATGGCGGCAGATTCTTACCAAGCTTTGGGAATCCCAGTTATAACCTGTGCCAGTGCCGTTGATGAAATAAAGTATATTAAAAACAAAGAAATCAGATTTATCCGGTTTTAAGTGCAAAATAAAAAGCAAATACGAGTGGATACGCTCCGAAAACGTAGTGAGTCATTTTCGGGTTTTAGGTTATGTGGCTGCAGTCCTTTATTGGCTCGGCTTCTTTGTTTTTCGAGTCGAGCGCCGTAAGGCAAAGTTCCTTGATTTGAGTGGGAGCGCGGAACGTTTCTTGAAAGTTTATTTTAGCTTAAGCCAAAGTAAATTGTCTTACCTCGTGGCTGCTCGTGCTCAATATTACAGTAGTCATTGCGGCAATAAGTAATATTTGCCTGAATTGATAAAATTGTTTATGTCTTCGAATAAAGGGTTTCCTTAATGCGCATATAGTTCCTATAGCTTATTAATTTCTATCACTCACCCAACTATCCCATGGCAATTTGACTGTCACATGCCCATACGATAACTGACGGTTCAGAAGCTCTTTCGAGAAGACGAGATCGTGCTTGTAATTGAGGCAATCTCGATAGATACCTAAATCTACCATATTAAATATCTTATTGTATACAAATCTATAAACTTGCGTAAAATTACCGATGTGTTCCCGCCCAATGCGCCTCTCACGCCAATAAGTAGCGATAGAGCATGGTCCTTGACACATAATCTGATAGCTAAAATTTTATGATTCTCCTCCAATTTTTTAAATTAAGATTTAACATTTTTAAATATGTAGAACCCACGAATATCGTGATCCTGCACAAGCCCGCGGAGATGGGTGCCTCATCGAACTCGATAAAAGGTTGTTCAATTGTTGCAGCATTTGCTGAGCTCGAATTCAAATTTTGTGAAAAGCTATTGCATACAAAAACGGGACGATCCGCGCAGACCCAGCAACGATAATAGTTCTCATCTTCCGGGTTTTTCGTTGCATTTCTTGGAGCTGAAGTAGGAACAAAATAGATATTTTTATGGAGTGTCCACTTACGCAATGGGATTTGCCCTGGGCCAGTATAGTAATCAGCTATAGGACGGGCGAGGAACTCTTCTTTGGTCTATATTGTCCCAATTCTTGCATAAAAAATTAATGCTTACAATTTTTGGATAATTCCTCAACTTTACGTTATCCATATTTCGATGTGTTAGCCCAAACTAAAACGCAATAAATATCCCGAGTACTTGAGTGTGTCTTCTCATAGTTCTTTCAAATGCGCACCCAATCCAGAAACTCTTGGAACCAGCCACAATATCCCAGTTGCGCATAGAATAGAACCAAAACAATGGGGAGCAGCCCCGTGCGGAGCCGCATCACTGAAATGCCAATTTAGTGATTTACAATTACCAAATTATTGTCTTAAAAACAATATAACCAAAACCGAACTACGAAAACCAGCCTTTGGCCACAGCGCGAAAAATACCGCGTGCTGCTATCCCCTCGTGGGAATGGCCTCTCCCTGGCTCCTCCTCAAAGCCATTTATTTAAACGAACACCCTGGGTGGTCCCACCGCGTCTCCACAAGGACCCACAAAAAGTGACAGCCAAAGATCGGAAGATATCTCAATTCCGCTTCCACAGGCGGCCCGAATCGCTCCTCTTCTCTCCACATTTCAAAGGCAGTGGAGCTTTCAAAGAGCTTTTTTGCGGTTGCATCTTGGGTGGGCCTCGTCGAAGCGGTGATTGATATGGCACATCTGCCAGTGGACGGCATCGGGTCCATGAAGGGTCCATCGGCACCGATATCGCGCGGGAGGCTCTAAAGGGCCTAGGGTCATGAAATGTCGATATCACTCCACTCTCCCGAGTGATATATAGTCAAGTGCAGGTCGGGTATATGCCATTATGGGTCATTTACCTCACTTGTTTCCCCGATACCTAAGAAAAATTGGAACTTAACTTCTAATTTATTTAATTAAGATCTTGCGTCTCTTGACGGGAGGGTCAACCCTTCAAGCTCACAAAGCATGACGTTCGGCTCCATCGATCACCCTAGACCAGGTAGCCTAAAAATCCAGGTATCAGATAGACCCAAAACTTTAGAACCTCATCAGGCGATTTTTCGCTGCCAATACCCCGAAAAGGTGATCTGCCCCGGTGATGGAGCCCATTTGTATGCGATCGAAGGAGACGAGGTGTACTTGATCGTCCAGTCGACAGGCGGTACTGCGGCTGCTCGCTATCGGCATTATAGGGTAATTCTAAATTAGTGATTATAAACGCTTCTTCTTGTAGATCTGGTGCAAGAATTTTCGGCGGTCTACGCCGTGGGAGCGCATTTTCGAATTTGTGGCTGGAGAAGCTCACCTTCCGGTGTTTAACTACAAACTCGGCAGAACGTTTTTGCTTGTAAATACGATCGAGGTATGTGGAACACCAGCGATTGGTAATTATTCATATAATTTTAGGGTAAATGGGAGTTGTTGAGCGTAGGGCGAGAAGGAGATCTGAAGAAATGGGAGTTGCTGAATTCAGAAATGCTGGTATAATATTATTACAGTCTAAAGTTAGGTTTTTAGAACATTTCAAAGGATAGATTCGGAATTAGCCACTGTACCCCGAAGGACGAGCCGCGTTTTTATGTGTTTACCCATGATGCAGAAAAAGGGTAATTTTTGGAAGTTTATTCCTCAGAAAAGAATATAACAACAGTCGTATATAATGATTTTTCAGGTACCCATCTCATCTATGGGAATTGGTCCCGGTGACTCGCGGCAAATGTCGGCTAATCCTCGCTACTTATCAACCCAAGCTAAGATCCGGACTTCTAGATGCGGTGGTGATTGGTGGTGGCATAAAATGGTATCGTAGACTTTCAAATAGTTTATTTTATATGTTTAATAGGCTTTTAATTCCGCATAGAAGTCCCGCCGTTTATGTTGGTAATTTGAAAGACGGACGCTTCCGAGTTTACCATGTCGCTGACACACGCGAATTTCAGGTAAAATTTTCGTCACCCCAAAAATTAAATTAATTATTATTAATCGTGAGATACCACCTGAATTTAAACATTTAGTTACCGCTAGAATATCTCCAAGAAGCAAAGATGGAGATCTACTCCGTCGGTGATGTGAGTCTCAAACAAATGTCCCTCACTTAAAATTCTAGCTCATCTTCGGATGTCTTCGCATCGGTAATGAGCTCCATATCTACCGACTATATTTCAACACCCTCTTCCGGACCATTAATTTAAGGTAATAGCCAATTTGAGTAGATACGAAAATACCTAATTTTTTCAGAAAGGTAGCCGAAACCACTGGATGGATGCTTCATGCACAAATTCGCCCCGCTCCGCCGTTCTGCGCCAATCGGGAATACTTGGCTATTGATGGGGGACATGAAGTTACGGTAATTTGCAAGTTTAATGAGTTAAATCCAGGACTTTAAGATTTTTACAATGGTGTTGAAGCCAAATCCCGGTTCTTGGATTCGAAGAGCCATCCGTAGGATCCGTGCAAATTTGATCAAGTGGTTCCTGCCCTTCAAGCGAGACCGTGCCGAATGTTGTGGAAAATAACCATAATTCTTTAGGATTTTTTTTTGTTTTCTTGTGTTTGGATCAATTTGTTGTTTTTCATACAAATTTTTTTCATAATAAACAAATTTCAAGAGAAATGCATCGCCAAACCTTGCCGCGTGACTCCTAAACAATCTACAGTAACCCTGAAGGGAATGGCCGTTACGAAATGATTTCAGTTTTTGCGCAGTTGACAGTTACAGTGCATGGTCCTTGCACGTTGCCTGTAAACAGGATGATATGTGGGTGAATAGACAGATGATGGCATTGGAATGGGCAAAGGATCGCATGAGACAGTTCTCTGAGCGCTAGAAGTACTTGTGGGGGCAATAAATTCACTCTTGTACTTCGCAGTCACTTCCGGGTAGATTCCAAAACACAGTTAATAAAGTTGAAACTTTTTTTGACATATTCGTTTCTTAAAAGACCCCAAAGATCCTCAAAGACTTCGTTTCTTAAAACGCACTTTTCGGCTAAATTAAATTTTAGCGGGAAGCGTTTCGCTATAAAGGGAAAAAACCTTTTCCATATCTAGTGAAGGCTTCTAGCTCATCCCATCCAGCATCACCGGAAGAACCGCGCAAACAAGCACTCTCCCTTGAATTTCGTCGCCACTTCGAAACAGGTGCTGTTCCTCGACCGCTTCCGCTGACCAACCGCACCACCATCTCTTTCTCAATAATTAATCCTCGGCAGTGACAACACGCATATCAATCAAGACCATGAGCTCTCACCGGAAGCCTTTGCCCCCCCCCCCCTCCCCTTCCCTCCTAAAATGGAACCACCTTCCTTACGAGAAAAGCCCAGTTTATGAATCACAAAGGTGATGCTGCTATTTCGGGCATCGCATGTTTTTCATTGCCACCATCACCTCTTCACCGCCAATCAACTATACAGCCGCCGGGCCAAGAAATGATGAGAAGATGAAAACGAGAACCCGGGCGCCACGTGGGGGTGGGTGAGTTGAAAATATATCCCATCACTGTTGTTTGTGACTCTTTCCCACCGTATCCCCCGATGTCTGCCGCTTGTTGCTTGGGTACACGGGCCGAAAAAGCGTAGCCTGTTTTTAGGGCGACACCCCGGCTGCGAGGCTTACGGTGCTGAGGCGTGTTTTTGGCAAGGCGCCAACCGGGGGTCACGTGCTGGCTGGTAGTGCGCGGATGGTGGGTGGAAGACGAGCCAGCCTGCTGATTCGCCGTGACACTTTCTTCATTCAGCCATTGGACATTCCGACCTGAGAGGGGGGCCCCACCGCAAAATCAAGAACCGAAAGCCGGGGCAAGTCGACCGCTCGGGCGTCCTGATGGATGAGCTGTGAGAGGGGAAAAAGCGCCGAATTCGCCGTCCTTCCCCCCATCACCACCAGTTCGTCCACCTTCCTTTTCCCCAAAAAAACAGCGAGCGCCAGAGATATTTTTGGGGCTTCCCAATCTTTGAAGGTGCTGCGAATGATGAATGAGTGTGGGCTATATTTGGCGGTGGTCGGGGCGGAAAGGTTCCCCGCCATCCAAAGATAGGCAAACCGGGTTGGTAGAAAACAGTCTTCCGCCTTGTGCAGTCGTGGTGTGTGAAACTAATCGGGTCGGTCATAATATCGCTTACGATCAAGAAATGGATGGGGTGACGAGAGAAAAAACACTCGAGAATCGCACGTACTTAGTTTGTGGTTTCGGATGGAATTTGCAAAACAACAAGTAGAGAAATAAGGGGACGGAATGGAATAGAAATACGCGAAAACCAAGTTTGCTGCCTGATCGCTCCTTGGATGTTCGTTGCTCGTGCAATGAATTTCAGTTTCCTAAAACAAAAGCTTGTCTACCTACTTACAGAAAAGTCCGTCCTAGTTCCATCATTTTTATTTTCACACCCGGGATTTGATGATTCTTTTTTGATCGTTAAATCATATGAGCTCACAACTGTCACAATGGCATCCCACGTGGTGGGATAGGGGCGAACGAGGGAAGTATCGCCGATCCCTGCTCGAAATGAACGGATCTTGATCACTGGATGAATGATGCTCTTACCCAACACGCTAGTAGTCAGCTGAGCCGTGCCTGCCAGGTACCGTAACACACGCACAGGCGGGTTTTTAGTTTTTACCTGCATCATGACACGGAGAATGCCAGCTGAGAGTGCGGCGCGTGACAGGCTTTGGCTGATTCATCTGATATGGACCATGTCCTCGGACATATGATGTATTGGATTTAGGCCGCAAAGAAATTGCTGGAAAAATTGAGCAATTCAACAAATGATCTCACAAGACCCATTACAAATCCGATCAAAGCAAAACAGAGTGAACCCGCATAGTCAAGCCCTAACTTAATCACGCACCATCAATCAAACTTAATGAGGGTGATCACCAGCCGGAAATGCATTTTCAAAGATCCATCCAACAAGGGAAACCATAAATTTTCTAAGTGCGCCAATCGAGCGACCGGATCGCTCGGTTCAGCAATAACTGCTATTGTCCCTACCCATTCCTCAATATGGTTTATGTGGTCTGATCCACAGCTCCCCACATTCCAACCATATTCTAAATCAGCTGAGCAGCACCCCCTCTTTGGAATCCATCCGGATCGAACGACTTCTTTTTGTGTCCGGATCCCCAAAAAGGCTCAAAAGGCGTCCGTTGCAAATGCGGGAGCAAGTACAGCATCGGCGCATTTCCCTGTGGCGCGAGATTTCATCAGTGTGCTGCATGCTGCTGCTCTTTCCGCGCTTCGTGCTCCTCTCCTCCACCATCTACCCATACACTCGTCCCACCCGGGCTGCTCACGCTGATTGTTTCTGATGCAATCTTTCCCCCACGGTCCGGGTTCTTGTCCCCGACAAAACGGAGCAGTGTCACCGTTGTGACCAGGCCTCTCAGCATGGCTGATGACACTCATGACTACCTCAGGCCCATCACCTTTTGTGGAGCAGAAGAGCAAGAAAGCCTTCTGGTGGTACGAGAGGCTGAGGGAGGAGGATGAGTGCTGTGGGTATGATCTGGCAATCAGCCAAGAAAGACCGACTGTGGGGGGTACGGTAACAGGTGTCTTTATGCTGTTTTAAACTGCTTTTCTTTTGCTTCTACGTAAGTTTCAACTTAACAGCGACGTCTTATCAAACTCCATCAGCTCCCTACTGTAACCCGGAACCTAGCCGATAAGCATCCCCATCATCTCCTTGAACCTTGTCACATGGTTAGACCCACCCGACCGACAGACAGCGATAAAATATAGAAACAACAAAAAACACCACAGACTCCGCCACGACCATGGGAGAGTACGATTAGGGGCCTACATCACAGGGCGCCATGATTGAGTACACCACTCTTTGATAAATTCGTGCCGATCATCCGCTGGCAGAGGGTGTGTGCGTTGGGCGAAAAGTTATTTTCACGAGGCGGCGGACACCCCGAGCCACATTTAGACGCAAACACTAGATGAGGAGGGAACACCAAAAACCAAGGCATGGAGAATGAGTAAGTGGATAGCGTGTGCTGTTTCGAGAATGGTAAACCCGTTCAATGATGTCTTAGAGTTCTTAGAAACTTCGAGGTTTTTGGGGAACGATGAAGAAATGGGTGATGTGTTTCCGGGTTGCAAAATCGAGCCGCGGCGAAAGCTACCGTAACCCTCCCGTCTCTAGGGCACAAGAACCGGATCTTTCGGGAGCTAGTACTTCGCTAGTAAGCTAGTCTTAATTTTACGTACATATCAAACCCTTTAATTACGAGGTATAGCCGTCGTACCCCGAGGACGTCAAATCCCGAAGATCACGAGTCCAACCTTGAACTCCTTCTAGCCCTCAGAACCTCCATTGCAATCACCAAACTTGGCACCCATCTCCCTCTGGAGGCTGGTCACGTGCATGAAATTAGGTCAGCCTATGCCCCCTCACAAATTATGATCGCCGTGGGTACAATGATGTCATGAGACCGATGACAGTCTCTCCCATTCCACACCAACACCATCACAAGCACACACAGCCCAATCAGCTACACTAGCTCCTCTTCCCCCACCACCTCTCATTGCCTGTTTTGTTCCCCTTCAACATCCGATCAAGATAGCCCCCGCGCCAAACAGACACCGGTTCGGCCACAGAGAACCAAGGCGACGCAATGACTTCTAAAGAGCATCCCTGGCCCGGGCAAAGGCTATTCTTGGCTCCAACCTCTGTTTTGGGCGAGCACCGTCCGCTGTCTCCGCCCCCTTCAACCTCAACGCGCGCGCATCCGTCCCCCTCGGGTCGGCCCACGCCCCACCCTCCCCCCACCCCCGCCACCACATACATATAGCGCGCCTCCGCCTGCCCTTCGCCGTATCACAATGATCACACTGGTGGCTAGAAACACTTCCCCCGCTACTCCCTCCCGCAACGACCTCCTCTCGCAAGAGGTACAGCTTACTCCTTCACTATACCTCCCCATCCCTTCCTTCCATCAACTCCCTCAACAACAATGCTTTTAGATGATCATGCTGAAGGAGTACACCAACGAGCATGAGCTCACCGAAGCCCTCAATGCCACGAAGTCCTTTCCTGAACTTCTGATGACGCATTTCTGCATCCACAACCTCCTGTACAAGAAGTACCAATTCAAGAACATCCGCATCTTCTCCTATCCTTATCACAACTCCATCTACTGGTACCTCTTCGAGATCCGCCGTGGAGCCACGTAAGCCACCAAAAGCAAGTTTTATTATTGCTTCTTTAGACCCCAAGTGACCATCGCTCAAGGTGTCGGCCGACACGACTCTACCGCTTTCCTAACTGGACTTCGCCTATTTTTGGAAAAGATCCACGACCAGGTCCGGGACACCGGATTCCTCATCGGAGCCGAGGAGCACCTGCAATTTGATGTAAGCTTTCAATTCTAATAATTTATAAACAAATCTCCTCCAGATTGCCACCATCTTCGAACAAATGCTCCCCAGCCATCAGCTCGCTCCTAAGAGCCGCAACACTTTCTTTTACATGACGAAGGAACAAACGGAAGACCTCGCCTCCGCAGATCTAACCGTTCCTTATGGCTACTCCCATTCCGAAGTCGACCTCGAGAAGGATTCTCAACTTATCCACGACGCTTGGGAATTCGCCACAACACTCGAGCACACCAAGTGAGTATCATCACCATTGACAAAAACAGTAAACATTCCCATATCATCGCTAGCCCCCAAAAAATCGCGCCACCTGTCAGTTCTCGGCCTGACTAGGCCATATCCCCACGCTATGAACCGATTTGTCACGCTGCCAGCAATCAGCCACGCGCTCCTCCTCTGCTTCTCAGGTTCCTCCTAGGCGCTCATTGATGAGAACTGGGTTCTCTCCATAGCTCCATGCTCTTCTTACCGCCTCTTCCTTCGAATTCCCATCCCAGCGCACTTTGATCTCAGCACGTCACATTAAATGAGGCGCCAACCCATAGTGGTATAGGCAGGGGGGTGAGCGTCAACAATAAGCGTGCCAATGGGGGAGCCACGTGGAATCACATCAAGTACCTAAATACAGTCATATTTATAGGACTCGGCTTGCTGAGCTTCCATCAGCCGTCATCCGCGACGCCGATGGGAACATCGCCTCCTTCGAGATGATGAGCCAGTATGGCGCCGTCTGCAACCAGTACACTCTTCCCGACAAGCGTCGCCAAGGACTGGGACGCCTTGTTGAGATGCAGCTGGCACAGAAGGTGGTCTTGGCTGGTCAAGTGCCATTCAAGACCGTGCCTTCCCTCCTTGCCGACGTCGTCCGCAGGTCGGCCGAGTCGCCCTTCTGGTCTACCTTCACCCGCAACGGCGAGCCGGTCACGTTTGTCTTCCAAACGGCCGCCGTACGGGATTCGTGAGCTTGAGGCTTTCCCCCACCACAGTCACAGAACCAATTCACCCCCCCAAAAACCCCAACCTATCCACATGTCTTCGTGCAACCCATGCTAGATCTCAGCCCAAATCTTGACGATTTATCCAGCTCTTTGCTCTATAAAAACCCCGCTCATTATTTGGAACCAAGTTCATTGCTCATCCCCCAACACTGATCCCAGCTCCAGCTAATTCTGACACTCTGCGACTGATCTCAAGCCTCAAGTTTGTGATGAAAAGCTCAACGTTTTGTAGGGAACCCTTCTGTTTTTCTCGCCTTTGAATTCGTGTGCCATGAATATATTTGAATTGCAGTACTGTGTGCGTGTTTATTGTATAGAATGTGCCGTGATAAATAATATTTTCTTCATTTGCGTTCTAAAAATACATCGGAAATTCAGGACATAAATACTATAAAGTTTCGTAATAGATACTATAATATACGATCAGGACTACTTCGGTACTGTATATCGGGGCCTGTCTTCTCCTTTTCCACAGTATCTAACGCACTTTTCGAAAGTCAATAACAAACAACCCATTTCATTTTCTAAATCCGTCACGTTGGAGCTTCTTCCCAATTTTTCTTTGTGACCATTCAGTTCAAAAAGTGGCAAACAGTCCACCACGCCCGATACACGCAGCACGGCCAGCCCGCCGCCTTTCACATGGATGCTAATCAAGGCCATTATCTTCACGTGAATAGCAGGACGTTGAACCAATAAATCTCTTTATGCCCTCAAAAAATACAGTCATCACGGAAATATCACAAACAGCTAATGGCACTAACTTTCGCAGCTTTCTCAAACCAATGTCGACGCGAAAATCGACTGCATAATTTGCGGTAGTTCCGACGTCTCCTTGCAGACGAACGCCTTCCCGGCGGGCAGCGCTTTTTGGAGCCTGGAAACCGGTAATGTTGGCGGTAGCAGTCATATGACCCTAATCGGTCATCTCACCCGTTTCACATGGTACTCTTTTTTACCAGTTTTGATGGATGAGAGGTGGAAGGCGTGGGAAATCTGCGCTCACCTGGCCGCCTGTTCCCCGAGGGAGCCGATGAGAATCACGAAACTATTCACCGAAGAGTCACGGCCCATCACATTCACGAGGTCTTTTGGCCGGATGCCGTATCTGAAAAAGTGGATGTACCAAAGTAGCAAGGAAATTTGTTGTAATCTTTTTGAAATACTTTAAGATCAGCCCTAGTTTGGTTCTGGTTCGTTAGCGGGGGGGATTAATGTCAAAGAGTTTTCAATATTTCATTCGTTATTGAGGATTACATCATCGCGACCCGGTAGAGCATCAAAAAATATACTATGAAAATTTAAATTTTAGATTCAAATAAAATAATTTCAGAAAGATACTACAAGGGCAAAAAAAACCTGAAAATTTGATTGATAAACTATTTTTCGGGATTTTCGATATTTTTCGACATCCTGTTAACGCTATTCGATAAAGCAACAAAAAAAATTTCCTAGGACTTTCAGATACAGATCAAAATAATGCAATTTCAGATAAGAGAAGCTTTTGACAAAAAGTGTTTCCCCCCAACCCCCGGCGCTAACGAATCAGAACCCCTAGTTTCCGGTATTTCACCTTGAAACCCCTTTTCTAAATTTCTCCACGATAAAATGTGTTCCTTTTTGTCTCCGATCAAAGCACCCTCATATCATTTCGGACCGTTGAGACGAAATCGTTCGTTGCCCGATTAGCCAGCCATCTCCGAACCTCCCGTGAAAAGCACCTGTCAAGATTTGCGTCTGAGACGAGGACAACGATTCGCTCATCAACGTCCTCCTCCTTGGCCAACTGTCTGATCGAATAATCCAATGCTTCCACCGTGTAGTCGCCAGAGACGCAAAACTAAAAAAAACGCGTTTCGGGGCACGAAGCAATCGAGTGATCAAGGCGATATATTATCACCTGACAGCTTTTTGTGATTTAATGTCGCCGGATTTCAAACCGGGAAAATCGGCGCCTATAATCCATCAACCCCAAAAAAAGCGCGAGATGGATGCGTGTGGAATAGCATGGCTCCTGAAAATAGATGAGCGGTACCTGGGTGTGGGCGAGCATCTGTTTCAACAGGTCCAAACGTTCTTTGTTGTTTTTCGGAAATTTGTCCTGGACGAATACTTGTGCTGGTCCGTCTCCGGAATGGCCGTAGATGTCATACTGTAATAAATAAAATACACGCTTCAACAAACGCAATTACCTTCACTTTTTGCTCTTTGCCCTCCAGCGCCGTCATCACCATTAGTGCGGCTTCAAGGCTCTTTTGTAATCGACTATCGTAGCCGTTGAAGCGATACATTGATCCACTGACATCGAAGTGAAGACGAAGACGCTTCGGGTTCACTTGAGGCGTGCCCGGCTCCGGCAATTTCTCCACTCTACGCCTGAAAAAAATTGCTAGACAGCCAGCAAAATAGACCTGTAAATATTCTTCTCGCCAGTCATCCCTTCAATCAGTTTTCCATCATCCAAATCCCCGGTGGTTTGGTGTCGCGCCCAGAGGCGCTCTTTCTTTTTGGCCTCCAGTTGTTCTAAAAATAACTAATCCGGAGATTCCATCAAAATACCAATAATCGATCGAAGGTGAGCACTCTCTCGCTGAACACGACCCCATAGCTTTTGGTAGGCGTCGTCATCGTACTCACTCATCTGAAAATAAGCATTATCTCCCGGACAAGATGATATACCTGAATTTCTTTCAACTTCTTCGCATACTCTGCCTTTGAAATTTCTCGAGCCTTTCGCAAGATGTGTTCCGGGACTTGTTGTTTGGCCATCTCCGGCATCTGGTGAACATCATGACCCGCGTCCATCCTGGGATAGCCATGATCAATTCCACGCGAAATATTTTACCTAAATGGGCCGCCGACGCCGCCAAGTCCAGCAGTATTGTAGCCTCCAGTGCCACCCATCCATTGATTTCCACCCATGTGTGGAGCATTATCCGGATCAAACTTCCCCATCTTCGGGTCATCCAATTTCGAAAGATCAAAATCTTCCATGGACCGCTCAAATTCCATACGCATATTGGCATCATCATCTAGGGTTCGATGTATGCGAAAGAAGGAGGTGTACCTCCAAGCATTTTCTGCCATTCTGCATAGGACCGGCCAATTGTTGTCGCAGAAATTTCATAAGATCGAATTCCGCCGTTCGTATCAATAGTCAACAACTTCGAATCGGTCCAGGGGGTAACGAGGAACGGCGTCTAAAAAAAATTTCGAGTAATGTTGTAGTGGCACCTTGGAAATGGAATGTTGCCACTTTTGGTGGAAAGTGTGATGTTTTGGAATGGGGACCGGAACGTATTGTACAAAGCCCATCTTCGGATCGACGGCTTCCAAGAATCCACCGACAGCACCAGGGGAAATTTCTTAAAATATATGAATCTATGGTAAAGATATCTCATACCTCGACCTAGTGCATATTCCGGTGTTTCCCATTTGGCTCGCGTGTTGACGAAGACACCACCTTCCAAAACGGCACAATTCCGCCCATTGTCGAGAAAACCTATTTCTGATGGAGAGCGCATAAAATATTACTTACCCATCGCTTCTTTCACAAAATAGGGGCGTCTCCCATCGATCATCATCTCATCTTCGCTTTTGGCGCTACGAGCCGACCCAAATACAGATGAAGCGGCCTAATAAAAAGTATAAAACGTTTTAATGCAATTACCAATGTTTTCGGGAAACCGTCGCTCTTCAGACAATAAAAACCATCTGCGGCAAGCATCAAATTCTCTTCTTTTGGAATGGGTGCCACGTAACGAATTTGCAAGCCTTCAGGGAGAGCCGCGGATAGCGGGCGAATCAAGACTTCTCCATTTTCCATGCACAAGAGCGACGATGGTGCCCCGTTCTAAAAAATTTTGTAATTTTTGAACTTTTTATACCGTCCAATGGATTAGCCAGCGATCATCTGCTGCGTGAACGATATCGGCAACGGCGTGAGGCAGGTTGAAATGGATCGTATCCTTCAGCGACAAGATCGTTGCTTGAGTACCGTTCTTTTCAAAAATCAGAGGTTTATTTCCTTTGATCATCCGCCAGTAGTTGTCCTTTCCGGAAAACACTAAAATAAACGATATTCATATTACAAACTTTGTCACCGTTCCCAAGGCTTTGTAGGAGGCCAGGTTTCATGGGCATTTCAGAAATCGATTTGTCGGAGAGATCGAGGACGAGCAGCTTGTTTTTCTAAAAAATAATCAGGTTGATGTGATGCCAGCAACTACCCACCGTTTCTTCATGTATCAAAACACTATCCCCGAAACGGCAGAGACGTATCCTGGGCTCAAATTTGTCCCGTTTCACTCCTGCCTTCAAGTAGTCGACCAGGTCCAGTTCGAAGACCTTTAAAACTTTGAAATGCGATAAACAGTGCCTACGTTCTGATCCGCGTTTAGATTATCAACAATGTAGAGGCTGAGGGGATTCACGGCCGCCACAATCAACGTGTCATCCATCATCAAAGCGTCTGAGCAAAGGTTGACATCGAGCATCGGAATTTGCCACATGCATTCCTAATGGTACATTTGCAAGTATAAAATAAAAAAACTACTTGTTCGGAAAACTGTCCAGCCCTCATGTGCTCTTTCTCGAGGCGCAAAGATTTCAAATTTTTCACGAGACGACGGTTCTGAAAAAGGTTAAATCCACAAACGACAGGGATCGTACTTGAACTTTGTGATCTTCTTTATAGGTTTCCAACACAGCCGGCGCTACATTGTCCGTCACACCCCAACTACCGATCGTCTTCATCGGTGGAATATTGTGTCGTTGCGACAGGAAAATGCGATCCTTTATGTTGTCGACCCCTAAAGACCGAGCAAATCTAGTGAGAACAAAATTAGTTATTTTGCGATTTGCTTGACGAGTGGTGGATAGAGAATTTATTGAAATAACCAGCAATTGAAAGACAATACACCCGCCAAACAAATCACAACTTATTATTCTGACCTAATGGTATTCCATGCTTCTGGAAGACGCCTTCAATGGATTTAACGGCTTCTTCATTATATTTGTCGAAATCGAATACATTGCCGACGATCGATTGAAGCGAATCGCTCGGGAACGCCTAAAAAGCGGGGTTAGTCGAGAGTCATACTAGAAAAATCACATTCGCGTGTTTGACAATGTTCACAAGCTCGCGGGTGCTGTAGGGGTACTGTAGGATGCCACTATCCGCCATATCGCGAAGCTCGGAGAAAGCGGCAACAAGCTTCAAGAGGTGATCTTCTGGGACCTCTGTATAAAGAATTAGCAATCATGGCAGGTCAAATACATACCGGGGCCATAGAGTCGCAGCATCTGGAGCTCACTGTCCCGACTTGGATTGTCGACGGAGTGCACGGAAAACAGATCGCCGAGGACACCGAACAGGTCATTGCCGAGAAATGGGAATCCAGGCCTAAAGAAAATTTCTGGACGATCGTTAATTCAAACCTGTTTGCAAGCATAATCATTTTAAACTCTGGATGCAGAGGAATCGTCTTGTCACCCTCGGGGAAATGCGCAGGTTGGATACGACGCCCATCACCAAGCACGAGCGTCCCTAAAGTATCAAAGAGGGACATGGTATCAAAAACGGACGTAGCTTACCCGAATCTAACAAGCTCTTCAAAATGGCGATCACATGCAGAGGTGCCTTGTCCGCTTCATCAACGACAAGCACGTGCCCATTTCGGACTGCCTTCACCAGCGCTGAGTCTTCGTGCACCAACTTCCCGCCTTCTATTGTCGTTTGAAGCGTAAGTGATTCGACAGTGGTATCCCTAAAAATCAGTGTTTGAGCGAAGGGGTATGGTCCTACCTATGAAGCTGCATATAATGTCGTGGCCTGCCAATTAATTGTAAAAAGCGATCAGCCAGCTTGTTTTTGCCAACACCCTACAATACAGAAACGGTTTTAAGGTTTAAGGTTACGCAAACCTGATTGCCGATCAAAAGAAGGTGCGAGCCGAGACTAAAGTCCCGAGCAAGATTCCTCAGAACCTCCGTATGCTGTGGATTTTCGTAAAACAATGTTGACGGGATCAGTGTTTCTTCTCCAGGTTGAACGGTCCGCTTTAGCGAATCGATGTCCTTTCGGTAATCTAGAACAGAGTAAAGTTCGGATAATATCGATACCGGTTTGACTGCGAGCAGTGTCACGAATTCCGGCCTTGTCCAATGCCGTCGTGAAAGCCGTCTTGGTAATCGAGGGTAGGAATCGAGACAAGGCAGCGCCTTCTATGAGACTGCGAAGTTCACCTCCGTACAGCGCATCACGTTTGATGATATGGATCAATTTCCGGAGCGATAGTGAAAGAGCGACACCACGTAGCTAAATTTCGAATTTTCAGGATCTAGTAAAAATTCCGTACCCCAGCGTCATGGCTTTCCCGCAGCGTCTCGACAAGTTCAACAACGCGTTGCACTGTACCGACGTGGGCATTCGGGACAAGTTGCGTGATCAAGGCAATTTGCTGTTCAGCTGGGAGAGCGTGTAAAGTATGCCATGGGACCAAAGCCATGGTAGCGCCCGTCAACCAGGGTTGTTCTCCAGGATCGCTATCGCCAATTAGGGCCAGCCGGAATGAAGGATGAATTGGGTGGATCTTTCTATAAAAGAAAATGCGATTTGCTAAGGTTATGTTACCTCGCCTTTATTTCTTCTTCGGATAATTTGGTCTTTTCCATCAACGCTTCAAACTCATATTTGGAAACCATGCGAGATCCATCAGGTAGATCGAGGTGTTTGAAATAGACCAACGGGGCAAGAACGGCCAAAGCGCTTGCATGGACCCGCTCGATTCCATCCAAAACACAGAGAGATCCGGATTTGGCAGCTAGAATAAACCTTCAAATTAAAACCAATATTACTAATTACCAAGAACGAGCTGGCTGTCTTCCCAAATCGTATCACCATTTTCCAACATCCGCCTTCTTTGAAGTAACTCGCGACTGTTCAGGTCCTAGAAAAGCAAGAATTTTGAAACTGACATTATTCTACCTGATGGAGGACCATCGTGTCCGTATTATATCCAAAACGCTTGGCGAATTCCTCAATAACGACAGTCTTCCCGCTGCCCTTGGGGCCAAGGAGCCCGAAATCCCCGACGGAGTGCGACACGGCCAGTTCGGAAACCATCTTTTCTTGCAAGCTCGTGGTAACGTAATTTGTCTCCCTGAAAGACAACATATAAGACTTCATATACATGTGCCAAACCGAAAGGCTTCAGCATGGCCGCGTGGCGCCTTGAACGTAACCATCTTTCCACCATATGCGATCGCGACGTCCGCTTCTGCGGGCGCAAGCTCTACCTTCTCGAATTCAATGTGAGACCGTGCATTCTATGTTTGGGAATCTTCGTATCAGAAGAATAGGATTACCTCATTAGCCACGTCAAACTTCTTTGTGAAATCAGCTACCACATTCTGCTCATTTTCTTTCATGATCGTCTTCACCGGATACAACATGTGGAAAATCTCGTCGGACGTGAAGTGAGGATTCCGTTGCTAAAAAAGGGTTTATTGTTGTAAATAAGGATACCCAAATTCCAGCCGCCCGGAGAAGGTTGTCGATCGGAAAATGCGGTAGCGAAAGTTGATCCTGTGCATTGAGGCCATACGCCAGTGAAATAAGGCTGTCCGCCCGATCGGCGTCAACGGAAGCCGCGATCCCTTTGAACAATGCGGAAATTGTCTAAAAAGGGATTCAAAGACGCCACAACTGTTCTACCGGAAAATTCACATCGGGTACATTGCGACATTGGAAACGCGAACGAAGCGGGGGATCCAATGTATGGCCCGGAAAACGAGGAACCGGCAGCCCTAAGGCCACAACATGGAATTCTTCCGAGACCCGCTCCACACCCATTTTTTTCAGTTCTTCGGGTGAATATTTCTGAAAAAGAGCATTACAAAAATATAATAGAAAATGCAACCTCCAATAATTTATCAAAAGCATCGTGCTTCATCAGAAAACGTCCATCGTCCAGCTGCATCTCGCGGTTTTCAAGCAAATTATTCAGGATCGGCAGCACATTACGCTCTGCTCGTTCGACGCCATCGATAACAAGTACACGACCTGTTGTTCAAAAAGTTTTAGAATATTATACCGATGGATATTACCTTCTAATGCTGCTCTGACTGCGCACAAATCTGTATAGAATGCAGTGCCTGACAGGATTTCTCGACGCTGTTTGATATCAGCCTCGGTGGTATCGCGCGTAACCGAAAGATATTCATACTCGCGGTTGATCAGCTCGAGATACTAAAAAAAAGAATTGTTGCATTAATACCGAAATACCTGAAGAACCAAATGTGAACGCATAAGGCCGGGGGCACCAAGCAAAAATACATCTTGACGTAAAATATCCTTTTGAAGCAACCATTTCAAATGGCGCAGTATATCTGGGGAAGCATTTTTCGAAGCTAAACAGAGTTTAAGATAGCCTATAATTCTTACCAAATCCTATAGGCACCAATTCAGCGCGTTTTGGGCTTTTAACGTTCACCCGAACATTTCCAATCTTCAAAGCACCTTGTGAAGGGCCAGCCGCCTAAAAAAACCTATATTCCAGGCAAAACTTTCTAAGAACCTGTGAGCATTTTCTTAGCGCAATACTATACAAGCTGTACAAGCGCATACAATCTGCAAAAAAAAATATATATATATCAAGCCACGGCACAAAACAACGATAAATGTTTGATGAAAAATCGATGTGATTGAAAGGAGCTTGAACTGAAATATTTTATTATGAACTAGTCTGTCTATCTAGAAATGCAAGTGTCACAGATTTATCGAGTATGCAAAAAATACATATGTACAAAGTGCGAAGGGCGTGGGATCCTGAGAGGAAAAGAAGGCAGACGATTTGATCCCCGGGAGCGTGAATTTCAGGGGCACACTTTAGAAACCTCAACTTTTTGAAACAGCGGCAAACTGCAGCCTCATGCAAAAAAAAAGCTTTAAGGAGAGCCTGTCGTGGGGTTCAGGCGTCTAGTTAAAACCCGGCGATAAAATTGTACATACAGAATCACCGTCGAATCACACTTAATAATAACAGAGCAACGACACCGGTAATGGAGAAAAGCCAGTGCAAGGTTTCACGGGTTCTGCGCTTTTCACCCTCTTCTTCTAACTGAAAAGGCATCATTAATATTTTCTTAGAACCTCTTTCGTAATATAAGGACCATTTTTATCTTACCCGAATCTAGGGATTTAGCAATTTTTGCATCGAAAAATAATACGGGGGTGAGATCGTATCATTCCAATGCACGCGATTTGTGTATAGTACATAACGGAACTCGGTAGAATGTTTTGAATTTTTCCTTTTTTTCTCACGCCTCCTCAAAAAAAATAGCACGCACCTCATACATTCTTGTCGACAACCTAGTCAATTGTCTGCGCATCAATTTTAGCTCTTTTAGCGGATTATCGTCGATAGCATTGGAAGCTGCTGTGTTTGGGTCTTCCTAAATCCGACAGTCTTGTGTTTTTTTTGCGTATAAACTCACGGTTTTCGGTTCGATTACATCAGGGAAGGGGCTGATCCGGAGTGTAAGTTGTTCAGGGAGCTCAAATTGCATGGAAGATCTCTGCAACGATGCCCGGATTATTGTATTTTTGGTTTCTATTTTGTCTTTTTTGTTCGCGAGGGTTTTTTCTCGAAAATTAAATTTAACTGACCTTGACTACATCCGGCAGTTTGTCCATAATGACTTCCCGCGGCGGGGCTGAAGTGCCCCGGACGCTATTGTTTCCATCAACCATCAGGCGTTCAGGGACATTCATCGATCCGACGATTTTCTCTTTCGCATACAACTTCTCGTGTTGCTTTAAAAATATTTTGGAGCATTTTAATTGTTGTACCTTGTCTATACCATTCGGCATTACTTGTGTATCGCCCATTACGCCAATATGTTGGGGGACCTTCATGCTAATTCTAAATTGTCAATGATTTCTACTGTAAGTGTTGCAAATAGAAACAGAAAATGAATGTTTTTTGGGGGGTGGCATTCATCAGAAAAATCAGTTCTGGCTCGGTAGCGGGGCGGGGGGGGAAGGTGTTTTATGTCGTAGCTTTTTCAGAAATTTACTATTTTTAGGGCGACATCGTCGCGAGCCTGTAGAGCATCAAAACATCTACTACGAGTTTTTATTCTAACTAAAAACATAATTTTAAGAGATGAGGACGGCATCTGTTGAACCCCCTTGCGGAGGGGGAATTTACGAATTTTTAGGAATTAAAATTTCACTTTATGAGCTTTTTTTCATTATATTAGTTCTAAGGGCTAAAACATGTTCCAACCCCTTTAACCCGTAAAAATGTTGGAAATTGAAATATAACTTCGAAATCGAGTTATTTGCTTCGTTAAATTATTTTCTTGATTTCATTTAAAGAGATAGGGGCGGCATAAGTCAATCGATTACGCGAGGGAAAGGAAATGTCTCTGCGCCTCTCCCCTGGGAGCCCTCTCTCGCGCGAGATCGCCGCGGGACCTGTTGAACCCCCCCTCCCCAAGGGGGGTTCAACAGATGCCGTCCTCATCTCTTTAAAGAGATGAGGACGGCATCTGTTGAACCCCTCGCGGGGAGAGAGGGCGCCCAGGGGAGAGGCGCAGAGACATTTTCTTTTCCTCGCGTAATCGATTGACTTATGCCGCCCCTATCCCTTTAAAAACGTTACAACAAAGGCAAAGGTTACCCTAAAAATGGGGTTGGCAAGCCATTTTTACGGAATTTCGATATTTTCGATATTCTGTTAACGGTATTGGAAAGAGCATCAAACAAAAATGAAACTAAGAGTTTTATCTACAACTCAAAATAATGCCATTTTAGGTAAGAGCCGTTTTTAACCCCCCCCCCCCCCCTTCGCTAACAAACCAGAACAGAAAAATCCTATACCAGGGCGAGGATGAGACTAGGAAATCGAATGCTGAGCATGCGAGTGATGCAACTAGCGGCGGCTGCTTAAAGTCTCTCCGATTGCTCGGGATATGATAGGAGCTACAGAGTACAGCAGCGTTCGAGGGCATCAGTCGCTGACCCTTTTGAGAGAGAGACGGGAGCACACAGACCGCGGACAAGCCTGCTAAAATATGTTTGCTTTTAGAAGGGTTAGACCAGGTTGTTGTCATCATTTGGGCTTTTAAGATGTTCCCAGAATTGAAACCGTTCAGAATTGTGAAGGAGGTGGTTGTGAGGGATTTAAGTAGGTCACTAACAGGATTAAACTTGTTTTTTATTTAAAACCGGATGGGGGAATTTACATTTATTTTTCAGTAAGCTATAAGCTATATTAGGAATTGCTTATCCACTACGTAAAATCTTCAAAATCAAAATTATAGGGGCAAGTTCGGCTTTTATGCCATACCAAATATTCGAGATAAAAAGAGACTATGGAACAATCGATGGATGCCATATATTATTGAGGGCACCCATCTGCTGTTGCATATGTTTGTGTTTTCAAAAGCGCCTCAGGCAACGCAACCCGTCTGTTCCGAGTGACAACTACAACGACGGGACCCCGCGGTTTGTTTGCAAGCCGCTTTTATATTGAGTCGGAACGCACTTCAACGAACACCCCCTGGCCCTGTAATGCCCCAGTCCTCAGTTTCTCAAAACCAATTTTCTTATGAAAGGTTATTCTACAACCCCTTATGCCTTAAAGCCCCTAACGGCTTCCATGGCTTTATTATATTTTCCAATATATACACTCGCTAAGTCGCACGTCGACTGGAGCTTGAGCTTTAGCTCCTACTTACTAATTCCGAACCCGATCTTTTGACATCTAGCCGGCTTCCTATGTAGGCATTATTTGGAAAATATTCTGAACTCACGCAAATGATGATTTTGGACAAAATTTAAGTTGGGTCACTTTAAGGGTCTAGGAAGGCAGGAGCTGCCAGACAGCTTAAAAATCTAGCCGAATCCAAATTTCGGCTTTTGCCAAGTTGCTCTAGCAGGTTAGCATCTAAGTTTATTACTTATTAAGAAAGAATTAAAACAATATTTTTTATAAGAGCTTTATAGATTATTTTTGGTGAGTTCCTAATTTGCATATAGCAACTCCAAAAATATTCGGCCTGAAGTCTAAAATAACACTCGCCAAATCTATTGATAGTGAACTTGAAAGTCAACTTGATCACGCATTTTTTTGAACCGATAATTTTTCATGTGCATTCATAAAAACAATTTCAATATATAATTTCCAAATAATTACAGATCAGCCGAGTTGATGTACGGCTACGATCAATATGCATCATATGGGGCTCAAGCGACTCAAGCCATGGCGAATGCCGCCTACAATGCGGCTGCAGCAAGTCAACAAATGCAGCAAGCTGCCCAATTCCAGGCGCCAAACTTTGTCTCCGTCCTCGGCGACTATTCTGGAGCGGCACATTACAACTATGCACCTCCAGCCGCCACTCTTCAATACCAAGGTTACCAAACATATCAACCGCAACCTTTTCAAAATCCACTTGCCCAAGCCCAGGGTTTTGCCCAAGCCACCGGGCCTCCAGCCCTAGCTGCATACGCTAATGCGCAAGCCGTAGCGAAATTTGGAGCAACCACGGCTCACAAACCCCCTCCACAATTAGGCCAGCCTAACTTTTTTGAAAGCACAGTTAATACGGCTGTCACCTCATATCTCCAATCGAAGGCAACTGGTCAAACTAATCAGTGGATGAATAAGAAGAACCCGCCTGGCATGAAACCTATGCCCCCTAAATCTCGCTTTAATGGAACTTCAGGCAACACGGGACCTCCCGCTCAACAATTTTACTGCGAGACCTGCAAAATATCGTGTGCAGGCCCGCAAACTTTTAAGGAACACAATGACGGGCAGAAGCATAAGAAGAAGCTTGCATTGGCGAGTGGGGAAGATAAGGTGACATTGCCGAGGAATAAGGTCTCATTTCGATGCGATTTATGTAATGTGACCTGTACGGGGCAGGATAGCTACAACTCCCATATCAAAGGGTCGAAACATCAGAAGGCTGTACAAACGTGTAAGAAGATGGGTAAAGTGGTACCTCAAGATCAACCAACGATCATCCCTCCATCGCAGATGGGTGGCGCCAAGGCTGTTCCCGCTCCTGAGCAAGCTACGGCCAAGAAAGCTGTTGCTGCTTCTGCCATTTCATTTGTCCAGTCCGGTGCCCTCTCAACCACTGGGGCTGCCGAAGACAAGAAGAAGGCATGCGAAGAAGCCGTTAGTTCTGCTGGCCCACCGGCTTTAGATCGGGAAGTGCAAGCACTCTTGGATGCCGAGCAATCCCTAAAGCCCATCGGAGAAGAATTCGTTGAAGACCAGCGTGATCACACAGGGAAAGTGATACAATTCTTGTGTAAGCTATGCGATTGCAAGTTCAGTGATCCGAACGCTAAGGATATTCACCTAAAGGGGCGGCGACATCGGCTCCAGTACAAGGTGAAAGTGAACCCCAGTATTGAGGTGGATATCAAAATGAATCCGAAGAGCAAGAACAAATCGGTCAATGTGTTGCCTCGGGCCGTTCATATGCCGTATACGAACTACACTTTCCAGCCGTACGGCGATAAAACCGAATGCACCGATGACAGCTTGGTCATGACGAAGCACAATTTGATATATCCAGACGAGGAAATGCTTCGCTTTATCGAACATATCGTCGTCAACATTGAGAAAGCGCTGAAAAACGTGTCAGACGAGCTCCTCGAACGTCTTGCCACCAAAAACAAAGTGGAACTGAAGGATGCAAATGATATGCGTACTTTGAAGGGCGTGACGAGAGTAACAGCACTGGCAAAGCAGCTTGTCCTGAAGGAAGACCGAGAAGTTGAGGTTGTTTTACTAATGTCAACCTATCCTACCGAAGTAATGCTGCGGGAAGTCTCCGAACTCATCCAGAAGCACTGTCAGCCTGTACCATTTGGAGGACAACCGGTCCCTGTGAAGACTGAGAACCAGATCAGCCAGGCTTCAATCTTGGTGTCAGCCGGTACAGCTCCCCTGAAGTGCCGCATCTCGATGACATCCCCTGTGGCCCGTGAGAATGATCCCGCCAATTTTGCTCAATGGAAGCCCGGCGGTGGCTTGCCATTGGAGAAATGCTTGAAGTCGCTGGCCAAAATCCGTCACACAAAATGGTTCCAAGCCAGGTGTCCCAACCTACAGTCATGCCAGATTGTACAACGACTACTTCGGGATCTCAGAATCCGTTTGCCGGCCTGGGCCATCCTCGACGAATGGTCGACAGAATTGTTAGTCGAGCGGGTATTGGCTTCCAGCGAAGCACGCTTGAGTCCCGGAAACGCATTAAGGAGAGTATTCGAAGCCATTTCCTGCGGCTTGCTACTGAAAAACGGGCCCGGACTCGAAGACCCATGTGAGAAGGAGAAGACTTGCGCTCTGGCATACCTTACCAGTCAACAGCGCGAAGATATCACGTGCAGCGCGCAACACGCGCTCAGACTTATCGTGTTCAAACGGATGACCACGGTGTTGGGTATTGAAGATGTGGTTGTGGCCGCTGGCGCTGACCGAAAGCGCCATTTAGAAGAAGACCAAGACGGTGCCGTCAAACGCGAACGGAAGGACTAATTTCGTGCAATTTTCTGTGCATAACCGGCCCCTGAATTTCATTGTGATTACTTTCTTACCTATTCGTCGCAACTTGGGAAATATTTTATCAAAAGACCAAAGAAATTTCGCTATAATTTGATTTCCCAAGTTCTCCGACACTTAATCATGCGCTTTCATTTTAATTTAACTAACCAGTCCATTTATTAGCTAGTTTTCAAATTAAATTCCATCCCAGTACCCATTTTCCTCTTTGCGTTCTGGTCGTTGCATTATCTTGTTGTCGTTCCTTAGGTTCCGGGGTCACTCTGTTGTTGGTCTCCATTTTCTAGACAAACTTCTTGCTGGCTCTTGAGCTGGTGGAAAATGAAGAGTTTAAGTGAAACAAGCAACTGGTTCGACTTTTAATAATCAAACTCTTTATTTTTTTATAGTAAATTCTGGGTATCATTGATATTCACCATTTTTGTCGATCATGTGATGTCTTTTTCATTTTCAATGCGCTCGTTTATGATGTTGAAAAAAATAAAACAATTTAGTGATGACATGGCGGACGGCGGCCAGCTCACTTTCTTGCCGCGCATGGATGATGTTTCGGAAGAGCAAGATGCAGGAGCTGGCGGATTGACGAGCTTTTTCGGCAAATGGTGGTCCAAGCCCGAAGTCTCGGCATCACCCGTTTCGGCGCCACCCCCTATTGCGCACCTATCGGCTGAAGCACAGGTTTTTAATTTTAGTAGACATTCATATTCTTTTTCCAGCCGCCTACTTCAAGTAATGACGCTGCGCAATCTGACAACTTGTCGAGCAGCGATACGTCTTCGTTGAATCTAGGTTTGTGATTATTTTTCAACTATTTCAATCTTTTTTCCTTTAGTTATTGACGAGACACAAATTCCGAGAAGTAAAGCCAAGAAACTAGCAGCGTTATTTCGAAAGTGAGTTCTTCTTTACCGGATTAGCATTTTATTTTAGAGAAAGGTCCGGGTTGATCGACTATGAGAAGAGCATGTTCAAGCAGTATTGGATGCCCGACTCAGCTGGCCGTGAATGTTACCTCTGCGAGGAAAAGTTTACCACATTCCGTCGCCGTCATCACTGTAGATTGTGCGGACAGATTTTCTGTGCCAAATGTTGCAGCGTGAACATTGCCGGAGCTTCCTTAGGTACTTTTTACGTAGTGGCGCTTATTATTTTTAGGCTATCTCGGCGATCTTCGTCTATGTACATATTGTGCTGCCAAGGTTGACGAACATTTGGCCGAGGATGACCAAAAAAGCCCGGACCTTCTGGTCGCTCCACAGCCGATTCTGTTAGCCTCTCCAGTCAAAGGCGACCTCGAGACACCAGGGCCCACAAATTCTTACGAAGTGGCAACTGTATCAAATGGTTAGACAATCTTTTTCTTTTCATTCGCTGTATTTTTAGCTACCTTGCTGTGGTCGGGGAAAAAGGAACTCTCTCCCGAGAAGAAGGATTCCCTTTCGCTTCCACCACCATCTTATAAGCCGCCAGCCATGTTGAGCGTCGAGGGCCTTTTTTCTGTGCAGGACAACCCAAAGCTGATGAATTCTGAAAACTGTAAGTCATTCACATTAAACTTTCGTACGAATCTTTTTGAAGCCAGTCGTGTGAATTTATCCGACGAAGACGAGGGAGCGACCGTTCCGGAATGGGTCAAAAATATGGAGTTGGCAGAGAGCGGGCATGCTTTGGTGACAACAATACCTTAATTATTTAACCTTGTTGTTTAGAAATCTATCGAAAACTCCTTGTCCCAGAAGCCGAACGAAGCCGTTCATTTCGATCTAGGATCTTTAGCGGTTGAGAGCTTAGACGATCAGCAGATTCCGGTCAGTCTTTTAAGCCGAATTTGACTTCAAGTGCTATTCAGCTTGGAAAATACTTTAGTTTAGAAGGAGCCGGTGATGAAAAAGGATTCCTTGAACAAGAAAAGCTCGCTGTCTCCCGAAGTGCCAGAATTTATCAACGAGAACGATGTGGACAAATTGTTCGATCATCAAGCCGAAATGCTTGTTGATTACTTGTTCCAGCGTGAGGGCCTATGCAAAGAAAGGTTGTTCCGCCTTTCCAATAAATATATATTCTTTGCTCTAGGTGGCGTGACATAGTACTAAACCAAGCACGTCTGATCCCAAGTAAAGTCATCGTGGACGTTTTTAATAGAAGAGACATGATGAATATTCTGCAATATGTGCACATCAAGACACTACCAACTGATGAGCCGCCGAAGGCTGAAGTAGCGAATTTTTATCGAACTTCGACATTCTTTATAGACAATTTGGGGCGTGGCTTGTAGCAATTCTGTTACACATTCATCGATGTGTGGCGAATTAACAAATGCATCAGTGATGCTCATCAGTGGTTCGGTTGAATATGAAAGAGTGCCTGGGAAATTGAGTACATTGGAGCCGATCATCAATCAAGAATCTGAATATCTTTCGAAACAGGTATCACTGAATTTTTCTTTTCACCTGTTTATTTTGGGTCGAACGAATCCTTGCCAAACGTCCGTCACTTGTTCTCGTCGAGATGCATATGTCAAAAATAGCTGCCGAACTTCTGAAGGCGGCCGGATTGAGACTTGGTATGCCGAAAAAGCGCCTTTCACTCTTTTTTTAGTGGTGGGTGTGAAGAAAGAAGTTCTGGCCCGAATTGCAAGGGCGACCGGTGCAGAGATTGTCCCTGGAGGGGAGGCGCAACTACAGCAAAATCAGGTAATAGCTAAATTTTATGAGAGTTGAATTCATTCCCTTACAGAATGTCGGCTTCTGTCCTCTATTTGTGCAGCGCGAAATTCGTCGTGGCGACGGAAGCACTCAATTTGTCTTGGTTTGTGGTCGAAAATAAGATGAGTAAAATTTTTTTAGGTGTTTGATCAGTGTCCACCGGATAGGGGATGTTCGCTTCTGCTACAAGGCGGCACAAAGGACGAATTACGATCCGTGAAAAAGATACTCAAGTTCTTGATTTTGAACTTCTACTCTTCGAAGTTGGAAAGAGCTTTTCTAGGTAATTTCGCGTCAACATCAATTTACGCGATTTTTAGCTATGAATGACTGCAAGTTAGCATATACCTTGTCGAATTGCCCCGCTTGCGAGAATCGACGCGAAAATATTGAAGCAACCGATCCAGAGGTAATTTAATTTTATGGCAGTTTTGATGCGTTTGTTTTAGAACGATTTCCTAACGGCGTTGCACCAGAGTGTCTTATCGTCTTCCCCGTACATCGAATTCGAGCCACCGTTTTTGGAGACACCAAGGGGCAAAGAAAGCGCTCTTCTGCCTTACTTCAAGCAGCCCTTGTACCACTTTGGAGCAAACTGCTCACGTGCAGTATCGGAAGTACGTCGCAAGGAACCGGAACATTTAAAGTCTCCGTACAAGCCTGTATTTGCTACAACGAGCCCGGTATTCATATTATGTTTTCGAATTATTTGACTTTGCAGGCATCGCCAAATTATGCCTCGAAAGTCGCTGCTTTCCGCGCCCTGTCATCGGTACTTTTCCAAAAGAAACTGGACAGGCAATCGAAAGGCTCACTGACCAGCACGCCCGCTGACTCTTTGGTAAGGGGACCTTCTTGACTTCAATATTGTAAATCTCGTCGAATTGATTTACCTTTTCAGCATACTCTTGGGCTTCAAGCAAAAGAGGACGTATTCGACCCGTTCGTACACCAAAGAATTGCGATACTTTTTGGTAATTTCATGCCGACTACGTAAACTTGCTCAGGATCCTACTCGCCGAAAAGCCCGAATGCCCCACTACTCTGTGTGCGGCCATGGGTCGTCAGTATGCAGTTCTACGCGACGAACGATATGACCCTAGGGGAATTCCTTACAAAGTAAGCAAGCATTGATGGAGAACGCTTATTGGTTATTTAGGTTTTGCTTTAACAAGGACTATCAATGCCCGTCAACGAATTGTGAGCTTTCGATGATGGAACATTCACGAAAAATGGTTTATGGACGAATATGTGTAGAGGTGGGACTTTGGGAAGGGCTACATTGTCTCACTACATCCCTTCGTACTAACTTTTTAGACAAATACATTTTGGGCGGCTAGACCGGAGGTTTGGTTTCAGAAAAATTCTGGGTTTTTGTTTTGGGAATTGGGATCATCCTTAATCTACTTGATCTTTTTAGGTGACCACGACAAATCTCCAGCATGGTCTCTTATCTGATGGTTCGGCTGAAGAGAAAAGAATAGCTTCTTACCATTACTGCGAAGAATGTCGAGCCTCATCACCAATTGTCTACATGGATGTGGCCACGTGGCATCTGTCTTTCGCTCGATTTTTGGATTATCTGGCGAATGCATCCTTCAGCCAAGGTTTTTAAAACTTTTTTAGACTTATTCTTTTTTAGGAACAATCAAGACTCCGAGTGGCAACGTTTGCAACCATTGCTACTTCCATCAACAATCGCATTTTTTTAGCTTTAATAACTATGTAACGAACTTCAAAGTGTCTACGGTAATTCTTACATTTTAATCTATTCTTACCACTTGTTCAGATCATGCCATATCATGTACAGTTCTCCCCGATTGTCTGCAATATAAATAACGCTCAGATTTCCACAAAATCACTCGCGGAGATGTTAACGAGGTAGTATATTTCTGAAACTGTTCAATTTTTCAGGACGATTGCACTCTCTCAGTCGATCTGTGCCCAAGGAAACGAGCGCCTCGATAATTTCTGTCAAACTGAGAAGAGTATGCAGATTGCGGGTCAATTCTACAACACATTGAAAGAATTACTAGACGGGTCGCAGAAAACTATCGGGTATTTCTTGTGGAAATACCAATACCTTTGGGTTTAGCGAATTGTTCGACAGTGTGAAACACCTCTGCGAACAAGAGGACCGACTGGTCAGCTCAATGTCGGACGAAGCGATCCAGGTTTGTTTTGAAAAGCTGCTAGTCTATTAATTTATTTAGACGAATGACATACTGATCCATATGAGAGCAGAGATCTACGGCCGGATACAACTGTGGAACGAGCAATGTTCAGTCCTGAGCGCTAGCGTTCGAGCTATGAAGAGGGGCGAAGAATTAGTGCCTGGAGCTGAGGTACTCAAATATGTAATTTCCTATTTCTGCTCAGATTACGCCGGAAATCAGCATCGAACGGCTCGACGATCCCTTTCCCACCAGCTTACATCTTTCTTTGCCTCTTCATTCAAAAGTTCCTGTAGTTGTTCGAGACATTCAGGTTTGAAAAGACACTCAAATGCTATTTTTATTATCAGGATGGAGCTGGCGCCTACAAGCCAGACATTGGATCGATCATCGCATACGCCCTAGCATCAAATGAATACGAAGTATGTTTATTGTACGCCTTCTCTATCAACACCAAATTCAGGATGGTCGAGCCAAATCTCGTGACGCTATGGGCGACGCGGACATTCCACTGAACTTGAGCGCGCGATCTAATGCTGACGATGAGGATATATCCTTGGGCGAGCACGTTGAGGTCGAATTCCAAGACTCACAGGCCAGCTACTACGTGAAGGTACTTTCATTTTGGGAATTCCTAGTTTATGTTTAGGGTTACTATGCTGAAAGATTCCGGCTACTACGCAAGCTTTTATTCCCCAAAGGCGAAGAAGGCTTCATCCGGTCGCTTTCCACTTCGAATTATTGGACCCCGCAAGGAGGCAAAAGCGGAGCGTTCTTCTACCGCACTAATGTTGGTATTTCCTTTTATAACGATCAACTTTCATGAAGCAATTGGAATTTTATGTTTTCAGGACCAGCGTTTTGTCATCAAGCAAATGTCCAAATTCGAAGTACAGTCGTTTGTCAAATTCGCACCTCGCTATTTTGAATACATCAAGACGGCTGCACTCGAGAAAAAGCTTACAACGCTCTGCAAGGTTGCATCTATCCCTTTATTAACGTATAGCCTTTTAGGTGTATGGCGTGTTCCGTATCGGATACAGGCATAAGACGAGCGGCGTACAGATCAAGGCTGATATTCTGGTAATGGAATATCTGTTTTACAAGAAGAATGTGAGCAAAGTATGGGACCTGAAAGGGTCGTTGAGAAACAGGTGTGATGTTTGCTTTTTCAAAAAATGCCTGATTTAGATTTGCGAATACGAAAAGCTCGTCTGACCTAGTGTTGATGGATGAAAATTTCATCAAGGATTTATGGAACAGTCAGCTATATGTTTATCCCCACAGCAAGGCCGCTCTGAATCAAGCCATCTCGAACGATTCGCACTTTTTATCTGCACAGGTATAAGATTTTTAATTGGTCCCTACCTCTTTCTCAGCACGTCATGGACTATTCGTTATTGGTTGGCGTTGATGATGCAACTGGGGAATTGATCCTTGGAATTGGTTTGTTAGCAATTTTCGATGAAAAAAAAACGTTGAATTTAGTCGACTACATGAGAACATACACGCTTGACAAGAAGGTGGAAAGCTGGGTGAAGATTGTTGCCGTACCCGGGGCGCATCTACCAACCGTCATCAGCCCACAACTTTACTGCACTCGATTTTCGGAAGCCATAGATACCTATTTTCCGGTTGTACCTGACCAATGGACTGGTCTTGGATCTACGATGAGTTATTGATTTTTGCATGGTTTTTACCTTTCCACTTTCTGCTTTGCATTGTTTCGTAAAATTTTGCTAAAATTGTGATAGTTTGTGATATACCTCTGCCTCCCTTTGCGATATCGGTGATAACGTTAGGAAACTGTGATATTTTATGCATTTCGGTGCTAAAGACCTTCGCAATCTTGCTCAATTGAATAAAGAGCTTCCACTTTGTGCTTCCGATTTCTGACAAAAGCTTCCACGCTACACCTAATTACAAATGTCCGATGTACAACAAATTACGGGATCGAAAATCGTGGAGGAAAATCTCATTGATAAGGGATTGTTATTTTCGTTATCCTTCGCGAACGACTTGCTTGTTTACGCCTTTTGCAAAGAAATCGATAACCTTCCCCACTGCCCACCAGTTGTTTTTTTCTGCGTTTTCGTTCAATGGACCGGCCCAAGTGGGACGCCGAATTTCTTCCAAACCCGTTCGTTCACAATGATTGGCTTTTTTAGTTTCGGCAACTTCTACCATTACCATGATTACGTGGCTAGGGGTAATTTATTGCGACGCTTCGATCTCCATAGATTAACTGTTTGAGGTTCTTCTCATTCACTTTTTGTCGGATTTCCCCGTTGTTTTGGTTAAGGAGTCTAAAAAATTTTCACTTTTGTCCTTCACCGATTCTTTTTGCAGTGTCCTTTTTCCTCATAGCCTGAACTCACATTCCATTTTGGTTTTTAACGATTTAGAACCGTTTGGCTGTCTTTTGTGTTGACCGTGCCTCCGTTTCATTTTTTAATCGTTTGTTTTTCAGATCGTGCACGAGCACATAGTCAACGCCGACGACTCTCTTCTTGATACTGCCAGCTCAGAAGCTCGACAAGCATCGCCAAGAAGGTTCGAAAAGCCTTCTACAGAAACGCAGCGGCCCACGCGAACACTTTTCACTGTGCTCAAGAAACCAATGGCTCTCAACAAGCTCTCTATTGACAAGGTAAGTGTGCTTGGCGTTTCTATTTAGTCAAGTTTAGCTTGACCTCGCTGGTAAGAGGGTCCTCATTCGTGTCGACTTCAATGTGCCACAGAAGGATGGGAAGATCACGAATAACCAGCGCATCGTTGCAGCTGTGCCGACAATCAAGGTTTTGTTTCTTGTTTTGTGCGCATACCATTTTTTTAGCATGCTCTCGACAACAAGGCCAAGTCTGTTGTGCTGATGTCTCACCTCGGTCGGCCTGATGGACGCCGCCAGGAGAAGTACACTCTCAAGCCGGTGGTCGAGGAATTGCAGAAGTTGATTGGCCGGTACTCTTTTTTTCCGAATGCCTCATCCGATTTTTTAGCGATGTGAAATTCCTCGATGATTGTGTTGGAAAGGAAGTGGAAGAGGCTTGTGCTAACCCTGCAGAAGGCTCCGTGATTCTTCTTGAGAACTTGCGCTTCCACCTGGAGGAGGAAGGAAAGGTGAAAACTTTAGTGTATATAGTTTTTCATTTCTCTATTTAGGGGGTCAGCGAATCTGGCGAAAAAGTCAAGGCCAAGCCCGAAGATGTCGAAAAGTTCCGTCAATCGCTCACGAAGCTCGGCGACGTGTTTATTAACGATGCTTTCGGTACTGCGCACCGAGCACATAGGTAAGGCAATTCAGAAGACGACTTATTTTTGTAGTTCAATGGTCGGCTGCCAGCTCGACAAGCGTGCGACTGGATTTTGCATGAAGAAAGAGCTGGAGTACTTTGCAAAGGCGCTTGATCAGCCTAAGCGGCCTTTCTTGGCCATTCTCGGCGGCGCGAAGGTCCAGGACAAGATTCAGCTGATTAAGAATCTGTTGGAAAAGGTGAGTTCTTGCCAGTTGGAACGTATCTTTTGCGCTTATTCCGGTTTACTCGTTCCCCTGTTTACCCTTGTTTCTAGGTTGATGAGATGATCATTGGCGGTGGAATGGCTTTCACTTTCTTGAAGGTTACGAAGGGCATTTCAATTGGAAATTCCCTGTTTGATGATGAGGTATAATATCGGCTATGAACTTCGTAATGTTATTTAGGGAGCCAAGATCGTAAGCAGTCTGATGGAGACTGCAGAGCGAAAACAAGTCAAGATCCACCTGCCCGTCGATTTCGTCGTCGCCGACTCCTTCAGCGAGAATGCTCAGCACAAGGAAGCTACCGTTGGCGATGGTGTTCCTGACGGTGTGACAATTTAATTTTGAGTATGACGAGTTTTTAGGCTTCATGGGCTTGGACGTTGGACCGGAAAGCTCGAAGCTATTTGCTGGGGCCATCGAGCGAGCGAAGACCATCGTCTGGAATGGCCCGGCCGGAGTGTTCGAATGGGCCAACTTTGAAAAGGTTGGCATTTCGTTGTAAATTTTTTTCGTCCCTCATGCTGGTTGTTTTGATTACCAATAATTTTAGGGAACGAAGTCCATGATGGATGCTGTCGTCAAGGCCACGGAAAATGGCGCCGTCACCATCATTGGCGGTGGGGATACTGCTACGGCCGCTAAGAAGTACAACACCGAAGACAAGGTACATTTGTTTTTACAGGGGTATTTTGTTGTACTTTCTTAGGTTTCCCATGTGTCGACCGGTGGCGGTGCCTCTCTAGAGCTTCTCGAAGGCAAGGAGCTGCCCGGTGTTGCTGCCCTGAGCTCGAGCTAGAACCTTGTCGCATACATGTCTGCCCGGTACCTTCTTATATTTGTCCCATTACTGTGAAATTCTGTGAATTTGTTACTTTGATAGGATTGTGTAGGTAGCGTCAGTGCCCCGATTGTCCCACCGGTGTTAACTATTTCTTAGCATCCGGTGCTTAATTTATTTGACATTTCGCTGGCGATAGTGATAAAGATTTCTGATAGAGCAATTCTTGAAAAGCATGAATTACAAGAGCAAATTTTGCTTGAGCCTAACTGTCAAAGCATTTCACATACATACTGTATTTCGCGTTTCTGTTTGTCAGAACTTTATTTAGAAAAATGCTCATTCTCGGAAGCTTTTAAATATAAATTTTTATTGTGTGCTAGAATAACCGTAGTCAATTTTGGTCTTTGAAGAGATATCACAGGGTGAGGAATGTTGAAAATTGCTTTCCGCTGTTCACAACCAATATCCGCCATTCGTCCCATTAGCCTGGGTGGAAGTTTGCCTAAATCAGTTGTGTTTGCTTTTTAAATGCAAATTAGTTACATTGCCCTGGGCGGCTCGGGCGGAGGCGGGCAAACTTCGGGGTTTCTCGTTTTGTCCTAAATAACTCGTAATGTTGGGCCGTGCAAGGCGAACCCGGAAGAAATGGTAGCATTTTGCTGCTGCCCAAATTGCCGAGCCGCAAACAATAATTCCTACATAGATGGAGATCACCATTAGCATTTGATCTAAAATAATACATGGCCTCTAGACGTTTTCCTACCGAATTTTCGCAAATAATCTTGCTTATTGTCTGGCTGGAAGGTATAATATAGCGTATAGGTGGCTAGTGAAAAGAAAATAACACATTGGGCGATCTGAATTAAACGTTATGAAGTGTAAAAGACCGCTTACTTCCGTGACAATAAATGGGATCATCATCCACGCCTTTTCATAGTAGACCCCAACGAGGAGGATGATTGCCACCAGCGTATTTACGATTATTAGAATTATATCGAGCCAAAGATTGACTGAGTAGATGCCGAAGAACATGCAGATTGTCGAGAAAATCGACAGCACGATGGCCGAAATCCCGACGTACATGGTAGCTGTCTGGAAAAGTGGTTTTATAGGTGTATCGAAGTTCAATTCTGGTTTTTAAAGATTAGGTTTTTACGCATTTTTAGGTGGATTGCAGGCCAGTTTTTGAGACCTTTCACCTAGTCTCACCCAACCTGCACTCACTATTAATCCTCACCAGCCACTTTCTTTCCCCCCTAAACTGTCACTGTCTGACCCGAGGACCCATTTATTCTGTTAGATTGCGAAAAAAACCCCAGCAGATACCCTGGGTTTGTGTGCCCTCACCGAGGGTGCTTCCTCCTTTTTGTGCGGCTCTCGCCTTGAGCACGTGTTGTAACAGACGCGCTCACACGCTAATTTGAGGGCCCAATGAAGTGCCGGCTGACAGATTGACGCTTAATTCGAGAAATCCCCTGGTTCGGGGCGATTAATGGGGGCCAAGATCGGCAGGATGTTGCAGTTTTTGATTTTCGGGTTTGAAAAGTGAGCTGATTTTTTAATAATCTTTTACTACCAAATTTATTAATTTAGAAACGGAAATAATTACTTGAAGACTAGTTAAATTCAGATCAATTGAGACAGATAGACGCTTTAGAGTTGGACTTGGCAAAACTGAGTTCAAATAAATTCATAAATGTATCCAAACAAGCACTGACGCAAGGTTAAATCGAATATCTAACAGGATTTTAATTCAACTACAAAATTTTTATTTCTTTCATATTTTTAACACTCCCTCCGGACCCCAAAATTTTCCAGACACTCAAAAAATCCACCAAAAAATAGAACCCTACTCACCTTGATATGAACGGTCCCCTGACAGCACGTATATTCACTGCCCGGAGTCCCAGAATATTCGTCTTCAATAACTAAAAAAAACACTGACGCGGTCCAATTTCCTGGTTCCCCCCATAGCTTCCGAAACGCCTCGCCGCGCATTTTTTTTCGCTAGCCGCCCCCCACAGCAAATTTAATTACCTATTCGATAGTCTTCGCAACAGAGACAACACCGAATCTCCATTCCATTCACGGTGTATTTCCCTGAAAAGGTTCTTTTAACTTTTGAGAGGTTAGACAAGATCGAGGGTTCATTTGAGAGGGCGGCAAGGGATTAATCTCCGGAAAAAAAACGGATTAGATTGTAGTTGCGATTTGTCGAAAAAACTTGGTATCGTCTGGAGGTTGTCGGGGTCAAATTTGTCATTGGGCGGTAGATAATCCGCTTTAAAGATTTGATGTGTTAATTAGGTTCTTTTTATGGGGTAGAGTCCAAATTTGCGGGGGATTAATTTGCGGATTGCAGGGAATAATGATTCAACTTAATTTTGTGGGTTTTTTTGGAATTCTTAGAAGAGAATAGATGGTACTTGAGGATTAGTAAAATATGTGTGTTGTGATGAAAAAAAGAGCGTAAGAAAGATAGTACCAAATTAATTTGGGATTATTCTTGTCAAAAAATTATTAAAGCTATATATATTTTAGGCGGTCGATTCGTAGTGCTTAAATAATTTAGTAATTGGCTATAGAGACCTTTAGGTGATATTTTAAGCTTTTAGTTAATCTCTATGATAATCTATGGTCATTATCCTTATTTTAATATAGTTAATCTTTATTTCGATATAGAAATACTTATGCATTGAATTCAAGCGGAATTTTTTATGATAAACCTAATTATCGGCTTGACTATTGCGATCCCCGCCCCTTTAAAGCGATCTCTTCGTGAAGAAGTTGCGAAGACGCAGGAAAAGCCGTAGGGAAAGCCCAGATCCCATTTTACTCAAGCACTATGCCCCGCAAAACTTTACGGATGGACGCGCTCGAGTCAAGAGGGGGGAGGGGCCGTTTTGGATTATTAAACCGCTGCGGCGAGGAGATGCATAGAGCATTTTCGGCCGAGCAAGGGGGGTGAAGCCGCATCGGGTGGGATGGTGATGTCGCCGAGGTTCTCGCAGTAAGCATATGGCCCCTGGAATTGAGTGCATACAAGCACACCTGGGACGAGATGGAGATGAACAACATGTAGGGGTATTCTTAAAATGTCTAAAAACTCGTGCTCAATCTTCATCTACCAAAGACTCGACCGGACTCGCTCAAGGGAAGGGTGCCATTTCTCGAAATGTAACCGCTAGCCGGGCACATGCCCATCGTAAAATACAGATGTTCGAATAAGCGGCACCTCCCCCGTCTTCTCGCTTTTTGTATGAACGAGGAAAGAACATTGCGTCTTTTCGCCTTTTCAGCCAAGTGAATCTATCTTGAAACACGACCCGATCGGCTAGAGGGGGTTGAGGGCGTTTTGAAAGCACCTGGGAAAAGCCGGGCCTAAAAATGTTTGAACGCCATGACGAGTTCAGGAATGTCGGCCGGGAGGAGGTTGAGGTTTTTGCCTACAGGGGCGTGCACTTTGTAGGTAGGTGACTTCCTGTTTCAGCCCAGAATTCCACGGGACACTAATTTATGAAATTCAAGATGAGATTTAAAAATTAGATTTATAAAAAGCATTGGGAATGCGACATTGCGTCAAAAGGAAAGATCAGGAATGATAAATAACCTCAATCGGAAAAAACGAAAACAATAAAAATTGCAAGCTGATGAAAACTTGTTGAGCATTGCACCGTTGCACTTTGAGCACGAACTCGTTCACGAGATCAGCCGGATGAAAGAAGGAAATGAGGAAATTGGAAAAGCTTGGAAAAAATTCTAAACCTTCTAAAAAACTTCTAAATCCTGCTAAAACCATCCATCCACTTTCTAAAAAATTAAATTGGAAATAAATGTGTTAATGATATAAGGGTACCGGAATTAAATACAATTTATAAAAAGTTTTTAAGCACCGGAAATCACAGCTTCCGGTTTAAAAGCGATAATCCTAATTGGACTGCCAGGTGTCGGTGCCTAACCCGAAGTAAACGATGATGAGATGAGGGGGGAAAAGTGTGAGACCCGGGTACACACCACAGACCCCCCTCCTCATCATCACCGACACCATGTTTTTACCCACAAAACGACAGCAACGCGGTTTTCCGGCCAGCACAGCCGGTGGCTGTCAGGTTATTGTTGTATGGGAAGCAGAGGAGCAGGATGTGGAGATGGACCAGGAAAAGAAAGAAAAGTTAGCGGCTGGCTGGACCCAACCGGGCCGGCAACGACTATATCTCGCCCCTTCCTCTCCACCCTCCACCTGGAAGGAGTCCGACTTGACTGTGTGGGAAAAGCGAAAAGGTGGAGGGCCAGCGAGGGAGCAGTTGCTCAAGCTCCCGGGGTGGATGGCACTGATCTTCCGGGGTTGCCCCTTGTCAAAAGAGGGAGGTGGAGCTCATGCACCAGTCTGGGGGGTCTCATTTATCCTGTCACCTCTATAAATAAGTGGAGGAGGAGTTATGGGTGTTGTTTAGGGATTTATTGTTTGAATATTGTTGCATCTTTTTCAAATTTATCGTTTTTGCCAAAGTTGGCAGAAACGGCAATTAAAGACCTATTAACTATCAATTTTTCATCTCCTCCTCTCAAAATGCAGTAGATGGAAACCGCTTGACAAATGTTTTTTTTGAAAATTCTCGTGTTTCTTCTATCGTCTTCGCTTTAATTCATAACTTTCTATTCTAAAAAGTCGTTAAATTAAATTGATTTCAACATGGGTTTTCAATTTATGATGTCAAGTTCCATTTAATCAATCTTTTTTTATGCCAAAAATTTGCAGATATACTCCAAAAAATAGTTTTTAGTCTCATTTTGTCTCCTTGCAGCGTTATTCCCTGAACTACGGCTCTAGGCTCTTCTTCTGCAAATTCTCTGCAGAATCGCGTTCCAAGAGCTCTCAATCTTTCGGCAAAGTTCCGGCCCCAGATCCCAACCCTTCCCCCAACCGGGAAGCCATTATAGATCACGGTAATACCCCTCTTTCCCTTATCCCCACTTAACCTTTCGGAATCCCATCGTAGTCCACCGCTTATCCCTCTCAATCACATCGACAAACATGTTTACCCATGATTTACATCAGATGTCGGACCAGCTGCGTCAGAATCACCAATCAGCCACCAAAAATCTGCCCCCATCGTGCCGGATTTACGAGCACACAAAAAAGAACGGGCACACCTAATGGGGGATAAGCCGATAGGCCCTCCTTCTGAGGAAAATCATTGCAAAGTACATACGGCCCATTCAAGGAAATACTTGTTAAGTAAATGAATGAAATGTTGAGTCAGCGGGGTCAGGCTGTTCGGAAGTAGCGATGGGAATGTTCATGTCTTTGCAGGATTTATTCGGGGAGGGATGGGTGGAATGATATTTTGGGGTTGTTGTCTGGGCAGGAGTTTTTCTGGAACGCCCACATGCATTAGAATTCAATGCTGAACCTGGGGGATGGGGGATGAAGTTGAAAATTTTAGCAAAATTTGAGAAGCACGAAAAGGGAGTTCTGCAAGGCGGAGGGGAGACACCAAAAAGCGCCCATTTTGACATTATATTCTGTAAACACCGTTTAACAGGGGCAGATTTGTTAAGAAAACTTGAAAAAATTTGGCGGTATGCAATTTTCCATAATTCTGCAATAGTTTCTAAATTTCAGGGGGTTCAGCTTTCAATTTTAATAAAACTATCTCGCGTTCTCTCTCTCTCTCTAGCTCTCTCTTGCTCTCTCCCTCTCTCCCGCTCTCTCTCTCTCTCTCTCTCTCTCTCTCTCTCTTTCTCTCTATCTCTCGCTCTCTCCATCTCTCTATATCTCTCTCCCACCATCCTTCTGTCCCCGGTCTGATCGAGTTCTCTCCAAATTTTTTGTAGCGTGACCGGTTAACCTTTCATCAATCTCAAGCAACTTTAAATTCGAGTTAAAAATCGTAGTCTAACGCATCCTTCCATCCCTCCACACATAAACTACCTCACTTCGTAGTTGCTGATCATCCCCAAATTAACCGGATAAAGTTTACCTCGTGATACTGACCTCCAGTCGCTCCTGTACCTACGCAAAATCCGATTTAGGGCCACCCAAAACGAAGACTCACAGGTGTTTTTGGGGGGAGGATGGCCATCACATGGTTTACAATGAATCAAGATGGGGCGGATGATCCGGGATGCGTCAAGGGGGATAAGTGAAGGAGATGGGCGGGGTACCGCCCCTCTTCTGACCGTATAAAGGGGCCCAACCTGGGGCCCAGAACCACCGAAAATCCCACTCAATCCACCCACCAGCCTTCATCCCCTCATTGGCCCCGGTTTTCTGGAGTCAGCACTGGCGCCGAATCAGCTAACCCGCTTCCATTGTTACCGCCATTTGTTGCCAAGTGAGTTATTTAGTAAAGATTCGAATTTTTCGATCAAAAAATTGGCTATACGAATAAATAGTGTTTAAAAACATATATATATACGGTTTAATACATTTTAAAATTGATTTTTGGAGCGGCAAATATTGAGAAGACAAAATTTGCTTATAGCTACAGTAGTACGCATCCTGATACAGTAGTATCTTGGAGCCAATCAAAACATATAACTTTTTCTTTTTTAGCAATGGGAGAAAAATCGCGATCAATCGACGAGATGCTCAGCCGGGCCATTCACGCGAACCCGAATGACCCTTATGCCTGGCATATGTTGGGTAGGTGCATTTTGAAGGGGATCAAAAACCATGACGCTTCAGGTGTGCGCTGCTACTCGCAGAAGTTCTACGATGAGGCGTTGCACTGCTTCAAGAAGGCGGAGAGCATTAAGGTAAGAAAATTGTCTCGTTTTGCTTCTCTCTCTCTCTTTCTCCCTCTCTCTCTCTCTCTCTCTCTCTCTCTCTCTCTCTCTCTCTCTCTCTCTCTCTCTCTCTCTCGTAAATCATTGTCTAACCCTTATTTTTTCAGGAAAACTTCTCAGCCTCCAATCTCTACCACCTTGGCGCTTGCCTTAAAGCCCAAGGCGAAATCGAAGAATGCAAGGTCTACCTCAAAAAGGCCGTCCACTCAAAAACCTGGAATGGCGTCGATGAAAAGGTGGGTGAGGAGGTCTGCCGACCGGAAATCTCTAAAAACCCCACATCCGGTAATTGGGTTGTTGTGATGGGATTTTGTGAGGCCCCAGATCCACGGGGATTACGGTGGATAATCCACGTGAATCATTTTCATCAAGAATCCCTTCATTTTGCAGGGCAAGGAAGCCGCCGCAAAGTTGTTGCGAGATCTACAGCTCGGGGACGCTTGAAACTACAAGAAAACTGGCGCTGAGCGGCTGAATAATGAAGTTTTGTCACTGTTAGATTGTTGTTGTCACTAAATTCGATGTATATTCCCGCAACTCAACAGTGTGTCTTAACTGTACTGGTATTGCAAGCTTTACACCATTCCATAATTAATAATATATTTGATTTTTGTGTGTATTTTTCGGTAGTACAAGGAAGTGATGGAAATGTATATTTTTTGATACACCGGGGGCCAGGTATTTTCACGGAAATGATCAAGGGATGGGTGTGTGACAGGAAATTGGAAGGTAATGGCGGGGACTACCAAAATGGAGATGACGTATGCAGCGATGGAGACACGGGGGATGGGGATTGGGGGACTATTATGAGGTGGATTTTTGATAAAGCAAGAGGTGTGTAAATAGTTTTATGACGGAACAGGTTGCTTAGAGTGGGACGGTGGGGCTGATGTAGGTGAGACTGTCTTCTTGGATGCCGAGCTCTTGCATGAAGCGCTTTAGGTAGTTGACCTCGTGCTGGAGTTCGGTTAACTGAACGAAGGTTTTGTAGAAATTGCATGGTTAAAACATGCTTTACAAAAGGATATCAAAACAGCTTTTCTAAGGCTTGTGATTTCTAAAAAAAAATAACTTATATTGCTACACCAACATACCTTAAGCTATTCCCAACACGGTTTTCTAGATTTCTTAAGCAGGCAAATTTTCTAGTTTACGAAATATACTTTCAAAAATTTAAGGATATAGGATTTCTAGGTCTACAAAGTTTCCGATATATGAAACACACCTTACATAACGATATCAGACTCGAGATTCTAGGATATCGGCTTTTATGTACCAATTTTTTATACACCACATACATTACAAAATATTGTCTTATGGGTATTGTCTTGCTTCTAGGTCTCTTAACATTAAGTATACAAAATTTCTGGTGTACATACAATCCGTTAAAACAACCGATAATATCCTAGAATTTCGGATTCCTAGGTATATAAATTCCGAAATGCGAAAACCATATTACAAGTTACACTAATATGTACTAATATGGTTTTCTACCACAACCCACCTTCGTTTTCAGTATCTCATTCTTGCCCACCAACTCATCTTGTGCAACTTTAGCCTCAACGCGCTCCTTCCTCTTTTTCTCGCGATACCGCGTGGCGGCTTCTCGGTTCTGCTGCTAAAAAGTCCGCGGATTGATATTTTCATCTTCGCTGCCTCTCCATAGCAGGTCAACACTTTACCTTTTTCTTTTCGCGTCGTACTGGCATCGCGCCATCGATGACCGCGCGTTCCGAGTCGGTTGAATAGTCGCCCTGAATTATTACTAGTTATGATTATAAAAATAGTATTCATACAGGACTGGAAGAGGATTGACGGTCAAGAAGAGCAGAGTTGGAGCGGTTTTCCTCGCTTGCAAAGTAGGTAGCGGCTTCATCAGCGTTTACAAACTACAGAAATATAATTACAAAACCCTCGAGTATAACTTACCACTTTAGCATCAGGAATTCCGCTAACAAAGCTGAAATTCATTGTCGGGGTCAACGGTTCAAATTGGGGAGTGGAGGAGAGTTCGTCAGTCTAAAATGATGCAACACTTCGAAAAGACTAGAGTCTCCACCTTGGTTGTGCTGAATTGTTGAACATTAGTGTAGACGGGACTGTGTGCAGTGGTGCTCATCGCGTAGTTCATCTCATTTTGGTTGTTGGGGAATGTTGGGTAATTGTATTCATAGAAGCCGATTGAGGAGATATCGTGAAGACCTGGCTGCCCGACGGGATCAACAAACGCAGCACGTACAGGCCTGCAAATTCGATGATTGATTGATAGGAACGGTTTTTGGGGAGAAGTGGTTTTGAGCATGAGCTCTTGCTAATCCTTGATCAATCTTTTGGAAAGTTTTTCTCTAATTATTTCATCTTTTTGTTATCTTCAGTGTTATATACATTAAGAGATAATTTTTGATTTCATGATTTACATAAAGATTTTATTTATTTATGAACACTTTTGTTGAACGTTATCTTCTACTCCAACGGCCAAAAAATTCTGCCAGAGGCAAGCATAATTTTGTTAACATTTTTTGAAACTGGCAAATGCCAGCTGATTGGAATAAAATCTTTTTCAGTTAAAATCCCATGCCGATGGCACTAATTCCGTCGACTTTTTCATTAAAAAACCAAAATAACGGTTCACCACCGAATTTCGTACACATTTCATAGCTAATAAGCCGATTTCGAACCTTCCGGTCCCATTTTGGCATTAATCAGCCTGTTTCCGGCAAGCTAGACATTCCCGAATTTCCCCCTACTTCCGCCTAGCTCCATTTTCCATCTGCCGCCTCTTAAATTTACGACAGACGCCCAAATTCGGACGAGTGCCCCAAGTTGCCCCTCGTTATCTGATTAGAGATAGGGAAACGACCGTCGTGTCACCTTGACACTGTTTTGACAGCCGAGACATTACGAATTGGTAGTTATATAAATTCAAGCCCAATATATCAATGTAATAATGCTTACTGGAGAGATGGCGGTAGAAGAAGAGAAGTCCGTGTCCCAAGAAGCGGTGGAGTAGGGAGTGTTATAGTCGAAGGCCTGTGGGGACCACTGAAAAAAGGGCAATTAGCATAATTTGCCATGTTTTTAAGACGATCGATTATGTATATATTTATTATTATACCTCATTGGGAGCATCGGATTGGTAGAAAGACATGTCGATGGTGGGTCGGTAATAGTCAACGGTTGAGAGCCCTGAAATATTGATTTAAATCGGTAATATGATTGAGTTAGCGAATCGCGAATATGAAAAAAGATGCGAATGTTTGTAAAAATTAATACTACGTACTAGGGTTTGCTCGATTTGGAGCCTTAATTCGAATAGTGCGAAAAAAATATTATTAAAACAACCAATACTAAGCATTTTTGCAAATATTGATTACCAGATTTAAACCCTAGATATAAAATTGGATTACTGCCAAATAGCGTGAATTGTACAATGACGAACCGTCAAACTACGAACTACAAACTCCAATACCTACCGGTCGTCCCGATGCACCTCCACCGTATTTTCATAAACCGGAATAAATTATCACCAAATAGCCGATCTTATCGATTACGACAGCGAATCAACAGTGTTTAGCGGACAGTAGATGATCCGTTTTTGCTGAGGGATTGCAAGGGGTTGAGACAGGGATCCCTGCGGGTTATAGCCCGATGGCGATCGCTTCCAGTCCTCGCCCAAAACGAGCGGGGAGAGGTTGATGCAGAGTGCGGAGAAGCAACTGAAGGCACACACTCACACAGCCAATACACCACCACCGCCGTATGAGGACGGACTGACACACTGTGCCACGGCAACCCCTTCACGTGACCACTGCCTGGGCTTTTGCTCCTCTTGCTGGAGGGCAGCAGGGCACCAGCTAGTACCGAAACGCCTGTCCAGATAAGCCGTTGGCTAGGACCAGCCAACCAGAGCTTTTCCCCCAGAGCCAGCTACTAATTCTCGAATTCGAGACCACATTCCGGGGAGAGGCGTCGGCCAGCTAGACAAGCAAACGGTCATGCCGCGCAAATTTTATGATCGCCGGGGAAATGGCGCAGTCACACCAAATTGAAAATCGATGCGGGTGATGGAAGACTTTATTAGGGGCCGTGGACGTATATAAACTTATACGGATTAATTAGATTGAAATGTGCAAAATTTAAAGAGAAATGAACTTTAATTCCCTATAAACTATTCTTATATGCTGTAAAATCCCAAAAAATACGGGTGCAAAAGTGTAGAATTTTTCTATTAATTGTAATTTTACTAACATTTGTAAGTAAGAATCAAGATTTATTGATTAAATGGACGATTAGTAGCATCCTCCAAACCCGAAACAGTTCCATAACCTAATTAAACCCTCCAAACCTATCAGTGACGCCGCCCAAATGACCAATAAGAGCTTCTCGACCTTGGCTCAAGGTCTAAACAACGAATTACCCAAAACAACCCTATGATTAGATTGCAGGGGCCGGCTTTCCGTATGATCAAGCCAAAAAAATTTGGACGAGATACTGACCGGCCCCCTCGGAAAGGGACACGACCCGGGAAAACTGAAAAATCGATAGCCCGTGTCGGGATTTTCGTCATTGACGAGTGAGCGGAGTGCAGAACTGCGATCGGGCGGAAAAGATGGAGAACATGGCTCGACTCGGGGCAATCGGCAGACCGTTTAGAGGGCGAAAAGGTCTCGGAAAAACTGGGGAACCCACCCCCTATAACTTTGGGTTCAAAGGGCGTTTGGGAACTGATAAGCAGTACCGTAGTTTTTTGGGGGTCGTGAATGTCCGTAAAACAGTATTGGACTTTAAGATAACCCTCTTAGAAATAAAAAACTCCCGTATTGCCATACTTTTGATAATATTTCTGCAAAACTTTCGATATTTTCAATAGCCACTACTCATTCCGGCTCTATTAAACACATAAAAATCATGTTTATTTACAACACGCACCCATAACATATTATAATTACTAGCGTAGAATTGCAATACCGCGAATACATATTAGTATCACATTGATAGACCCATAACCGGGAGATTATGCAAATATGATATGCAAATTATTCCCCGCCTCGTGATGCCAAGAAATAAATTGTAAACAAAACAAATAGGGAGAAGCCAGCGAGGTAGCAGATCAATTTTGTGCCTCCCGATCTGGTGGTGATCCCGAGTCGATGCATTGTGGCTCCGAGGAGTCCCTAGAAGAGTCCAATTTTGCTTTATAGGAAAATGGCTTACTTGACTGCTATCAAAATCGGTGTCCATATCATTTAGGAGGCGATTTTGTTGGCGTACTTCATCTTGGATATTTACAGTAATCTAAGGGTTTTTTAATTAACAAAAAATTGCACGCTTACATTTCTGAGAGCGTTCAGTTTCTGGCTGATCCCATCAATTTTTTGGTCGTTTTGATTTTCCAGGGGTCTAAATTAAGGTTATATAAAAGGTTTAAGAATTCACCAATTTTAATGTAGAATTTAAATTGTAGCCAACATTATTTTTTTGTTAAACTTACGTGTACGAATAATTTCCAGCAGGTTTTGGACTCCGGTAAGCCATTAGTGCGCTGAATAACTTTATAAAATGGTGTACAAAAAATTTCTTCTAGACATTTACAGTACACTCCTTTGTGCGGGCCATAAAATACACTTTAAAAAAAAGTAGAAAACAGTTTATTTTCAGCGCGCAAAACCTCAAAGGGCGAAACCATAATCGAAGAGGGGGGAAAACAAACACAGTTGCCACAAATTCACATCCACCACGAAGAATGTCGAATAAAAAAATGTATGAAAGTAATTAAAAAAAAGAAAATTACGACTTAAGGATACACGGACAGAACCACAGTATGGGGGTGATGATGACTACCAATTTATACCTTATTTTAAATGTAACGAAATTAAATTAGGGATTGAGGGGGAGGGGAAGGGGGAGGGGTGGTAACTACAGGCCCGAAAATTCGGTTAAAAAAATTAGAATTAACCTTAAAAAGGAGCAGGATACACACAAGTTTTGTTTGAAGGCAAAGGTTGACAAGAAGGGGGTAGGTAGAGGAAAAAGGGAAGATTGGAAAATGTAGAAAACGGACAACAAGGTCACTTTGCGTGTTTAGGGGGGATTATGTGTCTGGGAGGAATATCAATCTGCTGTTATATACAACATTGCAGATGAAAAAAGATGGTGGATAGCACTGGACGTTTCTTTCTTGCTTCTGCTGTTTGTTTTGGAGAACTAAAAAGTGGGGGGAAGGAGTACGAAAAAGAATTTCAAAAATGATCCGTTAGATGCCCGCGAATGGATTTGGCTGGGATGGCTGGAGGGGCGGCAGACCGCCGACGCGAGGTCCAACCTGGAAAACCGGATGTGTTTTAGAGGGCGGCGACAGAGATTGGAATTTGGATTGCACATTCTTCACTACAACTGAAACTAAATTACAATCCTGAAAAAATGCACGTCCAGGTTTTTGGATTTGCTAACTTTTTCAAAAAACGCTTATAGGACCTTTTTACTCATTTTTAATTTGAGTTAGGCACAACCACTCGAAAACTTAAGAAATTAATTTAATAAATTTTTTAGCAGGACAGAATTGAATAACCAAGCCTTTTATAACTAATACAACCGAAAATGCCACTCTTGTTTCAATAAACTAGCAAAGTATGTATTCACCCTTAAATTGGCTAATTTACATATAAAAATAGTTTTATACTTCATTACCTAGATTCGAAGTATAACCCAATTACTCACCTGTGGAATTGGCGGCGCACCCGCGCGCATTTCATTGAGAGTCGGCGATTTGCGCTGCGTATTGAAGGGGTTGACCGGGGCGGAAGTAGTACCAAGAAGGAACGGGTTCGAAGCGCCTGAAAATGGCTTTATTTTTTTTTTTAGATAACCTACTTGAAGTAGCCGTAGTGGTAGTGCCTAGCAGATCATCAAGGTTGACCAGATTCGAGTTCTCACCCAAGAAGTTCTCCGGGGTTTTGCGGGCCAGACCGGAAGCGTTGGCGGCGGCGCTGTTGGCCATCGAGTTGCCTCCGTTGGCGGGGGTAGGCTGAAAATAAAAGTGATATATTTTCGCCATAGCAGGCACAGGACGATGCGTTAGGTTATAATGCGAACAAAGAGGAGTACAACGAGATTCTAGGCTTAAACCTAGTGTAAGCCTAAAATTCGCCGTGGAACATGTATAACATAAGGGATATGACGATAGCAGTATGGATGTAGTAGCTGACTTATTGGGGGGTGTCGAGGACAGCCTTACCGCCCATTCTGAACTAGGTTGACTATAGAGGGGATCGTAAAGCATGAAATCGTTGCTATTTAGTTGGCTGTTGTAGGGGGTATATTCCGATTGATAGGAATAGGTTGAGTTCAGCTAGAATGTTGGATCGGTTGTTTTGAGGTATTGGCTAGGTTGTAGATACCTGAAGGATGTCGGATCCGTTGGTTGGGGCAGATAGTGGGGTATCCCAGGCAGAGAATGGGTCTGCTAGAGAAGCGGCCGGAGTTGGGGTACCGAGGGAGGATGGGGCCCATGGGTCGTTGGAAGCCAGTTGAGCTGAAACAAAAAAAATATATTTGATTTTGGGTCTTTTCTGGCTTTGATTCCTCCTTTAAAGGTATATTTTTAGCTTCGGAACTTTTTACGGCTTAAAATAACTAGTTTTATTAAAAACCTACCGGACGGGTACATATTTTGTTGCTGCTGCTGAACTGGAGCTCCCCAAGGGTCCATAGCGGCCGGAGCCGCACCCCACTGGTTAGAACTGGTCGGCTGGTTCGGGTCAGAAAGCTGAAAATATGAGGTATACGCACTATTAAAGGAATAAGCAAGGCCTCATCTACAATTGGGAAAAAGACAACCGGTTACGCTATGAAAAAACATGGAGAAGAGCTCGCGCTCAGGCGATAGGGAACAGAACAGCTGATGCTAATTAACATGGACTTTCATGCCTCTTTGAATCTACGATCTAACTCTAGAAATATTCAAGTAAAGTATCCCTTACCACAATATCTCCCAGCCCCAACGATAGCAAATCATCAATTGCACTCTGGGAGAGCTGTCCCGAGTTGACGGTACCCATCGTCTTCTTCGACATCTCTTCCGCCTCACGACGGCTTTCTTCGATCGCCATCTGGATTTAGATAATATTTAAAAATTTATTTTGAATGATTTTAATATTTAAAATATTTGAATATACTGAATTTCAATGCAACTAAATTACCTGCAAACGAATATCATCGCTCTTCTCCATCTCATTAGCCTTCTCGGCCTCCTCGCGGCTCAGCGCCAACGCAATTTGCAGTTGCATCTCCTCCTCACCCAGCGAGGATGGACGTGCCTCATCTAGCTCACCCGGATCTGCAGCGAAAAATCATCAATAGGGATATCTATTCAATCCACTTACTTCTAGAGGTACCCCCATAATCGGCGCGCCGAGAGCGAGCACCCGATTCCGCTCCGACGCTTGTACCGCCATTCTGGCGCAGCCTGTTCCTAGTCAACATAAAGCGAGTGCGCTCATTTTTGAGGCGCTCCTCGTCGTTGAGGAGGCTTGCCATTTGTTTTGCCTAAATTGGGGAATATAAAATTTTTGGTTTAAGGTACCTTTTCGCGAATGTTGAGACCTTGATCTCGGTTGTCTTCGACGTGTTGGAAGTCTTTCAACGTTTCGATAGCGTAAATGTTTTCACGACATTGATGAGCCACCTAAAATTGGATTATTTGTTATGTAAACAATCTATAATAAAAATATTAAGAATAGTCTAGGCCCTATCTGACGATATATGAAAAATAGTTCTTACGTGTTTGATTTGTTATGTAAACCATTGACTAAAAGCCCATAAATAGTAAAGGACCTCTATTTAACTTAATTTATTGTCGATACCTACCTTTTCATTCCCACACTTAATTAAGAAGTCCAGCAACACCAAGCTCTTGTAAACGTGACGCCAGTTCTTCCCATGATCGTTCAGCCGCTTCCAGATGATGCTCATAATTTCCGTGAACGCCATCGGGTTGTTGGTCAGGTCGGCGATCTCGTTCATCAGTGCCGTAGAAGGTCCCCATGGATCGTTGCTAAAATTTTTAAACAATTCTAATCATTTAGGAAAGTTTTCTACCTTGTGGCTTCTCGAACTTTCACTTGGGCATCCGAGAAGTTGTAGGCCACATTCTTGACCTGTCGGCGGATCGTCGAAATCGACATTGGCCTTAAAGATGTTGGTTTTTAAGGTATATTTGGCCACGTAAGAAACGAGATAGAAGAGAGGCAAGCGTCTGTATTTTTCAAAAAAGAATTTATGTTGATTTACAGTTTGAGAGTGGAAAAGGAATAAGTGGATGGCCGGTCGGACGCTACGCGAGGAGGGTGGGGACGGAGAAAAAAAAAAATGTGTTGCCACATAGAAATGAGTCATCGTCGCGTTATCGTCATCCAAAAGGGCAATATGGAAAATAAGTTAGAAAAAATTCTTTGCGCTCCGTTTTAAAAAGGCGGCACACTTTTCAGCGTCCAGCTTAAGGGTTTCGCATTTTTGAAAGTTCATTCCGATTTTCAGGGGTTTCGCTTGAAAATTCACCCAAAAACCGCAATTTATCAAACGGATCTAGCGTGGATATCTAAGTTCCTTGTTCAGCAACCAAAATCAGCTATTTTTGCCAAAACCATAACCGTTCCAAGCCCTTAAAAGCCTCTAAAATATCAACAAAACCCCAAAGCAAATGGTCGTAAACTAACCCTCAAGACCGTTTCCTAAGCCATTTTTCCGGTTCTCAAACATTCTAATCCTGAATGGTCAAAAAGAAGATGGAATCGATGGGGGTGGAGGGTTCTGAGAAGGGGGTGGGAGAGCTGAGAATAGGTGCTAGATGGAATGGGTTGAAAGTGGAGAGGGGCAGATGGAAATGAGAGGGAGGGAAGAAGATGGAGAGGGTGAAAGAGCACCGGGTACCAGCACGGCCAATCGATAGTCAGCTGGGAGCGCACATGATGTCCGTCACCGGGTGCCGCGAGCCGTCGTCCCCGTACCGCACTCGCCCCTCACCACTACCACACCACCAGCCCCAAACAACAACAACAATCGACACCATCATAAACATAGACATATGGTTGACCATAGTTACAAACCATTCTGTAAGATACCACCGCGAAATCACTGGGATAAGAAAACTTGATATCGTTAGAAAAATAACTTGTTTTGTCTACGGGAACCTTGGCTTTTGGGGTTATTTTTTTCTGGCGCAATTCCGGGGTCAAATTACTTACAAAATTTTTCCTAAACTTTCCCTATTAAGCGTCAGGAAACAGCCATCTCCAAGAACTAGTAAAAATTCAAATTAGCTTGCCCGAAACTTAATCGAATTTCTCAGATTTTTCCCTCGTTCTTATAATATTCATCATGCTATAGATCTAGAATCTGCCCCAGAAATGTTCGAAGTTTTCATTTGTGCAAATATGCACTAACTATACTTCGGATTTGAAAAAACTATTTAAACTTGATATAAAATATTGAAACATAAATACACCACTGCAAGAAAAGCAAAGAAACAAATTATTTCTAGACGCTCAATATATTGGTGTAATAAACGACGGCAGGAAATGTCTAATTTCCTATTTACGATGAGCAATCAGAAACAGGGAAAAATTCATAGCAATATCGTATTGAATGACTCAAAGGACCATCCCCAATCTTTGATTTCGGGAATTACCAGCCGAGTGATATCATTGACCTGGTTTTGTTAGTGCGCAATTTTTGGCCGACATTAATAGATCTTATCAAAACCAAATTTTTTGATTATCTCCTAAGGCTACCTTCAAGAACAAAATTTATGCATTCGATTTTGTCTGTTTTGGGTGGGCCACTGCCGGCACGGCCTCATTAAAATGCCGCCAGGCGTTGGCGTTAAATAACAGGGCGAATGTGGCGCGAAAATGGGGGTTCGGGTGGGGGTGTAAAATGGGTGCTAGCCACGATTGATTGATGAGGCATATTTTAGGGGGGAATTGGGATGAAGCTTGGGGGTCTGGAAAAATCTAGAAATTAATAAAAAAAGACAAAATTATTTTTTCCTCTTCTGGTCGCTTTAAGGGCCAAAATGACAAAAGGCATCCGGAAAATGTCTTAAGACAAGTCTGGACCCAGGTACAAGGGAGCAGAGCTAGCTGATGCTAATTTCAAACTCGAGGCCAGTTTTATGCTAATTGTTTTGGCGCTGATGAGCCCCACAAGAAAATACAAAAATATTGATCGAAAGTCGCTCGGTAATCTTGTAGGAAGAGGCAAAGATGTGGGATGAGGAGATGGAGCCAAGGCAGATGAGGAGGAGGATGGAAGACCGGTTAAGCCAGGGCGGGCAGCCTTTTTCGATAGCCTTTCCCCTCTCAACAACGGCTTCCTGCCCCGGCATCTCCCCTTCAGCTCAGACCGCGCCAATCGAGCAACACCCCCACGGCGGTCAATGAGTTGAGCTTGGGGGGAGTTTGAGAGAAAATTGGCGTTGAGGAGAAAATCGAAATGGACACCGAGGAGACCGGATTACGGGGATGGGTTGGGGAGGGCTAAAGGGGAAGTAAATGGTATTGAGGGGGAGTTAATGGGTTGGAGAAAAATGAAGATTTAATTTAGTTTTGAACAGGGGCGGTATGGAGAAATCCACACAAGCCGTTTAAGACCACAGAATAAATATAGAACCGCATTAAAAATTACAATTAAAACTAAAATGCAACGAAAATTAAATTATTGATTACAAGATCAGAAAGCCATGGTTTTAAAAACCACATACAGTAATATTTAAAGCAGCTCAGAGTCTCCGAATTTTATAAATTTCTATGATGCAAATCTGATCCCTTCAAACGTCTGACTGAAGTCTGACTCCAGACAGGTGAAGCTTCCAATGAAAAACCAAAACCAGCTGCCAGCCCTTTATAATAAATTCTAACAAAAAGCAGTTTCCAAGAAAAAACTCGCATTAATCTATAACATGCATGAAATAAAGTCTGTAGCTCCGTGGAGACGGATGACAAATTCGATTAATCGCAAAAAGGCGGCGGGGGAGTTGTGGTTTGGGGTACGCACAAAAGTGTGTAGCGCGTTTCAAAATAATCCGCGGGGCAGAGGGAAAACAGAAAAATGGGGGAAATGGCAGGAATTTTTCTCGAGTTCCCCATGATTATTATCGAGTTTATAATTGGTATTTCGGGGGCTGTCGTTAGGGCAAAAGTTGTAGTTGGTGACGGCTCCAAAAAACTTTAGTTTTTGCAGCGAAAAATGGTTTTTAGCGAATTTGTCGATAGATTTGGATTCAAGGAAAATAGATATAAATATTTAATGTTAATATGGTTATCAAAATTTACCAATGGGTTGTCATTAAAATAAGTTGTATTTGGTTTTGCAAAAATTCTAAATTTTGGAGTAAAAATAGTTTTTAACGATTTTAGCGGAATAATTTTCGCTGAATTACAGTAGCTGAAACTAGCTTCAAATGCGTCTAATTAACTAGAAAGCAGGCCTTGACAACGGGCCGGGCCGGGCCGGGCCGAGGCCCGGAAGCCGGGCCCAGCCGACCCCAGGCCCGGCCCGGCCCGGCCCAAAAGCCAAAATCCAAGGCCCGGCCCGGCCCGGCCCGCGGGCCGGGCCGGGCCGGGCCGTCGGGCCCGGTCAGACACCTAGGGTCAGAGGGGGTCAAAAAAATTTTTCCACTAAGACCCAAGTTTTTTAATCGAAGTATAACGACAACTAATAACTATCAACTATTCTTATTTTCTAACTATTAATAAACATAAAAACATTAGAAACTGTATTTTCAAAATCCAAACATGCCGGATCCGGCCAATGGTAAGCTCGGATAACCATTATTGACCGTTTTGTAGATGCATTGTATAGTTTTTTTGGTGAAATATCGAACTATGGTTTTCAGTGAACCTTTGGATAAACGAAGTCCGGTTAGAAATCATGCAAGAAGTGTCTTCTAGTCCATTCAGGCATAAAAAATCACAATTCCCGGCCCTACTAACCTAGCCTGCAACTCCCGGAGCAAAAAAAAATTGAAAAATAGGGTTTAGAGCCAAAAACCTAACAAAAAGAACCTAAAAAAGTTGGAAAAGTTTCGAAAAATTCCGAAAAAATTGAAAAAAATCACGATTTTTGGCCGAAAATTCGCAAAAATGGCCTAAAAATCATCAAAATGGCACAGAAACCCGGGCCCGGCCCGGCCCGGCCCGGACCCCCAAATCCAGGCCCGGGCCCGGCCCGGGCCCGCCAGACCTTCGGCCCGGCCCGTTGTCAACCCCTGCTAGAAAGTATCAACCAGCATAAACATCCAGCTTCTTTCTCAAAAACACCCAAGGTAAACCCACCCGCCTTGGAGAAGATATTGGGCAGAAAATCAAATTGGGTGCGATAAGGGCATGTAGAAGAGGGTGGTTATAGATGGAAAAGAAGGGCAAATGGAACACAGCAGCATTCAGACACGAGCACTTGGTGGGGGATAGTGTTGGGGGAGGTGTGGGAACAACACGCGGCGGGAGTGACACAACAACAAATAACCGTGGACGGAGGGCATACACCCACACGGTTTTTCCTGTCGCCCAACAAAACCGTTGGTAAACTGGCGGATAAAGGAGTGGAACGGATGAAGGAGGTTTTTGAGCTTTATGATTTATGGTATGCAACGAAAAATTGAGTTTCAAACAAAATATCTGGAAATATGATCTATTTAGCCTAGTAGCTATGGAAAAATCTATGTGTTTAAAATATATGTTTACATGCAAATTTCGTTAGCGTGGGAGAGTATCGCTTCAAGGAAGATAACTTAAGGTATATATGACCAGTGGAAAAAGACCGCTTCGCGGCCCTTTTCCCCTGGACCCCGTCTAGGAATAATCAATTCCCTTTCCTTTTATCGAAGCCTGCGGCGCAAGAGCCTCACTCAAGGAACCATTCTGTGACCTGCGGCGCCAGAGCCAGCACTGGGCCAGAATCTTTGAGCCTGCGGCGCTAGCTACTGGTTTTTGTCCAGGATTTGGCCTGCGGCGCGAGAGCCTGGGTCAAGGAACCATCGTTGGCCTGCGGCGCCAGAGCCTGGGCCAAGTACCTTTTCTTTGGCGTCCGGCGCTAGAGCCTGGGCCCGGTCCTAAAACTCGCACACCGAGAGCCTAGAAATATGTTTCATTGTTGAACTACCAAAAAGCAAAAATTTAAATTCCGCGCGGATTCGAACCCGGACCATGCGTTTGTTAGACCGGGCGCCAATCCAATACACCAAGGGGACGCGACGATTGACAGCGGGAAAGGCCTCTTCTGTCCTGGGGGCCGCCCCATCCCGGGAGAGAGGACTTCTGATAACTTTACAAAATTCTCTTTTTGAGTCTGAATGCGCCGAAAATTTGTAAAAATAATACGATGCGCGTGATCCCCACTATCGAATACATAAGTGGACAAAATTACAGCCCAAAATTCCATCTGGGCGTCGAGTTATGGCCCGGACACCACGGGACTGTGGCCATTTTATTAAGGACCTTCTAGTAAATTGCTCATAAAAACTTTATTTTAAGGAATTTGGCAAAATCCATAAAATAGTATCGGGAAAATTGTTTCTTCCATTCACCCTCCAAAAATCAGCGCCCAACTCCTCTTAGCGGCCGAGAAAACCTCCGGACATACCTTTTTTTCAGCGAAATGTTAAGGATTTTTCACTATTTTGGTTGTAAAATCGTCAAATGAAGGAATTTCGCAAAACAAAAAAATGCATCACTGACAAATGTGTTACTCCACCTCCGTGCCAAAAATCAGCTCGAAATTCGGCCTGACGGCCGAGAAATCGGCTGTACAGAAAACAGACATACTTTTCTCGCTTATAGGATAGGATACGTCATTTGGTGTGCAGTGGCCATGAGATCCCGTACACGACTGATCTTTTCCAAAATTAGCTATTTTCGACATTAAATTGAAGGTAAATTGAATTAAGTTTTTGCGATTTTGTTTATGCTTTTTTAGGAAGTAATTTGCATATGCCGGAAGCAGGGGTAGCTCTATAACAAGTTCAGGGGTCCTGTTCCTATTTTTTTTGTCTGGCGACTATTATACGGAACAAAGTCATTAGTGAATGAGGTTAGGATTAATTTATATAAAATCACCTCAACCCTAAACTATGCAAGGTCAAAACCCCCACCTCCAACACCCCCACGACCGACTTTCCAATTGATAAAAGGGGGACTGTGTGTGCCAGAGGGCGGAAAAACGCGATGAGAGGCAGGTGTGCACACTTCAGCGAGTAACTGAAGCGAAAAGGTCAACAATGAACTGGACCCATGCCCCCACCAAGCATACACATTCGTTGAAGTTGAAGGGACGATAAGGGACAAATCAATACACGGAACTTAAAAATATAAAAATAAAAATAGGGAAAGTTTTAACGGGTCGGGAAGGGATCTTAAAGGGGCCAGGAAGGCCCAGGAAAATTTGCATAAAACTAAAATTAGCATAAAGTTTCACCGCATCCTCCTACTTCGCCCCCACTCTCTGCTAATCTTTTTAGCACTAGCATTTCCGGTTGGGTCGCTGACAATTATCTATGAGCCCTAATCTAACGGGTCTTCCTGATTCCTTTAAACCGAAAAATAGCTACGTCGCTGAAAACCAGTTCATTAAAATATCTATCCCGCCTGTCCTTTGAGCTAAAGTGTGAAACCAATCACAAGAATCAATAAATCCTTCACCAGTTCGGTTCCGGAAAACACCTCACGGCGGTTTCCGCCCCTAGCGCAACCGCGCGCCGCCCCGAAAGAGGCACAAAAATCGGGCGGACAAACATGTTCGGAGGAAGGAAGGAATGGAACCGATCGAGGGGGGAGAAGAAAGAAAATAAGGAGAAGAAGGGCTTTCGCAAGCCGCCGCCGCTAGAGATGACAAAATACGGGATCCCAATTGATTCGACGGGAAGGATGCGTCATCTGGGAGACATTGCTCATAGGGTTAAGGCTAGTTTTGCGCCGACTATTTTGGGAGTGATCGGTGTGGTAAGGGAATCAGAAAGTGTTTATTTATCGTTGCAAATCGTCATCGAACGAGTTACCTGATTTATTAGATCTGGATTTGCAAACGAAGAATTTTCAAAAACTGTTTTTAGCTCACTCGCAGCCACATTTTTTTGTAATTTCATAGTTTTATAACGATAATATTACGGTCAAAGCGCTACTGTTATTGCTTATTGTTTACAATGGATCTTTTCAAGTATTTACATATTTCACAAGCTTTTCGAATGCCAACTTACATATTTATTCACTAGGGGATGGGTGGAATTTGTTAATGTGGGAACGAAGGCTATGCAGCTAATGAGACACACCAAATTACGAAATTTGTCTGTGTCTGGTGGAGTGGTCCACAATGTGATAGTGCGCCTACATGGTATTCAAAGATTAAAAAAAAATTAAGTTGCTAGCTCCCAACAAACCCCGAAGCTGGAAAAGAAGTTTTGTTTTGACAAAACCAACGCGGAAAGACTTCAAACTTTTCGATTCCCGATAAAGAAAACGCTGCTGCCCCAAAACCGAAATGGCCGCATAAAAATGTCATAGCCGCTGTTCGCACTTCCCACCGCAACGGCTTTTTATTCGGAAATTCGGATTTAGGTACAGAAAACGGGGGTAACAAATGTTTATCAGGTCGTAAATGGTTATTCTTCGTAGGTATAGTAGCCGTGGATGAGCACGTAGCGCTTTTGCATCTCATTTTCGGCGCGAAACAGCTTGCGATTCTTGAACACGCCCATCGAATGGACCCGCTTCGGTCGAGTGCCGAGTATTGTATACTACAAAAGGTTTATAAAGCGATTAGCATTACAACAAGTTTAAATTAAGGTATATTTCCCAATGGAGGTTTATTTAACTCACCTGAGCAGCTGATAGACCAATCAACACCAAGCAGGTAAAAACCAGCACAATACTAGCCGTCTTCATCCTGCAAAATCTCAAATTCGAAAAGGTCATGTTACCAACTTGACTGAGTTCAAAAAAGATCTACCCACAAGCCCTGACCCAGCCCCTTCATCAATCTTTCACCAACTCGCCCCAGACGACCCCCTCCATTTCATTGTCGTCAGACCTTTTTTAGATGTGATTCGATTAGAGGGCCCATCGAGGAACATTATTTACCCGCCAAGCCATGCAATTAAAATGCTAATATTCAACGAAATACCGCCTGTGACGCGACAGCCGCACGGCTAATTTAATCCCTAGAGGTCACGTCCCTGATGCGGATCTACAGCCTAGCCGGAACCAGAGAGTAAACTTCAAATTATTTGATAACTAATTCGCCGAAAATTGAAAAACCAGACAGCTATCAAGGCTGGCTGTTTTTCAAAGAAATGCAAATACGATTTAGCATCGAGCCAAAATAGGGGTCCCACATGCCATCGAGAAGCCTATTTTCACGTACAAATCGAGGTCTTTGGGGCGGGGGGGAGATTCAGATTGTATTTCGTAACCTGAAATAAGTGGGTAGTGGTAAGCAAATTTTTGAGCTCTATACATTCGATGAAAATGGATTTGGGTCAGCAGTTCTTAAAGGGGGCTCGAGCATTTTTAGCTATGAACATCCGTGAAAATCATTCCTAAAGCTTCGTTAATATATATTTTATTCCCTAAGTACGCGAAAATGAGAAGCGATTTTTCCGAGCTTATATTCTGAACTTAATAGTTTTGAAGCCCGGGTGTTCCGAACTTAAAACTGAATAAAAGCTACTCAAAAATGCTGAAAATTAGAAATTTAATTAGCTTAAGCAAAAGGAAAAATGAATAAAGCTAAACGAAAAATGCTTGGAATGGCGGCGTTTTTTAAGTAAGAGAACCGGGCGGGATGGATTCTTGCATAGGGGATGGGGCTAAATAATTTGCGAAGACCATCATGCCCCCCAATGCAAAACAAGTCCAAATAAGAAACTAAGGACCACGGTAACCGATTCGATGCGAGGAGTGAAATGATTTTCTTGAACCCGAAACGCGAAACTAGGCGCTCTGGTAATGTGATTTCTCTTGGGAATGGCACTAATGAATATATCAGGGCGGGCTACATATTGGATGATTTTGGAGGGGAGAAAGAGAGAGGAGGATGGGCCATTTTGGGAAAAGATCTCAGGTGAAGGAAGCGGTTGAACATCATATCCATGAATTGAGGATGATGTAAGGGGCGGTGTGTTTTAGGGCGGGTAAAGTATTGCTTTTTTGCAGTTTTCAAACTAAAAACGTGCCTAACACTTGGAAAATGAATAAAAAAGAGTTATTTTGCGAAAGTCTGCAGAAACCAGGTTTTTTGCAAGGGTAATGTCTTTTTTGAAAATTTGCGCTACATGCAAGAACCCAATAACGACTATTGTTTTAAGATATACTTTAAAAAGTATTTACACACCGTAGAAACCAAAACTAGATATTGAAAGAAAATGAACGATAAATGATATAACGCGTGCAATGGCAGTTTTTTAAGTAAAAGAACCGGAGAATGGGCCTTTGCATCGGGGATGGGATTAAATATAATTCATTAAAATTTTCCCAATTTTCCAGTAGTATAATTTTCAAGATATTAATTTAAATTAGATCTTCATCAAATGAGATCACCACCGAACCACCTCTATGATAGCCGGATGACGCCGAAATTATTTGTCTTCTCTTGGGGTACTCGATACACTCTTGTGGGTGTGTGTGGCTGTGTATCTGGGCTGAGCTCTGCCGAAACTCAACTCTAACGACACCCACATTTTCTGCTATTCAAAAATGCGTCCTGTGCTTATGAGCAATGGCTTTATTTATTTTGTACATTACCTCGCTTCACCCACCTCACTCACAGTTCTTTTGATTTCAAGTGGGAATATGGTAATAATCCCTGGACCCTGTCTGCTATGGCGTCCAAATCGGATGAAAATCGGCGGTCGGGTCAGCATGCTGAAAATTGTGCATCGAAGAGCAAAAAGGGGAGCACGAGCTGGGTGGCCAGTAATTCTTTTTGGGAACGTGCCACTTTGAAGCCGGTCCGTTTTTTGCCTTTTGTAGGAAGTGTTGGCCCGGATATTGGTAGGGTTGTTTATGAAGGGAAATTGGATACATCGAAGCAACGCTTGAATGATTTTAAAAATAGGGGGAAGGCCTCGGATTTAGGAGTGACAGGGGAGGTATTGTATGGGAGAAGGATGGCTATTGAAGGTTTGGGTATCGTTCTAGTCTAGTTTTAGAAAACGAGTATCTTCCTTGAATTTCAAAAGTCCATAGAATACGTTGGCGTCGTAAATCAAATAAATAAATATTTTTGCCTTTAATTTCTAGGCGATGTCTATTTTTATTTTTAAGGATTTATATGTAACTAGAGTAGAAGTTGCTTCACTATCAAAAACATTTTCAATATACAAATGATTTTCTGATCTCAATACAAAAAAAAGATGATGCAGAATATTTTATCTTTAAACGGCTCTTTTTTTGAGCATCAAACCGTTGTTTTAATTTCGCTATTTTATATACAGTTGATTAGAATGATTCCAATTTGTTCTGGTCTATCTTTTTCATTAACCCAGTTTTCCTTCATAATCCATTTTCGATGCTCCCCATTTCGTCCATCCGTTTTTCTTCCATTTTCTTCAATCCCATCGTCACCCTATAAATTCGCCGGGAAAACAATCAACCGTTCGTCCGAAGACAGACGGGATCTACTCCATCTCGGCTTTCCCCAATTTCCTGCCCTATTGAGCCAGTATTAGGTAGATTTTTTCTGAGGGCGCTGTCTGCATGTCTTGTTCGCTTTTCTAACGCACCATGAATCTATGCCTAAAAAAGGGGCTAGAACCTTGTTATTAGACAACCAGGTGGAGGCAGCTGCAAAAAAAAGAAAAGAATGTTTTCATAGATGTTCAAAGGGGGGCGAGGGGCGGTCGATGAAATTGTTTAGTAAGTTGAAAATAGGAATCACAGAGCAGATGTGTTGTATTTGGGGAAAGTACAAAGGGGTAGAAGGTGTTTTTTTGAGAATTTTTGATTACTTTGTTGTTTAAATTATAGCAGGAAGTTGAAAGTTTAAAGGGACGGACAAGGTATGTCACTGGATTTTATATAGATTTTATTGTGATGAGGGACGCAAGGCTAGTGCTTAATTCCGTTTTGTAGAGAAATGCGATATTTTTTTGAGTTTACGGTTCAGCGCTTTAAACAGATTTTCTAGCGAAAACGGCTTAATGTGAAACCGTTGTCGTTATTTTTAAAATTTGAAATCGATCCGATATCTTGTAATCTACCAAATGCACATTAATGATATTCCAAAATACGGGTATCCCAGGACGTCATTGTACCCAACGAACACGTAAAAAAAGCTCCGAGTGTCGTGGAATTTACCCATTCCTTACCCGGCTTTAGCTGTAAATCGTGTCTTTCCTAGCCCACCTGGGTAAATACCTATTTATGGCCTGTTTTAAATGGCGGCTCGAGACGGCCGCCTCCCTTCTCCACGAAATGGGTACATTTCTTTTGCCTTGTAACTCGGGAATGCAACCCCTTACTTCAATTTTCGGCCTCCGCCTTCGCACTTTCGGGCGGTTTTTCTTGGAATTTGCATAAATAAAAGGCTGGCTACAACTAATGCGGGGTATTAGAAGTATTAATTCAGCCGGGTCGACTATCGGCAAGTCCACCCTGATCATTTGAGGGGCTATTTCAATAATGTCCACCAACCCGATGGGGCAAATATTACCCTAAAGGCCGTTCAAGGAGCCCAAATTGGCCCTTCAACGCTGGACCCGAGGGTCCGCTCGGCACCCAGCTACGGACATGCCGGGAGGAGGAAAAGCCCCCCCTCCTGCTCTTGCCAGTGCTTTTTCAGTCCATTTGTGATCAGGGCTATTGTTACCGTGTCGGGGGGATGGGGGTTTGTGGAAACGTATTTTGAGCGGCGTGCTTTTGGGATGTCAGGTGTTTATCTGCGGGGTGGCGCACGTTTTTGAGAATCCTCTCAAAATCAGGGTTAATGAGCTACGACGTTTTTGCAACGTCTGCAAGTGTTAGTGTAGTTTTTGATAGTTTTTAGGAAGTTAACAGAACCAGAAATATAAATAAATAAATATCAGATAGTACAATTTATCTAGCTTTTCACGATACTAACCATACATAAAAATAAATATGCTTCTTCCATCCATTAACGTTTGGCTCTATTTTTTTGGAGTTGTTAGAAGGAGATTGACTATAGTTATCTTAAAGCGGTAGTTTAATTTTAACTAACTTTTCACGTAGGTAGCAGTCAAAAAATTTAACCATCTCCATCTATTCAAGGTTGGTTTTTCTACATTGCACGCTGTCATAAGATATTTCTATAAGTATATATTCCTAAATTAGCATTAAAATCTATTAAAATACCGTTTAGGCTGACTAAAGAATTCCCCTTTCACCACCAACCCAACTAGCACGTCAGGTGGACTCATAACACCTCCGTCCCCCCGGAGAAGAAGCTAAAGAGGGTGTGATTTTTACGAGGAATCATTTGGGTCCGGTGCCGTCGTTTCGTTCCATGGTTATTGCGTTGGGAGCCATGATGGCCAAGCGGTCTTGTGGACGCTTTTTATCGGTTTCGTCGCCTCACCTCGCTTGACTTTCGACCCCGATGGAATGTTGATGCGTATACTCTATTTTTCCCTTTTTACGCAATAGCAAGAAAAGCGACATTTACGAATTTTTTAGAGACTTTCCAATTTTTTTGTCAAAGTAAAGCACTTTAGCTTTCTAAAAATCCTGTTTTCTGACCTGCCTAACTTTTACTCGTTGAGACCATAAAATAAAGAACATTCCAAACTCCAATTGTTCCAACTTTCCCAGCCCTTTATGGGAAAATTTTACTTATGAAAACTATCCGACCCCTTTCGAGATGTTTAGATAATCTTCTTGTTTTTGCTCGTAAACTCTTGATTTAGAATCACAAAAACTTATTCAAGGCCAAAAAGGAGAAGCGAATGTTTTCACGAAATCCCACTCACAAATCTGCCAAAGCGGAACTCTGCCTCCATTTACGACTACCCACCCATTCCGCGATGAGAATACCAATTCGGGGCAGCGTAGCACACGCATTTTCCGAAATTGGTAACTACACAATTGGCTATTCTAAATTTATAAATTTCGTTCTTTTCCATGAATATTTCAATCTCATAGAAACTTTGAATCAGCAGCAGCAGAAGTTTCGGCAAAGGCTTCATTCTGTTTCCGGTTCCAATTTTCAAAAAGGGCGCTGAAGAGGCTTACCTAAATCTCTAGTTTGTTAATTACCAAACGTGCTGCTTTCTCTGAACTGGTGCTTTTCCCCATAAATTTTTAAAACTTTCAAAAACCTTCAATAACCACCCAGAAGTTTTTTTTGAAGAATCGTTATTCTGTTTCCGGTCTCATCTTCCTCGAAAGGCTCTTAAAGGTACACTAAAGTCTCGTTGGTTTGGTTACCGGCCGGTAACCGTCCGCGGAATAGCAAACAGGGTTACGGTAGGCGCTCGCCGCGGAGCAAAATCGAACCCTGACTGCCAGCTTGGGGCAGCGCCTTGGACCACTAGGCCAAGGGAGAGACGGGAAGGCGGGATGGCCAGGGGCGATAAGAAAGGGACTGGGTTGGCTGCGGCAGAGTGCCCAAATTTCCTACCACCACCGAACTTTTTGAACGAGATTTTAGTGTACCTTTAAGAGGCTTTGAAGGGAAGGGGTTTGCTGGAAGAACGCAGTGAAGCCCAGGTGGACATTTCCGGGGGCTGGCCCTCCTCCACCTCCTGCTTCTCCTCGTCCTCCTCAGCCTTCTCCCCTTTGGTTGGAAGCGGTGGTGGTGGTGGTAGGTGGGCGGGTCCGTGGGGCCAATCTGTGGCAACGGCCGGGGGGCAAAAGTGGCCATCTTATTTGAATTGACCCTCCACGGCCATCCATTCCATCGTGGGGGTTAGCCCGAGATCCAGGAGGCAATAAACTGGCGCGGCTTGGTTTAGCTTAACGTTGTCGCCATGGCTTTTTGGACATTTTGTGAAATAAATTGCCCTTGCCAATCAAGCAAGGTGTTGACAGGCGGATCTTCGCTGAAAGATGTTCCATTTTCACAACTTCTCGTGGGTATCAGTTGGCCAGGCTCTTTTTACGTGAAACGTTACGTAACGTTTGGATTTCGTGTCTATTTCTATTTTTTTATTTCTGGATATTCATTAATTGCAGCAGCTATCCAGATTTTCAAATAGAATTCTGCGCAATTATTAATTATTTACAACCACATCACACTACCGTCATTTCCTCCCACTTCCAAAATACCTTATTTTTCCCTCCTTTCCATAATCTTCCACCCCCAAAAAAACCCAACCCCAGTTTCCATTCCCCCAATACCCAAAAACGGCTCCCCCACCAGTGGCAGCAATGTTTCAAACAAATTTTTTGACCAAATTTCCCGCGCCGTCCCGCCCAGACGTGTGGCACCGGGCGGAAGTCCGCAATTTCGGAAGGGCCACCACGGGTTACCCGGTTGCGAAGAAGAAACTCTTTGGGCAATATTCCCCCCTAAGAAATGTTTGGAGCCGTGGACGTGGCGGGCGGGCGGTTGGCCCGGTCACAAAGGCTGCCCATTGTGTTCAGAGGAAATTAACGGAAGCACACGATTTTGGAGTGGACGAGGGGAATGGGGGGTGCAAATGGGTGAAGCTGAGTGGTGGCGAGGTGCAGAAGAGTTTTTGTAGAAGTAGGTGGCGCAAAGGGTTTTCTAACCGGGTTTTTCATTTACAAATGTTTTTCTTTTATTGCTAAGATGTTTTGTAGTTCTTAAGAATCATAAAGGTTCCCTTTAAAATTTAGCAAATTCAACATTATTAAGTTGTTTTTTTATTTATACCAACTATCACACTCTCTTTAACATCTTGGAAAGGGGTTCCTTGCTTTAGAGCGCCTCCTTTTAAAACATAGCAAAGATGCGATTTTTAATTATTTTTCCGTAGCCTTACACACACACGCCCTTCGAGGTCTGCTATGAGGTTTTTCCTTAATTCAACTGAAGACCACTAGATGTCACACCCCTTTTAAAAAAAGCAAAAGATGAATTTTTCATTCTGATAGGTAGCTTAACTTTTGTAGTCTCACCCCCTTAAATACTTGCATTCTCACCTTACTGGGCTTCCTAAAGAGCCTTTGCCACTCTCCTTTTAAAACATAGCATAACGAGACATCTATCATTTTTTCTAATCATTCCAGATGTTCCCCTCCTGAAATATGAACCCCGCCTAGCCATCCCTCCACCCTCCTTGCAGCCCCACCACAAGTTGACACCTCTCGTCCTCCTCCCCCATCCAGCTGTTTGAATCATCCCCTTAAAGGGCACGTTCAGGGACGTTTTTTGGAAAAAAGCGAAGATTTTTGCCGGGGGTCGAACCCGGGCCTCCCGATCGGGAGACGCGGTCGCATAACAGTCAGCCACAGGAGCAACCTGGCGAGGGGGCGAGGGGCGCCCCACGCCGCAAAGGAGGGGAATGGCCTGTCACAGCACGGGCAGGCAGTGCGCGCGGTCCCTACGTCCATAGGGTGTACACGTTGGGACGAGTACACGGCCCCTCCCTGAACGTGCGCTTTAAATGGCTTTACCCCCAGTAGCTTCGCTTCTCTTGCCCCTCCTAATGAATCAAATAAATAAATAATAAATCAACCCCATGTTCGCTTCCAAATAGCCGGCGGGTGCTTTTTGAAGAGTGTCCGTATTGTTTTCCGGGTTGTCGTTGGCTTTCCCACCGGACGCAGTGCATACAATATGTCATTCTCACCCTTTCAATATTTCAATATTGGCCCTCTTCTGCAAGAAGTTCTTTCTCCCAGGCGCCATGGACTTGAACGGGACGGCAGCGTTTGAAGCGCGATGTCGAATTAAAAACGTAGGTTTTTAAGGCTATCCTATTAAACATATTTTAGAATCCACTCGACATTTTGTGGGTTCGGCTGATGATGTTCGCGCTTTATGCAGCTGTATTTATTGTTGCAGTTTCTGGGAATATGCTGGTCGTCTATGTAGTCACAAACAATCGCCGGATGCATACTGTTACTAATATTTTTATTTGCAACCTTGCCATATCGGATTTATTGGTCAATTTTACGTAAGTATTATTAAAAATCTGTTTAAAATTTTGACTACACCAGTAGCTAGCCTTTCTAATTTGCATTGTTACTTTCGAAAAGATGTCTGGCCCTTCCAAAATTATACAAAACTTACCTAACCCAAATCCCAAAAATCCATGGCAAACCCCAAAAACACTTGTCACATGACAAGAAGCCAGCGACCGTGCCGAACTTTCAAGCACTCCATCCGAGGGCCACGGCACCGGAAGGGAAAACAATAAAACATGGGGCCCCCAGACTGCCACTTTAACTAGGCTCTCTTCTTCCCGGTTCACCGGGTCTTTAAATGGGCTCAACGGATCACGGGGGGCAAAAGCTTTGACTAGCCAGTCATGGGGTACCTGAGAGACTACCTGAGAGGGGGGGGGGTTTCATCGGAAAATGGCTAATTTCCGTCGGGGATCTCTTTGAATAGGGCTCTCCAATTTCCGGGGCGAGCAGAAATCTTTTCTTGGGTTATTAAAAGGGTAAAGAAGGAGCGCAGGGCTTTGTATAGAAAAAGCGCAGTAAGAGTTGTAGCGGAACAATCCCCAAACTGCAAAATTGATGCTAAAAAGCTAATTAAAGCTAAAATTTTTGACTAGAGGAGCAGATACTTGCAAAATTATCCAGTAATTTTCTACCAATTTCAATTCCAGTTCACTCTGGCTGACGCCGATGTACACGTATGTGGGCCACTGGATTTGGGGCGGTTGGGTGTGCCACGGACTGCCGCTTTTTCAGGTAAATTATTTAGGGGTTGATTCGCGGGGAGTGGTCTAGGGGTGAACGAACGGAAGTGGCCGTTTGGATGTCGTGTTTCATGGTGACCATTAACAGAATTGGCGATAAAAAATCGGGGTTGTGGCCAGAGAGCTGACAATTGGCTTCAGCTTTTCCTTTAGCGGTATAAAAACCTATCTAAATTTTACTGACCAAAGCAAGTTAATCAGTCTTGTAGAGCGTCCAAAGCTCTTGAAAAGGTTATAGTGCGTTTAGAACTAACTTGAACCTGTTTTGTAAAAACTGGCACATCCTATAGAAACTACACTAAAACAGCAAAGTCCTATCCTTCAAACACTTCCTACTTCTTTCCTCCTTCACTCTTCCCTTCTGTTTGCCGCAATTCACCCCTTTCCCCCAAAAGCCGAAATTGGGTAGAGAAGAAGCAAAAGCCTGCCCCTAGAAGGTGTGGGTTTCTTCGCCGGGGGTCTATTCGCAGGGGAGCATCGCTGTATCGGGTTTTCCGTCCGGAATAGGGGACCAAAGACGAACGGGAAGACGAGATACGAACGGTGAATTTTTTATAGGGCACCTTCATCTTCATCTCCACCCTGACCCTGATGGCAATAGCGGTTGATCGTTATTTTGTGATAGTTAGGAATTCGACGATAGCCAATTCGAATGATCGGGTCAGCTTGAAGGTAAAAACAATGAAAAGGGGGAGTTAAATTTTTTTGTTAAGAAATGCGTGGTGATAGTGTGCACAATATGGTTTGTGTCTTTACTTCTGGTGATGCCATACGCAATTCACATGGAGGTAAAAGCGGCCTATGAACTTTTAAAGTTATATAGATGGGCCTTATCGGGCCGCCTTGTGATTTTCACGTTTGTATTGAACGATGGGCTGATGGTCCGCTTCGAACTGTTTACGGGCTTTGTGTGATGGCACTACAGGTAAGAAATATATTTAAATGGATTCCAATGACCGCACCAAGTTCTTTGAACTCAAATAAAATCCCATTAATCGCGTAAGTGACGCTATATATAGAGTCGGGTCTCCTCTTCAGCTTCAGATGAGATTACGCACCCAGATACCTACTCCCATTGCAGCTATCCAATTTACGCTTAAATCCGGAAATTCCACTCAAAAATTCATAGTGCAGTCCCATAACATTAAATCTTTCAGTTCCTCGTCCCGTTCGTGATCATCGGCATCTCCTATGCAAGGATTTGGTCTTTTCTCAATACTCATGAAGAGGTAAGCCAATCGAGCATGCATAAGGGTATCACTCCCGAATCTTGGCATGTCTTTAGTGCTCTTAACTTCTACTAAAAATATTCTCAAACTTGCACGTCCATTGCATATAAGCTATTCCAGGAGGAATTTCAAATCATTTCAAAATAATGCTATTTTAGGGTATCTCGGCTCGAGGCACGATCCAACGGGACAAAGCCCGGAAACAGCGGCTTCTCCGGATGCTTGTGACAATGGTGGTCATCTTTGCCGTCTGCTGGTTCCCGCTCAACCTATTGTATGCCATTTGGAAAATTGTTGGACCTGCAGGGCTGGGTGCTATTTGGGAGACAATGGCGGAGGAAATCTCTGGACATGTCTTATGGGGGCTTCTTAGCAACCGTCCCCGGGCCGAATCGTGCCATTTTTCAGGAGGAAAACCCGATGGCTCGCATTATTCATCGGCCGGGGTGCGCAGTTCAATTTTTCGGGCCAAGAGGGCATTTCCGCTCGGACACCGGGGCGGGGGGATTTGTTGGGAAGGGGGCGCGTGCAAAAAGGTAAAGCACAAGGTTAGGGGTAAAAAGTGTGGGGGTTTGGATGGATGGGGAACGGGGCAAAAGCGGGGGGTTTGAAAGATTTGAAAAGTTTGAATTTAAAAGTTGAAGATCTAAATAATAGTTAACGCTAAGCGTCGAGGTTAATCACGAAGTCATGTGTGTCATACCTAGATTGGTCTAAAACGCGGAAAACTAGCGCTTCAGAAATTTGAATACGCTTGAGAGCGTAAAAAAATTAATTGGAATAACCGCACTAACTCTTTACATGACAATTTCAGCTTAAGCATGACCTCATTAATGCCGCATTATTGTATTCTAAAATTCATAAAACACTTTCACAAACGATGTTGAAATTTGGTGAGGATTTTAATGCAGCTTTACACAGATATTTTTTTGCTTTTTATTCACCATCGGCACTCCCTTTAAATTTTTTTTGGCAATTATATTAGAAGGTCAAAGACAAAAAACGAGTCTTCATAATTAGCAGAAAGTTTTCTTTCTGTCAAAGACCTCCTAAAACGGAATCAAGCTGAAAACAAAGAGGGTTAAAATTAGCCAGGCCACTTGCTAATCAATTTAATTTCAAATACCTTGACGTATCCGAAACTTTTTTGCATATCTCCGCCTCCTGAGTTCATTGACTGCCCTCGTTTCACCCGTGCTCGCACCCGATCTCTTCCGCCCCAAACCATCATCGGGCCCACGCGACGGCCCACCCCGCCAAAAGGCAATATTTGCCCATCGAATGAGGGGATCCCTTCCAAACGGCATCTAGAAGAGGATAGCATCCCCTCCGTTGTCTTTGGACACGACCAGGGCGGAGGAGGAGGAATGGGGGAAAAAGATAGACAGAAGAAGTAAAGTAAGACGTCGATCCTCCCCCTCACAGCCATCACAACGAGACGCCGTGGATAAACAATTTAATGAATTGTAGTCTGGAACCGCAGGATGGGATGGGGAAACGGGAGTGGTTTTAATTTATACCTTTTAAAGGAAATAGGAAATTCGGTAAATAGGGGGTAGCAAAAAGACAAGTTCCCAAAAAGCATAATCTTGAAAAATAACTTAGAAAAAAAGTGAATTATTTGTATGTAATTAATGTCTTCCTTTGAATGATGCCACCGGGATGGTGTCTTTTGCCATAATTGACATAACTCCACAAAAATAGCCAGAAATTCCCAAAATTTCCGACCGTTCCGAACCAAACTACACTTTGCAGAAATCTGCTCCGGGACCACGGCCTGAAACCGTTCAACTCACCGGAATTCGCCTTCCTGGTCGGCCATTTGGTGGCGATGACGGCGACCTGCTGGAATCCGATCCTCTACGCGTGGATGAATGACTCGTTCAGGTTTGAAGAGCCGCACTCCCCCCAAAAGCTAGGGAAATTGAATTCCGTTTTCAGAAAGGAATTCATGATGGCCATTCCGTGCATACGGCAAACGGGGATGGCACGGCGGATACGGACGGATAGTGTACCGGCGTCGGTGCGGATAAATTGTCCTCAGGTTTGGAATGAAAGGAAAAATTAGGATTTAGCTTTTTTTAGTCAGCAAGTCTTGTGGAAAACCCATATAAATATTCACGACAAGCAAGCGTGGATAGTAAGGGATTCTCGATTTGGGCTTCGGTGAAACAAGTGGGTTTGATGGCATAATCAATTAAAGTTTATGGCTGTAGATGTTCACAAGAAGGCCTGCCAAAAACATCGATGATATGGCGCAGGAGCAGGTGTTAAAGGAGACCGTGGTGACCGAGGCGGTCGAAGCCTCGGTAAGTGATAGTGATAGTGAAAGTTGTCATTTATGAGTGGAAATGACAAGAATATAACTTGGAAAAATGGGTGTAGACGGAATACGCGGCTTAAAAAATTCAAATGTAAACCACGATCAAAAAACAATGTTTGAAAGATTTTGATGAATCGAATCCGTTTTTTTTGGTGTATTTCGTACTCTCCTATAATTTTTACAACTTCTCAAAAATCACGGAATGCAGTCTGCCTCTTTTTATGGCCTATGACCATCAGCACTAACCCGCACACATTCAGCCAACCGCCGAAGAGGCAGCATTTACCTGCTAACCCCCCTACACGACACACTGCATCTTCTTCTCCTCCTTCTACTTCTCCTACTTCTTCTTCTTTACGGGCTTCATCTTCTCATGCAACTCTATCCACTTTTCCACCAGATTTTCCTTTCCTTTTCCTATTTTTGGATGTCAAGCACAGAATGACCACGAGAAGCATACTGGTATCAATGAATGGGTAGCCAATTTTGGCCATGTCTTTTTGAATGTTTTTTGTATTGTCATGTCAAGTCCCGTTATGTTGAGATGATTTCAAGATTTTTTTCCCTTTACCCCCAGCACTACTTATCAAAAAAAGCAAGAGAACTTTGCCGATCTGTCTTCATGACTACTACTGGTGTTTTTGATGAAATGTTATGATGCCGCTGTGACGTTTTCCGGTGAATAAATATAAATTCGAGGTATCGGTAAGGTAACAAAACCGAAGAAAATGTTGGCAGTGCGTGGGGCTTTATTCAAAAATATACAAATACGAGAAATTACATAGGTGGCAGTGTTTTTTCAGGTAATGTTTAGTAGACCTGTCCGGAGTAGAAGTAACGGTGAGCACCGTAACGGGCTGAAATGTAGCAATGTATTTTTTTTGTATATAAGTTGTTAATGACAAAAACATTTTGCATCTATTTTAGGTAAAATCTATAAATCACATTAGGTCAAAACTACTAATTTTTTTGGTGGTTTTAAAACCTTTTGAAGCCAATTTTAGACCTTTTATCCTTAAATATAGGCAGATATTGAAGTTGGTAATTTTCGAAGCGTTATATATCCTACCGGCCGGCGTGTAGACGTCAAACCAGTCCTTGCCCTTCCTAGCCATCGCCGTCGGCTCAATCCACTTCTTGTCGAGCACCGAGAACGGAATGATGCCCTTGCGGTAAAGATCGATGGCCCCCTTCACGTTCACCTAAATATTTAAAATACCATCATAATCCTTGATGACTTACGTTATCCATCTGCCAAGGCCTCCAGCTGTTCCACAACGGTCTGTCGTAGTTGGGGTCACGGTGTTTGCGCCACATTGTTGGGTTCAGCCAGTCGTGGTAGAATTTGGAGCGGCCGCTGTAAAATACATAAAATTACAATAATCATAGTTATTAGTAAGAATCCATAATACTTGTGATAAGGGCAACATTATCAGTAATATTATAACACACTCCTATGATCTAAGTGTAATATAAATGTAACAACACTAATCCTAAAAAATGAACTCTTAAATTTCTTAAAAAGTAAAATATTTAGGCCTTCTTTTTCTAAGAATTGTAATTTTAGTAATTTCGCAAAGCAACATAACTTACAAGAATCCAGGATATTCAAACCCGAGCGAATTCGGGATGGGGTCAACGTAGAGCTGACGGCGAGCCTGGTATCTCCACGTCGGGAAGTAGTACGGCGCGTGGAAGTTGACACGGTCGCTCTCCCAAGCGTCGGTCGGTAATAAGAATTGAAGATGAAAATTTAAAGCTGGGTTACCAGGTCATAATCCCGGCGGTACTTATGCATGCCGCTGCCCCTGTACGTATCGGCGCTGACGCGCAGCGTGTGGACGCATGGCACCGAGGAGACCCTGAAAAATTATGTTAGTTAGTTAGAAAATTATATATTACATATTGTAAGGTTTTTTCTGCTTTTATCTATTAACTGTAAAAATGGTTCTGTGAAAATCGAGAGTGCTAATATATTTTAATTTTGTAATTCACATGACGATGATTTAATAAAGAAACCATCTAATCTAATAATCTAACTAATTTAGATAAATTTGAATAAATAGCTAAAGCATTTATACTAACTTCGTTCAAGCTAATTTAGGATTCAGGTTTTTTTTGCTAACGAAACCACTACGAGAAGAATAACCCCGAGTAACCATTTTCATCTATGCCAAAATTCAAAACGATACAATAATGATAGGTATAAAAATATAGATTTTGCTAACAATAACAAGAAAATAGAAAGTATACAAAGTTTATAAAAATACTTTAAAACACAAACCTGGACAAGGTGCCAACACCACGATGCGGCACTCGCTCCAACGAGCGCGACCTGGACAGGTTAATAGGGCTATAAGCCCTAAACGCCACCTCCTGTACCATCGTTGGTGATGATCAGAAAAGGGGGAGCTGTTGAGGGTCTGGCCAGCCGATCGAACCGACGGGGCTGTCCCATTTTTTCACCAAAAGCTCGTTGCCCCCCCTCCTTTCCATCCTCCTCCTACACCTCTCCATATCGCCCCCCCCTTGGGCAGTCTCTGTTTTTGTGCCCAAGTGATGGGCCAAAGCTTGACTCCCCAGGCTTTGCCGCTTTTCCATCCCTCCCCATTGCATTACACAGCTTGCCCTCCCCACCCTACTCTTTTTCACCTCAAAAATGCCTCGCCCCAAAACAAACCAAATTCCGTGTGACCACGCGTTCGACGCAAGGATTCCACCCCCCTTCCCTGAGGCGCCAGATGTTGTGCGAATTCTCAGGTTATCTTCTTTCCAATTGATTAACGCATTTATTCACGGTTTAGCGTTCAAAGTCACTTTACAAAAAATGGCAGTGCAAAAATGGAAAAAGCCGAAACGCATAAAAAGTTGGGGACAAGCGGACAAGGACTAGAACAACGGGGGGCTCTAGTCGATGAGCAGCACCGAATTATCCAGGCGGTTGGGGAAAATTGGGTGTTGGTGAAAGGGGGGATAGTGGCCTAATAGGGTAGAAATTGTGGGGGTTTATTTCACCCATTGGGCCACGTATCGCCTGGCGTGATCGCTGACGCAGGCCTGGCGGAAGTACGGTGCGTCATTGACGTAGAGTGCGCTCCAGTCCTAGAAAAAAGTGTATTAAAGATATTTTGTAGCAATATTTTAGGAGAGCGATGTGTTAGATTAATAGCATGTTCTGCAACACCACGCGAAGCTATGCAGCACTACGCAAAGCTACGCAAGTACGCAAGTGACGCAAAGCAGGCGAAGGTGCACAAGTCTGCCCGAAGCTACGCAACATTACGGGGGACTACGCAACAATACGCTAGGCTACGCTAGGCCAGGAAAAGCGACGAATCAATACATGCAATGAAAACCACTACTAACGGCTACTCAACGCTACGCAACACTACACGAGGCTACGCGAGCTTACTCTATGTTAAGCAAGGCTACGCTACTCCAGGCAATCTCTTAGCATTACCCAAGTATGCTAAGTGTCACCAAATCGCGTCAGCGTACGCAATGCTACCCTGCGCCACACTACACGGAACTACAAACTACAACCAATACATAGATTTACCTTGTGTCGCTTGTCCCAATAATTCGGCGTCAAAAAGTAGTTATAGAGCGTGGGGTAGTTCATCTGGCCTGAAATTGCCAAATTTTAATTTGAATTTCCAAATAATGTTCTCTAGCCATGACTACTGTACGAATCGATACGATCGAACGCACCTCGAGCGCCCGACACGGCGGCTCAGTAGTAGTAGAACGAGGTGTACGGGTTAATCGTATAGCGGAACTGGAAATGGGGCGATTAACACACACCTTCTCTGTACATGGCCAAGCCGCGTTTCAGCGACGCCTCGGCTGTGTCGAGCACGTACTGTAACGGGTGGATAGGAGCGTTGCGGAATTGTTCGGGAACGTTGCATAATTTTGTATTTTGGTTTTGATAAATGTCTAATAGAAAAGGAAGGTTTGTTTTGTTATACCGAGCTGTACGGGGTCCAGGTGGATCGGAGGGAGGAGCGGACGTACGGGTCCGAGTAGCGCGAGTAGTACGACGGGTAGTCATAGTCGTACCTAGAAAATTTGAATATATGGTGTTATATATTTTTAAGAACTTCATACCATGCAGGGATGCATAATAAAAATGCCATAATAATTTTTTAGCTTAATTAAAGAATTTTAGCATTTATTTCTAACGTTGAAAGGCATCATCGTGCATTTTTTGGAAACACTTTGTATAAGCAAAATCAACATCATGGTAACAATGATCCAAAATAAGTTTTTGAAAAAGATCTCAGCATCTTAAATATCTTTAAAGTCATATTTCAACAACCTTTGTCTCGTTTTTAATACATTAGCCACAAGACGACACCACAAGCAAATGACAGCTTCCTGATCAAAGCCCAAAAATGGTTAGTATTTTCTTATTTAGTGCAATAGGGAGTGCCAGTGTGTTTTTTTGCCATAATTCCAAATTTACATACGACTTGTAGCGGTTCCAATAGCTAGAGTACGGGTACCACGAGTGTCGCGCGCTCCAGTCGCTGTAATCAAGAGCGCGGATACCAAAAATTCGAGGCAAATGGATGGAAATAACTCTTTAAGAAAATAGGCATAGCTTTAAGGAAGCTCTCATTAGTGTCATTAGTCGTAGCAAGTCCACTCACTACTAAAAACTACTCAAAACACGCTCATTTTGCGCTTACAGGGAGGCCGACCGGTACCACGAGCTGTACGGGTTGTAATAGTCGCTAAAATACTCATTTTTTCAGGAAGTCGCCAGAGTTAGAGAAGCAAAAAGCATCGATTTCTGTTCTTACAGTTTGTTACGGTACAGGTCTGTGGTCAGCGGGTATAGATAGTTTCTAAAGATTCGAATTTTGTCGAATTTTTCAGGAAGCTCCCATTAAAATTAAGAAAATAGAGGTGGGAAAATAGATTTTCAGGCTTTTTTTAATACCATTTGTTGTGCCTGTAGCCCCAGGGGTAATTATAGGAGCAATAGGTGAATGTTGGGCAATAGCCGCTAAATATAGAAAATGTGTTTAATATATTTTCGTGAATTTTTTAAAGCCTTGGAGAATGACTCACGAGTAGAAGTAGCGACGGCTGGGCCAGTAGGTCGAGCTGTACGGGTAGTAGTCGGTGCGGCTCAGCCAGTAGTTGTCGTACTGTAAGTTGAGCGCATTTTAAAGGGCTTGGGAACCAACAGACAACGCGGCGTAGGCATCATACAGACTGGTCCATTTGAAGGGCCGTGTACCCTCGAGGGCTGCCGTATTCCACTACAAAGCACGGACTGACGGACGTAGGAATCAGGATTTTTGCATAAATTCTTACAGTAGTGTCAGATTTTGTTGTCCAGTTATAGGGGCGCCAGTTTTCGTAGGCGGCGTCCCACTATGAAAATTGAGAATGGAGGAATTTCGCTTTTTGGATTTTAAAAAAGGTAAATTCCATAAAGTGATGCAATATTGCTTTGAGTTATAAGAATTTTCAGGCTTTTGTGTTTATCGTGCGAAAAGATCGATTTCATAAATTTAGCAAATATTAATTTTGGCGGATTTTGAAAATTTCACCCATTTGATTTTCATTACGCTGCTAAGAAAGGCTTGCACTGATACAAATAAAATTTTATAAAAAGGGACATTAAAAATATGGTTTTAAAGGTGTGTTGCCAGCAAGCTGTAATTGGTTGATCATCAATATCTTTAAGTTACTAAAAAAGCATAATATAATAAAATAGGCTTTTGTTACAAATTTTCAAGTCTATGACGTTCCTCATAAAATTTCAATTTGCTTAGTATACATTTTTAATTCGACCCACCAGGTTGTAGTCGCGGGAGTAGCGCGACGGGTAGGTGCGGTACGAGCGGACGGTGTGCCATTGGGGCCTGTACCTACACTCTTGACAGTAGCACGTCGGAGGCTTGAGCCGGCATAGCCTGACACAGTACCCGCCCGATAGTGTCGAGGTATCATTAGTAAGGGAAATATATTATACAAACGAAAAAGGCGAAGTTCGAGATTCATTTGTTCTGAATTTTAAAGGGGTATTTCTAACAAAATTTAATTTCTTCATCAATTTTGATTCTGTTATAATCTAACTCTAATTTTTAAAGGTAATACTTTAGCTAGCTCTTCAAGGACTCTTCATACTTTTTGCTCCTCACCTGTCAGAGTAGCGGTAGTAGGCGGTGAGGTCAGGGACGGAAGTGGTGCGACGGATCTAAAAAAATATATTTATTAATTTCTTTTGATGAGTTTATAGTCCCATTTTTTGTTTTTTATCTCAATCTCTCTCGCCCCCGCAAAACAGCTGTAGGTCGAGAGCCCCGGGCCCACCCTTCCTTTTTCCCTGAAATTTTATGGAATCCCGTGGACCACCCAGGCAGCTGACGTGCGGGGGCGGAGACCGCTCTTTTCGAAAGCTATTTTGAAGAAGACTGATTAAGAAGATGAAACTAGATACTATAACTTTAACAGAAAATTCGTGTAAAAGCAGAAAATAGACCGACCGATGGGGTGTGGAAGTCGCTGCTGACCAGCACGGTGGAGGTGCTGCGGGGCAGCACCACGGAGCGCGAGCGCACCAGGGCGTAGTCGCTCATCACGACACTTGGTTTAACACCTTAATAGACTTTTTAGGATAAAGTTTAATGTATTGAAAGCAAGTGAAGAGAAGAATAGTAATTAGCTCAGCTCTCAAAAAATTTCAAATTTTAGAAAAATCTGATAAAACATGAATTCGGCATGTCAATCGGGAATCCGATCCACCAGCCGCTTAGTAACCACCGTCGGGACCCATGGCCCCAAGCCCCAAAGGACCCATCGGGTTGTTGATTTTTATTTTGTGGACGCGGACTCGGACTCGCCTCACCCAGGGGTGTCAGCTGTAATGATAACTCCGCCCCCGTGGGGGAGGAGGAGGAGAATGAATAGATAAAGCGAGGAGAAGGAGGTGGGGACAACAAGGAGGGGCAGCTCTTGCTCCTGGAAAAAGGGGTGGTATGGGGGCCACAAGAACAGGCTCTTGGGAGGGGAAAAGCTTTAACCCCTGGTTGAGGCCAAAAGGGATGGAGAATGGGGGAAAGGGCGAAATGACCTCGGCTATTCGTGTGACAAACAATTCGTTGAACCGGAGGGGGATCGGGATATCATAAGTAAAATATTTTTAATTTAGGGCTGAATTAAAGGTTTAGAAGGTTTAAGGATTTCGATATATTTTGACAAATTAAAAAAGGGAAACCTTGATAGCACGCTTGCATATAAGTCTAGCAAAACGAAGAGCTTTCCTCTGTGCTGTCAGCATCATTAAACCTCTGTATATATTATTTTTGCATTTTGAAATATTCCGATGCAAATATATCATTTTCAAAATCATTTTATTCGCAATAAAGCTCTGCGATATGACTCCATAGACACACTTCTTCCAAGACAAGGAAAACATCAAATCCCAAAAACGCTTCGACGGCGTGAGTATCGAATCCAAAAAAAAAAACAGAAAGATACGAGGGGAAACGACTAAAACGAATACTATCGACGGCGACTAGGGGAATCAAAGGACAAGTCATGTAACACCGAGAGGGAGAAATAGGAGAAGGTAGTGTGCCAATGAAAAATTCGAGGCAAAGAACCTGCTTGTTAGATAAAGCTGTGGAAAATTAGCTGTACGGGGGGCCCGGAAACAGCAAGTAGGGCTTGGCGAATATCGCAAATCTGTATATAAGTAACATGAGGGAGTGAGTCAAAAACTGGGTCACGATTTTGTTGAGCAGACGGAGGGTAAGAAACGTCGTAAGGGAATCTTAGCTGAGGGATTTCGGGCGGTCGTATCACAAACAGAAGAAGAAGGAGAATGAAACACAATGGAAAAGGAGAAGAGGGTATAGTAGATGGTTATGGAATTGATATTTGTTGGAGAAGATCCTAAAATACAGAAAGAGGGAGGGACTGGAAATTGTGAATTCTGGGATAAAGAGTTTATTTCGGGCTTGTAGAAATCGATTTTTGTCTTATTTTTCGTCAAAATTCTAGAGTTAACCTAAAAGCTACAAACCACAAAAACGACAGCCGAAAACAAACTCCCAACCCGTTGTCATCGGTTCATAGAAATGGCAACTCTTCGGGCAACTGGCAAATAATGAAAGGAGCTGAGAGGGGTAGAGGTCTCATAGTCAATGTTGATCGTGTTCAGGGAGATACAGTAGCGCATCAATGAGCTCTGGAAGCCCGAGAAATGCGTCTACCTCGGTGGTAAAGAGTTCTGGCTCGTAGGCAACGTTGCATTTCTTAATCAGGCAGGATTCCGTGGATGTTCTAAAAAGACGAACGTGCACACGAATGATTTGTGAATTTTTTTGGAAAACAGATACGGTTGTACTTCCATTTTTCCTAAAAACCGCAGGCTTTTCAGCGCATGGAAAACTACGGTAAAGCCGAAATTTCGGAAAAATCAGCAGGAATTGAAGAAAAATGGACCCAATTCAATCTGATAGGATGTGTATCATGCTCTGAGTTTCCTAATTTCATAAAGATAGTTACAACGCTATTTTCAAGGCCAAGGGGGCAAGAAGAAGCTTTGGGGGAGGAAAAGCACAATTGGGTGACGACGAGGACAAGGGTTCCTTGAGCGAAAGAGAGAAATGGAAAGAAGAAATTCAGCAAGAAGAGGTGGAGCTGCCAGCTGATGGTGGACCACCGGCACCGTATGCGCTTCCGGGGTCGGTGGGGCTGAGGCTGGGTCGGCGACCTTTGCCTTTTGAGTGCACCTTAAAAATTGCAAAGTTTTAATTTTAATTTTGGTTTGATTAGGATTAATTAGAAGGATATAACTATGTTATTGCAACTGATAAGTCTAAATTGGCTGACTTCTTTTCCAAATGTAACTTTTGACCTCTAAGATTGGCCTATATAGGGGCTAATTTCAGCGTACGAAATATCGGTATTGTTTTAAAAATTTATTGCTCATAAATGGGCTCTTTAATTTGCTCTAGATTTTTTTAAATGCCCGAAAACATCGAATAAATCTTCCCAAAGTCCAGGTTAAGTGAGTGCCAATTTACGTAATACTGCTTTGCAGGAAAGGGTGTGTCAGATAGTGCGAAGGGGTGATCTGTTTCGGGCGCCATTGTGTTTCTTGGTGTACGTGAAAGAGTGGGTTTCCCGATAATGAATATACCTTGGCGTGCCGTTTCCGCTCGTCGGATCGAGCAAATTTCCGGCCGCAGACGTCACAAGAGAATGGCTTTTCACCTGAATAAAATTAGATGTCAGGGATTCGAAAAGAAAACAGCAACTAGAATTTTTTTTAGGAAAACGTCCGGGTAAAGCGTGATTCTTATTCATACAGCTGTGTAATAAGTTACCAGTATGCGTCCTGACATGTGTCGTCAAATGGTCCGACCTCGAAAACGCTCGCATACAAATTCGACACTAAAAAAGCTATAACCCCAAAATATTGGTTTTTACCTGGAATGGCTTCTGACCAGTATGAATCCTAATATGACGCGTCAATTCGTCACTCCTACTGAACCTCCGGTCGCAGTCATCCCTAAAAAACAATGTATTATCTAGAATTTTATCTGGCTATCTATTTAAAAAAAAACAAATGCCATGGGAATCTTTTACCTTGGACATTTATAGGGCCTCTCATGCAACGGAATTTTCGAAGATCGCATTGGAAACGCTCGCTTCTTCAATGGTCCTCCCTCCAGATCAGACCCGGTGTAATCAGCATATTCGGCATAGTCGCCGTCTACATCTTTGAAAATCGAAGTTAGGAAAGGTCCTCTTACCACTCCCATCTCCATACATAGAATTAGGATAGAAATCATCATATGGTTCGGTTTTCGCTTCGAAGAGATTCAGCATATCTGGTTCTTGATATCTAAAAATTTGAAATTAAAGATGGGCTTAAAGTACTTACTCAAATTTGTCAGGTTGTGGTTCGTTGCTGCTAGGTAAGAAGCATCCCATTTGGGCTCGAGCCGTATTTGGTGAGGCTGGTCGCTCGGTTATTGGTGGATTTGCGTGGGCTGTGTTTCCCTGATATGCAAAATAGAACTACCGGTTTATCTCTTTTTACCTGTATCTTTTGCCGAAGCGCTGCTGTGGTTGTAGATTTTGCAGGAAGTGTTGGTTTCTAAATTCAATATATAATTGGGGCCTTCCTTTAGAAAGTGCTTTCACGATAGGACATCATGCAACTTATGCTGTGATTGAAAATAAATATCCTTAGGGTGTGAAAACGCACTTCAGCTTCCGCTATCCTTGGTGACGGCTTCGACTCGATGGATTGCGATGGGGATGGCTGTGAGATTTGGACCGTCTGAAAATCGACAATACATGCACGCCAAAAGACGAGATCTTTTTGCATACACCGCGGCACCCCGACAAAAAGGACAGAATGGTTACACGTGTGTTCGTGGGGCACATTCTTTTCTGATAGATGGTGGTTTTGCAAAAAAAGTGGTAAATAATCTTGAGATGCGATGTAATCTGTTAAGATTGGGGGCTAGTGGAATGGTGTAGTTTGCATTCTTCCATAGCTTCTAGCTTCGGGCTTTCGAAGAGATGATAATTTAGAAGACCGCCGGATAATCAATGACCTCACCAAAAGATTTTGCAGTGGGATAGGATAAGCAAGCGGAAAAAAGGAAGGGTGAGCTTTTGGGCTGGACAAGACATGGATGCATGTTATACCCCTTGGGAAGCCTTCCGTTTAGGTGGGTCCTGGAGGGGAGGAGGCGGCTCGGGGCTTGAAGCGTGGATCTCGATGCCGGGCGGTGAGGGGAAGATGTACTTCGGCATCGCCATGCTCTATACACACCGGTTGGACAGTGGCAACCACAGCTTCTCGTTGATTCGGACGATTTTGTCAAGGCAAAATGAAGGATAAAGGAACTCGAAAGTGTGGTATCGAAGTATGAAATGGGGATGCTGAACGCTGTTTTAACTGATAGTATACTTTCAGGAGTCGGCTGGCACGAGCTTGTAAACGGAGTTCAACGCCAGAAAATGGATTAAATTAATAGATCTTCAAACGAATAGTATATATGAGCGAAGTAGTTAATGAATAAAAACCTAAAAGACATGAATATTTGACAAAGGATTTTTGGAGATTTAGGACATAAAACGTGAATCTATGAACATTAATGATCACGCCAGGTCATACTGGTTGTCGGAAAAGTATCACCTCTAGCGATTCGGAGCGAGCTCGGGTCCGGCTGATTTTTATACTTTTGAAAACCACTCAAAAAGGCGAGAGAAAAAGAAGCCGTTCCTTTTACAAAACTTTTTAGCGCTGACTCGATATTAGAGGTTCACCTAAAAACACAGGCGTAAAATCAGCACAGCATGCTGAACACATACAAACCTACTGTTTTTATGGTTTCTGAATGTAAATTTTTTGCATTGAAAGGTTTAGGTTAAAAAAATAGAAGTCGCTTGCTTCTTGTTTTTTTTCTGAGAATTTTCCATAGGTGCCAAAATAGTTAAAATCGAACGCTTCTCCGGACCGCTAGAGGGGGCACTTTTTAGGACAACCTTTACCAAATTTATTTCGCAATTATGTTAAGACATATATTATTATAATAAAGTACAAAATGAACCAACCTTCATCAAATCCGGTGTCTCGCCACTTGTCGGTGTTTTCGAATCCACGATCAGCTCGGGCAGGCATCCGGTTGTCCCCTTCGTCAACGATTGTAGGAAGTGTTCGACTAACGGCGAGAATTGAAACATCGAAGCCGGCAGACCTATGCAACGCGGTGATATAACAGGATTATCCATATCCACGGCACACCACATCTTTGGATCGTAGCCTGCATCCGGGAAACCTGACCGCTTGTGTAATTTCTCAACAACAACAACGAATCATTTGCCCAAATTGAAAAGGGACCCACAAAACCCAGAAAGCTATTAACAAAAATGGTAGTTTTGCCGACTTCTATCCCCTTTCTTTGTTTCTGGTCGGAATTCATCGGAAACAGCAAAAAACATTCCTCGGTGAGTAATGGGGTTCCACCAAAACAAAAAAACTTCAAACGGGGGCTCAACAAAAGATGTTAGTTTTAGAAATTTGATAGTTTAATTCAGAATGTAGGATTTCCTGGTTCCAAAAGTTCAGTTCAAATATTCAACTTATTCATGCAATTAGGGCAAACCTCTCCAGAAAACCAACCTGGAGAATTTTGATTAATTGTTGGTAGATTAACGGGAAGATTTGTACTTATAGAACCCTGAAAAAGTTTAAGGTTTGAGGCAGTCTTGCATACCTTAAAATGTATTGTCGTTTTCTCGTCTTTGATTCCGTTTCCCTGGGTGCTGGAGGTGGCAGTTGTTGTTGTATTAGCTAGAACATAGTATATGTTTGATTATTTGGTATATTAAGCTAAATTATTTTATAATATACCATGACTAGTTGAGGCACTGGCTGAGATTTCGATGTTGGCTGAATATAGAGGCTCGTCGCCGAAAAAGGCTTGGCCTGCGGAAGGGGCAATGGCTGATAGGGATAACCTTGGGGTGGTACCTCCCTAAAACATATAAGTTATGATTCTGTCATACTATGATAATAAGTATTTAATAAACTTAAACTACCAACCTTTGTAGGGCTACCCAATATTGTCGGCGTTTTTAGCATATCGCTCATTGTCGGCGTTCGTAAGCAATCATGATCGCCGATACTAAAAAGTACATTTTCCACTAGCATGTATATAGCTTTCAATTTACTTTTTACAACAATTTTTAGATACTTTGACCCCATTTCTCACCATCGTACTCTCAGAAAGCCATGGCTCACGACTCCTACTTATTTCCCAGGCCCCCATTTGCGTCACAGACACTATCCTTAAAGCCGCCTCTCTCATCCCAGGCTTAACAACCGGCCTGGGCCCTCGGTTTAGCCGACATTAAATTCAAAATTACATTTCAAGTCCGTACCTGAGCCCCACTGGGAACTTTGTGGTCGAGAGCGGGACTGGTGGCTTCGTCCCGCCGCTCCGCATTTTGCCGGCGGCCGGCGAGAGCAGGGCCATATGCTCTGCAAAAGGTGAGATTAAAGATAAAATTTGCAGCGGATCACGAGGGAGAAAAAATGAAATAAGTGATGGTTTAAAGATTAGGTACGCAACACCCCCGCGCTCAAATTCTAGTTTCCCAAAAACATTCTATTTTGGGGGGAAAAGCCGGGCATCCCGCCCCTGCTCTTCAGGATCCAAGCGGATTACTTCATTAATTCAGGGCCCCCAACAGGACGGGGCACCCAAGGCCAGGATTTCTTATCAGGTCCTGGGATCCCTCTCGATGTCTTGCCTAGACATCTGTTCATATGGAGACTGAGCCTCCGCGGACACTAATGATAAACCTATTTAAGCACTAATGTCGTCGTTTAGATCCCTTGACCTAGATTTAAGCTATTTATTGCATGATGCTAAAACGTTTTATTTATTTATTTTAGAACGTCATTCGGATAATACAAATTGCATAGCGCAAGGACATAACTAATGGGCCGTAAAACTACGTTTTTAATATGCTTACGAAAAACTGTAAGCCGTAAAAAACTGGTTTTGGTCCTATTTTGTTCTCATGCTTATAATATTAGACGGCTCTATTTTAAAAAAAACTTCAAGTAGATGGAAAAATGCGCCTTTGCGAGCACTACAATCCTTGCTAGTTGGCTTGACGTCAAACTCGACGAGGGCCGAGATAATAGCGTTCAAATGTCTATCGTTTTGACACACACTGTGGAAGCAATCCGACTAATCCTTAAAATATTTCCGTAACTTAACTTTTAAGTCTTGGTTTGACAATTTTTAATTCCGTCATCTTTAAAATCAAACGTTCTGTTGGAGCTATCAAGCCTAGTTTTAGTTTTAATAGTAAAAGAAATCACAAAACAACTTATTAACTATTTTTACGATGGATCTATGGTAAGTCTACGACGCCATTAATGCTCGAACACGTCGAAAATTCACTCTGGAATTCTTTCTCCATATTAGCAGATGTCTCGGGGTCAGAGAACAGAGACATTTTTGAATTACTCGGGTGAGCGTGATAAGAAATCCTGGCCTTGAGTACCCTATCCCCCCCAACAACGTCATACAACTTTTCCCGCCATGCATTGATTAGGGATGATAACGTGCACTTCCGCAAGGGAAAGGTATACGCATTAATGCAAGTATGGATTCTTTTGAATATATATGCATTAATGAGTGTATATATTAAATTTTTTGGGAACTTTTTATGTAGACGCATTAATGGGGACATGGATTCAACTTTAAGGATTTTTTCGAGTGTATACACATTAATGGTAGCATCGATTCAAATGTCTGGCTTCTTTTGAAACGACTGGTCGTATAGGAAACTCATGATTTTTAGGGTCGATGACTAAAGCAGAGACCGAGTGAGGGAAATAATGACAATTCACGGGGGAGCTGGGACTTTTAGAGAGATTGGTGGTGGTCGTCATTGTTTGGTGCAAAAAGCGTAGGCAGCAAGGGCGGAAGGCTTCAATAGGTGGAGCAACGACAGCTAATGAAGTGATGCTGGGTTTCCCGGCCCCAGCAAAGCGGGCAACCGGAAAAGCCGCGGTTTGTCGAATGGCAAGTGGGTGAAACCAGGCGATTTTGGGTTTTGGTGGAAGAGGGGGGCCCCCGGAGAAAATGCGTCGATAGGAGCATAGCGGAGCAGGGGACGGCATTCTGTTTGCACACATGGCCGAGTGACCAATCAGTGGATCGAGTTGAGCCCTCTTTCCACTCTTTCTTTTTCTTTTTTTTCTAGCTTCTAACAAAATAAACACCATCGCCAAGCAGCTATGCCGGAATTTGAGGGAAAGATCCTGCCAGGTGAAAATCCCGGTCGATTCAGGCAAGCTATAACAAAAAGGGGTTCCAGTCCCGAAATACCACAGTTTTTTCTAGGGCTTCCTACGAACTTTCGGAAATAGTGATCGATGTCAGAAATGGCATAGGATTTCCGGATTAGGGGTCGAACTCCGCGATTCTGGGCCGAAATCCGGATCTTTGCTCCAAATTGCCACCGTCACAGCAATCTGCATAGCAAATGGGGTGGTGGGTATTATTATGGGGAGGTGAGGGGATTGATTAAGTAAATATATTATCGACTCGGGGGTTTTTGGAGGCCCCGTCAACCCCTCATGCGGATGTGTGTGCGTCTGCCCCAGTGGACACCCCCTTCCAGTTCTCTTTTTAGGGGGCTGGCTTTTCCGGCTCTGGAGCCTAGACCATATGAATAGAAATGCGTGGGCTATGGCCCAAAGCTCAGCCAATTTGCAGCTTTTCATGGGACACGTGTTCGGGCGTTTTGGGTTTTTGCGAAATATGAAAATTGGAATTGAAGGGTTGGTGGCTTGACTGGAGTCTATGTCTGGTACATAGTTTTAAGCGACATCTAGGCTGACTGATAATAGAATTAAACAATAACTTAAATCGCGGTGACAGATGACTGATGAGAGATCTCTCCGGGAAGCCGACCCAAGGGGATATGATTTCCCGGACCACCCACAGCACACTTTTTATACGAAAAACAGCGTCCCCGGAAATTAGGCATTTTCCTGACCTACGCCTCGACTTGGGTAGGCCCTCAGGAAATTTGCAATTTTTTTTGGGGGTCGACCTGAAGGGATCTGGGAAATAGGTTGTTTTGCCGGAAATTGGGGTAAAGCCCAGATGACCAAGGGTAAATCACGGGGCTGTGTGACGGAAAGTGGGGGTGGGACCCGAAAAGTTCGGGTTCAAGAAACAATGAAATAATTAAGAATATGGGTAAAAAATATCGAGGGCATATAAGGTGAAAATTAGGGTTCAGATTCTGAGGCTTGAGATTGAGGTAGCGTGGCGGTATTTGCACCTGTTGACTTGTAAAAAAAAGCTATACATCAGGGTCAGGTGCAAAAATTTAATTAGGTTTTGGATATTAATTCTACTGTTGGTTTCGTCCGTCCCGACCCGACTTCGAAATCGAATCACATGATCCTTTTCGTGCCCTGGTTTTGAGTGTGTGGGTGGGGTCCGGGGGGAAAAGGTGAGTGAGGTCGAATGCCAGAAACGAGGCTCCTAGTTTGCATTTGTGGCCCTGAAACGGCCAGGGTCACCAACATACAAATACCACACCCCAACTGAGTCATCAACGTCGAATCAGGGCGCGAAAATCCACGGCTATTCCCCCCCTGCAATCCCATTTGGCCATATGATTGATCTACTCCCAGAGAAGGGGCAACAGCAATATATTGTCGGCTAGCGCAATTTATAAACCGCAGCGAAACGGCGATTTGATGGGGGGGGCAGTGGGGTTAAAATATATGGGCAAAGTGGATTTAGGAGTTCTGGGTGCCGGAATTGCGAACACGATTGATGAGTGAGGGCGAACATATGATTGCAGGTATTTTTGGAGAGATGTTGCATAGGGTTCATTCCGCGCCGTGGATAGTTGTAGAACGGAATTTAGACTTAAACTTGGCAAAAGTGACAAGATTATGAAGGGGACCAGTTTAGCACAGTGCACTAAAGAAAGGAGAAAAGCCAAAATCTGCGCCTAAAAATTGCGACCGAAAATGGTTTTGAACCTTCCGAGCTCGGAATGAATGTGAAGCCAATACTCTCAATATAGAAGTTTAAAGAAATGTAGATAATGGTTAGTTAAAAACCGCCTAAGGGTATTTCGAAAGCCTTAGAGCCTCATAAAACCTCGGGAAAAATAATGACGAATTATTCCCCGAAAACCTTTCGAGAATGACAAATTCTGGCTAATGACATCGTTCACAAGCCCGGAACTACTCCGGAAACCCTTACTAGCAACATAAACGGAAGTGCGAAAGCATAAAAAGCAAAAAAAGGGCCCAACAAGCATTGATGAGCGTCATCAGAAGAAGGGGGGCAGGGGGCCCCCACCTCTCAAAGCATTCGGGAGGGGGGAGAAGGGAGGGCACACGGATGGATGGAAGGGCTAGAAAGGGGCAGGGCACGGCAGTGAGGATAGGAGTGTAGGGTAAAAACGGAGAGGGGGCTGGCATCAAAAGGAAAAAAAAGGAAAGGCAAAGGGGCGCGTCGCGGCCCTTTGAAATAGGGAAAACGGCAGAGCAGGCCCCTGCCCTCAATGCTCTCGGCTTTTTTCAGTGTCTCTCATAGGGCGATGGGTGCCCGATGGTCGAGAATCTCTGCCAGGGCTGTGATCTCTCATCTACTCGCTTTTTTGGGCGCAGCAACATGGTGATGACCAGCCGCCAAATATGTCGGTTAGCTTCAGGGTCCCGGATGAGGTGGTCGGGTTGGAGGATGGAGAAAGCGGTGGTCCGTGCAAATAGTTGCGTTGGCTATGCGGGTGCAGAAGCTGCTGACTCACTTCTATGTTTCGAGTTTTGTTTGGCAATTTATTATCCAGAAAAGTTATTTCAAAAGTTTAGTGATAGATAAAGACTGCGTTTTTATGCAATAAGCTAAACCGTTTGTTTAACCATTTGAAAAGGGATGCCGACGGCATAGACAATCGGTTACGCGCGCAAAAGAAAATGTCTCTGCGCCTCTCCCATGGGCGCGCTCTCTCCCCTGTTGGCTACTTGCCAATTTGTTGATGAGGGGGGATCGACACATGCCGTCGGCAGCCCTTTAAGGATTCATTATAAGAAAGAAGAAACTAATTAGGTAATATTTTTTGCGGAATTGTGTATGGCATACTGCGGACTTAATTTTTACGGGGCTTAAAAAATAGACATATATGTCACGCGCCAATTTCTAGTTCAACGCAACAATTCCAAGAATTCGACCTGACGCTCAACGAAAGGTGCTGCCTATCCGGTCAACCATGAACCCCCTAACCTAGCCGCCCAGTTCCGGAGCTCACAACCTCCCGCTCAAAAGCCCTCAAAAAACCTGAGAACATCTTCTTCAGCAACAGAAACACTTTGCCCCCATCCCTCCACACCTCCCGAGGGAATCGACTTCCACTGAAGCTCAAGAAATCACTGCCAGAATCTGTTACGGCACAAAAAGCACAATGACCAGTGTTCCAGCAAAAA